CTGCTTTCACCAACGCCATCAATGATGTTACATTGAGTGATGGCCGGAGGGCAACAGATGTTATCAGCCATTGGACTGGTCATGAGACGCACTTCCACTGGGAGGTGACGGAATAAAGGATCTCTGACCGGATCCGAGTAAAGACGTGGGGCGGTCGAGGTTGATTATATTGAACCTTTCCGAGATTTATGGGGGCGGCATACCATTTAGTTTTCTGGATCATATCTTTCAGGGTAGAGTTACAATCACATCTATAACAAAGATATCAGAACTTCTGCTTTTGTCCTCTGGTCCCGCGATGGCGGTGAATTACCAGAAGTAGCCAAATTTATGCTGTTCCACTGAATTTCTTATATGCGTCGACCAGACAATCCAACTAGCTGGAATGATACCCTGGCATACTGCGAACAAATGTGTGGTGTCAATGTTTTTTGTATGGTAAAGATTGTGGGAAAAAGACGGGGAAAAGTGAGGTATGGTCGGACGTGTCCGCGGCGATAACCGTGAGCCTACTGCAGCGTTGTCTTGCTCTCGCATACACGCTTGCTTCGATTCCGGTCTCCTGAAAGATCCTTCCTCGCCAACCATTGTACATCCTGTGGATAATAAGATTACTACAAGGCCATGAGCGAGGCAAAATACCAGTACGCTGTCAGATTGATTTCGGACATAACGCGAAACGATTTTGACAGTACCGACAAGGTCTTCGCAGCTACTTGGTCAATAACCTTGTGCCTTCACGCCGTTCGCACCATCCATGTGTTTCACCTTGTATCAGTGCCTATTAGTGTTGTTCTTTTTGCATTGTATCTTTTAAATATTGAAAACTTTGCAAAATCTCGCACTTGTAAAGTACACTGACACCTCGCAAACAGATTTGACAGGTTTCTCCGTTCCATTTCCTCAACTTACTTACGACATATGTCAATGAACGACAGCAGCTCTTCGTTATTCCAACAATTACAATCATCATTTTTTCACCCGGCACGGAGGGTTTCTTCCATTCAGAGAACAAATGATGTTTCTTTTTGATCATGTAGTACATACAGACTGGAATTTGGAAGTCCTCGGTATCCTCTTCTAGATCAACATATCCGAGTTTGAATGCCCTTTCGGTCACTCTTTGCCAATAAAACCAGGGAATTGCTCTCGCCTAATAAACACCATTTGCGGTTTGTAAAGTCTATCGAGTCGTCTTCTCTACGCGGTCGTTGTTCAGCACAGCTCAAAGTTGACAACCTTGAAAGTGTGCATGGGAAATTTGTGAGGACTCGTCAGAATTGCATTCCGGCGGTCACATTAATTACAACTCATATCCAATATTCGATCGGACAGCTAACGGGAACACAGCAAAAACGAGCAGCGCATGCGTTAAACCAGGTTTGATGGCATAGCCGTAGCACCATAGCGATTGCTGCAAAATAGCAAGTTGAATGAATGCAACCACAACGACCCACAATGGAAGAAATCTCCCCATCCAACGTCGCATACAATTTGTACCAAATGTAAGTCATTTAAATACATGCAAACCGCTGTGTTCTGTTCAGATCAAATATTCGATACGAGTTGTAGTGGGACACGGGTCTGGACCCATACATTTTGACACTACATCGATAGACGCACGCAGTTTATGTGACCAGCTGTACCCCAGGCGACGGTGATTATCCAACTTGCTGCCGACAGTATAAGCCAGTTTCGCAAATGTCATGATCAATTATTCCTTTTTTTGGTCTAACTATGCGGGTGTCCGATACGATTCTCCCGCACCGCTAGGTTACCAGCATCATTGGACATCGTAAATTTGCAGCAGATGGGTACCACTCCAGCATAAGCGTTAGACCCTAAGCGTAATCCTAGCTCCTACCGGTGCTGGCACTCACTCAAATTTTAGGCAGGGTATTATAATTCCTGAAACTAGCAGCATCGCTATGGAGGCAGGGTACTATAATTCCTGAAACTAGCAACATCGCTGTTCTATTCTAGCTTTCAAGACAGCCAAGTTGTGGACGTCGGCGTATGGAGCCTGCCGAATCAGTTTCAGATAATGGGTCCGGTCCTGTCAGTTCCAAATTCTTGATCCAAATTCTTGAAACGAAGGCGTGCCATGTAGCTGTAGAATTCTGCGCTAAATACATGGTACCATCCTCCCCGTCGACGTTTTTGGAACGAAGGCGTGTTATGTAGCTGTAGATTCCTCGGCTAACAGCGTCATTAGATCCACACAATGGATGGGAGCCTCGAGCAGGGGCTCTTTCCTCTCCGTATGGAGCAGCCACTTTGGAAAAGGGTCCTCTCCGCAACGGAGCATGGATCATTCACTTGGGAATCAGGAGTTCCGCGATTTCCCAGGATCATGTACCTGCCCTATCTTCGGAAGACATGATACTGAAAGCCAGCCGTCTATAAAAGCTTCAAGATCCTGCCTAACCCTCCTTTCACCATCTTCTCAAGCAAACACCTCCACAACAACGCGAAAGAAAACAACAGGACATCATTACTCATGTTTACCAAGTACATCTTCGCTGTCGCCATTGCCGCCCAGGCGCTCATGACGGTTTCCGCTACTCCCATCGAGCTCGTCAAGCGCGCTTGCAACCCTGCTACGGCCATATGCATTCAGAACAGCAGTAGTTTTCATATCGTTAAGTACGTAGCATTACCGACGCAGCAGAAACCCGGAAACACGTGCTGCGTTCCCGTCGACACGGCGAAGATGGAATCGTATATCGAAGACTGCAAAAAAAGAGCACCGAAAGAAGGCCCGGTTCATATGATTTGGGAGGATTGGAACACTTGCAAAGTTGAAGGGATTAACGGGGAGACTCTTCCAGCGCCTTAGAGGCAAGGACGCGGTCGGGAAGATGTAGAATGTTAGATCTAGGCCGCAGAAAATTAGAGAAAGATGTATAAATGTATAAAGAAACTAGCTAGGTCTAGAGTCTCGCACACAACAAATATAAATATGCAATTGGTAGTTCATGTTACACTTTGACTAGCTCTTTCGCTCCCTTATTGCAATGGCAAAGGGTTTCGCCCCATTGCTTTTTTGCCAACAAGTAGTACAGGTAGGTACGTGACGGTAGACTTGAGCAGATAGAACTGGTCCATTTCCCTGTCATCGCCTCTATCGACGCTAGAACCTCTGTTAGAAAGAAGCCCAGTGATACGTCATGTTGCTGAGTTCATGTATGCGCAATGTGCGTTGCGGGGCACCTTGACCTTGACGCCTTGAGACTGCGCTTCTGGCTCATAATGGCAAGAGGAGAATCAGAGGAAGAGAGAGAAGTGCTGCTGGTCAGATAAAGCCAAGGTTAGTGCCTTACTAAATATTTATGGTTGCGAGTCTATTTCGCCTGTAGCAGCATAGGCACGTCCAGTTTCTCAATTGCGCTCTAGTTATGGGCTGGCTTCAGTTGCACTCCCCGACCTCATTAGATCGACGGTATCCAAAGAAGCGTGACAGAAGAAGAGAAAAGAGCCAGGCTGCTGCCACAAGATGTCTACAACCTATGTTCAGCTCATCAGTTGTGCTGTAAGCAGACCTCAACCGGTACGAACTAATCTGCTGTTGGGATGAGACAGCACAACGGGTACAGGATTTTGTTAGACATGCAGCGTGAAAGAGCACGACCTGACACTTCTCAGAAGACAACACGAATTTAAGGGAATCGAACAGGAAGGCGACCCGTATTCATGCCTTAGATTTGACGACATACCAAGACGGGAAGCTGGTCCTATGGAAGTACTGGTGTGGGTTCATCGTAACGGGTTTTATAACGAGCGCCGGATTTCAAGTGGCCTGCGCCGTATTAAACGAAACTCAACTCCCAGACATGAGAGGTGGGCTTAGGGTTTGATAAAGCTTGAATTGGCTCAGGAGCTTACGCTCTCAAGGCCGTTGATGCGACAGGGCGGGAGCCGAATGCGCAATTGTTGTACGGAGCAAAGTAGGTTAAAGCCGCGCACGGTCAATCATGTGCAGGCAACTCGTATTCTACCCTGACAGGATGGCCAGCCTCCTATGACCACGCCGCCCTTCGTGCGGGACAAACCTGATTAGTCCAACGATCTGCAGGAGGAATTTAAGACTTTGCTGTCCAGTTTGCTCGCTGGGCTGGGGCAAGACTCCCTGTGAGGGTCTCGACGAGTAGTCATGAATTCTTTTTGAGACCTTGGAGTGAAAGATGTGTTCGATTATGCACCATAAAGTTCGAAGGGTTGTCCGTACTGTTGACATCGTCTTCGATGCGGTTGGCTGTGACACATTGCGGCGATACTGGCGGGTGGTGAAACGGGCCGGGACTCTAGTTTCTATCGTCAATTCACGCCCCTCACTTGACGAGGCCAAGACAACACTGTTTGACTAGTCAGACCAGAAAACGAACAACTAACCGGCATTAGCGCGTTGATCAACGCTAAAGTTTGACCCATTATTGAGAACTCGCACAAGTCTACGAGCGAGGTGACATATGGACATCGGAGGGTAGAATGGTTTTGCAAGTTGGAGATCGTTCTTGGTGACCAAAACCTCTTTTAGCCAGATGGCTATCTAAGAGACTCTATAGGTCTTTCAATAATGTGGGGTTGCGCCACGTAGCTGCTGTTTCATTCAGAGCGGGAATGGGAGAAGTATGTACTTTGGGTACGACTTTGCAATGCAATTAGGACCGCTCAAAGGCGTTTTGAGCTTCAAAGTCATTGCTAGACTGCTGTGAATTTAACAACCCCAGTTCACCAACGAGCGAAACCAAACTACAAGCTACCACCATTCAGAAATCCGCGAGCACTAACCCTAACCTTAACCCTGTTAGCTCCATGGATGGTGGACTGGGGTCAAATTACAAGATGGATGGGCGACACGCAGCTAAGCCGTAAAGGGGCACAGTCATGCAGCAAATTTGCCGCCGAAGACGACGTCAAAAGAGAAATCGAACGTTGGTCGTCGTCGTCGTCGTCGGCTTTCGTCGTTTCTAACCGGCTTTATAAAACCATTCTATGGCTCGGAGGGTCAGCAAGCACTCATAGAAACCCCGTCCTTCGCCTCCACAATGCTCTACCGATATGGACTTTACCTCCTCCTCTTGGCCTCGCACTCGTTCCGGTCAGCAATTGCGGAGGACATTGTCACCCGCTTTGACCGAATATCGCCATTTTCGCCTCACCTTACACCCTACCCCTTTTTGCCACGAGAGCATGAGCCATCATTGCCACCCATTAATGCGCATAGTCGCCGCGCAAATTCCCAATTTGACATCACATTTGTGTGTCCAAACGCTCCCCAACAAACCTGTCGATTCGCTCAACAAGGGTTTGAAAATGCTGGACAGTACATTTCGCAAATGATTTCGATCAAAGAGAGGGTCAGAGTTCATGCCACATTTAGAAGCTTTTGTAACGGAAGACGAAAGGACAGATGTGGGGATATGGGGAACACGTTAGGGATGGCGCTGCCTGCCGCCTATTTTCCGGCTCGGCCTAAAGCGCAATCTGCTACAGGTGATGACACGGAAAACACTCGTTTTTATTTATACCCTCAATCTCTCGTCAAGCAAAGCAAGCATGACACTAAGCTAGACTATGCACCTTACGACATTATGGCTGAATTCAACTCGGATTTCGACTTTTGGTTCAAGTCTTCAGGACAGACGATTGGCCCGAACCAGACCGATTTTGAGTTCGTAGCTACCCACGAGTTTACCCACGGAATGGGTTGGGATACCTCATTGGTACCGTTTTCGGTGATGTACAAGGATTTTTCATCGACGCAGAATCCCTACGTTGCGCCACAATTGTATCTACACGGCCCAATCGCAAGTCCAAGCGTCGACGCATGGACTCTCCTAACTCCTTTCGACAAGCTCGTCCAAGACCCTACTGGGAAGTCTATAGAAGCCCAGGTTATCCCTATACAACAATGGTGGCCTCAAGGATCCGGGTCTCTTTCCTTGTCATCATTTATCTCCTCATTTGAATCCAGCGGTGCCCCCTTTTCAGCGGCCGCCAGCCTTTACAAGGCGATCACCTCCTCGACGAAATCCATCGCTCTCCGCAACACAACTCTGTACTCGACACGCAGTCCGGGATCGTACGAACCGGGATCGACCCTGACACACGTTGACGCTTCCTACTCAAACTCTCAGGACTTTTTAATGGTACCAACAGTTGGGGATATGGTCGGAAAGACATTAGACGAGTTGATTGCAAGGTTTGGTGGACGCGGCGTTTATGGTCCAGGGATTTTAGACAGTCTTAGGCTGCTGGGATGGGAAGGAAGCGTAGAGTTGGTGGTTGGCAAGAATGTCCGCGACGGTAATATTGCCAGTGATGCCACAAGAAGTGTGAGCACATATTGGCGGTCTGCCCTGGCGGTAGGCGCAGTAATGACCTCTTCTGTATTTTTACTTTAGATATTATAGTTGATTTCAAAATAGATAAATACACATGCTACCGACACGGTGCGTCTGAAATGAAGAATGTACAAATGTCATGCTCGCTAAAGATCGAATGTGACCCGTTTCTTTGGCTTCCCTCCACTCTCTGAATCTTGCTCCGGTTCCTCTTTACTCTTTCTTTTCTTCTTTTTTCCCTTCTCCATCCTTAGTTGCTTCTTGATGACTTCAATCTCTGCTCTCTTCTCTCTCTTTTTGTCTTGGGTCTTCTTTTGCTTTACCGAGTTGCGGGCCGCGTTTGCATGATGTCGAGCGAGTTTGTTGGTGATGACCTGATCTTGCTGTGTTGATATCGCATCTATCAAAGATAGGAGGTGTGACTGGCCAGATATGTCAGTTCATAAGCTTTTTCCTAGGAGACGCTGGTTTGCGCACCTGTGTGGGGAATTTCTTGCCCTTCTTGCGGGATGTGGTGGGAATGGATGCGAGTGTGGCTTCGTCAGATACTGCTGTGGAGGCGGATGTGGGTGTGGGCGTGGGTGCAGGTGCGGCTGCGGGTGCGGCTGCTGAGGTTGTCAAAGTCTTGGGTATCTCGTTCGAGACTGCCTTCGGCTTCGTTGTTCTCCTTCCACCTGAGCCAGCACTTTTCTTTATGGTTTTCCCAGGTATTTGTGGCTTCAACGGGACGTTGCGGCGGGCGGGATTCTTTGGTTTCATTTTGGTGATTGTGATTTTCTGTTGTCAGTGTCAACAGGTTTCTGGAGCACGACAGACGACGAGGCTGCGTTGCCATGGAGCTATAGTGCTTTCGCTGTGACTGTACCACTGAGCACTGGAGAAGTTTGCAAAGTCATGCAATGAATGTTACGTGAGCAGCAGAGCGCGTCGTGGTCTTGTCCTCTAGGCCTCCGGTTGTCCTTCAAGTGACACCCTCCACTGGGGACGTCAAGGTGAATCTATCCAATGAGACGTTGACAACTGTATATCTGCCAGAATGTCGTCAATAAAGGAATTGATGAAAAAAAGTGGGTTCATGCTGTTACGTGACAAAGTTTGAGCGCCTTCTAGGCCGACCCAGAGTCCCCTAACATGCAACCATTCACAGGAATACTAGTGGACATGATCCAATCCGTACAGCCTCCCGGAAAATGGAAGATCATTGTCGTTGATCCTAAATCCATCAAGATATTGAATACGGCTTGCAGGATGCATGATATTCTAGAGGAAAATGTGACCTGTGTGTGTCGTCGAATTGGGTGCATAGTTTTGGCTTGGCTAAACCAGGTTTACTTGATTATGAAGTGGTGGAAGACTTGACACGAAAGCGGCAGCCATATCCGACTAAGGAGGCCATCTACTTTATCTCACCAGTGGACGCCTGCGTAGATCGATTTCTGGCAGATTTCGAAAAAGGAAAGGCCATGTATGCTGCCGCACATGTCTTTTTCGTTGCAGGTGAATATGTTAGGCCATACCTTTGTACGTCAATGTGAGCCAACATGTCGTATCTTGCCTGTTGCTAGGATTACCGGATCATCTTTTTGAAAAGATAAAAACCTCAGCCGCGTCGGCTTATGTCAAAACCCTAAAGGAAATGAATGTTGACTTTATTGGTATGTGCCAAGGTTAACATAAAGGGACATTAAACCTTTTCTAACGAATGAGCGTACGCCAGCGTACGAACCACAAGTATTCACCTTTGAACAACCGCTTTCCCTCTTCCCTTTGTACAATCCCCAAGCCGCAGGTCACCAAGCAGGTGAAATAACCAGCATAGCACAACGTGTAAGCCCACTCGCTGCCGGTCCCCTTTACTCCTCGGTCACAGCCATCTCAATTCCTAAGCGCACCAGATCATCTCTGTTCTTTCCACCTTGGGCGACTACCCTTATATCCGATATTACTCACCACAAGGCACCCAAAATACGGTCGCTTCGAAACTGGCCCATAGAGTCCAGCAAGAGCTCGATGATCTATGCCGATTGGATCCAGATTTTCCGCCACCTAGTCCTTACAAGCGTTCTGTCCTTGTGATTGTTGATAGGGCTTTGGATATGGTATCACCTTTGGTACACGAGTTTACGTACCAAGCCATGATGAATGATTTGTTGGTGCTGGAGGGAGGAAAGTACATGTGAGTACCTTGTACTGCCTGCTAATGAAATTTAGCTGAATAGGCATCATCTCGGGACAATTAGATACAAGACTGAGGGAGGAGCATCGACGGATGCTTCCGCCGCCCAAGTTACGTCCGCCAGCCTAGACGAAAATGATCCAATCTGGGTAAGCATGCGGCCAATATTTCAACTTTCCTGCACCTTCTAATCTATTTAGTTGATTGACACCAATTCAGATGCTAATTCGTCACTGGCACTATGCGGACGCCGTTGAGTACATTCGCAGTACATTCAATAAGTTCCTAACGGAGAATCGAGCTGCAGCCACAGCTATGGAGAAAGAAGGCGGTGACGCTAGGTAACCGGTTTGCGCACACGCATGTGGTAAACGAACAGTGAGCTGATTGTTTACCTTTAACTGACAGCGCAAAGGGGATCGATTCTCTTAAACAAATGAAAGACACGTTGAGCTCATTACCCCAATTTCAGGAGATGAAGTCCAAGGTACCTGGTCGTTGCTGTTGTGCTTTGAAAAACGAAGGTAATATTGGCTAACGCCTGGTACGCGAGTAGTTTTCAGTCCACATCAACATTTGCCAGGAGTGCAAGACAATGTTTGAGAGAAGGCAGTTGGATATGGTTGCCGCCGTTGAGCAGGCAAGTTGCTGTACCTTATGCTCGCTACAGAGGGGCTGTTGGCTCACAGGATTTGTATCGGTCTTATAGGATCTCGCGACGGGTGAATCGGTTGATGGGAGAGCCATTAAGTTTGCCAATGTTATGATGGACATGGTCCCTGCCTTGGATAGCGACAACGTTAGGTAGGCACCGCAATAAGAATCCTGCCCCTCACTGCATATGCACGATCACAATCTGACTTTTTGAAAGCCCAACCGACAAGCTCCGTCTTTTGATGCTGTATATAATTACCCAACATGGAATAGAGGACGACGAGCGACGTCGGTTACTGGGATACGCCAAGCTTTCTGTGGAGGACTCACAAGCAATCACAAACTTATCTCTCGTGGGTGTTCGATTGAGTAAGTCCAAGGAGAAAAGCAAGGAAGATAAGGACCGGGGTCGGTACACATACCACCTTCACAATCGACAGAAGAAGAGGAAGGGGGAAACCTATGACTTGAGTCGATGGTCTCCCGTCCTGAAAACCGTGCTGCAGGTATGCATCAAATTCTATCACGCCGTCGGCAGCAGTTTATAATTTCAAAAGCCATAGGACCAAATACGAAATCAATTGGATTCGACCATCTTCCCCTGGATCACAGAGCCCCCACCGGAGGACCTTGCCCCACCACCTCCACCACCGCCAACAAACGCTACTAAAACTCCCCGCGAAAAAGCGCTGGCGCTTATCCCTCCCGATCCATCACACCCAACCTCTTTACGCACAACTCGCGCATCATGGGCCACGCCTCGAAAAAAGGCATCCGATGACACACAACCAGATACAATTCAGCAGTCACAACAGCAGACACAACAACAAGTTTCTTCGTCAGAGTTGCGCAAGAACGGCCCAAGAATCATCCTCTTTTCTCTAGGTGGGCTAACGTTCTCTGAGCTACGAGCAACGTATGAAGTGATCAAAGAGTTGCAAAGAGATGTGATTATCGGGACGACACATATATATAACCCGGTGCAACTCGTCGAGATTTTGAAAGATTTGGGTAACGCTACGCCATCGTCGGAGATAGTTAAAGGGCTAGCAGCGTCGACGGAATTATTATCGTCTGCGTCGGCTTCTGTTGGGAGGGGAGATGCCGATAACGGCATGTCCCGGAGTTCGACTAGTGTGAGCTTAGCGCGAGACGGAAAAGAAAAGGGGATTAGGGGCATGTTTAGCGGAAAGAAAAAAGACAAGGCCGGTTGAAATTGAATATAAAATAGTATCCATTGAGACACAAACATGCGGCCAGGAATACCTACATCAGTTCATCTGGCCACTATAAGTATTGTGAGCTTTCCTGATGATGATCATGACCAATTACCTATTGCTTTGCTAGGATGAGCAAGGCTGTTGATGGTCGACGACGATCAAAAGGTCTGAGCGAGATTCTTCTTTGCAGACGCCGTATTCGTACCATTTCCATACTACATCCTCCTGTAGTCTTCTGCGACAAAATCTTTATTTATTGCGCACAAGGCTTCCATTGGGCCCCACTGTCTCTCTCCCCCAAGAGCATGCCGTGGATGCACCTATCAGATGTAGGCCGCAGCAGCTCCCGCCCCCGTTTTTCCTTTAACCATGGCCTCCAACTTGTGCACGCCGGTGATGCTGTCGGCAACAAGACGATCACTCGAACACCAGAGGTTCGTTGACAATCTGCACAGTTGCGTGGGTTGCCTGCTACGATTATATTAATATGGAAGAGATGTAATAGACAAGACACTGATGCCGGAAGTGTCTTGCTGTAATAGGGGCCTTGGGATAATAGTATGTAAAATGCTCGATAAGACTGAATTTAGGCCAAGCGGTGCAAAAATAGGGACCATGCAAGGGGAGCCAAAGTCAATCCGGCTCATATGTATATTGAGTCTGAACATCCTTATACTCTTCTTGTGCTCGCACTTTCTCACATTCGCCTACACTTTCTCTTCCTCTCTCATCAAGTCCCGCATGGTATGCTCACGTTGTTAAACGTGTTGAACGGCAGTTCCAATCCTCAGTTTCCCGGTTTCAGAGACGTTATCTCAACCACTATACCATCCACAACGGCCAATCCCTTTCTTGTCGGTCGAATTCCGCTTACCCACCGTCCGCCACCTACAGAAACCACCTGTCCATCAATCCACTCCAATAATCCAGCATCCACAAAATCCTGCGCACGAGCGAAGTCCAGAATCTACAGGACTATCAGAACCATCCATACGGATTATGTCGCGAATGCCGACATACCTCCATGATGTAATCCACATGCTTTGCCATGTGCAGTGACAGATTGCGAAAATCCACACCGTCACTGGTACGGAGGCCTAATACGATGAGTTCCTGAAGTGTCTGCTGATGCGGCATCGGGACGACTTTTCGCATCCTGTTTGAAAATGTTGCATTAACACGTCTTCATGGGATGGATGGCACAATTATGCCAATAGCTCACCCATGCCCGATCTCCTCGCATTGTTTCATCCAGGTATTTGGATCAAGGATCTATGTAGGAATTCGTCACACTGATGTTAAATTGCAATATTATCATGAAAGTTCACTCACTCTAAAGGTTCGAAATCTTTGAAAGTCGTGAGCGCCGTACAACCTGCCATGAGCACCTGGACCGATTCCTAGATTATACCGACCGACGATGCGTTACCACTTTCATAACGAATATCAGGGTCATCTTCCCAACCAAGGGGTACGCTGCCAACCTATGTAATCCATGCCAGTCCAATAAGACAAATTATGCCGACTTCTATTGTTCAGATTACCATCCCTTGCAAAAGATGATACTTCGTACTGAATGTAACCGTTTTTCTCTGCGACCTTTCCCGCGAGATGGTGAGCGATTTCTTGATTACCGTGGTCACCGAACCACCAACCTCGACGGTCCTTTCGTACATTTCACCGGACGCATCCTCATTAGGGAGAGAAACACTCCCAGATTTCGCAAAGTCAAAAAGCGGTGTTCCACGTTCAACTGTCAGATGGTAAAGGCTTAGATGCGTTGGATTGAGGGCTGCCGCAATCTGTTGTCGAAAACCGTCTGTTACCAAACTCTGCCTGCGAATAGGTTGCACAAGCCGACAGAGCCTACCCCTAGCTCCTCCTCCCAAGCATGAAGACTTTGACGAGGTCTTCCCCATATGAAATCTAACGACACGGCATCAAACAACTCTACGGCAGATCGGGCGGCTGATATACCTTCCATCACGGAATGGTCACGGCCAAAAAAGCGGAGATCATTGTTATCGAGCGCCTTAGGCGGATGTATTGCTTAAGTTAACCCCCGGAGCTTATTTATCCAGAATCTAATAGTATAGGGTCATTCACCTGGATGCCCAGGGACATGCGATTAATCCCTGCTGCACGAAAATCTCGTAGACGGGCCATTTCACTAGACTGGTAGGATACATGTGAGACTCTGCAGGGCAACACGGGCGGTTGAGGTTTGGGACACACCGTTGGGTTGCCTTCTAGCGTTACTTCCATCGATGGTGAAACATTGCATTTCGAGGCGATCAGGTCCAAAATGGAGGATATCATCGTAGGCTAGTGCATGAAGCATCAAAAAAGGCACCACGGGAAAGGGGGACAAGTAATGGACGATAAACGACAATTAGGCGTGAATCTATTAACCATGATGATTCCATCATATACGAAATACCAAGGAAAGAACGGATGACTATATGTATATCCTACCCTTGCCAAACTCGGGGTGCCTCCTCCAAAATATACCGAATTCACTCGTCGCCGAGGTGCTTCCCCTTTCGATGTGGGCGGAACCTTATCGGGATTCAAAACATTTTCTAGAGGCACCGAGAGGGCGTGCTCTAGTTCTGATAATAAAGCGTGTTCCATTCTGTCATGGTCCTGCCCTCTATTATCAGCGCTTGTCAGAGATGATGGATTGTACTCCTTCTCCGCCTGCAACTGTGGAGCTATCACAATACGTCTATCGGGTCGTTCTTGTCACTCACCCTTGAGGTATGTGATACTTGTTGAACGAGCAGTATGTGCATTTACTAGAACGTTGCAAATTCCGTACATGAGAATCCTTACTTAGCTGCCAGCAATTTTTTCCAGCAACAGAGTCCAAGAAACAGTATTCAAACCTTTCACAATACGGCCAGTGAATGTAAATGGAGACAGGCAGCGACGGTGGTTCGATCGCCGAAGAGAAGCTTTTCTTGCTACCGTCTGACACATGCTGCAGAAAGTGACGACAAAAACGGTGCGGCCGTAACCATTTTGTATGGCGCAGATGAGGTGTGAATGTCCACATGCTCAAACCCAGAGCTCATGGACCAGCAGTCACATCGTTGATCGCTGGCCATAATCGGCTGCGCTCACGTGGCTGAACAAGCAGTATAAACAAATAACGCTTGGCCGATGAAGATATATATGGTGGTGAATTGCGCAGCCAAGGCATTTTGGATTAGATCTAGCGGAAAAGTGGAGTTGCTTGCAGGACAGGTTTCATCATTATATTGGATCTCGCTGGTGCCCCTAGTCGGTACTTAACTACTACTGCTAGCGGCTGCTGAATGGTTCTCTGAATTACAGCGTTAGGACTTTCGCTTTACATTTCCTCGCATTCCTGATGGAAAAGAGTCCGTGCGCACTTTCACAGATAGCCCGATGTATATTTCGTCATCTTTCCCTCGCTCCATTGGGCTCTCTAAGTTCTATTTATGACGCCTTCGGCTCGTCGTTTGATTTCAAACTAATCTTTCAGCTGGAGCGCAAACATTTTTGAGTACCGCTGTAAAAATACCCCGGTCGCATATGCATGTATCAGTCTCCTTACTCTCGCTGATTTGCCCAACTTTAACCCGCAAATCAGAAAACGAATGCATGGTTCAGCTGCGTATAATTATTTGTGTAGATCGTGGCTCTATCAAGAATCGTAATTGCTTCGAACTCGACTCTCGACTGTGGCAATCACCTCCGCATCCCGTATTTTTGGAATATTTTATTAATGGCAGAAATAGTTGCTGACTGTAAAGTCGGTGAGCATCTTCATCAACAAAATCCCATCAACTGCCCCACTTACTGATCATTTAATCCAAAGCCCAATCCAACCATTCCAACCATGCCCATCGCCCGTGACTCCGTATTAAGTAAGCCGTTTGAACATGACCAGCCGCCGTCCTTTTCGCCAAAACTCTCGTTTTTGCAATTATCCAAGATCCACATGTCCAACGAGCCAGAGCCACCGCCGCCCCCCTACGACGACCATTTTGAACGAGGGGACCCATCGGTAGGTGGATTGCCCAACTGGTCCCAGATTGTCATGCCCGATAACTCACAATCTCACTGCATGTGCAGTCTCCAACATGCCCAACAGGAGCCGTTCACGAGTGGTCAAAACCCTACTATCCTCGCTCTGCCTACGTTATGGCAATCTTTCTCTTCCCGTAACTTTCTCTCCTGTCTTGTTTCGCTCTGTATTCCGGACTGGACTAATGCTTTACCCATAGTTGTGGCATTCTGTGCTGTTTAAAAATGAAAGAAGTGAAATGCCTAAAGTGTCGTGCAGAGTACACCATAGGGGAGGGTGAAGAGGATCCCCAGAAAAAGGCCGAAAGAGGTACCTTATTCGTTCCTTGGAATCGGTCGCAGTGCATTTGATAGCAGCTGGGCTAAACAGCATCTCTCTCGTTCGCAGATCAAGCGTATCGTCTCGGTTTTGCCATTGGGGCTGTTGGACAGTTGGCACGAGGAGTAGGCGGCAGCGGCGGCGGCTAAAGGACCTCATTCAGTAGTTTTTTTTTGCATGTATCTGTTACATAAATGTTTTGTAGATAAATATCATCTGTCTAATAATATTGACAATACAATCGATGTTCTCCAGTCCACCAATTGAATTTGAACATGCATTGTAAGCACCTTCCTTGTTGCTTGATGAAACAGAGCTATTGCTTGCTATTAATGGTAATGCACACGACCTGTTTCCTCTCCTCCCGCCATGTTAACAAAACACTTGCTTAATGGGTCTTTTGCTTCTCACATCATTGTACACCTCCTCCGCACTCTTCACAAACGGTCGTTGGCGGTCCCTCAGCCGTTCTCGCAGCCATTCCAATGGGTCACTGTCACGGATGCTGAAAGGCTTTTCTCGCTCTTGGAGTGTAATTTCCAAGAGTGCCGTCACAGGATGAGGAGTCGCGCCGTAACGGCCACGGCCACGAAGATAGCGCTTGACGAGTTGGGATTGGAGAATTGCAGCGTTCTCCTTTACGTATGCATCAGCTGTGTAAAATGAGTAAGTCAATGGCTGTTGAACAGTGGGATCATGTGTCTTCTAACCAAAGGCACTAACCCACAAATGTTTTCTTCAAGTCGAGGCCCTGCTCCTTTGCTTTCACAATTGCCTCCTTTAAAGCTTCCTCCATCTTTTTGGTGATTGGCTTTCTCAACCATCGTATCTGGAGCAAGGCCTGATCCAGAGTCAAACCTTTGACCTGATCGCACAGGGTAACGAATCGTGTGTACTCCGTGTGCAAAAAGTTTTTCCGGAAACTGACAATCTTGTCACCACCATCCTCCCTCAGCCGCGCAAGGAAAGCTTGGTGAGGCTTCTTCGGACGTTTGGATGTCGAGTTTGGTTGAAGGACCGCATAGCGACCTTGCGCCACAGCTTCCTGTGCACGTCGGATACCCTCAAGCTGATCGGTCGTTTGCTGAAGGGTTTGCGGCGATTCATAAGCGCCATCTCGGAGTAAGTCTCGAATGCGAGGGTAAACGCTTGGGCGGAAGGATTGGGGAGCTTTGGAGGCGGTGGTGGGCGGCGTGGATGTACTTGTGACGTCTGAGGGCGATGGTACACTTGTTTGCAGCGCCCTGAAACGGCACCCACAGTTAGTTTCTTCACGTCTGGTTACTCGCCGGCACTCGCTTCACAAACGAGCCTTACCTGGCGCTGGTCGCATTGCGGACCACAAGGGCCGGTTGAACACGTCCTATTATGAAAAGCGAAGAACAGGATTCAGTCAGTCTAAGCTCCTCTATCTGCCAATGCAATAGAGGACCCCTACCAATCCGTCGTAGCATGTTGTTCAAGAATGTCAACGAGATCGTTGCAAGCGAAGCGTCCAACGACCTTGCATTTTCGGTATCCATAGCAACATCGGCATCGACCAGATCGAACGCTTTATGGACTTCACTGAATTCGGCCCACCCAATGACGACAGTTGAAAAACGCAAGAGCAATCCACTGCCGGATCGACTGGAGAAAAAACTAAAGTCTTCAGATACGCGAGAAACAGCGGAAAAGTACTCGGAATGTGTACGAGATCTGTTAAAATGGGCCGTGGAACAGGGCGCGGACGTGGATAACCTGGACTTTCGAGAAGAAGCGGGGGACGGTGGGTTTTTACCCAACCAAGAATGTGAAGTGTAGAGCTGATGCGGTGTGAAAACAGATCCCTTCAACGCTACTCGAACAGTTTATGCACGTCGTGCCATTTCATGTAATAGCCCTATCGCCCAGATCCCTGCCCACCTTATCCTTTCTGAAGCGACGGCACGGACGTCTCACCTGGGCGCTCGGCTTACGAAGCACTTTGTCGATAACCCCGCAACCTATTCTCTGCTGTCACAAAGTAATCGAGACCCTTACGCTCCAGGACTCATCCTTCTCTCTGCATATCTCATCTACGAGAGATATGAAAATCCAACGTCATTTTGGCGCCCATACCTGGAGGTTCTACCACGGCGGTATGAGCTACCCATCTGGTGGGAGGAAGAGGAGATTGATCGACTTTTGGGAGGAACTGGACTGAAGCACATTGTGAGAGAGCGAAGGAAAGTGTTGGAAACCGGCTTGAAGGTTCTGCAGGATGTCTGTGGTGATCTTTTTAAGAAACATAGCTTGACATGGTATGGAAATGGTCTTTCCCTGTCGAGAGATGGACAAGATATTTTGATTTCCTGCCATCTGATTTCTGAATCATTTTGGCTTGGAAACAGGGAAAATATGCTGTGGGCATATTCAGCAATTTCGAGCCGAGCATTTCCGCGTTCAAGAAATGACACATCCCGTGAAGACCGTGAGCATGCTGCCGAGGAGGCTGTAGAAGTTGCAGAGGGAACCAGTGAACTGTGCTTGTATCCAATCCTGGACATGGTCAGCATTGATTTCTCGCACAAGATAATCTACAGGTCGGTATCTGACTACTTTCGATCTCATTTAGCTAAATCATCGTCGTGGCGAGCGGATCGAATGGCAGATCGCTGACAAGACTAGCGTCACATTTGTCACACTGGATAACATTGAGGCTGGAGCGCAAATCTTCAATAACTATGGAGCGAAAGGGAATGAGGTATGCTGCAAATGTATGCCATTTACGCTCTCCACCTGACCTATCGTCAGAACCTGCTCGGGAACTACGGTTTTGTGCTGAGCCCGAATCCTGAAGACTACGTCAAGGTGGCCCTGAATATCTACGATTCGGACCCTTTGGCAGAGAAGAAGCGGGATATGCTCGCTTGCAAGACTCCAAATAGACTGGTTCATCTCCTGTTTGCAGGAGACGACGAAGTCGAGCTTCCCAAAGATCTGCTGACTGTAACACGCATCTTGGTCATGAACTCCTGTGAACTGAGTGCTACCTGGAAGGATGACGCTATCGTGGGAAGCAGGAATGAAATAGCAACTTTGGCGACCCTTTGGAGCTTGATGAGCAAAAAGCTTTCAGATCTGAGCAATGTGGTTGTTCAAGAGGATGGGAAGTACCGAACTAGGATGGTCAGGACATATCGTGACGGTGCGTATTAGTGGAATGGCCCACTGTCCAATATCATCTGTTGACGGTACGATCTCCCGACAGGCCAGAGTACGATCTTGAAGCATAACATGAACCTCTGTCGTACAACTCTCCAAAAGTTTTTTGAAAGAGCACGTGCAGACCATTACCGGGACGTTGTTCCGCCCACCTCCTCGAACGCACTTACTACGCTTCTGTTCCTCAACCTAACGAATGAACACCTTTCGCACCCTTTTATTAGTGCTGTTGACACTCTGCAGGCCTCATTACAGGAGGATTTTGCGGAAACCTTCGACGAGGACACACTTCTCTGTATTGCTCTGCTTTTCGAAAAGACAAACAAGGATAGTGTTTGGAAGCAGGTTTTGCCGGATCTTTTACAACCCCAGGAAGTAGAGTCCATCCTAGCAGAGCAAAAAGAGGATATTGTAGAGCACTTTGAAGATGTTGTAATGCCAGTTCTTCAGGTCGGAGGGGATCTGTGCAACTGGATACAGGTTAATGATTTCTTATGGGCTGCCGCTGTTTTGGGCAAGTATGGGGTAGCCTTGCCTGGTGATATGGTGGATGGTATCGAAGGGTTTGGACTGGTGATGGTACCGCAAAAGTTGTTACTTGGCTAGAATTAGATTTATATCTGCGTCCACGATGACAGAACTGTCTTTGTGGTCAGTCCCACTGTGCGAAGCCTTCGGCAGACCACCGCCCCGCATGTTCCAAGCTGAAAGGGCACCCGCGCGTAACCGCTTATTCTCATCGCAACTATGCTCAGCATCTGCTAGCAGTCCAGGTCCTTTTCTGAACAAATATCCTAATCATACTTTCGAAGCCCTTTTTCTACACTGCTGAACAATGTGCCAGATCCGCGAATGACCTTCGCCAGACTGTGAAAATGTGAGAAAGTTCGATGCAAACGATGCGATACTGCTATTATAGTGTCAAGAGTTATGATTACTGTAGATTCCCACAGCTACTTGGCTAACTGGCAATTGGGAAGAGTAACTTTCGCTATGCGAAGCGGCGCTCCCTGGCATTGGTCTTTCGCTTATATTTCGCAAAGGCACGTCCGGAGGTTACGGTCATCGATAGAGGCCATCCGATGGTTGTTGTGTGGTGGATTGTAGATGTTGAATAATAAAATGCAACTGATCTAGTCACGTGTGCTGGGTGACATAATCACTGGATCTTTTCAAGTGCCGCTTTGGAAGGAAACTGCTGGCCAAAGTCCCCAATCAAGGAACTGTAGCTCTCACATCTTGCAATTGGCGCTTATGTATCGCAGCTCTCAGGATTCCATCCAACGATGATGGCCGAAAGAGTCATTTTATATGAAAACAATTGCCCGGTCTACTGTGCTGTAGGCCCGGCATGGACTGAGGACAGCTAACGATGTTGTTCCCAATTTTAGACCCTCAGGTTGTGGCCCGAGATTTATACAGACATTATAGACCAGTATGGACAAGGACTAGACGGTGTTAAACCGGCCTAAAAATAATAATATTCGCTACAATCGTTGGGGTTGGGAAGGGTTGAGTTCCTTTGTCGATTTACTTGGTGGTGTTGGGCAGTTGTTTTTGCTTGGGGTGTTTGTTGTGACAGAACTGGTCAGACAGTCTCTTCGGACATTTTTTTATTTGCCTTTGTATTGGTTTTGTTGGACTTGAGTATCGATCTGGTGTTTCTTGGTGGGTCAAGCGCGAGGCAGGTGGCCATTTTGACATATCCTCCAACAAGCTCCCCTTTGTACGCAAATCTTACACACAAGATCTCACATTAAGAGAACGTTATACACCGCCATGCCCTTCTAGTCGAACATATAAAGGAAATAGGACGCTCAAACCGTACATATTCACCGATACAGCCGGTGGAGGTCGACGGGGCTTTTTTTAACAGCAAGATCTTGGGTTGTTTCTTTTTTTGGGAGCTTACGAGACCGGACGATATACTGTTTTTTGACATTCCGAGGCTGAAAACCTCCTTTCAGACTTTGTAAGAGTATTTGTGACGTAGGTGACCGTCAAAAGAGGAACTCGGTCCGTAGCTACTTCGGTTCTATATCGCCAGTTTTTCAAAACCACGATACTCAGTGTTCCACATCAAGATTCGCAACCTGGACTCTCCTTCACACATTCAAGGTTCACGACCGCCATACACCACCCATCTTGTCTCACTGCTCAAAAATGGAAGTAGAAACTCAATCCCACAGCAGCAGCAGCACATCCCACCACACCCGTCCCCGTTACCGCCGTCATCATCCCGCACCCACCAGCAGCACTCTACCTCACCGCCCCATCTCATCTCCAACACCATTCTGGAACTACCTTCGTCCCCCGCCGCCTCCCTACTTTTCAGGCGACCCATACCCATACGCTCCGTTATCCCGACATGCACCCTACTCTCGGCGTCCTCAGCACCGTCGCATGATGCCAACAGATCTCGTAGACGATGCACATCCATTTTGGCGATACACGCATTATCCTTATCCGTCCCTCTCTCGGTCACTGTACTCGAAATTCCCGGATGGCGGTGTCGGATTGACAGATATGAGAGACGGCGTTGCTGCTCCAAAAGAGTTAAAATTGGCCGATGAGTGCAATGGTGTTTTAACCTATCTGAATCCAGAGGTATGTTTCTATGACAGATAAACTTTCGTAAAACGTATTAACGAATGCCCCTTTGTCTTTTTAAAAGACCAACTTTTATTACGCTTTTTGCCGGAATGACGATAACCCGCCCGTATTCCTTCCCGCCCTTTCCCGAATTTTTTACAATACCAGCATCCCAGGAGACAGAATCATTGTGGCGGAGGATGCAGAGTTTATAATGAAGAACGCAGCGACGAGCGGCGTTGGAGGTGGGAATCGAGTTGGAGCAACCGTGGGATTGTCAAGTGCTGCTCAGTCATCATCTTCTTTGAGGAAGAAAAGGAGAAGGAGTGATGAGGAGGGGCAACAAAGAGCGGAGAAGAAGAGAAAGTAGCAAGTTCGGCTTTAGTTTGGGTGATTGTTTGGAATTTTTTTTTTTTTGTTGATGATGGGATTTTGGGTCGTTTGGATGACGACTTTATGCTTTGAACCTGCCCGCGCCTTGTTTCTGAGACGTCAGAGTGTCCTCAAGCTGCAATGCAGCCGATACCCCAGGTTAATTTCTTCAATAAAGGACATTCGGTCACTGAAGGCAGTATCATGGCTCCATTTTCTTGTCATCCAAACAAATGTCTTTTCGGCATTTGGTGACCGTGACCTTTGCGTCTCAGTTGTCAATTTGAAGAATTACAGCTGAAAGTATCATATTTGAAAAGGCAATGAACATATATATATATAAACAGGTAATGACAAAGTACATAATAGAAAACTACATCAAATCGACGGATTCATTGTCCGAGTCCTGCTTGTCATGCTTCACAGTGCTAATAGGCTGTAAAGAATCCTTGGTGTTCGAAATAGGTTCACTGCCTTCGCCGCTGCTTGATACATGGTCACTCCCTGGGTCGCCTGTTTGGGAATCAAGTGGGGTTAGTTTGAGTGCATGCGCCGTGTCCATTACAACTGGGATGGAGTGGGAAGCTTCAAGAGGAGATGCGTCCCGCCCCTCATCCATCTCATTTCTTTTCCGCTTCTTGGAATCCCTTGTTTCCGCGGGCGGCTTTAGCTCGTCGTCACGCAAAAGTATAAGCATGTCGCAGGCCATGTTCAGGATCCGTGCTACACGAGGGGCGGAATACTACTTATGTGGTGATCATATGTTACCCATGTTGAAACTTCTGCGCATACCACGCTGATCTGCGATCTCACTCCGCAAAATCTGCATGGTCCGGTCGATCTGATCGAGCTGCATAGAAGAGACAGGTTTGACGAGCTGCATATTTGGAGAAGATTACTGTGATTTACCTCCATGTGCTGTCGTAGAGTGAACCGATTGTCTTGCTCGATTCCTGTAAGCAGCCAATCAGACCATCCATTGCCTGCAAATGCATTGATCCAACACGTACCATCGAGTGCCTGACGGGTGGCCTGCTCCACTTCTTGTGTCTGATACAGAAATGTGATCAAGAATCCGCTATTCACCAGCATAAGCACATCTCCTACAATTGTCGTGCAGATTGTCTTCCAATCCCTTGCTTCAATGGCAGGAGTGCTTGGCCGCTGGTATTGCGTGCCACTTGGCAACAATGATACACTCTGAGCAAGACTTTTCTCCTTTGACAATTGCTCAAACTGCCCAGCATACATATTGGCACGCTGTACCGCGTTTTGGGACAATTCTGCAGGCATTGTCATATTCAGAGGAAATAGAACATCAGATGTGAGCCACCGATTATCGTACCAAACAGGTTCTGCGGAACTGGTGGTTGCATCGTTGATCCAGAGTGGATCCTCTTATTCGACACCATGCCCCCGCGGGATTCATCTGTCCGCCGTTGCTCACCGCCTCGTGTTGCTAAGGGGATGGATCAGTGAGATGTCGTCCGGAACATTATAGTGCAACGAAAGGAACCATAGGATGCTATCGGTACGTAAGCTCTACCGGCAGCTGGACAAGGGTTGGGCCACGACGCGAAGTACATCGCAGGCCATATCCAGGGGCTTCCCGTGTACTTACCTAACTCATCCGATTCGCTATTGCCTGTGCGTTCACGGCGCTGCTCTGGTTGCTCTGAGAGGAGAGCAACCAGGGTGAATAAAGGTGCTCAGGGGACACAGAGTCTGGTGACGTCTTAATGCAAGAATATAGTCGCTTTCCGGGATACCCACCATGTGCGGCTAACGTTTGCGGCGTCGCAGGAGGGCTGTGATACGCACCGTCCTCTACAACTGAAGGTCAACCAGGTCAAAGTCATTTACTGCCAATCGTCAGCGAGTACAACCTCGAGAAGACATTGGAGTGCTTCTAGACCAACGACGCTGCGGTGTAATTGGCCGCTGTGGCAATGGATCACGCGAAACTTCCATATCTAGAAGATGTCAGGCGTAAAACTGATGAGCGTAAAACATAGAGGACCTCCAGGAACCAACCAGTTGGAGACACCCCGTCATCATCTTTCGGCTTAGAACCACAATGCCCATCTTCTCCTAAAGATGGACTAAGAAGTGCAGAACTTTGAGACCGTTCCCTTATCACAGTTTTGGCTTGGTGATGTTCAACTCCTGACGTCACAGTCGCGTGCGCAGCGGCAGCGTTAGAAGTAGAACTGGGGTTCGGGGATATTTGCCTCTCCGTTGTGGCTGAGGCTGATACCAAGGGCGGGGCATGCATTAAAGGCAGGTTCCGAACAGATGGCCTCTGAATGGAGCCTAAAATAGCTCTAGGTACAGCTGGCGTCAAGATACGCTTGATACCCTTCGGCTGATCAAGGTATAAGCAAAGCAGTGCTTCAGTTCTGAATTAGGCTTAACGAAGCCCTAACATGCGGCAATACCTTCTCTTCACCGCATATTTCAGCTGAGGTATTCTTTTGCCTCACACCCACTGCGTCGCCCATCGAGATTGTCGAGGCACTTGATGAGATATTCATCCGATCATTATCAGATAGCACTTCTTTCCCCTCTGCTGCTGCATCAATCTTTTTTGCTGTGACCCGTTCAGGTCCCGTTCTATCTGCAGATCCACGCCGCACAAAAGGACTTCTTTGATCAAGTCGGGGCAGTACGGCTTTCGGTAGCATCGGGTGGTTGATTGCGTTTCGTAGTTTCTCTAAACGTGGTAAAGTCAAAACACGGGCCTGAGAATATTCAATTCAATGGCATTGCGTGCCTAATTTCGGCAGCCTGCTCCCTGGAGCATCTTTCAGCGTCTACCGATCCATCAGTGGTGGGTCAAACAAGCACTGCATATCATACCAGTAGGATTATGATTCATACCGGCTCATCTCTTCGTTCTGACACAATCACATGCGCCAGCTACAAAGCAACAATATTGATAAATCTCTTGGCTCATTATCGTGCTTGTCCATTACTGCCAAATCCCTCACTTTTGGGTTTAAGGAAGGCGAGGAAGAGGATGTCTGACTCGACACGACGTTTGGCATATTAGCAGATTGACCCTGAGTAATAGTCGTTTGCGGCTGCAACATGGTTGACGTAGCTAAAGAATTGGGTCTCTCAACGGGAGGGCTGTCGGTACAATCATATGCTCCTGTGGCACCATGTGCCAACTGTCGAAAAGGCGCCCGTCCTCCCTTTGATCTTAATAATGGAACAAACTTCCTAGTGCTAGAAGGTATTGTTGCTGCACTTCTGTCCTCACTATCCGCCTTGCTTACGGACAGCAGTTCTTGGGATGCGGACGAGGGATGCTGATCTCCTGTGCCCGACAGTTGCATTGGTCAGCCACTATCTATGAGATATCCGGCTCAACTTGCCAGAGACCCACCCTGCTCCAGCAAGGAAGTAGTGCGCACAGAAGCCGGTCGCAGACCTGGCCGTAGCAACGGCCTGAAAACAGGCGCTGCCATGTTACGAACATTTGGTTTGAAGAGCTGCTGGAAATTGGCTTCGTCTGATCCCGAATTCTTTCCAAGAATATCATCAATGTTAAAGAAGGGCCCGTTGGACGTAGAAGACGTGTTCTCGGAACTAGCCGCGTCCGGCATGCTGGGCATCGTCGTTGCAGCGGTGATGGGAATTATTCGCATGAAGGAGGCCGGTCAAGACGGGATGATCACCTAATCTTCATTAAGGTTACCATGGCGCCGACGAACGCGTCACTTACAGGACTCGTATGCTGCAAAACGTAAAAGGCATCTTGCGTCCATCCAACTTTCTTCCTTTCGGTTTATCAGACGAGAACAGCAAGCGTCATGGGTGTGGAGTCGATGGACCTGGACCGCGATGTGACGGTGTTTCTGAGAGAGCAGCGGGCAAAAGCTCCCCAAGAGTTGAGAGAGTTTTACACAACATTTGAAGATTTGTATGACAAAAAGTAAGCCTCTTGAATGAAACGAATAATACCTGACGTATCTGAGTTAAAGGTGATATTTCTGGTCTTTCTTGTCGCTGAATGCCCGATTTTTTTCGTTTTTCAGACTATGGCATCAACTGACGAATGCGCTGGAGAGTTTTGTCGCGCAGCCGTCCTCTGGGTCTCACCTATTTGCTCTGTACGAGAACTTCATCGTGGACTGGGAGAAGAAAATGAACCAGCTTAGTCTGGTTAGATTTGTTACAAGAGCCAGCAGAGAGCTCCGAGGTAATACTTTTATGAGCGTGAAATTGAATATGGGCCATATTAAACACAATATCTTTCAGATCCCAAGGAATCGCTGGCTTTTTTGACCAACCAAGCAGACAAGCTCAAGGAAAAGGCTGATTCCAAGGACGCTTATGTACTGGCCACCATGGAAGCGGCTCATTACAAGCGTGCGATAGGAGATTTGGAGGGTTGTAAGGCGGCGATTGACGAGTGTGAGAAGATATTGGACGAACTTCCTGTGACCGAGCCAGTGATAAATGCGAGCTTCTATCGTGTTGCTGCTGATTATTACAAGGTTAATTGCTGGATATTGAATCAATCTTTTGTAAGAAAGCCTCATCCAAGTTGCACCACAGGCGAAAATGGCCTACCCGCAATACTACCACAATGCCTTACTATTCCTGTCATCGGTCTCCTTGGAGGAGTTGAGCGATTTGGAGAAACAGGAGCGCGCATATGAGCTTGCAATTAGTGCACTTCTTGGCGAAGGCGTGTACAACTTTGGGGAATTGGTAACTATCTATTGTAGTGGGTCATTTGTTCGTAGGAGACTCATCCATGTGTCACAGCTTCAGCATCAAATCTTGGATAGTCTGAAGGGCACAGGATATGACTGGCTCAGGCACATGCTCTTCTGCTTCAATGGTGGCGATATGGACGCTTTCGAGAAAATCAGCCGAAGTGGTGACTTTTTGAAGCAGGTAGGAGCAATCTCGCTCAAATGATTAGAATCACATCTCATGTCGCTACTGCTACCGGTTTACAGCCCCTTCTTGTCAGTTCGATTCCATTCCTCCGCCAAAAACTGTGCTTGATGACCCTTATTGAGGCCGTATTCAAGCGGAGTAAGGAGTCCCGGGGACGCATGACTTTTGCCGCGATCTCACAAGAAACCAGGGTGTTAATTGAGGAGGTGGAACATCTGGTGATGAAAGCATTGAGTTTAGGGTTGATCAAAGGAAAGATTGATGAGGTGGATCAGATCGTGATGGTATGTCTCCTAACCGATGCCTCTTTCATTTGAACATTCATGGCTGATTTAGTATGCCTCGTAGGTAACCTGGGTGCAGCCACGAGTTTTGGACAAGACTCAAATTGGAACCATCCGCGACAGGCTTGGGGAATGGTCAGATAAAGTGAAGGAGCGAGTCATATCACTCGAGGGGGCGGAGGGTGCAGCAGAGGTGTTTTTCCAATGATGGTTGAAACTCAAAAAAATACAAATGACGTTGCAACTATTACGATTTTTCGTGAGTCCGTAGATACATTAATTTATTGCTTCCCGGCAGCGGTAACCACAGCCTCATACACCTCAAGTTCAATTTTGGCGGCGACTCGTTCTGCTTCGGTGGCAGCCGAGGTTGAGCGGCGAGTAGCGTCATCGAGAGCGCGGCGGGCAGCCTGGCATGTTTAGTATGTATTTAGCTGACCCGTCTCCATCAATAGATGCACCGCGAGCTTACGTCGACATCAAGTTCCTCAATAGGGAAGGCCTCCAAAGCGTTGATGTTGAGGGTGGAATCAGGGTTGATAATGGCAAAGCCTCCGCTTGCTGCGATGGATTCACGCAAGTTAACTTCTGCCTTGGACTACAATGTGCCGGCAGTACTTACCAAAGAACTTCTTGGGCTTGTCCGTAGCGGAGAAGATTTCAATTACTCCAGGTTTCAGCTGAGCAACCGTGGGTACGTGTTCCCCGAGGATACCCATGTCGCCCTCAGATGAGGACAAGTTTACTTGAGTGACTTCAACGTCGCTGAGGAGGGTCTATGTATCGTAATTGGAGGATTGCAGTTAGCGCAGGTCTATCCTCCTGAAATTTCTCATTCGATTGGGGGCATAACACTATTACGGCGCTCGGGCAGAAATATGTGGGCGAATGCATCCCAAATTCGGGGATCTGTTTGCTTTCGCCTCCTGTTTCTCATGCCCATCATACCAAATGAATTCAATTGTCAGCACTGCGTCCTAAACACACCTGATGAGGGAGGGTAAAGCTCAAGCGGAGCTTGCCAGCGCCGGACGCTTCGGTTGCATAGGCACGCGCTACGAGAACGGTAAGTACATGAGGATACTCATCTCACCCCTTCCACAGTCAGTTTTGACCTACCCAGAGGGTATCGGGCAATGGGACGGACCGCGCGAGTCGCTAAACGGAACATGTTTCGTTGTGGGATTTTGCTACGGGGAAGGTCGAGGTCGGCAAGAGACCTCAAGGCCGAGTGTCCAGTTGCCATGGTTATCCCGAGATGGCTCAACTGTGGCTTATGTTCCTGTTATGGAAAGGAGGTGATCGACCCCTGGCCTTCCTCAGCTTTTGAGCATGTTTCGTCGTACCATCCCACTCGGTTCGCTTCGCATCTCATCTCATCAAACACTCTTGACACGTCGTTTTCACGCTTCTGCTTTCAACATGGTATGTTTGTGGCAATTAGCCTTTCACATTCTATATGGTGCACGCCAAATTCCTTTTGATGGTACTCAGATGGCTTGCTTTAGGGTGTCACTAAGGAAACCATCAAGGCCGGCGACGGTGTCAACTTCCCCAAGAAGGTATGAAGATGATAGCTTTATGCGGTTGAAGCACACTTGCGCTTGTTGTTCGTAATTTAACGCCAAGATCTTAATAGGGTGACTCGGTCACCATGCACTATGTTGGTACTGTAAGTATCACTGCATTGTCCTTGTCCTTTGACTAAAGAGGACGCTCTTACATTGCTCTGGTATTCAGTTCACAAAGGATGGTGGCAAGTTTGACAGCAGCAGGGACCGTGGCCAGCCTTTCGTCACCAAGGTATCGTCAACTGTGACTTGGAATTTATCACGTAATCTGCCACTGCTGATAATATGGATCTGTTGTTCATAGATTGGCGTCGGACAGGTTATTAAGGGTAATTCATTCGCATCATCTCATTGCCTGCATTGAGATCGGGACTGACCAGTAATTGTGCAGGCTGGGACGAAGGTGTGCCTCAAATGTCTCTTGGTGAAAAGGCAAAGCTGTTTATCACATACGACTACGCATACGGTGAAAGGTGTGCCATTGATCATTGATCCTCTTTGCATATTGCAGTCGCTAATGGCTTTGCTTTGATATTGTGTACAGGGGTCACCCCGCAGGTAAAGCCGCTGAGCGCATCGTAAAATCGCAATGCCAAATTTACTCACAGTTCATGTACTTGTAGGTATCCCCCCTAAGGCCGACTTGACTTTCGAGGTGGAATTGTTGAAGATCAACTAAGGGCTTGATATTTTAGCCAGTTCAATCCAATAAAGCTTTTGGAGTAGGCTTCTCTCGAGCCATGATTTTTGACAGCTCATGCATCAACAATTGGCGGAACGCCCATCCTTCGTACTAGCTAACCTTTATATACAAATGCTAGAATGACATATTTACAGTTGCTCAGTCGGGTTAGGTCTCAAAATACTTCGCTACATTGCAAGGCTGCTACGTGAAACCTGCAGGGTCAGTTGTCAACGAGGGCTCGAGTTCCGGGTCCAGTCCTCCATAAACATATCCGTTTGCTTTATCAATGATTCGGGCGAGTCTCAGGACACTCTTCGTGTCTTCGATAGACAGAGTGTAGAAACCAACCAGACTAAACTCTTTCACAAGCTCGCATAAAGCTTCGTTTAGCTTCACGTACTTTTTTCCAAACGCGTCTTCATTCAGTTGTTGCAATAGATACGACAAGTCTTGAACTTCAGTATAAAAGTCGAGATTGAAAGCTGTAATTGCAAGCGGGATGCCGCAGATTAGCTACAAAACAGCTTCGACACCAATCCGGTAGTCATACCCAGCGTCCCGTACGATTCAATGAGATCCACCTTGGACAGCACATTGACGTGAGGTAACTCTAACTGTATCATTGTCTTCAAGGATAAGAGCAATAAGGCAACATATTTGGAAGGATCTACGCAATAATGCGCGTCCACAAGGTGCGTGCAACACAGCCGGTAATCGAGCTTTTGGAGACGATCCACAATGTTTTTGACCGAGTTATGATGTGTAAAGAGCTCTACTTGCCCCGGGCAGTCAAAGAGGATGTACTTTTCTTTTTGCCAGGATTAGACAATGTCATGCTTTGAGACTATCTTCTTGTTGATCTACCTTTGACATCCTCCAACCGTTTCTCCAACCAGTCCATATTCTTTTCCAGGTATTCCATGCAATATATCAAGCCTGCGAGCAAGAGATATCTGAGATGAAAATCAACCTTATTGAGAAAGAGTAACTACACGTACCTCCGTTTGGTCCCAACCCAAATTCCTTCATGGCATCCTCCAACGTGATCAGCTCCGATATGTTGATATCTGGGGTATATCTAAAGCTGCATCAGAGTTGCTTGCACATCCAAACGCATGAAGAGTTTGGACACGTACGGCATTCCCTCATTTGCAGGATCCAAGTTGACAATGGCAACGTCCCTGCATGAAGAATCTCATTAGGACAGGAAGGCCAAATTGATCACTATCTGAAGCCGGACATTTACCTATTCGTTGCAGCATAGAATTGAGACATGCCGTGACAATACGTGGTCTTTCCAGACCCCGGTGGCCCGACGACAATCTGTCCAAAAGGCATCTGTCCCTCAAGCAAAAAACAAGAACGGACAAAGACTCGTCGCGGACGAGGGTCGATCTGTGCCACTGCCATCTGTCAAAGGGTCCGCCGATGAGTCAGAATTTGCCCGATCTTTGTCGGGTTCAGGATTTTTGCGAGATCCTCACGACCGACATCACACTTCAAATTTCCTTGGTTCATGTTGACAATCTCGCACTGATGATTACTCTTGTTCCTCTGGGAAATACTTTCCTGCTGTAAGTGATCATTAATGCAGTTGATTCACTTGGCTGCGGAGAGCGTTCAGCGTTTTTGAAGTGGCAATGTCTCTCATTTGTAGCAGAGGAGCAACCCTGGTGTAATCCGAGTGTGTCTTCAACAAATCTAGTTATCAAGTGGATGGATTGGGTATAGAAAACTCCGCTGAACAACTGACTTTTAAAGCTTAGCCGGTGATGGCTACGTCGGAGGTTGTTCCGCCAACGGGTCGGCCGCTGTTGGAGATGGTGAACATGTCCAATAAACTCGTTTTGGATAGCGTCTATCTCAATGGGCTTCATGCACTACGGCGTTTTGAGCTTCGAAATATTTCTTCTTCGTACCTTACGGTGAAGCTGCGTTCGACGCTCGGTTCGCAGATTGCATTTCAACTGACCAACGAGAATCTTCCCGACCGCGACCGACGGCCAGAGAGTCGCAGATTATCTCAGCCGGATCCATCGTCGACGTCTTTGTCCTCCTCTGTAGAATCTGGCCTTTCGGATCTGGATCCGTTCTTCAACTATCAAACGTCACCAGAGCCGGACACACCTAGTGAGGCATCTGCGGACACACCCATTCCAATAACCACAAATACGGTAGCCGCGGCGGCAATTGGTGTATTTGGGACTGAACAGAATGCATTACACGGGCATCAATTTAATCAGTTATTCAATTATGTCAATCACATCGATGAACTCTGTATTGCACCGGGAGAAGCAACAAAAGTAATCTTGGCCTTTTTGCCGGAAGCGCCTGGCAGGGGACGGCGGTCGGGTGATCGTGATGATGCAGGAGGAGACAAATCTGCAAAGATTGAAGGGCTCGCCGGTGAAGACGAGACATATGACTTCTTCGAGGTTAATGGCTTGCTTTTCTTTTTCGCCTACCGAATCGATGGGAAGTTCCCAGAACAAAGAAATGGAACTTTGGATGTTACCGCATCGGTTGCTCCGATACTTCAAGAATGGGACACAAAGGGTCCAAAGATAGGTACTGACGGCGATCGTAGCAGTGGGATTGAAAGCTGGAAGGTGAAGGGCGGAAGTGCCCTTGGTCGAGATGAAGATGAGATTTTGACACCAAACACTCAATCACCGCCGGACTACCAGGTAAGCGCACGTCTCGATGATAAGGCGTGGGGTCAGCTTGGCATAATGCGCTCTGACTTAGGTTACTGTGAAATTTCGTTCAAGAGTTTGCCGCTCAGTGCTCTGGACTGACATTGGAGATACTGGCCTAATGTTTGACGATTGCGTTGTTGGAGGAACATACTTTAAGGATTTCACCGTTTGGAACAGATCCGAAATCGACTTGTATTGGATCCTAAACACAGTCGACTTGTCTAACCGACAAGATAACACTTGGCTAAAGTTGTCTGATTACGACACGGGGGAGCCACTAGATGGAAAGCCGATCCCTTCTTACTCTCCGCGCAGAATTCGCATCACATTCCGTCCCCGAGAAGTGGGCGAATTTAATTATGATCTTCAATTGGAGAACGCGAATGATTCTGGAAATACTGTGCAAGCTACAATTCATGCAGTAGTGCGATCCGCTCTGCGTGAAGAGTCTCTGGTCGTCAGCAGCGGCACGGTATTAGATTTTGGTGATTGTTCTTCAGGTCAATGGGCGAAGCAACGTCTTGTGCTGCGCAATATATCAGAAATTCCTTTAGAAATTGGCTTCTCCGCTGATACTGCAGGAGTCGTGTTCCAGCGGGAAGAATCGGCGCATGAGAATGCGCACGAAGGACGACCGACGCTGACGGAAGTAGGCGATCGCTTAATAGATAGGCTCCGTGAGCTTTCCTTCGTGTCAACAACCAACAGTGACATCTCCCACCCACCCAGCGCTGTGAGTTCCAGACCATCGTCGCCTTCCTTACTGAGTAGAGAAGAAAGTGAAACAGAAGACATGGAGCATTCATCGGCTGATCTCGCCGCCTTGATTGCAGCGACATCGAAGCTTACGGCTGAGCAGGACGATGATGCAGAGTCAGAAGATTCGGATTATTTGGAACGAACGGTTGGCGAGGGGGTTGGTAGCAATGGGGAGGAGTACCGACGAATTGAAGAGATGGCGCTTCGACCCGGGAGTGAGCGAATAATCGAAGTGTGTTTTCGACCAGAGAAAGACGCGCTGACCCCAGACTATCGAGGTGGTCGACTCACCAAGCGAAATTTCCGCATTACGCTGGCTTACGCTCATCCTGGGGCACTGGTGAAAGAAAAGAAGATCATTCAATGCAAGGCCAGAGCATGTACATCATTTATCGAAGTCTCTCCAACCGTTGTCAACTTTGGAGACACAGATGTAGGCACGTTGAATTCCTTGCCAATTCAGATTACAAATTGCTCCGATTTGACCGCCCGCGTGGAACTACGCTTTGTGTCAAAAGTTCTCAACACATTTCGAGACGAAATCACTATTCCACCGAAGCAGTCGATAGAGGCAAAGATTGATATATATCCACGAAAGGTTAACCCAGATTACCGGAAACAAATTACGGTGGTCAATCTTCTCAATAGAGATAATACCCAAAGCGTTGAGGTTCGATCCACTAACATCGACAAACACCGGGTTACTTTCCATTCCCTCTTCTATCGTGTACTGACACCAACATCCACAAATTTCATTGATTTTGGGGCAGTCGTACTCAATTCACCCGTAGTAAGAACCTTCACCATAGCCAATATCTCAAAGAAGCGCCTCGTGTTGGAAATCGAAGCATCTTTACCCGAAGACATAAAAATATACACAAAGGGCCGGCCCATATCCCCAGCTCATGAGCTCCCATCCTCTAGTACTGTGGAGAGACGAGAGCGTCTACTGGAATCGATAAGTGATCGGCGTAAACTGCCGCGGACAGAAGGCTCAAATGGAGCAATTTCTGCACCCGCGAAGGCGATTCCCGCCGCACTTGCCAAGCTCCGGTCATTTGGCGATGTTTCGGAAGCCACTGGAACAACAGACTACCTGGACCTAGCGTCATCCATTGTCAGCAAGGACGGGCGTCGTTCCCCACGTCGGCGCACTCATGTGCAACATTTTCCCGTGAGCACTCTGAAACATTTACGTACCCAATTCCGCGATCGTAAGCCGAACTCAGTTGAAGAGGACACGTCAGGGCGACCGAGTTCGAGTGGCGTGAAGAACAGTTCGGGTTTAGGAGACGATGCATCCAATGAGTCTGCAAGAATAGTCGGGGAGGAAGAGGAGGTCGAGCAAGACATGACAAAGTCCATTGATTTAGCCTTGCGGAATGTCGAACAAGCCGAAAAGCGTTCGACAACAATGCTGAATAATGTGCTGGAATCATCCAAGATTGCAATTGACGTATTACTGACAATGCTGGAGAGTGCAACAGGTAAATTTCCTCCCATGTTCCCAAAACCCTCTGGAGAAGAGAAATACGTCCGCGCGCGACTTCACCTCAACCGGGAGCTGGAGAATGCAATACAGGACGGACGGCTAGTTCCAGTCTCCCTAGTGGAAGTGCCTGCTGAGAGTGACATGCCTATAGTGCTGGTCTTTACTCCGGCTGCCGGAAATAAGCCCTATGTTCAGGTACGTTCAAACTCACATACATCACCGCAATACCTGCGGACTAATTAATATTGCAATTATTCTGCTAGGGGGCGCCACGCAAGCAGGATGCTCGAGTGTTTTTGAGGCTTGTGGAGTTCGATAGGGAACTTCAACAACCCCAGTTTGAACAATTGCTACAAGGCCATCAAGATCTCATCCCCGTCAGAGAGTTGATGTTGCGTTCATCGCTTTGTCGCTCCTTCATGGATCTCAATCAGAAAAACATTAATTTCGGGCCGCTCAACAAAAACGAACATCGCACCAAAACTATTGTTATACGTAATAATTCGGAAGCACCTCTGCTATATGCGATACGCAAGTCTGGGTCTATTGCCTCCGGAGACCTGATCCTTGGTGAATCACGAATGGGCGTGGTACGTGGTTACGGCAAGCGCGAGATCGAATTCATGTTTGATCCTTCCCTTGCGGGGCCTTTTCATGAGCGTCTAACCATTGAGAATGTCCAAGATCGTGAAAATGATCAGGTCATTTCTGTGAAAGCCAACATCCGCAAGCCCGCGCCTTTCTTTATCGAAAATCTGTCAATTGACTTTGGTCCATGCCTTATCAACGAACTGTGTTCTACGGTCCAGCATATAGTAATTTCAAACACCAGTTTCAAGAAAATCCGCACATTCGAGGTGCGAATTGATCCTCAGGAACTCCAATTCGTAGGGTGTGTTGGGACATTCTCTTTTGATGTCGTTGATAACGAGGACGATTATGTTGAAGACGTGAGCGCACCGGATGGCGAACCTAGACGACGTCGGCGCCGACCTATCATGATGCTCTCAAAGGAGATGGAGGAGGAAATCGAGCATTTGGAGCAGAAACTGAAGATAGCCAGGCGAAAGGGCCGAAAGGACAAGGTGAAAAAGCTGATCGAGAAGTTGGACAAACTACGTGCTGGTATTGTGGTCGACGAATATGCTGAAGAAGAGCCCACGAACGACCAGAAAAAGGATTTGCAAAGCTCTCTGTTACCTGCTGCTGCAGATGTAGAGAATGGTGAGACAACGCCGAATACCCAGATAGACCAAGACTATAACTCGGAACCAGTTGGAAATGAGCGTGCGAGAATTAATTCTGTTGCTGAGAGTGTGGACATTAGTCGCCGTCCGTCCCAGCTTGCTTTCAGTCCTGAAAGTCAGCCGACAGCCGATCAGCAGCAGCCAGGTGCACTCACCCTCCCAGCGTCGTTGAAGGTCAAACGGACAGAGCACAGTATTGTGTTCGCGATTGAGCCGCGGACAATCCGAGCAGTTGCTGTCTTCTTCCGTCCCATTGAAAAGGCGTCGGAATCGGCAGTGACGGTATCAGGGTTTAGGGCCTCGACCGCAGATGACTCGTTGGAAACGACACTGTCTAGCAGCGTGTCCTCCCTGGAAGGGAAGGGCGAAGACCCGGGGTTTTCTGGACGGTCGTCACCACCTCTGCCAAATACTGCCGAGAGTACACATGGACTCCGTGAAACCTGTTCTGGCGTGCTCTATGTCCACGAGCATAAGAATACGGACCTCACCAAAGAGGTTTCTTTCAGTGCGCTTGTATGCTACGATCATCGTTCGTATCTGGAAGCACTTGCTGAGCAACAAGAGAGACAACCCACTGCCGTACGTGATATGTTGCAGCCAGGGGAAGCCGCAACCGTCTCCGCATTCTTGGGAGATCGTTCTGCAGATGGTCGTTCTCCTTCTCCGCGCCTCTTTCCAGGCGTTCTTCAGTCTTCACCAAGTTCACCACCGAACTTTGTGGAATCCAATGTGCAAGGACTTCCAGCAAGCCCTCCAGCTGGGCCTCCCTCACCCACCCGCGAGCCAGGACCGGAGCCCAATGTCTCTGCCGTTGAACCGGTGCCGACTCTGATCGTAGAAGTTCCGCAGATTGAACTCGGAAACATCAAAATTATGGAACGCAAGGATTGTTATTTTACTATGACAAATCGAAGCCCAGCGGCACTTCCTTTCACAATCATTCCACCTGAAGGTCCCTCAATTCTCAACTTCAACTACGTACATGGCACTCTTTCCCAGAAAGAAACCCGCCGGGTAGAGCTCTGGATCACACCAACAATAGTTGGTCGCCAATCGCAGACATTTTCTATTATGAATCAGATCACAGGACAACCCGCAACTGTGACCTTCTTATTTTATGCTATAGCACCGGTCTACTTGCGCTTCCCCTCCCTGCCAGATCCGTTGGCGACATCGGCAGAGCTGGATTTAGGCTACTGCTATCTCGACGGCCAAAAGAAATATGCGCGAATAGTCCCGTATGAAGTCGAGAATGTGTCTGACGAGGATCTGTACATTAGCGCAGTGTCAAATTTGGCACAACAATGTTTCATTTTTACCGACCCGAATTCGGAAATTCCGGCAACGGAAGTCCCGCTGGCGCCGCAGAAACGCTTAACCGTGTACATAGCGCTGCAGCCGTATTTGGGTGGGACCTCGGCAAGGCGAACGGGTCCCGGTGCAGCCAAGGGTCAGAGTGTCGCATCCGTCACGGCTGGTGGGTCCGGTACCGCGACCGGAAACTCATCGGGCGATGACTATCGGACACTCGTAGGAGGTATCAAGTTCCTCGTTTTGAAGAAGGAACAGTTTTCACCTGCTTCTGTTGATCGCGTAACCCAAAATGAGGCCGGAGCTCCAGTAGACACACTGTATCATCTCACGACGTACACCGCCAAATTTAGCGCGGTCATTGGTCAGTCTCTTTTGAGTGTCTCTGATGCTCTCATCGACCTGGGCTGCACTTCCGAGATAGGGGGAATATTCAGCGGAAGTTTCTACGTATGCAACTTATCTAGCAAGCTACCCTTAGAGTTTCGTCTCCAGTCTTCCAATCCTCAGATAGAACTTGCCGATTACGTAGGCAGGTTGGAAGGTCGAACAGAGGGCGTCGCTGGTTCCGAGCAAAGTGCAATGGGCATCCCCAGTGGCGTTGAGGGCAATCGATCGTCACCTCGGGAACGCATCACTTTCCATTTGCGATGCACTGGCTATGGTTTCATCCAGCATTTTATTAATGCTATCAATTTGAATAACTCTGCGCAGAAGGTCAAGGTAGAGGTACGCCTGTTCGCGGACATGGGGATGGTGAAAGTCGGTCCTTGCGCGCCTCTTAGGGCCTTGACAGGTACGAGAACTCTTACCAGCGACGTTTTACCTGCTGCGGCCGCTCAACCATCCGCTCAACCATCGGCTGTTCGATGGGACGATATTTATGTGGATGTTCCTGTGAGTGACATAACAAGATCTCAAGGGACATCATCGGTCGCTCCGAATGTCGTGGAAGAAAAGCAGGTCGTACTTCAAAGGCGAGAAGGAGCTGATGCACTGCCGTTGTACGAGAAATCTCTTGCAGTGGAGAACATCTCCAACACAGTCCTCATAATCGCCGCCACAAGTGACCTCGATTTGAATATCAGATGGAGTGTACGCAGTGAAGCCCGTATAACGAACGAGCGTGTATCAAACGGTCTGCTCGAAATTAGTGCAGAAAATGCTCCTATCAGTATGGCTTGCCCAAAAGACGGTTGGAAGCCATGCAGCCCCAAGATTTCGATCCAACCAGGAGAAAAGATTACGGCATATGTGTCAATCCCAAGCCCGTCTGCCTTGGCCGGAAATGATGAGGCAGTTGGCAATCTTGTCAGCGGGAAGAAGTTCACACTGAGAGGAATTCTGTGTTTTGAGGACGTCAGAAAGAAGCTGACTCTCGGGGTGGTCGATCTACAAGCGTCATATTGTCTATCACGCGGCGAGGTGGAACCCACTCTGGTGGATCTCGGCAAAGTTGGGCATTTCAATAGCTGGAATGACGCCAAGCTTAAGTTTACTCTCCGTAATCTCGCGGATATCCCCTTGTTGTATGAGCTGCAGCTTCCAGATGCTCTTGACATAGTGTCAGGAGAGGAAAAGAATGCCGGAGCAACCAAGAGTAAAGTTGACGCAAACGGAACTCAAGTGATAGATGCTGTGCTGAAACCGCGCGTGTTGGAACCCAGAGCCATTGGGCCCCACATACTCAATATTGGAATAGTGAACTTATTCAATCCGCGCAATGTGATGGGGATTGCCGTCAGCTGCCAGTTAACCCTGTTCGAACTACGCTTTGAACGCCTGGTGTCGGGAGAGCTGGTGCTACCACCTTTAACTCATCCACATATACCGACCGCTCTACCATGTGACACATGGTTTACCATCGTGAACACGGCTGATGAGGAGGTTAAGTTTGATATCGGGTTTACTCTCACCCTCGACGTTGCCGAATTTGTTAGGTTGGATGTATTATCGCGCTTTTCCAATTCTCCTCTGGTAGGGTCGGTGACGTTAAATCCACGAGGCTCCATTGAAGTACGAGTGAGAGCATATGCAAGGGAAGACTCCAGGCTGCCCGCCAATCATCCCAATGCGCGTTCGTTGACAAACCCAGATGGCATTACGTTTGGTAGTCTCTGTATCACTTCGAGAAATCAGGGAGACGTGGAGGGAAACCGAATGATGGAGAATATTCCGATAAGAGGCATAATTCACGAAGGTCAAACATTTACGATTTCGCAAAAGCGGGTAGAATTCCGCAGTATCTTAGCATCTGATACCGAAGAAGACTCGGAAGACGAAGATGGCGTGGATGAAGACGGTGTCGTTCCCATTCGACGGCAGTCGAGCGCTTTGAGTGCGTCCGAGAGTACATCCGGCCACGACTACCCTTCACCGTTAATGATTCCGACTCAGCGTGCCATCGTTGAGGTGACAAACCTGTCAGCAGCGTTCCCGCTGGAGTTCAAGGTGGTTTTTGAATATCCAATGGAACTTCCGAACGCTGCGAATTTACTCAGAGTTACTCCTTTGGATGAGGATATGTGCGGAAGCGTTGGTCCTGGAGGACGGTTGCAACTGGTGTTCGAGCTCCTTGACCCGCAAATAGGAGGCATATCTGACGACATCAAGGTCCTTGTATTGGATAAGAACTCTCTCAGTCGATCGCCGCAGGTGGTATATGTATCGATAGTGGAAGACATAACGGGAAGGCTCGAAAGCAGGTATCTTGGCAGTGAGACGGACCCGAATGATACTGTTCCAGAGCTCTTTATCTCAGAACAGCGGACAGATAAGACCACGGAATCAATCATTGGGAAACTACCTGTTGAGGAACCTGTATCTTCTGGCGAGGAAGGAGACGAGGACTTCCTGTGCTCTGAGGCGATGTCATCATCATCACTGAGTGGCTTTGAGCGTGGACAAACCTCTGTGTCAAGCCGGCCTTCGGTCAGCGACTCGCTCAATATCCCTGTTTTACGCCGAAATCCAGGACATATCCAGCTACGCGGATGCAAGCGAATATCGGAACGCGGATCGGAAATAGAGGGACTGTTCGAATTAGATCTCGGGCAACAAGACCTCGCTTCGAATGTTGCCATGAAAAAGCTGCTCCTTGAAAACCCGTCTTCTGACCGCATTTCCTACCGCGTTCGAACCTTAAGCGAAGCAGACAAGTCTTGGATCTCCTTTAGTCGAACAGAGGGCACCCTTGACGGCACCCGGTCTGTTGCTAGCGGTGGTGGAGGTCAGCGGGACGCTCATACGATCAGCGTCAATTTCATGACCAGTGCAAGGGGCGTCTACACCACGTACGTTTTCATCGAAAACCTTGATAATCCAGCGGATACCAAAATCATCAGAGTTTCAATGGAAATTGTTGCTCGTCAGAACATCCGGCGGACGCCCGCGACGACATCGACAGGCTCAGCTTATACTGGAAACGTGACCGCTGGTGTTGCAATTGAGCCTGCGTCAAATCATGTGTTTGACGTGTATGTTCATGGGGCAGATGCGAATGTATCTTCCATAGTTATGGATCATCTTTACTTTGGAACTGAATATGCTGCACGAAGCATGATCATCTGCAACCGCGAGTCTGTTCCCCTTGAATTTACGGTGCACAGTAGCATATCTCATGACGACGATACGGAGCTCGTGTTTTCCTTGTCCAGGACAAGTGCAAAGCTGTTCAGAAACGTAACAGTGGAGCCAGAAAGTCAAGCGAGGGTGTACATACGCCTGCGACCTTCAGCCAATTCTACTTACAACATCTGCCGGCAATCTGTTCCAAGTTCGGGGCAGCCTGTTATTCCAGGAATTCAGCGTCAGGCATCTCTGACGGCAGCGAACCAGCCCGTAGAAAAGAACGTTGAGATCTATATCAACTGTCGACTAGTGAAAGACTATCAGAAGATTATTAATCTGCGTGCAATCTGTCGGCAACCTCAAATGCAGATTTTGGATCAAGAGATTGTTTTTCGTGGCATGTTCAGGCGCAAAGACGAGGGAGCATCAGCCGTAGCCAAGGAGGAAGACGTTTGGGCTTTGCAGCTTCACCCTCTAAAAGCCACCATTGAAGTGGGAAATCTGTTAACCGATCCTTTGGATTGCTGGGTGATGAATGATACCATGTTTTTTGCGGTGGAGGATGTCACTATCAGTGACAGCGACACAGACTCAGTGCCAGATTCAACACTGGTGCAGCCCTCAGCTGCCCATTCGATGGTCAGCTCACCTGTGCACTCCGGGCCACATAAGCATCGGCACAGTGTGACCGTAGGCATCGCGCCGAAACGTTCGGCGGTTTTGCAGATTACTCCCCGAATGGATGTATTGCTAAAGCACACGGATAGACTGAGAAGGGTAACTTGGATTTCAAACTTCAAGTGATGGTAACCCTACTCACACGATTGTATCTTAGGAAAAGTATATTGTGGAACACCTTACCATATACAACCGGAGACGCCCAAAGGAGAGGCGGTTTATTGTGCTGAAGCTGAGCCTTGGATATCTGACAGAATTTCAGGTAATGGTGCCTTCTTTTATGCGCAGCGGAAGAGAGATTGATTAACACATTACCACAGTCGGCATCGGGTTCGCGCTATTCTTATGGTGCACTAGAGCATCATATTGTACGATTACTGAAAGAGTTCGATAGCTTCCCGGATTTGATTGGCGAATCAGAGTCCGCTTTTCAGATGACCCATCCGGTAAGATCAACAACACATTGTTGCGTAACCGGAGTCATGAGCTTATTTCTTAATCACAGGAGATCGTAATGGATAAGACGTCAGAGGCGTTCTTTAGGTTTACATATATTGTGGACCAGCTCGTGTACTATGGAACGCGAGAGCACGCAGCAGAGAATTATGCTCATCTTGCGCAGCTTCTATTTAGGTATTCCCCTTGGGCTCTTTCTGCAGACTACCTTAACGCTCACGCCTTCCTTGCCCTTTAGCACGCTTTTTTCAAAGCCAATATTTAAAGAGCATGCCCCGGCCTCATTGATCGTGTCCTCAAGCGGTGCCTGCAGGTGCTGGCCGCCCGCGCTAGCGAAATGGGTACGTGTCACACTTTGTAACCCGCTATCAGTGATTTTGGCTAATCCATCCTATCACTAGATATCACTTTTTATGTATTTCATGGAATACTTTCCGTACCGATGGCCTGCACTGGAGCCCCTACGAGAATTGACTCGCGGTCTCCTAAGCGGTGGCGAGTCAACGCCGGTGGTGGAGGGCCCATGATAACACCTGTATTTAACATTTTAACATTCATGTACTGTTACGGAACTATTTTGAGGGATGCCTGTATAGACTAGAAAGGCTTGATGCTTTGACTGCAGCCCAAGCCATGTATATAATTCCTGGATGAAAAGATATATCCTTTCAGTTCCTTAAACCACTTGGAGTGCATTAGGACTGATTGAGACAGTTGGCTGACGTAAACACTCCGATATTACTGTATCGAATCTGGATCTGAGCAGCGACATCAACATAAACTCGTCCGCCATGCTGGAAACTGCGGAGACCGTTGAGATAAGACTGCATGCCGCCGACCTTCTGGAAAAGTTGCCCCACACCGTCCCTCATAGGACTGGTAACTGGACTGAAGAGTCTGTGTTGCGAGAGGTAAGAATGTCGCAAGCGGTATCAATGGAGTTGGCTTTAAACCAGTTTGAATTGAAATTCAATAGGAAAAAATGAGAGAATTTTTGACCAATTATGAAAAGGGAATGGCGAATGTTAAGAAGGGTGAGCGCAGAGCGAAGACAGCTCGAAAGGAGGTGACAATTCTCTCCATCTAATACTGTTCCAAGAGATGAATGATGTTTAATCGATAGTTTCATTTAGCAAATTCTCTCTCCCAAATTGGTTTACGATGCTAACATCATGCTAAAGGTAGGAGAGCAATGAAGCAACGCCGCTACTACAAACTCACCAGATGCGGTAGAATGGCCATACCCAATCTCATCTATCCGCGGACATCCCCGACAGCTTCCCCGACAATATAGCACCAAGCACCATACTGGCATTGACAACTTGTGCAACTGAAACAAGCCCTACAGCGCGGAGCTGTTTTCAGCTCGTTAGATTGGACGAGGATGGCAATACTGAAGAGTCTGTGCCGCGGTTTGGCGAAAGGTTTTATATTGTTGTGACCAGCGATCTGGTCGATGCTCCGGTAGCGTAAGATACTTGTGGTGTGCGTTGCGTCTCCCTAATAGCATGTGCTTTACAGATGTACCTAACGTCCGAGCCAAAGTCTTTCCTCAATTATGCCAAATTGTCAAAAGACCAGGCAGTCTACCTAACGTTCAACAGAGATTATCGTTCCGTCTGGTACGTTTGGGCCTCTCTGTGTCTTTGTAGCTCGATCATCGTATGTAAAATAACTCGTTACTGGACTACAGGCAATTCGACTACCCCGATCCAAACTTTCGCCTGGAAATGGAGGGACAAGACGTTGCGGTAAGTTCGAAGGCAAAGGCTTCCTTGCTTCCCGCCAATTTAGCATACTAATGGACAACGTCCCAGCCTAATACCCCAGTATTAATCAAACACTGCAATACTGGAAATTATTTGTCGTCCGACAAAAAGTATGGCCTCAGGTACGCATTTCTATGTGCACTGAACTGGCCAATTTCACGAAATGACCGATAATCTGTAATCTACCCAGAACGGACTTTGGAGTTGAGTGGGAGGTGGCATGTCACACGTACAAGGATTACGGGACAAGGCTTGAATTGGACCAGAATCATTGGCTGCTCCGAGTTTCCGAATAAAATTCCACTTTTAAGAATCCTTTGTTTCCACCGTTGGTCCTAATCCATGAGATTGCATTGATAGCATCTACGTAACGGTTCCCTTAAAGAACTGCTTCATAAACGATTGCTGCTCCTGCTTGACAGTCTTCCGTTTCTTGGTAAGCGCAGGCTCAGCCCTGTCATCGTTGGGAGCAGGCGGATCGGACGGCTGTCGCTTGTTGCCATCTTCCATCTGCATATCCTAGGTGCGAATGATAGTATGTTATTAACTCACGTATGTCCCGCGCGTACATCATACGTACCCTGCAATGATCACTCGGCCGTTTGCCCCGCGCCTTTATGGTCGAGGTCTCTGCAACAGCAATTGCAGCAAAGGGGTTGGTATCGCGCACTTCTGTAGTCGTCCTTTTTTTTCCAGTTGCATCCGAACGTTGCATAAACGCAGCGCCCACTTTATCCCACGACCCTTTCACGGATGATCCATGCGTCGATGGTGTAAAGTCATTAACAGCAATTTCTTGTCGGTTCCATTCAACAAGCTGCCCCTTTAATATGATGATTTCTTCCTGCGCGGCAAGATATCGTGTCTTCATGTTCCCCAGTTCCACAATTTTGTTTTCTAGCTCCTGCTCCCGGCTTCGTATATCCTTCTGGACCATATCATGAGTTTCTTGAAGGCGAGCCAGTTGTGCAGTCTTGTCCTGCAGCTGTGCAGCGAAGAAAGATTCTCATTAGTAGCACAAAATGCACGTAAACAAGGTAATATTACCATTTCCCGAGCAGCCGCAAGCTCTGACTTTCTCTCCTTACTACTTTTCAATAGGCTTGTGGCGCGATCCTTCCATTGTTGCAGGCTTTTCTTACATGTTTCCAACTTCCTAAACGGATCTTTCAGAAACTGACGACCATCGAGCACTCAAAGCTTGAAAGAAATCATGAAACACACCGATGATAGGAATATAACGCTAGCTTAAAATCACTCATTTCTGTCAGATGCTCAATAGCTTGAGTGAACGCCGGCGTAAAGTCATCGGACGTGTGTGGTCTAATGGTGAGCTTAGCTCAATCCTTGTTGTTCTCCGCATTGAAGACTCGTCCATATTGTGCAAACACCTTACAATGCAATTAGTTCCGCTCTTCGCAAGTTGCTCTCCAATGTTCTGCAGTATGCTGATATTTCGTCAACTCTACTATCGCATTGTCGCTTGATCTCCTGTATCTTGATATCTGCTTCCTGACGTGTTTGTCGATCGCACTCCTCCATATGTTTTCGCTCCCTCTGCAGCGCTCTATCTCGGAGTTTGATTGTTTCCTGAAGCTGTTCTGCATGCGCTTCCGCATCGTCCTTTGCCTTGTTAAGGAGCTGAACCTCCTTCTTACTTTCGTTGAGCAGCCTTTCAGATTCGCAAAGACGGGTAGAGAGGACGCGACACTTTTCCAGGACGTGTTCTATTGTGCTGGTCTGGCGATTAGTTTAGTATCATGCCCAGACTGGAGCGGTCCAATCTTACTACGAATCCCCACCTGTCCATTGGCTTCTTTTGACACGTCAACGGACCTTCCATCTATCACCCCAATCGGCTCTTCGTATGAAATTTTTGGAACGAAGAAAATCGAGCAACGTCCTCTCGCTGGGCCTTTGACGGGGTGTCGACAATTTGGACATGTGTTGTGAATGCGGAGGTTCAGGAGGATACTGAAAGATGGTCAATTTGTATCATATATGACCGTACGATGCTCTATTAAGGTATTACCAGCCTGAATGGAACAAGTGTCCACCTGCAATTACAAGCTAACCGTTAGGTCTTATGCGTTTGGCAGAGCTCCAGTAGAAACGCACATCCTTTCAAACCGGCGACAGTGGACGGACATTCCTCTTCCAGGGGCACTTCGGGGATGGTACCTAGCTCTTCCAAACAGATGCTGCAGGTAGGGATCCCCTCCATGCTTTCCCCATCTGGCGCGAAGATCCCACGCTGGGCCTTTGGCCGGCCATCATTCGGACATGCGTTGGTCCGAAATGCCTGTGGCTTAGTAGCTTCAATGGAAAGTCATGACGTAACCTTTGCATACAGCTTGGATAAATGCCGGCTCTTCCTTGGCTGCCATTTTTCGACATTTTCTGCCTACTCTGCATCTCATCACTTTGTACGATCCAGTCAATCTACCTTCATGTCTTTCTTTGATCAACTCTTTTGGGGGGACTCCAATTCTGGGACCCCACTCATGTCGCTGGTCACATACCTCCTATTTGCTGAAGGAGCAGCTATTATACTCTTGTCGCTTCCCTTTCAAATAAAGTTTAGACGAACCCTCGTGGAGCTATTGGTAACTTCCCCAGTGTAAGTCGACTGGAATATGTCTCCTTGTTGCTTTATCGTCTAACGTCAAACCAATTTCAATCGAGCTAGTCTAAAGACAACACGTACAGTCTGTGTGACAGTATGCGGTTTTGTTGCTTTCCTCCTCCTTGACACGGTTCGCCGTCTGAATCGCTTGTACTCGCGAAAACCGGTGGACTTGTACACGGCGGAAAATCTATATTCTCAGCGCAATCGAGTCCAACGTGACTTTTTTATTCTGAGCTTTACGTTGTTTTGTGCTGTCGTCCTTTACCAGTTGCAGATGGTATTGTTGAGAATGGGACGGTACAGGAAGGAAAGGAATGCACTTGAGCAGCAGGTTAGAAGCCTGGGAGCAGAGCCTGTAAAAATTGCCGGTCTTGAAGGTATCAAAGGGGGAAAAGTTGTTGGTGGGTCGGTGAAGAAAGATTAGATTTGAGGCAACTTAGTTAATGTGACGACCACGATACTCGTCTGCTGCGGTGTATGTACGTTGCGTAAAGTCCAATAATTATACATACATTTAAAAAAGCGCCTGACGCATCAAAAAAACCAAACATTAACAAGAAAAAAGAAGGAGAATCGCTAGCAGTTATCGGTCGTCGGCGATCGCAGTAATCCGCTATGTACATCTACGAGCTATTCACTTGGTGCTCGCGAAGCCGGCGACCGCGTGACGAATTCGCTTCTGCATGCATGGAGTCTGCACATCTGTTAGAAAATGATGCTGCCACCCAAATGTTTGTAAATTACTTACTCATGATCATACTCAGCACGTCACATTGAAGGGAACAACATTGGACGACCCTTCCAAGACTTGCGGAAACCTCCCGCAGCCTCTCTCGGAGCAAATCACCTCCTCCACTCGACGAAGAAGCACCAATGAGTCGCCCCGCAAACGGTGCCGCGCTCCGAAATGCCGACGCATTCGCGCGAAGGGAATTCGACGCTGCGAGGAACGTATCGGCTGTTGTGAAAACGTCAGGAAGGGTTGATATATGTAAAAACATTGACAATATGTTACGCACCAAGGGCCTCCAGCTGCCCGCCAACAGGAGATTCGGTGTCATCATCCGCGTTTGCACGATCATCACCAGACGATAAAGTGACGTCTTCAAGGCCCACGCGAAGGGGTATGGCAACCGCCAGTGCCCTTTCACCTTGAGCAGCATTGTCCTCCATGTCCAATTCACCGTTTTGACGTACGGTGATATCTGACAGACTTTCGCCTCTCAACCATGCGGCAGCCCGGGCATCAAGCACCGGCCTCCTCCTGACTCGGCCCTGCGACGACTCAATTCCCACCGCATCAGCGGTGTTAGTCTCCACATCCGTATCAGCATCCGAGTCTTCATACGTTGGCGGACGATCATTTGCAGTGTCCGACAAGGCCAAGCTAGAAGTGCTAGCTGTCGCTTCCTGTAAAGCAGATTCGACTCGGGAAAGGGACAATCGAAGTGACCTGGCGGGGCCCAGTAGTGCCCCAGGAGCGGACCTGATGGCAAGGAGATCTGCAGTCCGTGATACGCGACGCCGAGGCGTTGGCGAAAAGACCGGTAACGGTTTCCCCATCATTCGATGCACGGCAACGCCGAAAACTGTAGTTCCCCAAAAACTCTCCGTTCATTTGCTGATGTGCTCACCGAAGCGTGTCACGTGAGGGACGACGCGAAACTAATCGATGGGTTTCTGGCTTATTGTGAATAAGCCACATTTGAGTGTTCTGCTCACATGAGTTGCCATTACGTCAGCACAATGGTGTCGAAATGACTGTTGAAGACGGAACCCCTTGAGGCCTGCATCAGGTATAAAAACCATTCAATCACATCCCCCCATCTTTATCTAGAAAGCTTTGATGTCAATGCCCACGAGCATGTGGGTGTGCATGCGAACGCTAAACTGTTTGAAAGATGGCGTTTGTTTTTCCCGGATGAGGTGAAATGCTCTCGAGTTGCGCGTTTTTTTTTCGCAGTTTTGACTTGGGCTTTTTTAAGACTCCTGTCCCAATGTAATGAGAACGCGGCAGTCGCTCATTCTGGGCTTATTGAGCAAAAGACGGGAACCAGTCGCCGACCTCATGGAACTTGAACGGTTTCCGGTTGCTTATGCTATTCACAGATGACAAGCATACAAACCCCAAAGACTCATCTCATAAACGACAGAACGCACAAAACACACACACACACACGGAAATTCTGTTGGCCAGCCTTTCGAGCAAGGTTAGATGATTACGACCGCGACTCCATTCGCTGCAGCAATCACGGCAATGAGGGCAAACTGGGATGCTCCTTTCAGTGCCGTTTTCTGTAGTTCAGATTGACATGCCGCCTCGTAGCTGTCACAATCATAAAAATGGGGCTGTAACGGATTGTTATTGTACACTGCCAATGTTATGGGTGAAGATGGATGCTACGGAACTAGAGCTTGCCATCCCCTCACGGTGCCCTGAACTACAGCAAATTACTCTCCGACGGTTGGAGTGTTCCATTGGTAACCGCCGCCGCATGACCACGGGCTAAATAGCCATACGCAGTCAAGTATCGGTCAAAAAATGGCAACAGTTCGGCAGCTCCAGGAGTGTTTCTCCAGTCTCGCATCAAATCCATGACAATGGCGAACATTCCCGCCGTAGTTACACCCGCAGCACGCATGCGATCGTTTGCATCATCGGCTGTGCGTTGGTCGAATGTTCCCGACGCATCCGTATTGGCCCATACTTCATAACCAGCGCTCCTTAAGGAAAGGGCCAAAAAGGCGGTGCAAACCTGACAATGAAGCGGCCATCAAAAGGGTGCATAAATAAGAACAAGCAGCGACACGTACGTCTGTGGTAATTCCAGCCAGGATGACATGCTTTTTTCCCGTTGCTTCAACGGCTGCTCGGAAGTCAGCATTGTCCCATGCATTGACTTCGCCGTTGCGTTTGATGTACGCAGCATTGGGATGCATCTGGATGATCTCCTTCGGCAGGGGTCCGTTTGGACCTGTGATTGATAATATTAGCTGCGATGCTCTCCAGGTATTTCAGAGATGCGCCACACCTTGCTCGGCACTCGTCGTCAAAATAGTCGGCAGCTGAAAAGCTTTTCCAATGGCCGCATGGGCAAGGATGCTGTTTTTGAATTGATCCGGCGGGTAGTCCCTCACAAGCTGGAAAAGTCCAACTTGATGATCGACTACAAGGAGCACTGCATTCTTCTTATCGAGACGTGTATATTCATTGGCTAGTGTGGGGTTACGTGAGAGGTCTGGGTACAACATTGTTTGTCAATTTCCATACCGTTTGTGAACCCAAGACCAACAAGAGCCAAGACGGTCAAGGTCGATAAGAATCTCATTGCGTTGATTGTCTTCAAAGTCGCGTGCACAATAGCCTTCGGGATGATGGACGCTTTTATATACAGGGCATTCTGATACTCATCACCTTTTTAACCTCAAAGGTTGTTGGGTATGTGAGGGAAGACATGCCAGCGGATAAAAGCCCACGTTCGACAACGTGGGCGGTTAGGGGTGATTTGCTATGCTAAGAGTATACGGACCTGCTAGGGAAAACCGCCAGCTCACAAGCAGGGAACGATATCCGTACTTCGTCAAGCCCATCTGGAAAGCCATACTTACACAATATAATGGATCCTGATTCGTCCTCCTACCATTCTACGACTTCCGGTCGACAAAAAAAGATCAGATGGTGGATTACCAGCTACTCAGTGCTACCCTCCGATCTTGGACGACTTGAGAGCGTCACTATATAATTATACGTACATGTATAAAGTCGTCGTCTTCCCCTTGCCTGCATGGCCTCTCTCCCATAACGCACGCTGCCTATCAGAGACACTCATCGGTTGTTGTATGGTCGGTAGTGTCCTACTTGTAATTACACGCAAAACGCATCAAAGTTCAGGCAGGGATCTACAAAGATATCTCTGGAACGATTGGTTCCGGCGTCTAGCTCAGCAAGAACCAGGGGACCCCAAGGCTTTCAACAAAGATCCCTTGACCCCAACATGTGCATGCAACACTCAAACCGAAATCACTTGCATTTCCGGCACCATCGATCAGGTTCCCGCTATTAGTACGTGTCGTACATAGTAGATACGAATAAATCAACCGATGGTTCGTCTCAAGTGAACATCGACCGATTTCCACGGATACATTCACTTCTTCCCGCTCTGTCCCGCTCTACAATAATGATGACATATTTGCTGTGCAATTGATAGATCCACGTGCAGCTGTCAACCCTGCATACGGACCATCGTGATAGCATTCCGTTCAGCAGTCAGAGCCTTATGTGCTTACTGATGAGCATGGAATGCTCTTTGTGGGTTTAGAACCACCTCGTTTCACTCCAAACCCGCTAGAGTTCGAGTAGCTTCAATTGCTTTGCGGTAATGCAATGTAGTTTGGCCAACCATTCTATTCGATGGTGATTTATTAAAGGGATGTCAATATGCTTCAAACTAGATCCAATATATGATGCCGTCGTCCACAGATCGCGGCTGTTTCTTGAACTTTCACAAGGCACGCACACATTTGGTTGTCCCGCTGGCATGTCAAATGCACTCCAGGTGCGGCAACCCTCCAGCATGAGCGAACGTCACCTGGATGCTCTCTGGCCTTCACTTTAATGATGATAATGTTTGATCTGTTAGCGCGGAGTGCAGCTACTCACGGTTAGTTTTAACCGTTCAGAAGTCGGCAGTTCCAATCAGGAACTACACCAAGTGAGATATTGTATCTTAGATTCAAAAGTGCTGCTCCACTACGTGCATCAAACAGACTGGTGTGCCTAGGACATCTGCATAGCCCCAAAAGACATTAGATATTTTCAACAACACTCGACGAGATGGCCAAAGGCGTAATGGATAGTTACAAAACTTTCAAGATATCAAAACATAACGCAAGCCCCCTTTCACCCGCCGGGGCCCTCCCTATGACTGCCCTCCCCCCCGCCTTAGGAACAATCATAGAGCTCCAATCCGAAGACGGAGGTAGCTGCTCGCACCACGCACACTACAGTCCCAGCCAACCAATTCACACACGGGGAGTCGAACGCCGGTCAGTCGAGTCGCACGTCTGCGCTTTAACCAACTGGACTATTCGGCCCCCTTAACTCCTATGTGCATATACGGGCATTTCAAGGAGACGGACACCTCCTGCCCGCGGAATCGCGACACGTCGAACGCGACAACGTGATTGGCTTACTAATCGCTTACGGAACCATTAGTGGAATCCCCCAAGCAACTCCAAGGATCATTGTTTCGTACTTGGCAAAATAAGGAAAGCTACTACACTAAGATATGGATGATGCGGATATGAAGAACCATTGTTGATAGCGCATCTTCAAGGAATGTGTCGCACCTTCATGCTTTTTGGAATATAACATTCGACTCCATTGTCACTACATCTCCACTACGTTAACCTACGGGACTGCATGATAAAAGTTTCTGATATTTGCTTATTCCAGAGTGTCATCCATTTACAATAACTTTTGCATCAATACAAAATCTATGGCCTAATTTTGGGACCAAAACCCTCAGCTCAAAGGTAAACATCCGTAACTTTAAATCCGCGGCGAGAAAAGCCCTGTTTCCATTTTTGGTCACAGTGCTTATGAAATCAGATTATGCTTTTTGTCCGACATTGAAATAAAGTTGCTTTTGTTGCTTGCGGTTCGTTGGTGCATCGCACACCCTTCGATCGAGTGGTTCAAAAGCGAAATGAAGCACAGAAAGGCTCCAAGGCTAATTTGGGCAACAAGGAATGAACCGTAGGTAAAGGTCAAAGCTTTACTCGACACGGCGTGGCACTGCGTCTGTTTAGTTCTATTTGGGGGGATGTGTTGACCGAGCAGACAAAGGGATCAAATCAAACATAACCTTATAAATATATATGCACCCGACCCAAACCCCTTCTTTCGCGCTCTTTTTTGCAATAAGCTTTACAAAACTATGAAATGAGCGATCGAAGCACCTATCCAGGGAAACTTGCTGCGAATGCGTGCCTGTGTGTTTTTACCGTCGCGGTAACGGTCTTTACCGCCACAAAGTAGGTCCATCGGGTGACAGGACGCCTCGGTCGATGAAAACCTTGACATATCATCACTCACATATGTTTTGAAAGATGGTGGAAGAAGAGGACGACGTTCAATGCTTTCCTCGTGCTCTGTTGGATACTGTTGTGGTGAGTGTTTGTCCGCTTGCTGCGGTGCGTACAAAAACTGATTTACTATCCCTTAGCATATCAGATGCAATGAGTACCCTGAGCTGGATTCTGAATGTGGTTTGCGAGACGAAAGGTTGCGGACGTGATATCGGTGGCGGCATTGCTCTCGGTTTCAATATGTTTGCTGGTGCCCTGTACACCTTACTTTCCTTGGAACGATTCAAAGCGTTCCGGCATATTGCTAGATGGTACACGGTGCGATTGTGTCGAATCCTCCAGGGTTTGACGGTCGTGCTAGGAGCATGGGCGTGGGCATTGAACATTGTGGTGGACCTTCTACCCGAAGAAACGTACAACAATATGTCCATATCAAAGGTTTTTCCTTTTGGAACATCCGTCATGTAGGTACTTTAGGCCTGTGTATGAAAGCTCACCTGGCTCACTTGTCCTTTTGCGTAGATTCGGGTCTTCCATACTTGTTCTGTGGATCATCCTCTCAGATTTCCTCCTTTACGGAGGGACATTGGTACTCGTACGAAGGCTTCAAAAGGACCTCCGCAGGGAACAAACTCCCGAGCAAATCAAAGCTCGAAGATTTCTCGTTGGCGCCCTATCAGTCGCACTTGTGCTCGCCCTCGCCTCCCTCATCACGATCGTCGCAAAGCGGATAGAAGAAACAATGATTGCCGGCCAATATGCTATCCGTGTATACTATGCACTCGGACTTGTGTATCTTTACACACTAGTGCACGTCATCAACGGATTCGATAAACGATCGCAAACCCCGGCAAGTAACAAGGCTGGTTCTGCAAAGCATGGTTTGGTCGCAGGAGACACGATGGTTGCATCATCATCTGTAGCTGGCCAAGCGAGTACAATCACTGGCGCAACGGTCTGAAAATCTCCTTCGGATATGTATTGTTGACAGATTTGTAGGTTGAAAGCAATGTAGTCTTTTAGAATCCCTCCTGAGTTGTAATAGAACGTCCTAATAGTACTTTAAGATGCGACTGACAAGAAGGCAACTACAACCTCCTCCGTCAGTGTGCGTGGCTGCTGTTCAGTCCGGTTGCCTCGCGCATTTGGCCCACCGCTGTGAATCTGTTCTCAAAGCTGTTCTTCCTTGTGGCCCCAGAAGTGCTGCCAAACTTCTCAAATCGCCGGGCTGTAACTCCCCATATGCTCGCCATCGAAGGGTTGCAAGATTACTGCACTCCTTCCGATGATTTGTAAAACAGAAGCGATTCACCAGAAGTTTGACATATTGAAACTCTTTTTTAAGTGTTTGGAGCGGCCGTTTTTTGCCACTGTCTTTCTCCAAGGCGGAACCAGCTTTCCTCAACGTCTGGGCCATGCGCTCGTAATGCCAATGCTTGCGTTTCGCAAGGGCTTCACATCAAGCGATATAGCGTCCCTCAAAATATCATCATCTTTTGAACATGGATTCAATGAAACACTGCGCATAGTGGAACGAAACGGAAACCTCGACAGATTCCATAGAAAAACCGCTGATCCAACCATCTTCCAAGCCGCATACTTCAGTCGAATATATCTCGTAGTGAACTCTGTGGACTGGTAGACATCCATGTTGCAATCACGAACGCGATCTGACGACCGAGAACGCATCTCATCTTCCAGCCACGGCCTCCAGGACCACCGTATACCAGCCAAGCGCTATGTTCCAAAGCCCCCGGACTTTAGCCGACGACGCCTCGCCAAGGATACAGTCCCGTCTTTGGCGGCCTTCTCGGCGGTGAGGTCTATTTGTCACAGGATGTTACTCGTTGCGTCAATGACTGAAACTGCTCTTTTGCGACGTGCTCCCTCCTCCAGATTGCAGTAGTGAGGCACCAGCATCAATTTGTTTCTTTAGCCGGCGTTCCCTGGGACCCTTGTGGAAAACTGATATGGGCGCTCTTACACGAACGGCACATGGTTCCAACAGGCGACCTACTATCTGCCTTTCTAGAAGAATATCCCCATCTCAGAGAACAAAACTCTATTCTGTTTATACGAGGCAGCCCCCAGCAGGATTCCCTCTGCCGGCTATCGAACGCTAATTCCCCCGTCTCACGGTATCTTGTGCACCTGAATCTCAGCGGATCTTCTTTCAACGATGAGATGACTTGCCATATTGCACATCTATCAAACCTGCGTTTTCTGGACATTTCAAAGACTGCCGTGGGAGATAACGGTCTGATGGCTCTGTTGAGACCGACAATGTACAATGCCCACACCGACGAGCCTTGCCTGAGATCATTGCAATGCCTCAATATTTCACATACCGGTTTATCCGATGTCTGCATTCCATATTTGGTGCGAGCTCCTTCCCTGGATGCGTTGGACGTAACCGGGTCATATATTTCGTTATCTTCTTTGTTTTTGCGATATGGTTGGATCCGTCTTCCCAAGGCAGTCCCGATTTTCAACTTTCAGGTTCCGATGAGCCGTGAAGAATTGACACTTCTGCTGCGTGCTGAAGGCGCCGATCCAGATATTCTCGCTAACCCCGATATCATTATGCGTGCATGGATCGTGCCAGAACTTGTCGCAGCAGCAGCGAGAAGTGAAATGTGGCACTACGTCATGGGCATCCCCTTGGGTAGGAGCCTACCACCTTGTTATATGCAACAAAAGGAGGCCATGAACACGGAATGCGGGATGAGGCTCGTGAAACTAGGGAATAAGCATTCTCTGGGGCAACTGCCTGCGTCGATCGCAGAAGGGAACAAAGAGGAAAGAGGCCTGGCAGTTCGTAAACGGAAATGGATCGCAGACTACCCAAATGTCGCTGGAACTAAATCCTCGACCCCACCTGCAACCATTCACCGAACCTGTCCCCGCATACCGAAAGGGATCATGCACTTGGCAGCAATAAAGAGAAAATAACAACTCTGCGTTCTGATTAAATAATGTATGTAGATTATTGCCACATTATTGAGGATAGTTTATGCGTGTATATACAGAAAAGGGAACTACCAGAAGAACTAGCAAATAATATTTCCATCACAGCAAACAACAAGGGTAATCACAAAAAGGATCACAAACACTAGTTCCTCTACTCAACAGGATCAACAACCAACATATGACCAATCAGGACGAAAACTTTTGAACCAAGCGTTGCATGATAATAGCAAGTAAGCCACTTCCAGCAGCAACCGCAGCATTCATAGCATATTGGGAAACACCCTTGAGAGCGGTCTTTTGCAGCTCAGACTGTAGTACGAGACCAATATGTTCCTTCTACAAACGAAAGTAGGTTGAGAATCTGAACGAATGTGATGATTGCCTACAAATACCTTCGGCATCCTCTCCTCAAGCCAAAATACTACCGGGAACGATTGACCATCGACAGCATATGCGAGCAGAAACTTCTCTAATTCAAAATAGGCGGCGTCTCCTTTGCGAACAATTGTAACTAGACCGAACCGATAAAGAGCATCGTTCACGAATCCATGATTATAGAGATGAGTCAAAAGACGAATATAGTAGGCTTGGGCAGGTTCGCCGTCAAGTTTCGTTGGATTTTCAACCTGTTTGCGTTTTTTGCTTGACATTGTCAGCACGGCCGTGTCCCTCTTTCGTTTGAGATTTGCAGGTGTGGGTACAAGTAAGTGATTGTAAGTCAACTGTCTGAAGGAAGATGGCTACTGTCAAACCCACCTCATCATTAATAGAAAACTCAGTGTCATCACATAGACTATGATGCCCATCAAGCAAAGTACTGTGTCGAGTAGGTGTTTAAAAAACGGGAACTTCGCTCACAACACGATGTCCGGAGCTCGAGCCACATCCGATGCCAATATTATGATCGCCTAGATGCAATACTTTTGTTCGATGCCCTTCATTCCACATCGCGTTGAATACTGCAAACTGTAAAGAAATCAGTAACATCTGGCCAAAGCATGCCAGTTGGTGACCACCTGAGCGGGTGAGCGACGAATCATAGGCCTAAGTGATGACTCAAGTCGATGAGCCCCACGGGTATGACATCCCCATACCATTGCACGGCCGACGAGGTGTATGAAGTGTAGATGTCCGATGGGCGGAGGCGTCCCACGAGAGGGAGGACTGGTATGTCATGCCTGTGCGACATCATATAGTGGACACCTGGTTCCCCACCAACTGGCATGCAGAACCTGACATACGGATGGTACATACCGGATACAATGACAAAAGTTTCTTGGCAGGTTCTCCGAAAAGAGCATCCTCCTTTAGCAAATTCAACGAACTGAGCCACGGCACATAGGGATGCGGATGCTTTTTGCCGACTTGGTTTATAAAATGGCGCGGATGCCAACGGTTTGCCTCAAACTTCCTGAAATATTCATGCACATTGTCCATATCGAGCACCTTGTCATCAATCTTGCATTTGCCTTTGGGTTCGGTCTTGAAATCCATATTGAGCTGACAATGCAGTGGAAGGCAGATGTGAAAGAAACCAAGATGACGATGGGGTGGGAGAATCGAGCGACCTTTATACGCGCGAGCGAACGTCAGGGGTAATGAATCGTCCAATCAGGATTGTATTACGCGATCATTGCATTCGGACAACCCATTCGGACAATGCCATACGGAAAAGTTCACAATAATACTTGAAGTGGTTGCAATGAGCAGGTATTCTTGGCCGCATGCTTATGTCTTCTCATCCTTGCAGCCATTCCTTGAAATATTTGCAATTGCTGGGGTTGACAGGGCCTCCCTCTGAACAAAACTCAAAGACTGGACACCTGCCGCACGGCATGTCGGTCCACCCATTTCGTTCCTCCGTTGCCCAACCTCTCACAGCTTTATACATCCACACATCGCTATCTAAATCGCGGACTTCCTCATCGCCATCTCGATAATCCTCGTCATCAGTATCCATTCGATCGTAATCCGACTCGGCGTATCCTGATTTCACTATGCGCGTGACCTTTCCGTCATAGTATAACCGGTCTAGCAAGCTCTGCACGTCTTCGAGACTGAGGGGAACAGTTGTGAGACCGCTTTTGCCGATAAATTTGTGGATGGCGCTGGCGGTTGGATAGGAGGAGTAAGAAGCGGAATATATGGCGTCTTTATTTTTTGGAGGAAAACTCTGCCAAGATCGCATAACGCCTCGTTACTTTCTTCTCGCTAGATGATGATAACCGCTCAAACAAAGGCCCACCTTCATTGTAATATATTTATATACTTGTGCGGAGAGTTGCTCGATAAAGTCCATGTCCATCTCGTTGTCTGTATACCACGCTCCGCCGGTAAGCTCAGTGGAAGGCTCTAGCTCAAAAAGGAGATAGACTTTCTTGTACGGATTCTAGATGCCGGAGAAGGTTGGAAGTGAGGATTTGACCTTGATGGAACGATTGTTCAAATATACCCTACCTTGACTGGTTTCACCCATTTGATGACGTTCTTCTTTTCTAAATTCTTGATGACTGTATTGGCAAGCTGGCTGTGAAGACCAGACCTGTCTCTCAGCTGCTTGAGCCATATTCCTGTAGATTTGCAAGAATCGTTGGTCCACGAGTACAGATCGATCAAACGGTGGAGAGCACTCAGCGGTATAACAAACCATTGTTCTTGGCTTCCTTTACCAAGCGATATATTATTCGTTCCTCGTCTTTCATTCCTCCCGTCCTGAAAGACAAACGCAACATCAGAATCATTGCTCAGTTGAGCCCCGCCGATCAAGCAACCACTTACTTGGTCGCCTCTTCTGCCGATCTCGCTTTAAAGGCCAATTTCCCGCTTTTACCCAATGATATGAAATCCACATATTGCTATCGTATAATAGGTATGCAAGTTTGAGCAAATCTCCGCTTCCACACTTGAATGACCCAGACTGTCCTCACCTTTTGACTCAATGAGTTCATACAGGTTAAGATCGAGTTATCATCCCAGTCACCCAGCTCGCTCTTAAGGGTATCTATATCTGCTCCCTAAACATACGTTGAGGTACATGAAGGTGATGTGTTGTTAGAGATCAGTAAAGTGACATTGCGGAGAATTCTACACGCCTTGCCTTAGAATGGCTTCTGAGGGTTGCGAGAAGTGTCTGCTCTTCGGCAGTAAGTGAGGCAGGCGCAGAAGGTCCTGCAACCTTCTTTCCTTTGCGGCCAGACATGTTGGGGTATTCTTTAGCTCACAAAGCTCGTTCGATTGCCCGCTAGGCGTCGCAGATCGGCTGTCAAAGTTCCTTCTCGATTGTCCAAAATCCAGACAACTGTGCCACCCCGTGTGAATCATGGCTGGCTCTTGGTGGTATTGTCTTGACAGGCCTTCCCATCCATGTGCATGGATACATTATTGGACAAATGGAGACGAGAAAGGACCCGCTCCAGAAAGGCGAGCCCACCTTGACGGAAATGCTTGCGGAGATATGGGGCTGGGACTTGACTGTTCCGACGGAAGAAGAGCTGGACATGTACGACGTTTCCATGTCCAACCTTAAAGGGGAAGTAAACTTCCTAGCGCATGTCACTTCATTCCCTCGCTTCAGCGATAATGAACGCACGGACGGCTCTGAAGCTGCCGACTTTGAGAAGACAACTATCCAGCACCCTTCCCTTCGTCATGCAGCACTAATGAAGGCAAAGACAACTATTGCTGAAACCGAGGAAGCTCGTTCTCCCCAGGAAGAGCAGTCTGGAACAACTTTGCCAGTCAAAGTCTCACCTGTAGAGGAAGCACAAAAGGTGGCAAGACCCCTAATCGTTGGCGAATCCCAAATCTCGTCAAATGTGATACCGAACCAGCCCGAGGTCCCAGCCATTTCGGCTCCGAACTTGGAGAAAGCCACGGATGCAGCAGCCACAAATGGTTTTGGAATTCCTTTACACGAACGCATTAAGGTCACATATATCCATTGATGCATTTTGATACTCTGATCTTAAATTTACTGGTTGAAAAGACCAAGAAGCGCAAAGCTGCAGTTCACAAGATAGGTAGCCGACAATCCCTGTCACCCCTTTCTCGAGCCTCCAAAAAGCCACCGAAACAGAAGCGCAAAAAACAACGCTCCGAAGAGGATGCCGACATCTTCGAGGTTGAGCGTATTCTTGATGTGCAAATTACCTATGACGGTGGAGAAGGAGAGGGGAACAGGCGAGTTCGATATCTAGTTGCATGGAAAGGGTATCCCGATGAAAGCGAAAATACATGGGAGCCTGAAGAAAACCTGGAATCTGCCCCTCTGAAGGTAAAGGAGTTTTGGGACTCTAGAAAACGAAATAACGAGCGGTCCTCTGCGGGCGAAAGCCCTAAACGTGAAGTGAAGATGGAGGTATTCGAATGACATCTCGCAAACTGGACGAAATCTTGCGGTCGATTGTGGAGCTATTATATTCTTATTCTTTCAATTCTTTGTACATTATTGCAGGCATATACATATTACCATTTCTAAAAGTGATGACAATCCCGAATGGCAGCTATTCTCCTCTTTGTTGAATAATTCCGTTGAATAGTTTTCTTGAAAGGTTTCTTTTAATGACGTTGGAAACTCGTTTGTCGTCGTCCCAACCCGCGCGTCCCAATTGATGACGCGTCCAAAAATTGGGACTTTGCAAACTGCAACTTCAACAAGCACTTGAACTCATCAGCGAAATCTGTTTGGAAACCTTCGCGACTCGCTCCACGCCAGCAATTCACAAGACATGGCAACGGCCAGCTCAGACGATCGAAGAGCAAAGGTTCTCGGTGATTACAGAAAGCAACTCCTCCTACATCGCGAATTGGATGCAAAGGTTAAAGAGCGTGAGTACTCTGGAGCAATTCAACGTGTCCTCGTTCCGCCGTTACGACTAGCCTAATTGCAGGATCTTTCAGTGCGACTTGGTTTGCGCTCTTTAGAAAAGGACTTTGACAAAACAGAGGACGACATCAAAGCGCTGCAGAGCGTGGGACAGATTATAGGGGAGGTGCTGAAACAACTGGATGAGGAACGATGTACGTTTCCGTTCGCCCCTTCATGGCCCCGGCGTTTGCGAACTTATTTGTGGCTTTCTTTTATTTCAAGTCATTGTGAAAGCTTCCAGCGGACCGCGATATGTCGTTGGCTGTCGAGAGCGAGTACCCAAAGAAAAGTTGAAGCAAGGCACACGTGTGTCGCTCGACATGACAACCTTGACCATCATGCGAATTCTTCCCCGCGAAGTAGATCCCTTGGTTTATAACATGTCTACAGAGGATCCAGGGAATATCTCTTTTGCTGGGATTGGTGGGCTTGGCGATCAGATCAGAGAGCTGAGAGAGGTATGTCTTTCCAATTATAGCTCTGCTTTATGTAAATCGGTCAATGATATTTAAATGAAAATCTTATTCTAAAGGTTATTGAACTGCCATTATTGAATCCAGAGCTGTTCTTGCGGGTCGGAATAAAGCCACCAAAGGGTGTCTTGTTGTATGGACCACCTGGAACGGGAAAGACGTTGCTCGCTCGTGCCGTCGCGAGCACCCTCGAATGTAACTTTTTGAAGGTTGTATCCAGTGCTATCGTCGACAAGTACATTGGAGAGAGTGCGAGACTGATTCGAGAGATGTTTGGTATGCGTCCGGCAATCTCTGTCGAAATTTGCCAGTGTGGTGAACTAAACAGTACGCTACAGGCTACGCAAAAGAGCATGAACCCTGTATCATTTTCATGGACGAAATTGATGCGATTGGTGGACGTCGTTTTTCCGAGGGAACTTCGGCCGATCGTGAAATCCAACGCACGCTGATGGAGGTATTAATTCGCATGATATGGCAACACGTGAGACGTAGTATAATTAATGTCACTGTCATGGTACTTTCAAAGCTCCTCAACCAAATGGATGGATTTGATTACCTCGGCCAAACGAAACTCATCATGGCCACAAATCGTCCGGACACACTCGACCCAGCCTTGATGCGTCCTGGTCGGCTGGACCGTAAGATCGAAATCCCACTTCCAAATGAACAAGGACGATTGGAGATTCTCAGAATCCATGCTGCACCAATTACGAAGCATGGTGAAATTGGTAGGAACCTGCCAGATGCTGCATGATTTTGACGAATTTCAAGGTTAAGCTCGCGATTTGTAGATTATGAAGCGGTGGTGAAGCTCTCTGATGGATTTAATGGAGCCGATTTGAGGAATGTTTGCACAGAAGCAGGTTTGTAGATGGTATGTTACAGGAAAGGCGCATGCACATTGGCTGATTATTTCCTGTAGGAATGTTTGCCATTCGCGACGAGCGAGACTATGTAGTTCAAGATGACTTTATGAAAGCCGTGCGAAAGGTGGCGGACATGAAAAAGTTGGAGACCAAGCTGGACTGTAAGTGGCCCTATCACTGTCGGTGACTGATACATGATGAATTCTGATCCTCTTTCCCTTCAATTGCAACAGATGAAAAAGTGTAATTGCTAGCTTTAGAGATACCAACGATGATTTTCCTGTGCACGATCCAGGGCGTTTTGGAATGCATTTTTCCCATGCAGCAGCAGCACAGCGATTGAGACCATCATTTCGGGAAGCACGACAAGAAGCGTTGCTGCTAGTCCTTTTCATATTAATTGCTGAAGCCCTATAAGGCTTCTACCAGGCCTAATATCCTGTCTCGCTCTGCATTCTCTCTGTTGTCTCCCTTTCCATCACCCACATTCTCGGCATATTCTACAGGTTACAAAGATAGCCGTAAGTCGGAAATTTTTCATTTCTGGATGGTACAGCATGCAAAAGGCGCACCTTTGAGAATTGTTTTGATGCTTTCAAGAGTCTGGCCGTCTTTCTCTAGCAGTAAGGTTATTCTGTCTCGTATCTTTAAGGGTAGGGGAAATTGTAAGACTGCAGTTCCTGAACGAGCACTACGCCAAGGGCGATGTACGAACCCGGCCTTCCTTGTCTTCTACGCATACAGAAGCCATAATGAAATCCACCAGCTGTAATGTAAACAATCCCGCAGTCAGCCGTTTCAGAAAGAGTTCTTCTTCTTCAGCTTCTCTCTCATCATCACTCAAATCTTCTTCTTCGAGTTCTTTCTTCCTGTCTTCAATCTCCTTATCTGCGTCTGCGACTCGTCCTGCATAGGTTTTATGCATCTCTACTAATCGGTCAACCTTCTCGTAGTCCGCCTCCTCAAATTTAAGCATGAGCCGCGCACGAGACGCTGGTTCCGTCACATTTTTGAATAACGAAGAGATGATAGAGACCAGATGTTCATTCTCCTCAGCCTCCGAAAATGACTTGTACTCTTTCTTGTACTTCTTCATTCCCTTCCGCATGAAGGCTGGGAACAGTGTTTTGAGACCCAGTATGTCTACGAAATGATTGCAACACGACGCGCCGTCCGCTCCCAACATGGCATGGTCCAAAACTTTTAACGCTCGCATCCGCGACATTTTCTTCTCTTTCAGCATAAGAATCATCAATTCAAGTCCCTCACCCTCAAGGAACTTTTCTTTGATTTCCGGTTCAATCAGCGCGGCACACAACACGTCAAAGATATTCTCCATCAACTCCACTTCATCAGGATCTTTAGGATCTTTGCGCTTATATGCTGCTATGACCCGCAAAAGGGTATCCACACCGCCGAGCTCGCCCAACTTTATCCGGTTCGGTCGGCTGTTTTGGAGTAGAATTGCCAGCATCTCAGATGCATATTGTCGGTTAGAGTCGAATGTCTTGACCCGGACTCGTTGCAATAGCCAAGATAGGAAGGACGTTTTTTCAACAACAACTTCCGCTATTGAAGGATCGATGGATATCAAGTTCTCTATTACGCTCATGGTGTTAAAAACGCCTTGTTTATCCTCTCCTTGGTCTTCATTAAGGCGGGAAATATTTTGCACAAGGAGATCGAGCGCGTCACTTTCTACTAGGGCTTTTACCAGTGCCTTCATTCCCTCTTCTGCGGCCTCTGAGGCTTCTGTGACCAACTCTTCATCTGTGAGCTCGTTCAAAAGTTCCACGGCAGCAATAGATATATCTGTGTTTTCGTGGGAGAGTAAGGAAAGGATACTGACGTGGGTCCCTAGTTCAACGAGGTTGGGATAAAGTTCGGGGGCGTCACTTGCAGTAAGCATATTTTTGATCTCTTCATCCAAGTCTGCTTCTGATTCGATGAATCTAAAGGCATTATGTGAGGCCATTGGAACCCATACGTACGAGACAAGCTTCAGCGACGCACTTGAGTGGATTATCGCTATACTTTACACGTAGCTCTTGGTTCCTGTTGATAACTTTTTCAAATTTCAGAACCATTTTCTTGAGTGTTGGCAAATCGATCGTTGCTGGTGCCTGAGGGAGGGAGATCTCAGTTCCCGGATTGCACCCTACGAGGTCTAGCCCGACGACTGATTATGATACTCACCTCCTCCCCGGCGTCTACAATCTCCCAAATTTTCTTCTGATCATCACTAAGTCCACTTTCATGAAACCTTTCGTCCTCGTCGTCATCTCTCACAGGCCCATCCAACTCGCCTCCTCCCCCATTCCCACTACTACTTCCAACAGTACCAGGTCCCCATCCCGCACGAAAGTCGTCATCGTCCTCGTCTGTTCGTACTTTCTTTAGATATGCGTCATCGGGTGTAGGAGGCAATTTACGCTTGTTCTTGCCAACCGGCGCGGCTGGGACCTGTGCTTCAAATCAAGATCGTTAACGCCAGATCTCAGAGAGACAAATCCACTCCTTTCACATGTGTGACACATGCCTTGAAAATGCTGTCTACATTCATAGCGCAAACGCAGTTGATCTTAAAGGAGGATGGAATTTACCAACAGTCATCTCAGCCCAATGGCTCGTATTTCTCTGTAATATCGGGTGATAAATATATGGAAGTGGCTGGGAATGCTTAGTAATCAACCCGATCAACCAAAGCCGGGCTCGCTCATCTGGTCTAAAAATGTCTATTTCGTGCACCGTGCATCCGCGCGGCTCTAGTTTACATTGACACCTATTATACAAGAATAACGGTAGGATGCTAATCCACGTATCTTATCCCTGTCGGTTGACGTGGTGGAGGTCGGACAGGCGGTGGAGCTGGAGCGGGAACATGGCCTGATCGTCGTTTCTTGCCCGTTCTGGCTTCATCCGCGTCGGATTTCTGGGTATCGGCCACTTCACTACCGCCTGTCTGCTCCCGCTCATGTACGAGTATTCGCACTGCTCCTGCTCCGCTATCCGTCTTTCCATTCCGCACCGCTTCTGCGGCCATTATAGCCTCTTCTTCGGCTTTCATTGCATCAGCAATCATTTCATCAAGGAAAATCACCTCCTCCCCAACAAGCTTCCTTTCCATGCCATCTTTTATCAATGGAAACTTTTCTTGCTCAACTTTATCTGCCCACATCTCTGCAATTCCAAATACGTGACTCTTTCCGACCACTACCACTATGGCCGGTGGCTCCTTTGCATGGCTCTTGTCAGTGGCAGAAAGCAAACCAGCACTTTCAGCGACATCTCGCACACATGTTCGAATTCCGTTCACCATTCCGGCATTTCGAACCTCCAGCCACCAAAAGTAAGCATTCGGATGGAAAGTTTTCCAGCATCGTAGGTATGTAGCATGATCTTTGACGCTGCAAACGTCAGCCTGAGCTTCTTTTGCCACGTCCCGTTTGACTCCGAAAGATAGTCGTGTTATGAGCCAAAACAAACCGCGGCCCAGCATGGAGGTGCCACGTATTGGAGGTGGCAGGAGACGGAACCTTCTTATGAGGTCATTGATGAGGGTTGAATGTGATGGATCAGAACGGAGAATGTCTGGATGAATATCTATCGAGCGGATGACAGCGTTGTGAGTGTGAGCGGACCGCACCGCTACACCAATTTCAAGGCCGTAGTGGAGGTGGGTGGGGGATAAGTGTAGCGCCGGATCAATCCCGAGGCGCGTGAGGGTTTCGTGATCGTGTTCCGTTAGTGATAATGCGGGAGAGCTGCCTGTGCCGCCAGACGTCGGGGACAGGACCGTGCGCACGCCGCTGAGCCGGGACGACGATAATGGAGCACGGTTAGCTAGATCCTCTGGGGATAGTGGACTGATCGATGCTCCGCTATGTTGGCTCTTGTATCTTCCTAGAACGACTTCGGCCTTTGCCGAATAGCTCTTCAAGCGGTCAGCGTCGATTTCCAAGCACACTGCGGCCGGCGTTACTTGGTCCATAACATACTCCACTCTCTCTAGAGACGCAGGAGAATTGTGGTGGATGCCGACAAGGTGAATTTTGACTCCCGTCTGTGCGTGGGTCAGAGGATGGTCCAAGGCTAAGACTGTCCACTCGGCATTGCTATGGTTGTAGGATGGGTGCGACGTATCAATGTGTTCATGTGGTCGACCTGAAAAGAGTCGAACCTTGCTCGCAGCGACAGGAAAACCCGTCGGACGTGCTCGTCTTTGCTGGACGAGACCGCAAAGTCTCCATCGCACATTATACCGCATCGTCAATTCTCAGTCCAAATAACTTAGCAATCGTCAATCATGTGTGCTAACCGTTGCTATGCCAACAAAACTTGATGCAATAACAGAACCATTTAACCCAAAGAGGATACATTGCGAGCCCGCAACTACAAACTCATTGACAAGACGATGCACGCTAAAGTCCAAAAGTTCTTGATACACTGGTTGGGACTTGCGAATATGATTATTCAAATGCTACGAAAACCTCTAGAACGCACAGGGGTGCACAATTTGTAAAGAAGGCTAGTTGCCAACAAGGGTACGTGGGTGAGCAACAATGCCTCGCACCACATTAGGTCAGATTCTGCTATGCAATAGCGTTTTTGGCAGTCGGTTGTAAACCCAAGAGTTTGAGCTGCCGAAATGAACCTGCTTTGGCAGTTAAAAAAGTGATAGTCTTGAGCGGTATCGTCACCGACAGATACAGGATTGTAAACAATTTAACGATGGATGAACAGGAAAACCATGGCAACAAACCGAGTCCACTGATGACAAAGCAATATAACCTAAAAAGGATAAAATGATCTTTCCAAGGCCGTGTCGCGCCTCGTCGTCATTTTGGGAGCCCCTTTTGTTGAAGCGACATCATCCCCAGCATCAACCATTTGAACACCCAGAAAGCAAGGCGTTTTTCATTGCATTCGTCAGTATCAGGCGTCAAGCCCAGCATTCTTGCGTTGGAAAAATGGCCAAACCTCGCGGTCCTATTCTCCAATTGCGCGTTAATGCCCCGCAAGGAAGCCGCACTGTGGTTATCCCAAAGTCCTTCAGTTTCTGGAATTTGCACCGCGTCATTCAAATTGCGTTTGCGCCAGGCATTCAGGATGCTACTATTGAGAAAAGGGTGGGATTCAAGCGTTTTCCATTCGTTTTTCTTAGTACTGCCACTCTAATACCCTTTGCGTCAGACTTACGAATACAAGCAAGGAGAGACAAAGCCGAAAAAAGGAAAGATGACCAAAATGGATTGCCTATCCTTGAACGAAGGAGAAAAGTTTGAATACAGCTGCAGTGTGTATCAATCTTAGTCGGGATTCTTCGGAGCCAAAGCCGATTAAAGGAAACCAACAGTTGGTTTGTTCTTGTCGACTAGATGGAGTTGACTATACGATCGAAGTAGAAACCGCTGTGGAGAATGGCGAGATCAACAACTTTATTCCTCGATGTATTCACGGTGATGGCGAAAAATTGGAGCTAGATGCCGTAAACAAGAAGCTCATGTTCAAGAGGTACGAGAACAGTCTGATCCGTTCATCGGCGCGGAAAATGCGGAACAAGATTCAGTATTTCATCGTTTCATACAGGTTTGGAATGAATCCTTCCATGAATAAGAAGCCCCGCCAGGCACCGAAAATCATTGTCATGGCAGGTGAACCGGATTATATGATTTGGAAAACGTACATGAACGCTATGCGCGTTCCCGCCCGTGCTGCTGAAGAATATTGATACCCCAGAGCGATCTCCCCTTATTCGCCTATATCGTAAGAGTGTATATCGATTGGCCCCCTTTTCACCCATATTTTCGAATCTTGTATAATTGTTCTCGCGACCCGCATTTTTGTTGAAATATATACTTCCGGACCTTGAGCCGATACTCATATATTGCCCAAGTTTCTAGATATGACTATAACTTGACTCTTACTATGCTGACTCTTACAAGATGATGTGATATCTATGGGAGACTGTACAAATGGAGGCTTTATGTTTACTGTTCGGTATCCTGCCTTTTGCTCTTCTTCTTCCTTGGCTTGCCTGCTCTGGGATATTCTCTTTGCCACAGTTCCTTTAACACAAAAGATATTAAATTTTCCTGCTTCAAAAATAAATAATGTTCCCTGACATTTACCTTAACCCACCGGCCACCACCGGCCAATGTCTGGCGCTGTTGCTCAAAGGCTTCTTCGATACGCCGATCTTCCTCTTCCTGCTCATCCGTCGGTGGAGGTGAGGATGTGCACCGCAGTCCGTCAACATCCCCATCAGAAGATTTCATCATCTTCCCGTTCCGACCAGTCGCTGCCTCATGCAGGGCTCGATCCTTTTCCTTCTCAATTGTTGCTGTATCTGGCGCAGGGTTTTCGTTACTGAAGCGACCCGAGTGCACCGCGTTGAGAAGCCAGAGCCAGTTTATTGCTTGAAAAACCTAGACAGTGACTCAGTCAATCAGGACCTCAAAATGGGGCATTCCTTTCGTAGATTACATACTGTAAAGTATTCTTCAGAAACAAAGTCTGCCGCAGCCCTTGACATTCTGGTATGGAGCTTGGCATCGGTGATAAGATTGTAGAGATGTTGAACCACTTGTTCAATGTCCCCAACTTCCACGAGGAAGCCCGTACGACCGTGCTGTATTTGATGCGGGATACCGCCAGCCTTATATGCAATGACCGGCACACCTTTGGCGAGCGCTTCAGTTACCTTGATCTCAAAACCTGTCACATCATTCAGCTTTGGGTCAGAAATGATTTGCGTTACTAAGAAAATACGCGACTTCACCTTCGCGAGTAGACAATTGGAGGGCCACATGGGCGCCACGGAGTAAAGCATTCAACAACTGATCAGAGGGCGGCAAACTACAAAAGGCAGGTAAGTCTCCAGATATGCGCGTCACGGACCATGTAATACCGACCGCGCTGCAATAATGTCGTCCGCAATCCACGCATACTCTTCCTGCCCCAGAATCTCCAAAACTTGCTCAAACACTACATTTCCATCCGGATCATCGATACTTCCGTGTCCGGCAACGACTAACTGCGGCGTGTCCTCAATAGGAACATTATTATCACGCAACCGCTGTCGCAACAGTTTGTACGCTTTGAGTAGGTGTGGAATGCCTAATTCAAAGCAGTAATGATCATAAACAAGCGGTCTTTTAAGATCAGCAAAAAAGCATACCTTTACTAGGATCGAATCGGCAAATTTGTGCAACATAAGGTCTATTTGCAAAGTCAACCATTTTCCCAGTCGTGTCAAGGCTAATACGGTTAAAAATGGCTTGATAGTAATACATCGCTTCCGAATCCAATTCCTTGTTGAGCCCATCTATGGGATCAGTTGACGCTGGCATCATGACGAGGCGATCTTTTGGCACGCACGACGGAACAAAGTTTGCCACCTGTGTAAGAAGCATTAGTCCACAGAGTCATGCAAGCAATAAGCTGCATTATCTCTCAAACCTACAGGATGAGAAATAAAAACGTCCGCATGGCGGATAAATTTCCAAAGATACGACCAAACGTGGTGCTGTTCGGTACTCGGGTTATCAGCAAGATCCGCAGTTACTAGATCACAGAGTCCATTAGCGAGGCGCTCCTGCTTCGTAGAAACGGAAACGCTCGTCTCTACCTTCAATGTGACTCCGGTAGATGATCTTGCAACTGGGATTCAACCGCTTAATGTAGGGAATAATTCCGCATGCTGCCTTATGCAATTAGTCAATCAAGACAGCGTATCAATTTAAATGATAAATTACGAACGTTGAGGATCATCAATGACGATAACGTCGGATTGCACAATCGGACCGTCAGCCCAGTAACGCTGTACGTTGTCCCTTGCCCACTGCAAGTCAATTTTATGAGCTTTGAGTCACTAATAGCGAAGCCATGGTACGTACACTTTCGAACATTTTCTTATCCTCGTCTGTTAAATGAACATCCTTCGGGGCGACACCCTGGAGTACATTGTGGAACTTGCGCTTTGTGATATCAAAGATTTCAGGCTTTGGCTTCATAACAAACCACTTGACATTCACCCCCATCAAACGAAAGAGCCGCAGCAGTGCATGCCTCATGAGAGCCACTAAGATGATTGATGCATATGTCATTAGTTGTCGATTAAATCCAAATAAGCAGTAGTAGACTCACCTCCTCCGCCTTGGGGAGTTGAGTTGAAGAAAGATATCTGGATATAGCGATCTCGCGTAAGCTAACAGTTAAAAAATAGAATGATAAGCTTGAGCGTACAATAGTGTCCAAAATATCTTGTAAGGCCTACCTCGACCAACTTGGTGAAGATGTCCCATGTTTCGGGAGTTACAGTCCTCTCATAATCAATGCTATCTGCAAGATGAATTCTGAGATACGATATAAATACAAATCTCAATATATACAACGCAGATTGATTTTATGCACGCCAACCTTCCGTTGGCGTCAACTTCCACCTATTAGCATAACAGAAAGGTTCAAGGATTCAGTTGCCATCAAGGATCAACGAACAGTGAAGGGCCGACTAACCTCATGTCTGTAGCCGCAGCAGATGCGAGGTATGTTTCCAGCAATGTGCGGGTTAAGAGCGAGCTCAGCTTTGCGCGCAGCCGAACATGCACGCTCATCCAGAGTGAATCCCTTGGTTTCCACAACAATTGGAAGGATATCCAGCTCAAACCACAGACGTGCAGGTAACCTAAGGCTGCCAGAATCCGAGTCTTCATCATGATTTCTGAGGTACATGTCACCATATCCAACGCAGACGTCCTGTCCAGCTGCCACACCAATACCAGCCGCATGAATTTTGTAGCGGTGTGACTTGGCATATTCACGCAACCATATGATGATAGCGTCTTCCATATTACGAAGGTGGTCACCGTCAATGCTTTGCGGAGCCTCCGAATCACTGGAAGGCGGAGGTGAGCGCCGTTGTTGAGTGCCAGCTTGTCCGCTTTCCTTTGTGTTTTGCTTGTCGAGATCATTCTGATCGTCTTCGTCTATCTTAGCCACCTCATTTTCTGGCGCTTCCGAAAACGCACCATCGGACCCAGACTCCATGAATTGGGTTGTAAAGTCCACTTCGTAGAATCCATCATGTACATAAACACAAAAGGCAGGTCGGGGACCGCGGGCCTCTATTTCTATTCCGACATAGACACCTTGTGGAGGGGCGGCTTTTCCTGGAGTTCTAGAAGTCCCGCTAATCGACAGAGCTCGGCGCCTAGGCACGGGCGGCGGCGGAGCAGGGTGGTCGGCGAGATCTCTCGGGAATGAGTCAGCAGTAGCCATTTACATGTATGTGAATTGCAAGGCTGTAGACTATCGTCTATAACGTCGTATTCTTTTTAAAGGCAGCGAAAGCAAACGCAGCGGCCAGATGGCCCCTTCAGGCTTTGCTATGGCTCAAGACGACAACGGAACTGATGACGTACGTGCAATTGATGACGTGACCAAGGCTGACTCATTGCCCAGTCGCTCTTCTCGCATCTTCCACGCGGTTTCCGTTCAAAGCAAAACGTTTTGTCTTCTTGCTTTTGCTTCATCTCCCATTCGCTACGACATGCTAAAGGTTTGTCGCTCGCTAAAGGTTTCTCCACGGGTAGTGTCGGGTGTCCGGGCGGCGGTCTGTCGTGTTCCGGTCATTCCGGCGCGATCTGCCTTGGGTCCATGTCACAAGATTGTCTCGCCGTCCATTGCACGACACTATGTCAATGGACCAGGTAGGTAGACTGATAACGTTAGAAACTAGATGTTCTAGATCAAGGCATATCAGAATAGTAGAGCAGTTAGACTTTTTGAAAATGATAAATAAAGACATTGTAACTCGTTTTTTTTTTTGCGGCACTATTGCTAACGCATACTCTGTCTGTTCATGTTTCCCTTAATGAGGCGGCGGTGGTTTTCCGGGAATGCGCATGAACCCTGCAAATGCACCTCCGCCTGAAAAAGGGGCAGCACTCAAACAATTTGGTATCGACTTGACAGAACTTGCTGCCGCCGGCAAGCTAGATCCTGTCATCGGACGAGGTTTGATGATGCATTTAACTAGCACAAAAGCATAATACACAGACTACTGAACTTTGATATATTCCTCGCGTCTTAAATTATCCAGATGAGGAAATTAGGCGCACAATTCAAGTGTCGGTATTGGTAAAATCTGGTATTCTCTAGTACTGCATCTCTCATGAGATATGTCTTCAATTCAGACTTTGCCGCCGAACAAAAAACAATCCATGCCTCATAGGTGAGGCCGGCGTTGGGAAGACTGCCATCATTGAGGGTCTGGCCCAAAGAATTGAAAAGGGAGAAGTGTGCGTCCCCGGTATTTCACTTTGCATCACAGCAAGGCATTATACTGATTCAAAGAGTAGTCCGGACAGTATGAGAAATAAACGAGTGATTGCGCTAGATTTAGGAGCTCTGGTCGCTGGGACAAAGTTCCGGTAAAGTTTCTTGGGATACTGCTTATGATAGATGATTACGACCAAGTCTACTAACTGACTATTGAATAGAGGCGAGTTCGAAGACCGCTTGAAGGCAGTTCTTCGCGACGTACAAGAAGAAGAGGGAAAGCTCATCTTATTCATCGATGGTACCCAATGATATATTTTTAAGTGGTCGAGCCCATATCTAATGAGCCCTACCAGAACTTCATACATTATTTGGGTTGGGCAAATCGGAAGGAGGAATGGATGCAAGCAATATGTTAAAGCCTGCCTTGGCGAGAGGGACCTTACGCTGCTGTGGTGCAACCACCATTGACGAGTACCGCAAGTACATCGAAAAGGTACATCGTTTGGCACATACGCATGAAGCATCGGCTGAACTTGACACTCTTGCCAGGATCCCGCTCTTGCCCGCCGATTTCAGTCCGTGCTCGTGGAAGAGCCAAGTCCTGAGGCCACAATTTCGATTCTCCGCGGGTGTAAGCAAATTCGCATCATATGAATCTCCCATGACATACTTGTTATTCATGGTCTATTTTACAGTGAAGGAGCGTTATGAAGTACATCACGGTGTCCGCATTGCGGATAGCGCCCTGGTAGCAGCAGCGCAACACGCTCATCGCTACATCACAGATCGCTTCCTGCCAGATTCAGCTATCGATCTGGTTGATGAAGCATGTGCATCGTTGCGGTTGGCTCAAGAAAGTAAACCCGAAGCACTCGAAAAGTTGGAACGTCAGATTTTGACAATTGAGATTGAGCTTGAGTCTTTGCGGAAGGTAGATGACACTTTGCGATGATGGTGCATAACAATAAGTTGATATCACATTGTAAAGGAAACGGATGCGGGGTCAAGAGAGCGGCGGCAAAAACTGGAGAAGGAACTCGAGGAAAAGAGACATCAGGAAAAAGAGCTGACGAAGATCTGGCAGCAGGAGAGGTAATCTGGTGCGCACCATGGGCTCCTATCAGGACAATGGCTATAATTTGCGCTATGCACAGGCAGCGAATTGAGCATATCAAGCAACTGAAACAGCGATTGGAGCAAGCCCGCATGGAGTTTGAAATGGCTCAGCGGCGCGGAGATCTTGGCCGAGCGAGTCAGCTTTTGTATGAAGTCATTCCGAAGCTTGAAAGGGAGCTGCCAGAAGACACGTATGTAGCCTTAGCATCGTGCCAGAATTATGCTCCTGCTCATAAACTTTTGCTCATAGTGAAGAGATGGAAGGACCTGAAAGACTCATCCATGAACGCGTAACTGCGAATGACATTGCACGCGTCGTATCGAAACGAACGGGTATTCCCGTACAGGTGCGCGTCTGACGGAAGGGTCGTTAGATAAAACGGACGGTCCCAACGTACTTACTTTTGATCCTTCAGAATTTACTACGTGGCGAGAGGGAGAAGCTTCTGCGTGTATGCTACCGCTTCATTCCACAAAGTATAGCCACGATGTAACCGTTTTCAATCTCTCCAGATGGCAGATGTACTGCGAAAGCGAGTCATTGGACAAGATGAGGCCATTCATGCTGTCACGGAAGCAGTTAGGTAGGCCCCACAAATATCGTTTATAATTGTGTACAATGCGCTCTTTTTAACATGCGCGGTGCAGATTGAGTCGCGCAGGCCTGCAGTCACAAACTCGGCCCGTCGCATCCTTCATGTTTTTGGGTAGGAATTTGTGTTGATTTTTGCCCTAATCAGATGCTAATTTGAATTTCATTTAGGTCCCACCGGTGTTGGCAAGGTTAGATTGGCTTATGGGATAGGGCGCCGAATATGTGAGCTTGACGTGACATGTATTCCAGACCGAGCTATGTAAAGCACTTGCCGAGTTTTTATTTGACACGGAGCACGCCATTGTTCGCATCGATATGAGCGAGTACATGGAAAAGGTACCAAAAAAAAGTTCTGCTGGCCGCGCAAATGAAACTCATCGTTGGCTGTAGTTCTCTGTTTCCCGCCTGATTGGGGCACCACCAGGGTATGCTTTGAGGATGAGTTTAGCAACTGATGCAAATGTCTCACTTTGAGCAATCAAGATATATTGGGTTTGAGGAAGGTGGTGAGCTCACAGAAGCGGTTCGACGGAAGGTATTTTCACGGTTCCTCGCTTGATATTATTTTATGTATGTTTGCAGCAGTTAATCCACTCTGTAGCCATACTCTGTGGTCCTGCTGGACGAAATTGAAAAAGCCCATCGAGATGTGACCAACCTCTTGTTGCAAGGTGCGATACCAATATGTTTGAAGCATCACGCCGATCCCCCTAACTGTGTTGCTGCATTCCAAAGTTCTCGATGACGGAGTGCTTACGGACTCACACGGACATAAAGTGGACTTCCGTAACACTATCATAATCATGACCTCCAACTTGGGTATTTTCTTTGTCTCTCTGCAAAATCCATCTTGCCACGGTTAACCATTAGAATGAACAGGTGCTGATATTTTAACCATGCAACCTGAAGGACCACTCACACCTTACGCGAAAGAGGAGGTGTTGAATGCTGTGTGTAACGCCACGTTCTCCTCGTATATATATGAAATCTTCTTGCTAAAAACTTGTAATGCCTAGGTGCGTGGATATTTCCCACCAGAGTTTGTCAACCGGTAGGTGTACTTGTTTTTGGTCTCTTCGTCATCACGCATTCTCATTCTGCCGGGACGTGAACCAGAATCGATGAACAAGTCATTTTCAACCGTCTTTCGAGGGAAATGATCCGACAAATCGTTGATGTCCGTTTACGCGATGTGCAGAAACGTGTACAGGATCATCACCTTAAGCTGGATGTGGATGACGAGGCAAAGGTGAGGCCCCTACTGTGTTTGTTGCAGGTGTTTGTGTGGCTAATTCTTCTCAACGTCTTTTAGCAATGGTTGGCTGATGCCGGCTATGATCCCATATACGGTAAGCCAATTCTGATACCTATCTATTACATGTCTCTTCAGGTCTGCTTGCTCACTTCTATATCCGTCTAGGTGCACGTCCTCTGAACAGAGTCATCCAAAAGCATCTTCTGAATTCATTGGCGGACGCACTTATCGGTACGTACCCACGTTCCTACTCTATGGTTGACACTGATGAACACATTTCCATTGGACTATCATAGAGGGTTCGATACGGGACGGAGAAACGGTGAAGATCAGAGTGCAGCCAAACGATCGTGGAGAACCGGTCCTGGTCGTGGAGAAGAACCACGAACCTCAACTCTCCTGAGGATCTAGACGTTAGACACTTTAGGCGCATGTGGCAGCGAGTGTATTGCCTGCAATGCGGCCTGCTTGTATATACAAAAATATTAATTTCATGCATGCAACTCTATCTATATAAGCGCCAAATTCGTTCGTACTAATCCACCTCTAAAGTTACTCATCGGTTGCGACATTTTCTGGAGTCGTCGAAATGCCTCGTGAATATGTACAGGATGCAAGGGCTTCTGCTCATGTGTAGGCTTTGCAAACAACCCTACATTCTTCTTCTCCTGAACTCGCTTCGCTTTTTCCTTTTCATCCATTTTTCGTTCGTCCCATTCTTTTTTGATTTTGAGTCCAGTTTCCGTTAGCTTTGATACCATTTCATATGCGAGGAAGCCAAGAATGTCTATGACTTCTGCAATGGGTTTGTTTTCATAGTATCTAAAAGTACTGTTAGTGCTGATGCACATTGGTTTACAAGGGACTGGCTACTCACGTTCCCATTTCACACCATTTTCGAAACCGCGCCAATTTTTTATATGTAAAAGATGCTTGCCGACATTCTGAATAATACATGTATTCTTCCTTTGTCATTGTGCGGGTGACCTCGTCAGCTGTCTGGAAGAGACACACGCAACATTAATCAAAGCAAAATCTTCAATAAGCAAATGAAAGAGTCTGCGCCTACCTTTAAACGCGCAATTTGGTATTCGTACGCCTGCTGCTCATCTTCATCTACAATGTCGTCATCGTCATCTTCAAGCACAGAGCTGTAGTGATTTATTATGTCCCAGGAGAACTTGATTTTCTTCCGCACCATGCCGGCTTAAAGGAAGCAATACCATCACCAGTGAACAACTTATCGACCAGCACTCCGACAAACTGTGAGACCCTTACTTCCTCCAGAGTCGTCCAACCCCTCATCATCCGCAATCTGTTCCACAGGAGCAGGGTTCTTCTTGGCAGACTTTTGGGCGTCCTTGTATGTAAGAAATGTTCGGAGGGTATTGACTTTTTGGCGATCGTGGCGAATCAAGAATATCAAATCTTCAGCAATGAGGAACCGAGAATTGCGCTTTGCTGCTTGCTGCACAGCTCGTACTATCTAGAATGCATCAGATATCAGTTTCCGAGTGCACGTAAAAGGACCCTTGCCAAAGCATTGACGGACAATTTCAATCATTTGCGATCGCACAATCTCCTCAATTAACAACGTCGTTTCCTCAAGCGGCTCGGTGACTTCTCCAAAAACATACATCATCTGTACAAGAAATTGAGACGGTCTCTCCTGTGGCTCTGAAGGCGGGAAGGCCAGTCACCCACCTGCTGAATCTCCGTCTGATATAGTGGCTGTCGGTGATTGCTCTACACAAGTTTACATCAGTGTCCCATTCACATATTGTCCCCGAAGGAAACGAATACGCACATGTTTGGAGGACATTTCGAGGAAACAGATGCCGCAACGTACGTCTTGCGCCTCGCCTTTACGTAGGTACAGATGGCTTTGACGAAAACGGAGAATCGCTGACGAGTTGGCAAACCAAATCTCCTGCCTAAGCCTTCCATTCGAATGTCAAACCAGGTTGGTCAGCTGGCTATAAAGTTGCAGTTCCCGCCGATCGCCCCGATCCTTACTTAAACTTTCCACGAACGAAGGAGAAACGACGAAAACGAACGATGGTTCATCGTCTTTCAACCAAATTTCGAAATCTGAAGCCTAGCGATCTTTATGCAGCTTTACGATATGCTGTCCTGTGGCCCTTTTATCTCGTCGTATTCTTGGAGCAACACCGTCGAGCGACACTTGCTCGGCGAGCCCAAACCTGGCAGCAACCACCAGACTTTATCTTGCGCCCTCTTGCCCGCCTCGTTCTGACCATATTCCCAGTAACAGTTCAAAATGAGGCGATAGTCGCTCAACTCACTGAGCAGAATTCCCGCATCCTTTATGTGGAAAATCATCAGCTGCTGGCGCTCGAGCTTGCCACTACTTTGTCGACCGTTTATTTACTGACAGGACGTCTCCCACGTGGTATTATGGATCGCGTTCACCTCAAAATACCGCTGTGGGCAGATTTGCTCACAGCTCTTGGTGCAATTAACGGAGATCCCGCATCAGTAGCTGACGCAATGGCTAAGGGCCACAACCTCCTTGTCCTCCCCGGAGGACACCACGAGGTTTACCGTAAAAAATCAGACAGAAAGTATAGCCTCCAGTGGCGAAAAAGAGCTGGATTTGCCCGTCTCGCTGTCCAGCATCAGTATACTATCGTGCCCATATCTGGCATTGGATGCGAGGACATGCTACACATACTTACGGATGTAGCTATACCGGATGGATTTATGAGCAAGGTGATTCGGGACGAACGAAAGGGCATGAGCCTTCCTATTTGCCTACCAGTAAGCTATGAAATGCAGTATTTCCGCTTTGGCAGGCCAATTAGATGTGACAAGTTAAACGGAAACTGGGAAGACGTAGACAAGGTTTGGGGTATCCGAGAGAAAACAAGGCGAGCGGTTGAAGGAGGAATAGAGAAATTGATAGCAAAACGGAGCAGCGATGGTAGAAAAAGATGGGTAGCATCAGGCTTGGTCCGCCGTTTTCAGAAACTGGCTACAGGCGAGGAACTTGTTTGTCTGGCGTGAAGGAGACGGCGGATCAACAGTAATAATTGTTACAATTGAAGTAGCCTGTTAGTTATATCAATATTCAAACAAAATAATAAGACGAGCGGGCGTTGATTGTCTGTCACTGCAGAATCCCTTGTAATTCATTCCAGAGACATTATCAGACGGACTCGATGTTTCGTCCGTTGAGAAGATCCAAGGCATGGTGAGTGTGCTTCGAAGTCCAAGGAAAAGGAGTGAAATGTTTTCCATATCCCAATGTAAACAATGTATGAAAGAAAGACAGCTAACGTAGTCGAGTTGGTGAAGGCCAGAGGTGATCGGCGTTTGCGACTGGCATGTTCGCGTAAGCTGGTTCGAATGTGCTTTAATGTGTTTGGACAGACGGGCACTACATCTGGCACTTGCAAATTCAGCGTGATCTCGGCAGAGCACAATGCAGGACATCTCCCCAAACTCTTCCCGGTTCGCCCATACGCTAGCGGCCTTGTTCCCTCCTAGAAAGGTGTTTGTGAGATTGTCATACTTGCAACAGTCCTACGAACGCACTGCTGGGGAAGGAAGTTGGTCTCGGTACTTCAAGAGCTGGGCAGATTGTGTCCAGACCGCCTGCTCACAACCGTCCAGCACACTCCGTTTCGTTCAGATCAAGGATCAAAGTGGGAATGGGCGAGAAGCATGGATCTGCTCGCTGACACGATTGGGACATGCTGGTTTGCACGACATTGTCGAGCATACACGGCGAATGGATATTGCGGTGCTGGCAAAAATGTGGGCAATGAGGCAATCGGAACACGTGGACCCATATCCTGACTCGACAACCAGTTCTGAGCTGCATGAGCTGCAGAGAGTGCTGCGAAAACACGAGGACTGCTGTGAGGTCTCATCAAAAGGAGTTAGGATCAACAATATCGACGACCATCGGCGCTCGGTTGATGGGGACGCCTATCATTACCGACCCAGCAAATCCACTCCCCCGGTGTCTTCTCAGCGTGACCCAGATGATGCTGCCTTCAAACGAAAGCGCGTGAACAGCCCGACGAGCATGTTAGAGACATTGTCAAATAGTCGAAGACAATCACGATCTGCCTCACCCGTTCGAGAACCAAAAGCAAAACGACGCTCAGAAAGTTCTTCGTCAATATCAGCTTCAAGAGTGAAGAAGGAACCAGTGGATTTATTCAAGTACACACCCTTTTCTGCACAAACACACGAATCGCCCTCACCAGCGTCGACTACAATTAAAGTCAAAATTCGCGAGCAACCACCAGTCAAAGATCCAGAACTAATCAAAGCTTTTCGGGTTTTGTATGGATGTCATGCAACCGTTGTTCATCCACCGGGTACCTCCTTGTTCGGAGTGACGAATCCACTCCTAAGGGGCGTTGGTGGCCTTAAAAACGTCAGTGGGGGAAAAGGCGGTGCATGGGCAAGTTGAGAGTCGTAATTAATGTCCGAGTTTGTTTTCCTTATGTATATTAGAAACAAATGCGAGGAATGTACATGCAAGCTTTTATTTCGTCGTATGGTCATCCACCTTGAAGCTTAGCCCGGCGACTGGATGACACATGGACCCACGTGATCAACTGACCACAATCGACTCTTCTTGTGCCTGGGCGGCTTTCCCCAACAGCAGGAGGAGGAGGGCAAGATCGTATCCCGTTTTCCCCGCGGCTGTGAGCTCTGTCTCCGGACAAGAGCCTTACTTGGTTTTGTCTGTCATCTTGCTGTATGCTGTGCCAGTCATGTCGGCGAGTAAGAAAGGGCATAAGGCAGCGGCTGCATTGTACGTACCCCGACACCGCCGAGGTGCTCTGGAAGAACCAAACAACCAGGAAACGGTACCAGCCGAGGTACTATTCCAATGTGCATCTGTTACTTGCATGTAACTGTGCTTGCTGAATACCGTTCTTTCTCGCTCCAGGCCACTGAGATTAAAACTGAAGTCCAGAATTCACCAGCATCCAGTCGTTCGTCAAGTCCTGTACGACAGCGTTCTACACCTTCCGGTACGCCAGTACGCAAGGGACGTGGGCAATTTACTCGCATATCAAGTCATGATGGGGACAAGAATGCCGAGGAGAAAATGGGTCGTCGCGAACGGGCAGCACCTACTAGAGTGTATCCTCAATGGCAACATGATATAGATAGTGCCAAGGAAAATGGCGGCGGACAAGCTGCAGCCCAATCCGCGAAACGACTTTCTGAGAAATTAGGCAAATTATCACTCCAAGACGAATCTTCAACATCTAGTGTTGATGGAGGTTCAGCTAAACCCGATAGTGACTCGGAGGAAGACGATTGGGAACGACTCGATGAAGAGGATCAAATCATACCAGTAATGGTACAACCCGACACCGATAACACTAGATCAACCACCCGTGTCGCCGGAACAGTTGAAGACTTGGAACCATTAGATGGTTCGGACATGTTTTGCAAATTATCATGTTTGAACGTCTGCTTAATTGTCTTTCGTAGGCCCAACGACTGTGCTCGATGTGTATGATTTTCCTGCAGCTTTCAAAACACATGATATCGAAGAAATCTTTCAAGACTTTAGCCACTCGAGGGGAGGATATCGGATCAAGTGGATTAGCGATACCCAAGCCTTGATAATTTTTCAACATCCTGATACAGGTACCAAACACCAGGCGCATTTCAAGGTTGTCCACGAATGGGGTAGTTGACATTAGATTTGGCACTCGCACAGCAAAGGCAGCCTATGCTGCCGCATTGGGCAATCCCTTCATCAAGGTGTGAAGGGCAGCTTTGGCTCACAATATTTGGTGATGTGCTAACCCGCGTGGTTTAGGTCAAACCTTACACTGGAAAGGTATCGAGGGACACGGCATCTGGTGGGTTTTTAGGAATTGCCTTCGTATACGTTATACCCATTTAGTTGTGCGGCTGACGTCTTGATTGTTTTGTTATAATCTCCGCAGACCGACCATTGGCGCCTCGGCCCATCATGACAGGTTGGATGATGCCATCTTAGCCCGTCTGTCACACCAACCATTGATGCTGAACTTATAACACAGATATGGTCGCAAGGCGTCTCGTAGCCGGTGCTCTTGGAGTACGTTCAAAACGAAAGACAGAGGAAGAAGCGGCGAGGGATAGACAGAAATTGCAGGAAGCAAAAGGTATGAAAATCAACGCAATCAAAGTTGAACTAATTTGGTGCTGACAAACTATGGATTGACCAGATAAACGAGAGGAACAGAGGAAAGCTAAAGAAGCAAGAGAAAAGGAAATTGCGGCGGCCTGGGATGGGTGATGCGCAGATTTTCAACTGCCTTCCTTCACCCGATTTATTTGTCCATGGGTAGTGACCCGTTCGTGCCGTCCCCGCCATACCTTTTCCCCGCAGAATTGGCGTGCGTCGTTGTCGTCAACTGTCAAATACCTCTGAGGCTCAGGGGCCCCGCAACTCTTCACCACTTTGCCCGTGGATACCCGTCCAATCACTTTATTTTGCACGTTCGCATTATGTATTTAATCTCTTCTCTTAGACTATGGCCCCCATGCGAAATGTGAGACCTAAGCGCTTATGCAAAATATTCTCAATAAATAAGTATCACTATCCCATTGCGCCTATATTGTCATTCTTCCATAGCACCCGGGCGGCGAATCCACAGCGAAAGAGTGTCCTTCAGGCTACTTGGAGGTTCCAGTTGCTCAGGTATCTCGGTTTGTGGCTCGATCGTATGGGAAGCAGAGAATGAAGCAGGCTCTACAATGCGTCTCCACAACGCAACATGGCTCGCCTCGCTCTCATATACTATCGCCACTTCATTGTCCATCCGTTACTGTCCGCTCGTTCACTCCGTTTTTTATCCTCTCCACCTTCCTCCTAATCAACGCCCCTAGCTTCTCCTGAGGATCCGGATGCGCTTCCCGCTCATGAATAAGGTAGCCCGCAAACCCGATGGAACTGAACAGGAACGGGTCAATTGTGGGCGATATGAAGGATGTGTAGCGGACTAATCGGGGTGCCGTCGACATGATTGGCTTTGGAATTCGGTTCAAAATGTCCGTCCAAAGTGGTGCTTGGAAAGATCGCAAGTGTGAGTCATTGAAGAACTGTGCCACTTGACCTTGCAAGCAGGACGGAGAACATATGTTCAATTGGACATTCACTCGCAAATGGCACCGATGGATCGCTTTAGGATAACACAAGGACGGCTCCAAATAGGAATAAGAGGTAGGTTCTCCTTTATTTTGCCAGCCTCGATGTTTACGGAAATGATGTTAACATTCCGACATTTGACAGGATATGCCACACAGCAAGTGCAATCCTTAACATTTGCCCAGCGCTTCGGAACACCCATCAGCACATTCCTTCTGTACAGCTCCCTAACCCTAATATCTCTTCAATACCTTTGGACACGACTCACTTTTGAAGAGACGCGGTTACGGGAGGACGCGGGAATGCAGGACTTGACCGAACAGGTGCAAAGGTTGAGAGACGAGAAACTGAAAATGCAGGCGGGACAACCAGGAAAAGGGGAAGGGGAGCTGCCACAGGGGAAGAATAAACGATGGTGGTTATGGTAGAACATCGGGGTGCCTTTCCTGCAATCTATTTATTTATTTCACGCACGTGAAGCAAGGTTCGCAGTTATCGCAGCAACAAATGTATAAGATGTTTCATATTACAATTTTAGACAGATCCTGATGTAGAGGCTAGAAATTTGTCAATATCTTCATCTTCTGGATTGAGGTCTCCAACACTTCCGGCATCAGGGAACGATGCCAGGTCATCAAAATCCAAGTCTCCCTGCGAGACAAAGTCAAGTCAGCACGTTTGTTGAGAGTGGGCCGATTTGAGTGCATCATCACTTACCCGTAGTGACCCCGTGCCTGTAGTGTTTACTTCCAGACTCATATGGCTCATGTTGTCGGATATTGCGTCGAACCGTTCGTCAGAGGTGAACGATCTGGTCTGGAAGCATGTGATTCACAACGCATTAGGCGATTGCATCCAAAATTTCGAGCACAGAACGATCATGCACACCTCTTCATCACCAGGAATATGGCCTTCCTCCAGGTTCAATCGAACACGTGGTCCTCCACGGTTATCTCCATTCACCTCAGGTTGCAACTCTGGTGGACCGTCAGGGAATCGTTCCTTCAGTTCTGCTCATTACAGCAATATCAGTATGTGTCAAACAATGGCGTCCCCAGACCGTACTCACGGCCGACCACGTCCCACTCCAAACTGTCCTTCCATTCTAAATATTCCGTCGCAGGCACTGGTCCCTTCTCCCGTCGCCGTTTGAATCCCTCCTCAGCAAACAGACCATACTTGAAGTCTGGGAACAGTTCCTCATTTTCAGTGGGTCCTGCTATCGCTTCTGCAACCTTGGCCTTGTTGTCCTTTATGAGAGACTGGCGCAGAAGATTGACAACACGGGGTACTTGACTCGGCATGTAGGTACGCGCCAACAATGCAGCTTCAGGGATACGATCCGTGGACGTCAAGAGGTCAATGCATTGCTCAATGTCTCCGCGAAGCAAATATGACATGAAAGCGATATTGTTCCTGCCCTGCTCTACCGCGAGCTCGGCAAGTTGTGCTAGACCTTGACTGTTTCCTGCTGCCTGGTACATTAGCAACAAGCCCTCAAAGTCCTTTGCGTTCTTGAGACAATCTTCTGCCAATCCAAACTGCCACATTTCCAAGGCCTTGTCTCCGACAGTCTTCCACTTGTCCGCCTGATCGAGAGACTGAGCAACTTCATGAGCTACATCCAGCTTTTGAAGCTGAATAGCAAGATCGAATCGGTGCTCTGGATCCGCCGTCACAGCCAGAGCTTGCTCCTTCATATTCTGGCTCTCCAAAAACTTGGCCACCCGATTTCTTTGATCTGCTGGAACACTTGGCAGTAAGCTATCCGCCGTTGCCAAATCACCTCGTAGGACAGCGGTTTGGTATTGAATAAGCGTGATGGGAAGGGCGTAGCTCGACACGTTGAGGTCCTTATCCGACAGGTACACTCGGTTGATGTAACCGAGGACGTACATAGTCGTGTCAAAATGGGCAAGAGTAGACGTTTGTCCTCCAACCAGGTAGTTCAGCCGGTTGGCCGAGTTCGTGTATATAAAGCTATCGCCAACCCAACATCCCGTCTTCACGCTACACAAGCAGGTGCGTCAACATGTGATCAAGAGATTGCGATGCGGGGTACTCACCTTTCTGCGATCTCGGTAACAAACTCCACCGCCTCCTCAATTCCTTCCTCGCCAACCGTGTTAGCTCCGTGCCTTTCCACGTATTGCTGGTATGCAATTCGGTTGAACTTGAGAACGTAGGTCGTGTCATCACAGACAATCGCTACCAAGTCTGATTCGGACCAATATACCTAAGGTTGTAATGCTGTCAGCAAGAGCGCGGGTCATTTTGGCAATTTCCTTCAAAAGAAAACCTACATTCCGTGCAACCACATCAACCCTACGCACGCACACACCAGTCTCCCAGTCATAGAAGTTCAGGAAGTTGCTACCACGAATACCGAGGAGCGCTCCGCCGTAAATTCCTTCCGCACTATATGTGGGTCTGATAACCACATCGGTCTTTTCCTTGAAGTTCTTAAAGACTTTGACCTTTGACGAGGATTCGCGGATAGCGTACCTATACCCTACTAGGTTAATTGAATGTGCCTAGCTGCAATATCATTTCGCCAATACCCACTCATTGGAATCCAATGCCCAAACAAACTCCAAGGCGCTTCCAAAGCTCTTGTTTCGCCATGCCAGTGCAGTGTAGATAATATACTCGCCATCCCCGCACACCACAACGAAGCGGCCATTCGGACTGTGCTGCAGCATCTGCGGGTAGATCTCACAGCTTCCCAGTTCCTTGGTTGCAAGGCTAATCCGTTCGCCGTCCTTTATGCTTTCGTCCACACTCGCTTTAACGTTCGCCGTTAGAATTTCACTGTGACGTGCCCAAATGATCTTTCCTCCATTGTCCATGCTCACTGCTGGCTCTTCCCGCCCAAGCTATTATAGATGAACCCTTAGCAATGAATCGGCGTCGCACAAGCATATCAGCGATGGTAGTGACACGCACCTTGATGGCAATGGTTCCCTCGTCATATCCAAAGGCGACATCGTTGCTGCCACGGGAATAAGCCACAGCCCACGCCCGTTCCATTCCATAGTTGAGGGTGTTTTCCAGGCGGTATGTATTGGCATGCCAAAGACGTACAGTACCTAATAAACTCAGTCAGCGTGATAACACGGCATGATATCACGACATTACAAGTTTACCATCTTCACTGGCAGTGATAATGATGGGAAGTTCCGGATGGAAGCAAGCGACGGTGACATTCTGAGTATGCCCCTCCAAGGTCTGGACACAAGTCTTGTTTTGGTAATCCCAAACCTTGACTAGTCTAGAAGACAGAAAGTCACATGAGAGACTGCTCGCGTCTGCAGCGCGGTCGTTATGTGCTCATACTTGTCATCAGCACCAGTTATAAGATAAGGCTTGTCTCCTCCATGGTAATAATCCACACAGTTGACGCCCTTCTCGTGGCCTTCTAATGTATAATTTGGTACACTTGATCCAAGTGACCAGACCTGTAAGAATGCAAATCAGCGCGACGACTCGCCTTTTGATTTCATCAATGGTATATTCTACGGTACCTTGACTGTGCGATCAAGCGACGCACTGGCAAACGTATTCCCGTCCTTTGGGTTGAAGTTGACTTGCATGACATAGTGTGTGTGTCCTTCGAACACCTAAGGCGCGCATGTGTTCAGGAGCTTCATACGACGCAGACACTCCATGCATTCGCACCATACCATGATATTTCGCCATCCCTTCTCCCAATCCCACAATTTGATCAGCATATCATCCGAGCAAGTCAGCACGTAAGGTTGCGTTGGATGCACGGCGATGTTGCGGATGTAATCTTGATGTGCCTCGAATGCCGTCACTTTTTCATGGGTATTGTAGTTGAAGACGCGAACCTGCATATCATCGGAACCAGCAATCAACCATGATTTGCGCGCAATGAATCTGGCCGCTCGGACTAGCCATGATGAATTTTAATAAGCGATTGCAATCACCGGCGATTTGAGGATACGACAACTAACCAGGAAGGTCCGTTATTTCAAAAGTTTTCACGAGGTTCTGGGGAGCAAGCATGTCACACTAATGACAAGATACGACCTACGCAAGCTGTGACGCCGGTCGTACCTGGTTCTCATGGTTCCATATATACACTGTACCGTTGTACAGGGCCGCAAGAAGCCAAGGTTCCGTTGGATGAAAGTCGACTGACTTTACTCGGTCGGATCGACTTGATAGCTTTCGCTATGGGTTTGAGACGAGGTGATAAATAATGTCCCACAATTGCTTGTCGGCCTACGCCAAGTAAATGCCGTATGCTTACCTTTATATCCAACCGGAGAGGCTATTTGAAAACAACCAAACAACCAATCGTATCAGTCAAGTGATGCTGTCAATGGCAGCCAATGAATATTTGTGTACAGTGGGAAAACATACCATAGCTATGTGACGGAAGGAAACTGAAAGTGGCTAACGATGGGACTAACAAAGTCGAAATGTCAGTTTCCTCCGTTCCAAGCGCCTCCAACACGTTGCAACCTGAATACTGACCTCAATGGACCTCTAAGGCGGACGGGAAAGCTTTGCTATGAACAGCACACGACGGAGAAAGTCCCGATTGCCGCCGTTCTCGTCGACACCAAAATCGAAAACACGATCCCGCGACAAACTCGAGAAGGAAGGCAACCAGCCGTTGGCCAAACCAAACATGCCATACACTCGAACCATAAATGAGTCACTCAGAGCTCTTTCAAGTCACGGGATTTCAACCAATCAGCGCGCGGCATTTCAATTTTCTCTCCTCGCCACGACGGCTGGTGGGATGAGGAGCAGAGCGACAACGACGACGAGGTTTTTCTTTCCTTCCTCTGCCGATTCCACGTCCTACGTCAATTGAAAGATGGTGCGTATTGCTGCTGAACGGGTGGAGTGCTGAAGGGCTTGGCGACGAGGGTTGGCGAAGAGGTGTGGAAGAGGTTTGGTTTGGGAAGGTCGACTGCGAATTTTGGTGCTCCAATTGGACTGTGTGTGTCTCCGACAAATCATTCCGCTACTCTGGACGTTACGGATGAGGGGAGGTGGTGGATAGACAGCATCATAGGATTTAGACGGAAGAGAATTGTGAAATGGCAGAGTCCGGTTGAAGAATGAAATGCTGACGAGCCCGTTTGCGTACAAATAGGGTAAGGTTCACGGATCTCTCGCTCGTGCCGGTAAGGTAAAGGGTCAAACCCCCAAGGTTGAGAAGCAAGAAAAGAAGAAGAAGAAGACTGGTACGTGAAATTGGAGGAGTTTCAATGGAGGCGCCAGGATCCAGGTTGTTCATTTCCGATAATTGCTCAACAGGCCGTGCGAAGAAGAGGATTCTCTACAACCGCCGCTTCGTCAACGCCGTTGCTACCTTTGGCAAGCGGAAGGTAATTTCAGCAAAAAGTGGATTGCAGGGCTTGACGGCGTGATATTAATGCAGCTGCTTTTTTAGATGAACCCATCCCCCAACTCCAAATAAGCTCCTTTCACCCATCGCAGCTCATCCGTACCTATGCTCCACATGCGTTTCAGTATGCTGGTCTAAACCTGTTGGGGTTTTGGAGGGATCGTGGAGAATGGGGCCTGGTCTCTGTAATAGTCCCTTGCAAATACATGGATTCTTAAAATTTCTGTTGTCACCAACGTTTTCCAATGCTCTTTGCTATTGGTTTTGTTTTTAACGAAGATGATGAAAGTTATCAAATGTTGGCTGTCTTGCATATCCAATTCTTGAAGTTTTCTGGCTTTGATTGGGTATTTCATGGAGGATTCCTATCTCTGCACTTGCGAGTTATCGCTGCACTGCGCCACGCGATCGGATGGGGCATACTTTGGGTCGTGAAATGGCAAGCATTTCTCCAGCTTTGCTCTTCAAGAACGAACATGAGATTTTCGTTGAAGGTAGGTCGGCCAAAGTATGGCCCCATTCTTGGGCTTGGTGTTTGGTTATGCGCCATGAGCTGATAATTATTGGCTTTCAAGCGGCTACTGACGGCCGAATGCCGGAGTACTAGCAAACGTTCATATAGTGCAGCCGCCGCGGCGGCGTTGCCCGAGCAAGCTGTCCCGACCACCCAAGAACGACGCAAGTTGCATGTCAGAGAGAAACTGGCCGCAATTGAGGCAACCCGCCCTTTTCCTCAGTTGACAGACACGTTCGGGCGTCAGCACAGTTACCTACGAATAAGTCTGACTGAAAAGTGCAATTTAAGATGTAGGGAACGCATACACAAAAGTTGGTTTTCAATGGCTAACGTATCTCGTTACCAGGCACATACTGCATGCCGGCCGAAGGAGTTCCCTTAAGTCCAAAGGATCATATCTTGAGCACTCCAGAAGTACTCAGACTTGCAAAACTCTTTGTGACGGAGGGTGTAACAAAAATCCGATTGACAGGCGGTGAACCGACTATCAGAAAGGATCTGATGGACATCATTGGTAAGCTCATTCATTTTGTCAGCTGAGAACCATCTTAACAAAACCGCATTTCCGCTAGCGGGCTTGAACGATCTACGGTCCATCGGGCTGAAAACCATTGGAATGACCACAAATGGCCTGGCACTGAAGCGAAAGCTTCCTGCTCTCCGAGAGGCTGGTTTGGATCAGCTCAACATTAGCCTGGATACGCTGGATGTATTCAAGTTTGAATTAATGACTAGGCGGCGTGGTAAGCAAGAAGCGGTTTAAGCCCGCTTTGGCTATTTATTAACGCATAAGTTGCAACGATGAAAGGTTTTCAGAACGTTATGGATTCGATCACGGGCGCTGTGTCGGCTGGCTTTGACGCAGTCAAACTTAATGCAGTTGTTATCAAAAATGTAAACGATTATGAAGTGGTGCGCTTTGTTGAGCTGACCAAGGACATGCCAATCAACGTTCGCTTTATCGAATATATGCCGTTTGATGGTATGCTGCATTGTGAAGTGCTTGTTGAGACGATCGCATCCTTACCTGTTTTGCCTTGGCAGGTAACAAATGGAATGAGGCCAAGTTTGTCTCATACAAAAACATGCTGGCGCGCATCAAAGAAACATACCCAGATGTCATCAAACTTACTGATGACGCAAACGATACATCAAAAGTAAGAGACTTCCGACTGACTATTTTTTGCATAACTTTCCGCTCAGGCACTTTTGTAGGCATATGCAGTGCCTGGTTTCAGCGGCAAATTCGGATTCATCACCTCGATGAGTGAGCATTTCTGCGGTTCCTGTAATCGACTACGGCTATTGGCTGATGGCAACTTGAAGGTCAGTGTAGACGTCCATTACATTATGTTTGAACTGGGTCCTTAGCGCTCTCTTTATCATAGGTGTGCCTATTTGGTAATGCCGAAGTCAACCTGCGTGACGCAATGAGAAGCGGTGCGCAAGATGACAAATTGTTGGATGTCATTGGTGCTGCAGGTGAGTGTTGACACAGTCTCTCAGATCTGGCGTAATCGTTGCTCATGTTCTGCACCCGATCTGCAGTGAAACGAAAGAAGAAGCAGCATGCAGGTATGTTCGAGTTGAAGAATATGCCCAATCGTCCCATGACGCTTATTGGAGGTTGAAAACCTTGTATACATAGGTAAGTTGCGCACTCCAAATAGCTCGTGGCAACGGGCGGTGTAATGATCACTAACGCACCGTCTTCCGCGTCGCAGCTGGCAGCACTATGGCCTATGCCATTCCGTGTACAAGAGTTGGTCGACCAGCTGCTATGCTTCCAGCACTCCCATATCGACCCATCATGCCCGCGCAAAACTGTTTAAGGATCCCGATGCGCCATCATTCTACTTCATCAAAGTTGACACACACTGATGCTTCTGGACGTGCCACAATGGTGGACGTGAGCTCCAAGACAGCGACTTTACGAACCGCCACAGCAAAGGGCCGCGTGCTTATGAGTGCCGAAGCCTTTTCACTCGTCAAAACCAATGCAATGAAGAAGGGAGACGTCTTAACCGTAGCTCAGATTGCAGGAATTCATGCCGCTAAACAAACTGGCGTATTGATTCCCCTATGTCACCCACTACCTCTATCTCGCATTGACGTCCGTCTAGATTTGGACGATGATAATCAATGTGTCGATGTTGCGGCAACCGTATCCTGTCGTGGACAGACTGGGGTGGAAATGGAGGCCATCGTGGCGGTTTCAGTCGCATGTTGTACGGTTTATGATATGTGTAAGGCTGTAGATAAAGGCATTAGGATACATGATATACGCGTGGTTGAAAAAACGGGTGGAAAGAGTGGGGACTATAAAGCTGATTGAGACCGGTTGGTGGAGACGGTTCTGGTCCACTTTTTTATAGTATACAATTAAGAAGCTAGTGTCGAGATTTCACCTTCTTGAATTACAAGTCAGGAGTTGCAGTTTTTATTTGTGTGTGCTTGATGCATGCTATACAACTATTCCGGCAGTCGCCTTCACACCGTCGTTTGTACCAGCCGCTAGCTGTCCACTAGATCCACCCTTCACGACTCGCACACTATCCCTACTTCGCCTCAGAAAAGTCCTAGATTGTTCTTGTCCCACTCTAACCGCACTGGGGTTCTGTTCCTGTTGTAGCGCTGCTTCCTCCCCGCTCCCCGCTTCCCTCTCGGTACTTTTCTCGACCTTTTCATCCTGAATGTCTTCGTCGGTTGTCGGTTTCTTTCCCTGGAGCGAGATTTTGGCTTCGGCTACTGGTAAAAGGACCAATTGATTGGGTTGTATGGATGCGGAACACATGGGACAGGAAGGGGATTTTGAGAGGAGGTTGGTGAAATGGGAGTGCAGAGCGGAAAAGTTGCAAGATGGACAGGTTGTCCAATCTGAAAGGATCATGTGTCGGCCCTGATAATATGATAACAAGATGAGGAAATAATTCAGAGAAAAATGGGCACCGTGAACAAGACGTACTGTAACAATGCAGTATGGAATGTGGTTTTTGCATTCAAGACAATCGAGAACGGTGTCTGGGACGTTGTTCCCGCAGTAAGGGCAAGGAGATGAGGACTCTTCAATCTCGTCCTTTTCCGGACGTCTAATGCAAGTAGGTAAGTAACATAGATAGTGATCGTCCTGAAATTATGAGAAGCCATACCTAACAATCTGTTCAATTCTTCTCTTGTATTTTGCATCCACCTTATTCCTGTACTCTGGGCGCATCAGCATCGCAGCGTACTCAAATGCCCCTCGTTTCAATCCAGCACGATGACATTCAATAACAGTCGATGTGAGGATTTGAACCATGTGAGCGGGGAATTTGCTAATGTTATTTGATACGCGGATGAGCATTCGAGCTGCTTGTTCATGTTCGCTGATGCGAACGAGAGTCTGTGGCGCACGAGTGGTTAGATGGGAACGGATGTGACTAGGTAACTTCGAATGAATCTACCTTTACTAGAATATAGCTGTGCAGGAGCATCAACATGCGCTCAATCTCTGCAGGAACATGGTTTTTGGTTCCCCTAAGCTGTTTGTAATTATCAAAGAGAAGATCGTGCGCCGTTCTATAATTGCCTGCCGGAAAATATGATGAGGGAGAGGTTGAAGATGATGGCAGAAGACCAGGTGATAGCCGACGGGCTGCTTACCGAGCGCTTGCTCTTCCCGCGCGATGATGATGGCAGTTCGTGCAGCCTCGCGGTATTGTCCAAGCGACATGTACAGCTTAAAGATGTATTTTGCATCCTGGTTTCGTGAATGAGAATAAGATTCTCGCTAAACATGAACAGCGATGCAATCTGCATACCTTGGGCATTCCATCCGTTTCTCCCATCAGATAATCAATCAGCTGATGTGTAAGTACATCGCTTTTGGCCAATCCCACAGTCTCAATAGCCATATCAATACTTTCCTCATCCGTGGGCGGGCATTGCAAGAACATCCGCAGAGCTCGAGGACAGTCGCCAGCCTGTAAAAGATATTTCCCTGCCAGCAGGTATTGCCTCTTATTCTCGAGGTAACTCGCAATATTGATTAAAATCTCCGGAGTAGCTTCATCCTTGACCAGCTCCGCAAAATGTTCCATAACATCATGCTGTTGAGCAAGTTCAAAAGCCTCCTCGCGCATGCCGGCCATGAGAAAAAACTCGACGACAGATTTGTAGTCTTTTATGGATTGGAAGAACTTGGATACAAGTTTGGCAGACTCGCGGGACCGTGTTTTGCGTACTATGGAGACTGCTCCTTCTATGTTTTGAAGATGGTCAATGAAAATTCGAACGACATTATCGTAGTCCTTGGCCTTCTCGTACGCGCGGGCGGCTTCAGTGTAGTCCTTCTCAGCTTCTTTGGCTTTGGCGTATTGGGCAAATATTTTCGGTGCTGTTATTTTATCCAGAATGGCTGCCAATCTGTTCCAGCTCTTGGCTGTGATTCGTTGCGCATGTTAGCACGGTCACAGCGATGGATTTCAAAAGTCCAATATACCTTTGATCCAAATCTCTGCAGCCTTCTCCCAGTAGCCACCACGCTCGTAGCATTTCGCGGCCTCGGCGTATTGCTTGAGGACGTCTAATATGGCCCCACAGTCACGTAAAAGCTGTCTATCCGTGGCTTCAGCAAGCATCTTCATTCCCCGCGAAACATCACCAAGTCGCAAGGTCATGCGTGTAAGACCGGCACTGCAGGTAATCTGATGCTCATCTCTTGCGGCGTCGAGGCCCGGATGTTGCTCTGATGTGGATAGTGCGCGCTCATACATGGCGAAGGCCTCTGAATACTTGCCTAGTTGCGGACCTGCATTAATATCAAGTCGTTATCTTCCATGTCCGAGATAATTCTTACCGTTTAATTCGAGCTGCTGTGCGTACTCTTTGGCAATTATAGTAACTTCCTCAGGCGCGAGACCGTTTGCCAAAGTGAGAGCCTGCTCCCATTGCATAAGATCCCGCCTGAGTTCAAGAGCAGCCTTTGGATATGTGCTTTGAACAAAGTATTCCTAGGGTGCGTAAAACAGACCGTCTCCATGAGAATCTCAGCCATGCTTGCAGCGGGAAGTCGAAAAGAGTACTCACCTGTGCAGCCGACACATCACCGAAAATAGCCGACACATGCCCTGCCAGTAAGTTCTTTTCCTCCACATTATCGAGTCTCTGCAACGAAAAGACCATCCCAGCATCTGCCAACGCCTGTCTGTAGATGCGCTTGGCAGTTTTCAAATCCAAAACACGCAATGCCGCTTCTGCTAGCATGATCCATGGTTTCCGCGCTTTGACGGTCCCAATGAGAGGCCAGATTTCTAGAAAAACAGATGTTATCATGGCGGTCCAAATGGAGTAGCTCAACCTGCAGTGCGGGCTACCTTTGAGCATTCCCAGAGTATAATAAAGTTGAAGCCCTTTCCCTTGGTCCTGCTCGCTTTGTTTATCTTTCATAAACTGATCGGCTGGCACTATTTCGTGTGTAGCCAATTGGACCGTTGAAATTCGCCCGGCAACCGTCTGGATATGGGCATGTCAGTGTTCGTAGCACGAAAGGAAGTACTATATCCAACTGTTACCTGACATGTAACCTCGCCGCTCAACATCAACACTGGTTTCAGTCCAAAAGGCAGTTTGGTTGCGCCCAAAGCAATGCATACTGGTCCTTTGATCGTAAATGGTTGATATGCATACGTGGTGATGTAGGCATCATCCCAGCTGATGAATATAGAGCGACTTGGTGGCGAGTCGGATTCCCATAGCACCCCTTGAGTCTTGGCTGCAAGAAAGGCCGGTAGCATATCAATCTTTCCGCAGTTGAGAAAACGGTAATGAGTGAGCTTTAAACGTACCAGACCATCTTGGGATTGCCATCACGCTGTTTGTAGCGGGGTCAGTCAGGTATCCGTCGTTCACCGCATCAATGAAGATGACTTTTGTTCCTCCTCGTGGTTGCGGATATACGCTTTGTATTCCTTTCTAGATATTGACCAGCCTGTCAATATATCGCCATCTTGCACTTTCGAAGGCAGAGTACTGACCTTGTGTTTCAGTTCCCCTACAAGTGCCCACTCGTCCAGCAAGTAGTATTTTAAGTCTCCAATTGACGTCCCATAAATTACGCATTCCTGCGTCAATGCTGTACAAGTAATCGTAGCCGCCCCTCCCGCTTTTTTTTCTTCCATCCGTTCAGGAAAGATCTTCTCGAGCACCTCTACTGATGGTGGCTTGCATTTCCGAGTCAGGCTGTGATAGTCCAATCGTTGTTCGTCTCCCTTCACTTGGTCTGAGGTGTCGTCGGCAATTGCATGAACTTCCAGTCTGCCGTCTGACAGGAGAGCAGCTGCATAAAATGGGTTCATTGAGAATGACTTTAACGGGCCTTGATATTCCTACAAGATCCACTGAATATTCATAAAAACCATTGGTTGAATCATAAGGGGGTCCGGGATGTACCTTTATCATGACGGGCGGCTCGTCACTCTCGGTTTCCAGTGCATCTCCTTCTCGTGCACTATTACCCAATGCCTTTTTAACATTGTAAAATCCCGCGCGATTTTGCGACACCACACCTAGCTATCCAGTAAAGTGGATTAGCCAATCTTCGTCTGGGATAAACAAACGCCTGGGTTCTCACTTACATATGATCCACCTAATGCAACAACTGATGGCTCAATCTCTAGTTCTTTCTTTAGCATCCGTTGTACTTGGCTTCGTTGTGTTTTAGCTTGATCGTGAATTGTTATCTCTCGAAGGCCTGTCAAGTGTGCCTTATCCGGAAGGAGGAAACGTGAACTTGCTAGCCAAGTGGATGACAAACCCAGCTGCCACCTACTACGAGAGTGCTCCACACTCCGCCGATCATGGGCATACGAGCTAAATATGTATAAATTGATCCCCTAGGTGCGCCCGAATGTCAGATACTATCCACATGTCAATCAGCTTGGCAGAAAACACCCACTCCTTGGTACTGACTGTGAGGAACTGCCCATCATCAGACCATTGTAGCCGATCCACTGCGCTTTCATCCTCAACCGTCTCGACCGCATAAACATCCTGCAATTATGCGAAATTATTATTCGCCGTCAGATGAAGTACGATGGTTCCGACCACGATTTGTTGCATACTCTTAGATCTGAAAGCTCGTGAACCTTGATCGTATTGTCACCGCAGGACGCCGCTTTACCCAATACGCTTGAGATGGCGACATGGCTGAGTGATCCCTTGTGGTTCCTTGTAGAAAATATCTCCTGGCCCATATCATTGTCATCTATTCCAAAATTCCCGAGTTATAGGAGCCGATTCAAAAGTCGAGCGAGCAAAATCTGAAGTAAATATACTCACTGGTGGATATCACTATGAGATATCCGGTCGAAAACCCGACCAGCACGTAGCCTTCAGCGAACCACTGGTATGAAACAACACTTCCATATTTAGGTTGGAAGGCGAGTTCGACCGGGGAATCCGGGTGATTGACGTTGTGAATGAAGAGGGTTTTGTCCGCAATGATGGTTGACAGTACAGGATCCTGACTCCCGTGGGCATTCTTCATGTTTGCCCACTAAGATGAAATGCGAGGTATCACTTTTCACTGCTGTGAAGTATGATCAAAGAGAGCCACAAACCTGCATTTGCGACGGCTCTCCGGTCAGCCCCATTGAAAATACCGTGTCACCATCAGCGTTGGAAAGTGTGAACTGTAAGACGACGTCAGTCACCCTGCGAACTATAAATTTGAGGTAATTAACTTGCCGTTCGGTCATCAGATCCGCACGCCAGTATATTGTCCCAACTCCAGCAACCGGTGACAATGGCCTTTGAATGTTTTCCCATAATGGGAACTTCCTTTCGCTCCTTTCGATCGTAAATCAACAGGTTTCCTCGAGATGTTCCCACAGCTAGCTATTCAGTTTGAGACAAAGATGAGAAGCAGGCACTTTACTACCTGCTCACAAGACACTTTACCAGATCTCCTTTTGGTGACCACTTGAGAAATTGTAGGTTTTTCATGTTTGTATCCAGTGATTCCGTCGACCGTCGGTTGTCTGCGTCCCAGAATAGGACCTTTGTTGACTTGGCTTGAATAATAGCCAAGATACCGCCATCGGGGGCCCATTCAAGCCCCGTGCACTCTCTATGAAAATGATATAAAACATTGGAAAGAACCCTTGCAGATGCAGAAGCATTCAATGAATGTAGATACTACGTACGATGTGAGCGGTACACTATCCACAAACTGCCCATGTCGATCATAAATATTGGCAGTGTTGTTCACTCTAGCATGATATAAATTCAATGTCAGACGCAATTCCACGCAGCTGTCGAGCACAGTTGTCCATTCATCCTTTCCGCAGAGACCCAGCAGCGAGTACCCAAAAGCCCACTTGTACTCACTTCACCAATCGACTCACCCGACAACGGCCAGATATGTGGAAACGCGTTTCTGCCAGTCGAAGCGTACCGGCCCTCGCCCAAGTTGTTGAGCGGTGATTGTGAAAATGTTCTGTTGGACATGTTAGTCAACGTGAACGGGGAAGTCTCGCCAGGTAAACATGACATATATACATACCTTCATAGCTACTAATACATTACAATCCTATACCAATCAAGCACATATGACCGACCAAGATGCCAAAATGCAGAAAGACCAAGCGAAAAGCTCAAAGTCGTTTCGGCGCGGAGTTGGCTTGGACGCGTCCAGATTGCTTGCTAATGGGTCTAAGCCACAATTAAATCCGTTTCAGGCCAAATGAAAGCGCTGCAGGGCGGGGCTGATCGACGACGACGACAAACAGCGGTCTTTCCTAAAGTAAAACGTCACTCGTCTCGCCCATTTTCTGATCCCTCTCCGCCCTTGCGAGCAGCGAGCATTTCCATTTCCATATATCATTGATCGGTCCTGTGTACAGAAAGCGACAATGGACTCGTTTTTGTGGCTATTGATCCTCTCCTTCTCCATGCTGTCGGGGTCCTTTTTAGCCGGAAACATACCGCTCGCGTTCCATTTTTCGGAAGAGCGGCTACGGCTTGTGTCGACCTTTGGTTCGGGCATGCTGGTGGGAACAGCACTCATAGTCATTCTGCCAGAGGGAGTGGAAACACTGTATTCGGTACAATTGAAGAACCAATTGGCAGAGGAGCGAGCGGCGGCGGTCGAAGCGGGAACTCGACATGAAAGAAGGAGTTCTGAATTAGGGGCAGATATAATATCTTCAAAGCAGGAAACAGGACTGGCAAAAAGGGACGGACAGGCCCCAAGCTCTGTTTCTTGGTGGGATGCAACAATACCGCGCACGTCGACTGGCAGACGTGCACTGCAATTAGCCCGACGCGCTCAGCAAGACGTGGAGCACCCTCGCAAAATAGCAGAGAACGGTGAGATCATAGAGGAGCAGAGCGCACATACCGATCACCATGATCACTCTGCATTCGAAGCACATCGATACATTGGCGCAGCGCTGGCCATTGGGTTTGCCTTCATGTTCTTGATAGAGAATGCAGGACATTTCGGTCATAGCCATAAAAGTTCCTCGCATATTGTTACGGTCAACGACTTTCGGGATGTTGCCCCGTATAAAAATACAAAAACTGCAGCAACTATCGGCTTGGTTGTCCATGCAGCCGCGGACGGTATTGCTTTGGGCGCGGCATCGGCATCAGGTGCGTCTTTTGCATTCCATTATTAGTTCATAGGTCATAGAACCCTGACTGAACACTCGACGTAGACCGGACAAGTCTGGAGCTAATTGTCTTCCTGGCGATCATGCTCCATAAAGCGCCGTCTGCATTTGGTCTTGCCACGTTCCTTTTGGCAGAAGGGCATACTCGCAAAGTAGTCCGACAGCATCTGCTGGTGTTCTCTCTAGCGGCCCCGCTGGCGGCGATCGCGACCTATACACTGCTTTTCAATTACGGAATAGATGATCCTATAATCATGCACAAGTGGACTGGAATTCTACTTTTGTTCAGTGCAGTGGGTATTCGATGTGCTGTTTTAATGTGCAATGGTTCGTCTGTTCATTTGAAACGTCATTACAGGGGACATTCCTTTACGTGGCAACGGTCCACATTCTTCCCGAAATATATGTAACTGGCAAGGGACGATCGGGTGGCGGGGGAGGGCACGACAAAAAGCTGTCGTTGACACAGATAATATGCTTACTTGGGGGAATATTTTCCCCCTTATTGTTGGCAGTGGAGGTACGAGTCAGTCCGTGATGTTGGACTTGAGATCGCTGCTAACCATTCTGGTTTCGTTAGCATTCACACTGAAACAGAACTCGATTCCATCCATTATACATGCTTCTGCGCTTTTCCGTGCATCGTCGGTCAGAGATTCCCAGACCAGACGCTATGCATGGCTCAGCTACCAATCCCAAGCGACTGTCCGTGGTGCATCAAAGAACTACCGAACTGATGCGGGCACAAGGGATGACGACAGTTGGGAAATGAAATATATCATGTATATATGCCATGCGGATACATTCTATCTATACTACAGTAGTGCTTGTGGGTTGGGAGGCTCCCAGGGAAGCCGCATCATCGAGGGCTTTCACGTCGAACCCGGGCACAGCCGGATACCGGTTTCTAATCAATTTCAACTTTCTGTGTTCCACAAATTCCGGCCATACCAACCCCTCAGCGCTTTCTTCCACCAAATATCTGTATTGTTCCCGCTCCCACCATATTGTATATTGTCCCAACTCATAATCAGATGGGATCACAGAGTCACCGTGCTCAGTGTTTGCCTCCTCTCCTACTATGGCTTCTCCTATGAGTGGCGCACTCAAACTGCTCTCAACTTCTGCTTTTACCACTGGATTAAAGGTGAGCGTCTTGCACAGATCTATGACTTTGGCTTTTACATCCTCTGGAACTGTCCATGGCGCCAACGGATCAACTCTTTGGAAGGGTTTCTGTGCTTTTTGTGCAAAAGGGTTCTTTGATCGTGGGGGGCGGGGAACGAACGGATTTCTCTTTGTCTCGGGCAGAGGGAGTCGGTAGTATGCGATTGGGTCCTTGGACACCTTCTTAACTACATGTGCCTGAATCGCTTGCAGAGTTTCCGGTCGTTTCACTCCCGTTAACACAGCAAATGGTACCCAATGATCTCCACGTATACGCAAACCGGGCCGGTGTTCGCCAATCTGGCTCAGAATGGCGGACTGGTGGAAAAAACTGTTAGCGGGAGAGCTTCCGACCAAGGAAAACGCGCGCCCAACTCTAGCTGTTACTCACGTCCATTCTAAAGACAGGGCTCACCAGCACCCTTGATGTTATTTGGTTTCGGAAAAAGTATAACTTGTGCATCGCTACGGCCTCCCAAAAAGATGGACAAAAACAAAGACGAGTTCCAAAGCGATTTTCCATCTGCCTGGTGACTCACTTGAAGCTCCATGGCAACCATAGGTCAGGTAAGCAAAGGAATCGCTTTGCCTTTGGCTCGCTTTTCCACCTGCAATTGTCATGGAAGAGCCACCTGCGATCGACACGGAATGCCTTTCCATAGATCCTCAATCCTTCCCATGGCCTGCTCAGCCTGCCGAACCAACGACCCATGACCATCTCTACGAACCTGCCTCCCCACTTGTCCTCAATCCCCCACCAACGCCCTCGTACCAAGCTGACTTAACCACCCTCCAGCATGCTGCCGATATCTTGCGCTCAAACAATGTTGTTGCTTTTCCAACAGAGACGGTTTATGGCCTCGGTGCCAACGCCCTCAATGCAGACGCTGTCGCAAAGATTTTCCGCGCCAAAGGGCGACCGAGCGATAATCCGCTCATAGTTCACGTTTCTTCCTTAAAAATGCTCGAGTCTCTACTCCCTTTGTCGTCTCCACACATTCCATCGGTTTACACCGCAGCAATTGCAAGGACATGGCCAGGTCCACTCACCATTCTTGTCCCCCGTGGTCCTCAAGTTCCGCTGGCAGTGACTGGAGGGCACGATACTGTTGCCGTAAGGTTCCCTTCACACCCGATAGCACGTGCATTGATAGAAGCTTGTGGATTTCCATTGGCTGCACCTTCTGCCAATACCAGCGGACGCCCATCGCCTACTCTAGCGTCTCACGTACTGGCAGATCTGGCAGGGCGTGTACCTTTGATTTTGGATGGAGGGCCATGTGGATATGGTGTCGAAAGTACCGTCTTGGATGGACTTGCTACACCTCCTGCAATTCTCCGTCCAGGTGGTATCACTGTTGAGGAGTTAAAAAGCTTGCCTGGACTGGAGAAACTCAGAGTATACAGAAGAGATTTTGTGGACAAGGATATGGAGGCAGCACCAACAACTCCGGGAATGAAATACCGTCATTACACCCCCGAAGCTGAGGTGATTCTATTTGAGCTTGCTGAACAAGCTTCTTTGCTTGACACTGGCACAGCAAAGTTGCGAAATGCTGTCAATGAATTTACCAGGACACATCTCATCTCATCGGAGGATAAGTCAAAAATTGGGATTATGCGGACCGGTTTGCGCCCTTGTACTCAAGGCGATAATAGCGAGAAAAGGGAAGCTATATCAAGCGGCGTAGTTATGGAACTCTATTTGGGTGAAACTGCTGACAAGGTTGCGAGAGAGCTCTTCAAGGGCCTGCGTACGTTGGAGGAGCGCGGGGCCCAACTTATTCTTGTGGAAGGAGTCACCGAAGAGAGAGAAGGGCTTGCCGTCATGAACCGCCTGCGAAAAGCGGCCTCAAGAGTGATAACTATCTCTTAGATTAGGTTAATAGCAGTATTTAATGATCATTTATTTATATTGTTTATAATGCATTCCTGCATGTACCTACAGTGATACAATTAGCGATGCATATGAGAAATATACATATACGTTTGTGTAGTTATCGGGCATTGGACGTCACGACCGAGTGTGAAGGGGGCACAGTATGCTGAAATACACGTACTCCATTCTGCGACAGATCTCACGATCGGGCCAACCTCAAATTCTTTGCGCCATTCGTCACATCCACACCCCTTTCGAACTGTTTTAAGTAACTGGACTGAAGCGATTTACATATGGCTTCTAACGGGTCCCTGCGGAATGTCTCCAGCAAGAGCGGGTCCGCATTGCCAAAGTACGGGCTAATTGTCAAGGGCAAAAAGGACCCTCCAGCGAACACAATTGCAAACACTGGTGCTTCTGGTACAAAGTTTACTCTCGGCAAGAAGCTCTCGCGAGCAAAGGTATTTGAGGCACCAGATTCCGATAGTGATCAAGAACAGGAAGACGAATCGATCACTAGCTTCTCTGCAAGCGCTGGTGGAAGAACGGATGAGCAAAAGCGAGTAAATAAGGAATTGAGGGCAGTGCAGGCGCAAAGGTCACGGCTTGCAGAAGAGGAGCATAAGAAAGCGTTAGAGGAAGACCCTAGTGTGTTTGACTATGATGCTGTGTATGATGACCTGAAAAGAGCAGAGTTGGAGAAGAAGAAAAGCAAAGACAATCCCGACGGCGGGATTGTTAAGAAGGTCAGGCGATGATCGTACATCTCTGTTAAGCTGGATGAACAATGACCTTTGTTTGCATGTTCAACAGCCACGGTACATGGCCGCCCTCATCAAAGCCTCCGCTAAACGCAAAATCGAATTGGAACGAGCAGAGTTGCGTAAAGTCCAACGAGAACGAGAAGAAGAAGGCGAGCAATTTGGAGACAAGGAAAAATTTGTTACAGGAGCATACAAACAACAAGTAGCAGAGCTGAAGCGGATAGAGGAGGAAGAAAAGCGACGAGAAGCATTGGAAAGGGATGTCACAAAGGGGGGAGATATGACGGCGTTTTATCGAGATATCTTGAATCAGAGTGATCGGGATCCTCTGGTCATTAATCCAAAGACGAACAAGGATGACACGCCACAGGAAGAGGTAGAGGAGATGGACATTCAAGATGATACGCTAAAAAAGGAGGCAATACGGAAAGGTCTTGTTCAACTGAACGATTCAGAGGAAGTGGTCGACAAGCGGCAACTTTTGTCAGGAGGTCTCAATTTGACATCACGAACTGTCAAACGACAAGCGCAAGAGCGGGAGGAACGGGAGCGGGAAGCACGCCAGTATGCAGCTAAGAAAGCGGAGGAGGAAAGGGCCCGGTTGATGGAGAGACGAGCAGCCAAAGAGCAGCAAGCGAGAGCACGAGAGCTGGTACTACGACAGCAACAGGAGAAGGAGGAAGAAGATCGTAAAAGAAAGGAAAGGGAGCAAGAGGAACTCGCTCGCAAGCTGGCAAGAAAGACCACGGACGAGACAGTATCCGATGCTCGAGCGAGATATCTGGCAAGAAAAAAGGCACAAGCACAGCAACCAGAAGAAGATTCAGACTAGCACTTTCATTTATTCAAATATTTTTTGGGGAGATTTTTATAAATAGCAATGGATGATGAATCCTGGAATGTCATGCCGCAACTTCCACCGCTGAGACCGACGACAAAACGATGGCATATGAGGGCTGTTTTTTATCTTGCACGCCAGAACTAAGTAACGTCCACGGCCTCATGGGCAAAGAACAGTCACTGAAATAGGTCATGCGATATCGTACCTGCTGAATACCAGGAACACCAGATGGACTAGCATGTGCAATTGAGAGGTGATTTGACTTATCCGCAAGACGCTGTACTGCACGAGGTGAGAATACATCCGCCGTCGGTCTTCGGGAAAGCCAGATCATCGTCAAGTTGCACACAAGTTTCTGGTCATAACCAAACCGATGAACCTTGCTGTAGTCAAGTACATCCAGCTTGTGCGCTTGTTGGGCGGATCTACAGAGTGAGAGGTTAGAGAAGTGAACAAACAAAACTGTAGCCATCATCTCTCTCCACATGAACGTCAGCGCATGATAGTTTGTTTCAACATTGGTTTTCAGGCAATGTAGATAAGGTATTGATGCTATTCCATCCTTCGTCCCTCTTCAAATTCCTCCAAATCCTGTAAGCTTTCAACGTACCATTTTGACTGATCTGCCGCACAACACGGGCGAACACATGCCCGTCGAACGGGGAAGAAAAGTTCCGTTTTATTAGAATAAATTGACTCCCTCGAACCGGCTCTAGTGCTTATTCTACGGATAAATTTCCTAAGCCGATCAATCTTGTTTGCGTTTGTCTTTCCAACCCCGTCGTCCATCTGCCACCCGTTATCCCTTCTTCCCTTCCTCTTTGTACCGCTGCCATGTTCCTGAACGCAGCTAGAGGCTCGCTGTGCCGATCGACGACAAGAACAGCTCGAAGGTCGGTGTTGAGCACCACTTCAACGCTGTCGCAATGTCGACAATATCACGAAAAGGTTTCTATCGGTTCCGTTTGCTTGTTTGAGTCATGTACTGGAAAACGTCTAACGAGGCGAGGCTTTAGGTGATAGATCATTATGAGCGCCCCCGAAATGTCGGATCCCTTTCGAAAAACGATCCAAATGTTGGCACGGGGCTCGTCGGAGCACCAGCTTGCGGCGATGTTATGAAGTTGCAAATAATGGTGGACGAAGCGACGGGGGAAATACAAGAAGTCAAGTTCAAAACATTTGGATGTGGATCGGCGATTGCTAGTAGTTCATTGGCGACGGAGAAGATCAAGGGGTTGAAAGTATGGGATGCAAAAAAGATTACAAATACGGATATTGCAAAAGAGCTGTCTTTGCCGCCTGTCAAGTTGCATTGTTCTAGTAAGTGATATTTTGTATTCATTCATCTGGGTTCGTTTGGCTGATAGTCGGCGCTATTGACAGTGTTGGCAGAGGATGCCATAAAGTCTGCGGTTAAAGATTGGGAAGCGAAGCGGGCGGCCCGAGGGTTGAAGCCTCTAGCACCTCTTGCGTAGAGATAGAGTGGGATGAGACGCGCTATGGATACTCTGTTAGTGACTTGGACTATTTTTGGACAATTTACCGTAATGCCATGTTACAGGATATCAATGTTTCTTAGACCCTCCATTAGTCGTTAGGTGACAATGGGGCAAAAGTAGTTAGTAATAGCGTAGATCCCCTCATCTTCGTGTATCAGCATACATGGAATCCCAGCATATCCGTCTTGGTACGGAAAACCACATTGCCGGGTCAGCAACTGGTTGTTTCTAACAACTGTTTTCAATGTCATCTATATATTACATACTTGCGATATTCCATTGACTACATCTACAACTTGGCAACTGCCTCTACGAAGCGAATACCCTCCTCTTCTAATTTGACGAGCATAGGCTCATAAATATCTTTTGTCATTGGTGCAATCACACCCTTTCTCGTCAAGTTGCCTGTAGACTCGTTATTAGTGTAAGTGTCCCACGCTGCTTGGAAAAGATGAAGCTCACCATCCAAAAGCATCTCCGCCCCAATGGCAGCCGGAAGGCCAACAGTTTTAGCCATTGCCGAATAAGAATTGGGATCACCGTACGCGACAAGGGTGGACGTCCGTTTCTCCTTGGAACCGTTTCGCCACTGAATGCCAAATTCGTGGTGCATTGCTACCATATCACGTTCACCGAGTCCGTACACCAGGCGACTTTGGAGGAGAGCGCAGAAAGCGTCTAGGACGGTCTCAGAGGGAGCGACAGGTGTATCTTCTGAGAGCATGCCGAGCCTACAATATCAATGTTGAGCAAAGCAGGGGACGAAAGTGAGAACAATGATGATAATCACCACTCAAGAGCGCCCACGACCGTCTCGAGCCGCGCGGCGTGTTCCGGGTTTTGGGGGCTGAGCGAGAGCTTGGCCGCCAAGGCTTGTCGTCGGTCGCCCTTCTTGCCCAACATGGACTCCATCAATTCACTCTGTAGCAATGACAGTGAGCAATTGATTGAGAAGGATCGCTGGTTGTCAGCTTACCCAGGACAAGCCTCCCTGAATATCGTTTCGTCGCTCAGTGTTCAAGAGTCCAATGTCCTTGAACGCTGCCATCAAAGCACAATATCCCTGTCCGAATCCAGATGTCATCTTCCAAATCCCATACAAAAGTCGCGCGCAAATGGGTATGCATACCTTGTACCTCAGCGTGCCACGAAACATGGTATCCATATTCTTAATGTCGCCCAAATTGTACATATCAACGTACTTTAAGGAATCACGGTTGGGTAGACCTTCCAGGGCAAAACCTTTGTACATGGGAACATCAACAGCAGACTTTAGTAGGTCAGATCCGTTTATCTCAGTCAGCTGGAACCCGCAATTGCTTTGAATTAGGATACTTGCAACGTTGAATAGGATAGAGCGAAAGGGAGTCTGACCTTTCCATTCATCTTGAACCGAGCCGAATTCAATCCAGCAAGAAGGACTCCTTTGGGGCTCCAGCTAAATTTGTATCCAAGAGGATTATCTGAGGCTTCAGGAGCTGGCAATCCTCCGCACCAGGAGACAAAGGATGTGATTCGCCCTCCTTGCTCCCGGACCTCGTCAAACATTTTCATGGCTGTCAAGTGATCGATTCCGGGGTCAAGTCCAACTTCGTTTAGGATGGTAATGCCAGCGTTCTTTACTCTAACAGGATAATAATGGATTATGCGCTGACGCATTTGTATGAAGAATAATATATGAAGCATACCGCTTATCGAGAGCAGTTATCTCAGGTGAAATGTAGCTGGCAGTGACCATGTTTTTCTTGCGTTGGATGCACGCTTCCGCGACCGCCGGGTGCAAAGAAGCGGGGACGAAACTGCGAAAGCATACTGAGTATATTACATGCGTGGCATGTGAAGCTGAAAGGTACACACCTGACAACAAGGTCATGCTGCGACACAAGCTCAGAGAGGGCGTCCTTATCGGCGACATTCAAACCCGTAATCGGTGCGTTCTTTCGATCTTTGGAGAGCTCTTTCGCTTCTTTTGGCATGTTGCTAGCTAAACCACATATTTAAGCACTCGCTGTCTCCACGTCATATCGTCAGTAGGTCCATTTGGTAACATACCAATTGTAACCGATCGGTTTGGTGCACGAAGCAGATAGTCCACCAGGGGTGCCGACACGAAACCTGATCCCAGGAGGAGAACCCGCTGGTTTGCTTTCACTTTGATCCCTTGACTACATATGCGAGTGGGACATTAGCATGCTTACAGTCAAGCTTTGGCAGCACAGCACATACCCATGCTTTGCCAAGACGTCGTAGAGTTTCGTACGGGCCGGCGCCAGTTTCCCCTCTGAGGTAGCGACAGTTGCTCGTTTCAGAACGGGGTGATCATAGTTGCCTTGAACCTTTTTTCGCACATGTTACTTCAAAGAAACAGAAAATACGTATCGACATCCAGTGAGCGTACCAGCTGGTTGATAAACGGAAAGAGCGCGTTGCTAAAATATTCGCTGGCTTCAAGAGGCAATTCTGTTGGCAGATTGTCTATGGACATGATTTGTACCCCTTTCCCTTCCATACTACCAAGGGAATCAGAAAAACCAGCCCGAAGAGATATTTCACCTTCTTACTCACTTGTGGTGAGTTTTTCCAGTTGCTGGATCGTACATGAAAAATGGGTTATCAATGGTGGACGAATGGCTCATAAACTCCAGTGAACCCTAACGGGACGCAACATATAAACAAATGATCCCAAACGCCAATGAGTTCAACGTTCTTCCGATGACCTACATTTATATCGCAGGAAACATCTGCAACGGTGAGCATACGCAAGCGATCCTCGTGAGCGAGCTGTCGCGCTTGCTCGCTGGTCAATAAACGAGGATAGCGGTGATCCCAGAATATACCATTTACAAGGACATTGGTGTAAGGTGCAACCTGCAGTGGTCAAACTCTTAGCAACGGTTGGGGTATTGATGAGATCAGAGAAAATAACCGAAAGATAGGCCACACCTTTTCGTGGAAGACGGACATGTACTGCTCGGGATGCTCACGATAGTGTTCCCGATCAAACTTCCAGCCATCCTTTCGCACGAGATAATCTTGTGTTCTCACTTGACATCCATATACCCGGTGATTGCTCCAACCTAGAAGGGCAAATCATTTGAGCAATCATACGTGTTACATTATCCATGTGCCAGCCCAATACGCACTGTTGCTATTGTACAGATCCTTCAGCTCATCCGGACTAACCCATTCATGAGGTAAACATTTGAAGACGTGCATTGCTCCCTGCAATATCAACGAACAACAAGAGTAAAGATCAACGCTCAATCACCACGGAAGAGTGTGAGATAGAAGGAATAGATTTTTACTAACCCGAGCAACATTGCCATCGCCTGTGAAAACAAAAGACATGGGACCCATCTGTCTCGGCAATCCATCGTCCATGATGACTTGACCGGTACGTGTTACGTCCAACCTGGCGTCTGCCAGTGTTCGATACATGTACGACATTCCAATAGCCTGAATAGGGAGAATGTAGTCAACCATCAGTCTCAGCATCCCATTCAAAGCATTCACGATACATACCAAGAACGGATTTCCATATCCTAGGGCAAGTAACCGGTGTCCCAAACCGTGCATCCCGTCGATCATGCCTGCGTAACCCGCAAACCGACTGAATTGCACCAATCGCCGCTTATGCTCGTTGGTCATGAGCTCATAGTCAATCAATCGAATCCGCTTTGTACATATTATAGTAAGTCACTGTACAGAATGCAAAATGCCATCAAGGTTTACCTTGTCCAAGATTGCTTGGAGGAGCGGCATATTGTATTTTTGGCCCTTATGCGTATGCGAGAAGAAAAGGTACGTCTTGTTTTCAATCAATTGTTCAATGGGAACTTCCTTGACACCAACGATAATGTCTGCAACGGATAGATCTTCCTGGATGATAGCACCAGCCTTGGGATTTTGAAACGGATGTCAGAAGTGATAGATGCAAATCAGTGCCTCAATGATGTTCATACTGCCAATTACCTGCTGATACTTTTCGTCGGGAACCACCCTTTTCGTGCTTGGCTGCACATACACCTGTGCCCCAACCTCTTTCACAAGCCTCTCGACGTGTTCCGGCATGAGAGGCACCCGGCGTTCCCACCTATTCTTGGCTTCCCTTCGAATGCCCACCGACAATATCGGCTTGCTCGACGTCGCCGTTGCGTAACGGGCACTGCAGGAAGCAGGAAAGGTTTGGCGCGAACACCATGTCGCTGCCCTTCGCCCTGCTCGCAACGGAGGATTTGCACGGAGCATGAATGTGAAATGAGGAGGAGAGGAAAACGGGCAAAACGTTCACACGCCCTAATCTGGTCAAACGTCTGCCACAGTCAGGTCAAACCTCGAAAGAAAAAGTAACCACCTCGCACACCGTTGTCGGGTTAAACTTGCCAAAACGCGCGGCGGGTGTCGTCTGGCCATTAAATTGTGGCGAGTTGTAACTGGAACAAATTAGCGTCCGCGCGATTTCCCTTTGGAAGGGCTTGACTTTTACCACGGCGGCGAGCATTTCTTAAGATAAAAGCAACAGCGCATGTTGGATTGCATCTTGTTGAACAAATGTATAGAAAACCATATTACGATTTTGCAAACTCTAGTACCAAACGGAATAGCAATACATTCTACTGCTTGGCGGCATCGAGCTGTTTATACAATTCCTCAACCTTGTCCACCTCTTCCTTCGTTCCCAAAATGATACCTGATCGTGCGTGAAGAGACTCTGGAGTCACTTCCAACATTCTCTTGCGGCCAGTAGACGCCTTTCCACCGGCAGCTTCAACCAAAAGCGACATTGGAAAGCATTCATACAAAATACGCAGCTTTCCTCCGGGGTACATAAAGATGCCTCCGTACAAAATTGTCCGGTGAACCTATAATGAACCAAAGGATTAACATTTGCAACTAGCACACTCAACGGCATTGACCACCCCCACACTCACATCAGCAACCATACTTCCAACATAACGTGCAGAGTAAGGAGTGAACTTGCCAGTGTGGCCTGGCGGTGGGTACTTGACGGACTTCAAGTAGCCCTTGATGGCGTCATCAAAGGTTGATTCGTTTCCTTCGTTGATAGAGTAAATCTTCTTCTTGCCCAGCTTCATCTGTGCTCCATGAAGAGATGCATCATCAGCTCTCTCGATGACAAAATTACATGCATTATGGCAAAGCCCTTACGTTACGGTGTGTGAGAACAAACTCTCCAATGTGAGGGTCAAGGGTGTACCCATTGACTTCATTTGATCCTTGGAAGGTCAGCACCAACACTGTCGAACTTCCGTACATACAGTAGCCTGGACGAATTTAATAGTCAATCTTTTGCCAGAAACCTGCACCAGCACAGGAACGTACCAGCAGCGACCATCTCTGTTCCCGGTCGCAGAACGTCCGCAAGGCTCGGTTTGCCGTGGGTATCCTTCTGATGAATGACAATAACCAATGATTATGTCTGACCACTCCTTTGCACCAAAAGCCTTCTTTCACTCACCACACGGTAGATCCCAAAGATCGTTCCAATAGAGACACCACAGTCGATGTTGGACGAACCATCGAGTGGGTCAAAGCAAACACAGTAGAATCCTTTCTTGCCATCCTCGATGAAGATGGCGTCGTCATCCTCTTCAGAGACAAGGATGGCAGTCTTTCCAGAGTCGCGGAGAAGGTTGCACATGATCTGGTTAGACAAGATATCAAGCTTTTGGACGTTTTCATTCTGGACATTGGTTCCACCAGTGACGCCAATGCTAGAGGATTAAAGTGTTACCCGCATGTCCAATTGTCCTTGGAGGTCAACATGGCAACTCACACTTTCAAGAGTTCTGCTTTTCGCACAACATTGGAAATCCACTTGCACGCGGAGGAGATGGCAGAGAGGAGAATGGTGAGATCTCCCTTCGCTTGCGGTTGGTGTTGTTGCCGTTGAAGAATGTCGTTTGTGAGAGTCACAAAGTCGGTACGAAGATCCTCGCGCTTGGTTGCATCTTCAGAAGCCATGGCTGCGTGTCGTATTATTGTACAGTGAAAAGGTAAAGAGGCTGATGCAATCTAGAAAGATTTGAAAATCGCAGCTTCGTTGGTGGCAAGGCAACAAAGTTGTCAAAGCCTGAGACGCCGGCGCGTTCCGCCGACTTGTCCCGGCGCTCCGTTGGGCAATTTTGGCGGTTGACAAACACCCGCTTCACAACGACAAAAGCTCAAAGAAAACGACAACGAAAAGCAACGACGGCAGCAGCCGCAAGTCTTTATCACAACACACACACACATGTTTGAATAATCTTTTTAAAATGCAAAAAGCATTCTTATACAGGACAACCAGACACTCAATGCAATGTACAAAAACTCGCTTAAAACGAGCTATAAGAAAAATGGTTTCGTAACGTCATACTCGGGCCAATAATCTTGTCGTGCACGCTGAACAGGCTGAAAGTCAGGTCATGGAGCGCTTAGTAGCCGCCGCTGGAAAGGGAGAGATTGGCATCAATACAATAAATAGACCAAGATGCACAAAGTTCGTTGCTTACCTGTAACCACCACCGTAGCCACCACCGTTTCCACCGTAGCCGCCGCCGTAACCACCACCACCGTAACCACCACGGCCACCGTAGCTACCACCACGTCCGCCACGGAAACCACCACCGCTGTTGGGAGGTCTAGAATATGCACAACTGTTACGATCTAGTAGATGCCAGAGGCACTGCATTTGACAAATACCTTTCGTTGGCAAGGTTGACGCGGACAGTACGACCGTCCAACTCTTGGTCGTTCATGCCCTGGATAGCAGCTTGAGCTTGGTCCTCACCAGCAAAAGTTACGAAACCGAAACCACGAGAACGGCCTATTATAGTGATGACATGTTCAGACAACAGCTCCATAGTCCATGGGAACCAGTGATGCGGGATTTGATGGTCAAGGGAGTAGGGAGGATACGTGTTCAATCGACATCCGGTCGGGAGCCCAGCCAAAAGAAGTATGTGGATGCAAACAAGCCAAGCAGGAATGCAAAGGAAAGAGCACGAGGTACGACAGACACAGCGCACACATTTCACCACAACGTTCACACGAGCCAATTGGACAAATCTCGGATTCGGTCACAACGCTCTCTATTAAAAAAGTAGTTCTCGGGCCGCTACAATGGACATCAACCAGCAAGCAACAGCAAGCACAGACCACGAAAGAGCGCGCACCCAAGAACACTGGGTATCCCCAATACCACTCATAGACACATCACAAACAGAGAAACAAATGGAATCAACTCTAACCAGTCTCGCGATCCTTCAAAACGACAGCGTCAGTAATTTCACCATAGGTAGAGAACGCAGAGTGCAGAGTGTCGTCGGTAGTCGACCAGGAAAGGTTTCCAACAAAAACTTTGGTTGCCATTGTGATGATGAGATGGAGACGAGGGAGAGATGGGGAAAAAGGCCGTTGGAAAGAAGGAAACGAAGCGTTAAAGGCGCCCAAAATTTCTTTTTTCTCCTTGCGCCTTATGTGGCGCATTAGCTTCTGATTGGCTGATCGCAATTCAGGCGATGATCTCCAAGTATTATCTAAGCAGCTATGGATCGGGAGGTTTCCATCGTTTGGGCTTTGGGCTACTGCTGGTTGAACGAACATCTCGTTTGCCACATTTCACTATGCTATCCGCTTGCATCAGAACGTCGCGCTGCGGCGGGGTATCGGTTGGGCCATGGATCCATCGTCCCCGGCATCTTGCGACCTTTGCCTCCTCCCGTGTCTCGCCTCAAAACGTTATCGAGAAAATTGTACAAAGATATGCTGTCGACCTTCCACATCCCGAGCACAAGGTTCTGCAAGGGGACTTTGTGAGCATTTCACCAGAGCATGTCATGACACATGATAATACCGCCGCGGTTATCAGCAAGTGAGTAAGGAGATCAGAGATCGTTGGGTTCTCAGTTTGTCTGTGGAGAATGAAAATTAAATGGGCTGTCTCAGATTCAAGAGCATTGGGGCAGGAAAATTCAAGAATCCCAAGCAGCCTGTTTTTACTCTTGATCATGACGTCCAGAACAAGACCGAAAAGGTCAGCGGGCGCGTGTTAATCTGTCGATGGCACAAAATTTAGAGACTCACAACATGTTATTGTATCAGAACTTGCTCAAGTACCGATCGATACAGGAATTTGCAAAGAATCATGGCGTAGACTTTTACCCAGCAGGGCGAGGAATTGGACATCAGATCCTGATCGAAGAGGGTTATGCCTTCCCGTACGCCATGACTGTTGCCTCGGATTCGCACTCAAACATGTACGGTGGAATCGGCGCTCTGGGTACTCCAATCGTACGAACTGATGCGGCAGCAATCTGGGCAACAGGGCGCACATGGTGGCAAATTCCACCCGTTGCCAAAGTGGAATTTCTAAACTCCTTACCGGAAGGTGTGACCGGAAAGGACATCATTGTCACTCTCTGTGGGCTGTTCAACAAGGATGAGGTCCTCAACACCGCGATCGAGTTCACCGGTGAGAAAGGTATGGCCGGACTCACTGTGGACGACAGGTTGACAATTGCGAACATGACAACGGAATGGGGAGCGTTGGCTGGAGTATTTCCCGTTGACGAAGTTACTGCCGATTGGCTCCTAAAGCGCGCCGTCCAGCTTGAGCGGTCTCGTGAAGGCAAACATCCACGTATCAATGTAGAGCGCATCAAGAAGCTTCTTGAAAACCCGATTCGCTCTGACCCTGGCGCGCGGTATGCAAAGCATTTGACTCTGGATCTCGCTACTGTGTCTCCATATGTGTCTGGGCCCAACTCGGTAAAGCTTGCTACCCCATTAACGGAACTAGAGAAAAGGAACATTGCCATCCACAAAGCCTATCTTGTCTCATGTGTAAACTCGCGCGCAAGCGACTTGAGAGCAGCGGCTCGCGTTTTGAAAGGTAGAACGGTGGCAGAAGGCGTGGAATTTTACATTGCAGCAGCGTCGAGCGAGGTGCAGCGTGACGTGGAAGCTAGTGGTGACTGGGCAGAGCTGCTTCGTGCAGGTGCCAAGCCTTTACCTGCTGGTTGTGGACCGTGTATTGGTACGTGATACATACGCTCCAATTGACGATCGGATATTTCCTAACGCAACCTTTGCATGTAGGTTTGGGCGCAGGGCTTTTGAAGGATAATGAAGTTGGAATTTCGGCAACGAACCGGAACTACAAAGGAAGGATGGGGTCTCCCAATGCACAAGCCTACCTGTCATCACCAGGTAAGATCTAGGCGTTACGTCACTACCAGCCAGCTGCTAACGGAATCCTTAGCTGTGGTCGCTGCTTCGGCTGTTGCTGGACGCATTTGTGGCCCAGCTTCCCTTCCCCCTCTTTCTTCCGCTCTCAAGATTTCGTCCGCGCCACAGACCGTTCAACCGCCCGTGATTTCCTACAGTGAATTGAAAAATGCCGATACAGGTTCCTCGGCATCATCTTCTGCAGACGTTGTCTCAGGCTTCCCAGGGTCACTGAAAGGCGAATTCATATTTTGCGATGCTGACAACTTGAACACGGATGGAATATATCCAGGAAAGTACACCTACGTGGATGATATTCCTCCAGAAAGGATGGCACAAGTTGTTATGGAAAACTACGATCCAAAATTCTCCAGCATTGCACAGAAGGTTGGTAGATTCGCATAGATAACTTAAAAACGGAGGCAAGTCATGCTTAACCAACTTCAAATTTACCAGAATGACATCCTTGTTGGCGGTTTTAATTTCGGTACTGGGTCGTCTAGAGAACAAGCCGCAACGGCACTGTTGTATGCAGGAATCCGTGTTGTTCTCGCTGGCTCTTTCTCGGAAACGTTTAAGCGAAACGCCATTAACAATGGCTTGGTTGTACTTGAAGCTCCAGCACTTGTCAGGGATCTGCGGAAGGCGTTTGAAGGCGATAGCAAAGAGCTAACGAGGCGTACTGCATGGAAGGGAACGCTCGATTTGGTTAATGGTAGGGTGTCCATAGAAGAAGGTAGTCCAGCGAAGGAATACAGTATTCCCGCAGTTGGTAGGGCGGCACAGGAGCTAGTAGTTGAGGGGGGGCTGGAAAGATGGGTGAAGAATCGGATAGAAGCATAGTTACATTTCATGATAGTCCTGTATTTTTTTTCTCAGACCGAAACCACCCATCGTGTTCAAAACCGCAACTATATACAATTCCTATTTCATGCCTTCCAAGAATACAAAAGAAACACGTAGTCGAGAATCAGCACCTCCCTCTAATTCCTACACAAGATCTACTTTATTATCTTCTAACAGTCGTCTAATCGCCTTGTATTGTAAGATATATACATTATTTGCTTTCATGAAAGTCGTCTCATCGCTACATGACGTGTATCCATCAGCAATGCATCTATAACCACAATCAATCACTGCGTACCTATCATCCAATTGGAATGCACCGATATCCTCTTTAACCCGACATATGACTGCATCGTCAAGCTCAGGTCGGTTCACTAAGCATGTCCAGATATATGTTAGCCACACAATTCACAATATTCCTATGAGTCACTCGATGACTACCCATGCTTATATCACCAATCTCGTCATCTAGCCGTTGCAGAAATGCAGGTAATTCTTCTAGGCACGACTTCATAAAATGTCGCTCTAGAAGCTCCTGGAATCTGGGGAACTTTAGTCAGCAAGAGCACAGAGTACATTAAAAGAACAAAATCGTCGTACAATACTTTTCTGCAAAAGCCAATTCGTCGGTTGATAATCTTCCACGATATTCTTCCTCTTGCAGAAAGTGAAGGGTATACTTTTGTATCTGCGGGAGCGGTATCCCCATGTTAACGGTTGGACAGCATTGCAAGAGGGCAAGGACTCACTTTTGCCAGTCGCGTTCTAAGGTAGCTCCTTATGACGAACTTTATTCGCTCCATTTCTTGCTGATATATGACCAGGAGAAAAGCACCGTCTGGTGTATTGGGCTCTTGCGCTTCCACGTTTTCTGCCTGGTGATAAATTAAATACCTTCCATACCAACCTACGTTCTGTCCTATTCTACTCACCTGTGCATTCAGCATTTCCAACAAGTTATTGACTAAATGCTCCTGGTAGGGTAGTATCTCTGGAGCGCATCGCTCATTTATCCACGATTGAGTCAATGCCTTCACGTCATCATTAAAGTAAGATGTAGATTCGCCGTCACTTGACAGGAGAAAGTCGTCCGTATCCAGTTCCATGCTGTCTGTGAGCATACTCTGCACTTTAATCTGCTGCTGGAGGTGCCAATGGGATGATGGATCTGTAAAGTCCACAGCGCTGCTTCCGACGCGAGATGAGCGTGGCGCAGCCCCGATCGCTGATGACTCCAAAAAGAATCCGACAAAGCAGAGGGCCATTTGCAAAACTTAATGACAAAGAAGAAACAAGTTGAACCACATCTTCATCTGCTGGGCGGGGCAGTATCGGGGCTAGCTGCTTGCGTGCTGTTGCAGCCATTAGACCTGGTAATGAAAACAGTTTCGTTGAAAGTTTGCACCTCGCTAAACTAACTTGTTTACTGGTAGGTGAAAACTGTTCGTATCTGGATATTTGGTCGAGATGTGACTCCTGGAAGTACCATTTTAACCTCTCAAATGATGCTGCTATAGAGACTGCAACAAGAGCTTCACCACCGACGTACGCTCATTTCGAATGCGGCCCTTACAAAGCTTCACGATGGCACAATTTTCAAAGACCTAACCCTATGGTCGACGGCACGGGATGTGATACGAAAGGACTCTGTATGGGGACTATGGAGAGGCACATGGCCAACAGTTATTCGCAATGTACCCGGAAGTGCTCTTTATTTCGTTACCCTGGACAAGATGCGGCATGGATTACGGAGCTTACGGACAAGAGAGAAGGGGACAATGTTGAATGATAGCACTGTCAATCTTCTCAGCGGAGGAGCTGCACGGGTGGTAAGGACTAGTTGCTCTGTTCTGCCACCAAAGTCAAGTGGCTCACCTTGATGTTGCATAGGCAGTGGGGTATATCCTGATGCCGATCACTGTAATCAAAGTCAGGTATGAGGTTAGTCCTTGGTATTCTCATTCCTACAAACTGTGCACGTCCCAGCGCCGCTAGAATCCGTCTTAATACTCTCCTTATTTAGAGTAATTTCTACAATTACACGTCAATATGGCAAGCATCACGGTCAATTCTAAAGGAAGAAGGGATCGGCGGTTTGTTCCGCGGTTTTGGCGCGACGGCGATGAGGGATGCTCCTTACGCTGGATTATACGTGCTCTTTTATGAGAACTGCAAGAAAATACTAGGAGGTGGGACTAATACCCTTTTGCGACAACTTGGTATCACTCGGTTAGAGTTATTTAACATTGCCAAATAATTCAAGGGTTGACTGGAGGATCGGCAAGTCTGATGCCTGTGGTGCATATGAGCTCTGGCATTGTCAGCGGTATCGCCGCGACGGTGGTCACAAATCCGTTTGACGTGGTGAAAACGCGAATGCAGTTGAAGCCATCTGATTATAGCACCATGTTCCAGTCCGCACGGAAAATTGCACGGGTAGGTTTTTCCAAAGTTGCCGATACCTCATACCTCTTGTTCGCACATGCTTATGGATTGCATAGGAGGAGCGCGCGATTGGCTTCTTTTCGGGCATGTTGCCACGGTTACTGAGGAAGACTGTCAGTTCTGCAATTACGTGGACCATATACGAGGAGATAGTGCGATGGGGCTCGCAGCGGTCATGAAGATCAATCAATGTCCATAGATAAGCTTATTCTACATACAGTTAGCATTTAGAAGTATCAATCGCACAACCTGTAAATCCGCAAAGATGTGGACGCAGATTTCGATGTCCGGTCATCCTGACCCGAATCTCTGATGCAGGAAAACATGACGGCAACTCCATGTTATCAGAAACGAAGTAGCACTCAAAATGTCTAATCCATGACCTGCCTCCAACCTCCAACAAAAGAAAATATATATATAAAATCTATACAATTGCCTGCAAAAAAAAAGAAACTGTACACTTCCCAGCACCGCACAAGTAATCTCTACTCATCCATTCCATACTTTTGCTTCATTGCACTTATATCCGCCTCTTTTTTGTCCAGGTCTTTCTTTTTCGTTGCCTTCGCGGTGGAGTAATATAATACAATCAAGTATCGACCCATAATGTTAAATCCACTTAGATGATCGCAGGCGGCTTTGGCGTCGAATATGTCGTCGTAAACTGGTTGGAAATGTAATATCAGAAAATGCCACTTACGACTAGGAGACAGTGTCCACATACCAACAAATGCTGTTCCTTTTGTGTCTGTAGCGGTTCCTATCCGTATTTGTCGAATGGATCCATATTTTCCCTACCAAGACAAAAATGAATACGTTTGCTCCTCGACAGAGAGAAGCTGCGACTTACAAATAAATCGTATAAATCCTCAGCGGTAATTTTGAAAGGAAGATTGCGCACAAACAGCACCCTGTTCACTTCAGGGGGGAGACGAACTATGAAAGGAACAGAAGTGAGCACAACGAGTGTAACCCCAGTAATCTAGCGTTGGAACGTACCGTTAGCGCGGGCTTTCGCAGCTAAGGCCATGGTGATGCGTTTTCAGGCGAGGATTGCGCGGGTAATGGGTGCAATAAACAGGTTGCTTTGCTTGACAAACGTACGTCGGAAGATGGACTGGCTTGCAAAGGCTCACTTGCCAAAAACTTGATCTCGAAAGTTGTTGCCAGCAAACTCGCAAAGACTGCGCTACTTCATCGCTTGCCAATGTTGCCATAGCAACAAGATCGCTCAACCTCTGCCGAGACGTTGGGCATTTCCCAATTCCATCCCCCCCAACATGACCTTCTCCTTCACGTCGCGAACTCTCCGAACAGCGGCGACCTGCTCTCGTCGTGCTGGGCTTTCAAGCTCCAAGTTCGCTTCCGCGTCTCCATTGCAGCAAGCCTCAGCCTGTCCATTTTCCTCTACCTTCCCATTTTCTGGTCCGACGAAGTCTTCCGCAAGTGCACCCACGCCGTCCTCAAGTTTTAAGCCGCTATCACAGGTCCAAACAAGACAAGCAAGCGAACTGGTACGTCCCGCTGGCTATGGGTAAACAAGGGCATTGTTGCTAACACACGTACGTGCGCTTTTGCAGATACCGTCAAGACTTGTTGCAAGCTTAACTGCCAGTGCAGGGCTTTTGCGAACACTGGGGACTGTATCAGTCATGGATGATGCATAATGAAAGTGCTGTCGCTTTAGGCGTCCCTTGGCTTCCTGTGGATGGGGCCTCTCACTGTCCCTAATGGCCCTTCCTACTGGCAACATGTATAGGAACACAGTGATACTCGGCCATGAAGGTGGAGATAGGGAGCAACCGGCTGCTTCTGTTTATAGCAATTCACAGCATTTAAACACAATTTAATACTTACATGCGGCATCAAACATACTTGGCCTGCTGTTGGAAACAATCAGATCTGGATGAAGGTTTCATTGGAAAATGTGAAAGTGACAACCTATCATGTCCCTCACTGGAATCTGAACGAAATTCACGGTGACAAAACATGTTTTCACACTAACAGTACCTTGGTCACTTCCGCAATCTCCGATAAGGATTTTACCGGCCCCAAATTAAAAGTCTTGCAGGTATACATCGTAATGGTACGGCCGTCAGCCGCTTGGTAGTTCTTTAGTTCTTTGTCGCTGAAGGTATACCCGGACGAACTTGACTACATAGCGAGGTTCATTGGTCTAACGATTCTGCGCATACCATTCAGCATGCTGGGACGAGATGAAAAGACTGTGCAAGACTGAACCAAAGATGTCTTCAGAATGATGACAAGGCACAGAACGACAGTGAAATGCAATATTTTGAGCAATGTCTTTGTATTGTAAGCTTTACCATACTTTTGAGTGTGTTCATCCAATAACCAAAAGCAAATATGCACTTATCCCAACCCCCAGCTCCCGATGGAGCGGCCCCTACCTCCCGACCCTACCGCTCCCGCCTTGTCTCTACCTCATCCTTGAGAGAAATGATAAGCACACAATATGTGTTAAAAAACATCCTCATTACGCAAACTCACCCCTCCCTCGGACGATAAGCTTATAAACGGAGCCAATCTTCGACAATGCGAGTCCCTCTTCGAGATCGTACCTATATGTTTTGATTCGCTTAATCTTATATGCAACGAAGCGTTCGATTCTTTAGCTTTACCCTAGCACGTTCAACGTCCCAACCCACCGATTCGAGATAATCCTCCATCCTGTCTTGACGCAGCAGCGGGAACTCTGCCCGCATCCGCCTTATCGTAACTTGCTGCAAAGCTGACTGCATGGCTGCCTGTCAAATTGCAATATGAGAAATACAGGCTTTGCCGGCTATATATCCTATGTTTCCTCGCCATTACGTCTTGCTGCTCCTCTGGAGTCAAATTCAGTTGAATGGCTTGACGACGATCCATTATGCTTTGCCGGTTCATATGTATGTATGTGTCCCAAAAGATATGGAACTTAAAAGATGACGCATGGATCAAATGAGATGCTTTTTAGCTTAATCCTGGAAGCTTCGGTGTCATGACGAGTCAGCACATAAGTAATAAATGCAGTCCACTATTCCGTAGAATATTTTTTTCCTTTTGTCCATGTCCTTTGGAAATCGTCTTTGGATACTGTTTCCTGCATCTCCCGCACATGCTCTTTCGCATGAATGCCGCGCTTCTCACATCCAGCTGGTATACTCTAAAGCTCTTTGGCTCTCTGTCATTCGACAATGAAGCATGTAATTCATATAAATAGGAAGAAAAGGACATAATGTACAATACATCTATGAATCGCTCTTAGAGTCAATACGTGGACCTCTGCGTCGGTGATCTTCTACATATAATATCCCTCCACTGCAAACTCTGCGACCAAGACAGCTAATGCTCCGAAGAGCACAACGGGCATAATGATAATGCACCAAATGAAGAACTGCGTCTGCTTTATTCCCATTCCTCGTTTCCGCAGCAGGTCATCCCACATTAGGCCAGCCAGCGCACCGAGGTATGTTAGATTTCCCCCGAAATTCGAGCCGATTATTAACGCAAACATGCCTCCTCTTCGCAAAGCGTACACGACTCTTGCCGAGTCTGCTTCTGATGAGCCTATAATAGAGAGCATCGTCGCATCAAAGTCCGGATGAGAGAATACTCGCGCAAAGAGAATCGTCATGGGAAGATTATTCAGCACGCTGCAAGCGACGGTGGTGACAAGGCCCGTAAAGAACACCATAGGAATCATATGACCACCAACGCTTAGATGTGCCATCCCTTTCGCCAAGAGAGAAGTCCATCCATTCGCTGCGAGAGATTCACAAAGAATAAACATCCCCAGTGCAAATGGTATCAATTTCCACGGGAGCCTTACGGTTACGTGATATACAGTCGGTAGAGCGTTACTCCACGCGCTCATTCGGCTGACAATCGATGACTTCTTTCGGGTCTCCTCGACTAACAGATCCGAACCATCACAGGATTCCACTTCCGCCAACGAAGACCCCTGTCTAGATCCGAGGCGTGACCTTGATGGCGCTGGGACACGAGAGGATGCGGAGGCGACGCTGTTACGCTCCGTGCGTACCGAATTCGTTGGTCCCGAATGTGTTCCATTCATCTCCACTGAAATGTTGTCTTCCGCACTAGCATCTTTGCTTTCAATTAGACATTCTTTGTTTTCCACGGATTCAGACGACAGGGATACATTCTGCTCATTGGAAGACTCTCTCCGCAACATTCTGACTTCTGACGTTCCTCCGCTCCCCAATTCAATATTTTCGTGCTCCGTCTTTTGCGGCCGGCAGTTTCTGGTAAGGTCCATAATCATATCTTTCCCAATCATGATCGCCCCAAAGGGCAAAGTCAACATCCACACTGGTACATCCGCGAAGATGGGTACAATCATCAAACCAAGTAGACAAGCCAAGAGTACTGCACAGCCGATAAATGCTCCCCATCTGTCTCGAATTTGATAACGCTCTTCGGCCTCCGGTGGCGGAGAGGGAATATTTACGGGAATATGCGAGCGCAGAACTACGAAACACATAAGATAGGCGAGACCGACAGCTAACAATGTTGGGAGACCCATCCACGCAGAGTACTGAATAAAATTGATGCGGAATGCTTGCGCCACAATGATGTTCGTTGGGTTGCCAATGTATAATGCTAGAGACGCTATATTGCAAACGATAAAGGTAGACACCAAATAAGCCTTTGGATCCGTCTGTGTGGAGAGAATGACAACCCAGATAGTTGAAATTGGTGAAGTGTCAACGACGCCGTTAATCAGACACTTACTTTTGTCTCCTGTGTCAAATAACACACTATTGGGGTAATAGTCAAGACGACAACGTCATTCGAAGTGAAAATGGTCATGATAGTACTGAGAAGAAATAAATAGAGGAACAATCGATGTCCCGATGAGCCCCCACGCTTGGTAACCTGGAATGCCACATATTCGAAAAAGCCAGTTACATCGATAGAGATACATATGTACGCTACAAGACAAAGAGTAAAACGCCATCAGCTTGCCATGCCAATTTCAAGTCGAACCAATATTGTAATCACCTAGCGCGAATATGAGTAAAACTACAGAATAGGGTTGGATGCCGTGCTCGGAACCCACAATCCCGTCACGAAGCACAAGGCCATTGATACTCGTGGTTGCTAGCAGTACCAATATTCCAACGATCGGGGCGGTGGCTATATCCAGCCAAATATGGGAGACGCCGAACCGGCCATGTGTGAATGGTATTGGAACTCGCAAGGGATGAATGCAAAAGAAAATAACGATGGCAAATACTATGAGCGAAAGCCAGGAAAATGCCGTGAGATTGTCGGCCATTAGAAGCGCTGTAGAGGGCAACGCTTTGCGGAAGCCGGCCGTCGCTGCAATCGCAGGAAATTCCGCCAACAAAAACGACGAGCAATGCGGACCTTGAACAGATTGCGTAATTTGACAAGCTTGGGCACGTGATGGAACGAGAGGTTTATGGGATTTCCGCTCTCGTTTTTGAACGGGTTTCCAATCACAAAGTTGAAAGCAAATCAGCAAATCAGAAAAGCACGGCAAAAGGAAAGCAGCGGCCGAACCAGAGAGGCAGTCACATTGGAGGATTAACTGCGCGTAGAGAACCAAACTGGCACTGGAATAGCGTTCAGAATGAAGGAAGAGCCGTTGCAAACGTGGGTGAAGTTTGTGCTGAACAGCGCGCAGGAATTTTGTCATGTGGCCTTGTCCGTCCAGAAGTCTTGTTGGACTGGAGGAGGAGAACAGACATGGCGGCAAATTATCATGCTGTGAGCATATTACTTATGCATTGTTCCCTTCCTGCTCCTCAGATCGTTCTCGGGTGTCTCAGCCGACGACATTCTTGCACAATGTAATGTTCCACTGTCAGCCGCGTCGTTCCCTCCTACTGCACTTGTCTTGCGATGCTAACTCTGATTATATCATGTTACAGATGATTCTGACGCATCGATGGGCGCTCCTGATCTACATGGCGCGCGAAGCTATCGCCCTTTCAACCGCGGCAACAAGCTCAAGCGAAGTATCGAACAACCACCAGTGCTGCCTACCAAGCCCACACTTTGGAGTCTACATGCGATCGATGAGGACTATGAGGTGCGAGTCGCATTTGCTACTAGTGTGATTACAAGTTTCTTATGTTGGATGCTGGGTCATAGTTTGCGCATATCGGAAAGCGAAGGGCAATCATGCGAAAAGGAAGACGAAGAAAGGACGAAGACGATCCATATGCAGGAATCAATATTGACGGTTAGTTTTTGTACGAAGGTCGAATGGTCAATTCATTGGAAACATTGGTCCTTACGCCGCCTGCTCATCAATACACAGAGATCTGGTCACTTCCCGACACCCCAACAGACGCCGCCCGTGTATCATCAGTCCTCCACACACTTCGGAACCGCCACCTTAAAGTACTCTCACAGACCGCAATGAACATGGTTGAAAAAGAGCAGGATTTCAACAAAACGATTGCACGTTTCGCTCAGATGATACAACAGGATGATCCGTTGTATCAAGATATTGATCTGGAAGGCACTGTGCCGCAGGATGTGCTGAATACTCTCAGAGATAGCGTTCAGGTAAAGTCAACGATGCCGTGTTCAAACGTTCGCTGGGTAGGCTAGGATTATAATTCCTGGAATTTGTAGGAGCTCGTCAGTTGCAGCAACGAGTATGTGAAGCGCATCGGGGATATGCGCGATAAGCTCATTATAGCCCATGCTCAAAAGAAGACACTAGCCAAGAAGCTCATGTTATCAACAAGCGAAACAGTACCCCACAGCCAGTCGAACCGGAATGAACACGGATCAGGAAGACGTGGTGCATGACAGCAGCAACGAGGCCGATGAGTATGATTGCACCGCTTGGCCATATATTACAAAGAGCACATTCTACGTGCTGACGTCGGTGTCTTTCCTCGACGCCCCACGCATTCTGTCCCAATGCTTGTAACATAGAAACGAAAATCCCCTTCTTGGCGGGTAATAGGACTCCTCTCAACTCTATATTCACAATATGACATTATTTAGACTTCCGCTTCGTCTTGCTGCCTCTTGGCGTTCCACCTTTTGCACCTTTGGCAGCCTTCTTCTTCTCTGCCTCTTCCTCCCGCAGTAATTCATCTGCAATACGTTGTCTGCGCTCCTCATCCGTTTCTTTTGGCGACCCATCGTCTTCTGGTGTCTCTGCAGTTTCATCTTCGGGTATCCCTGCATCACGAAGACTCTGTTCCTGCGCCAGCCTTTGGGCCTCTAAGGCTTGTTCTCGTTGCATCTGAATCTGGACCAGTTGTGTGGCTTCTTGGAAAATGGTCTTGCTCCATCCTGGTTTATATAGCTCTGCATCTTCCATGACCTGAAAAAAGAGACTCTAAGTACAGATGAAGGCACCAAAACGCGGCGCATTCACCAACCTCTTGAACTTCGGCGTCCAGCTCTGCCTCCGCCCTCAACAGCTTTTCCAACAAATCTTCTCCCATCAAACCCGAACGAACCATCTGCTGAAGCGGAGGCTTCTCTTCTCGGATCTTTAAAATGCGCCTCACGTCCGTGAGAGCTCGTTTCATTAGAGAGGTTGTCAAGAGCTTGTAACCGGCGGGATCTTCAGGAGAATGCATTTCAGCGAGTTCATTATATATGATCTTTTCTGTGTTTTCTGGAAAGTATCCGTCCCACTGAGCATCTACAATTTATTCTCTTTAGCATGGTAGTAGCTATGATGCCGGATAACGGTGGATCTTCCTACTATCGTACCTTGGTCAGCAGCCTTTTGCTTTACCCGATTCCATTTGATGAAGGCAGCGAACAAGGCTCCTATCGCCACAGCGTATAGTACTGGAAACCAGAATGCCGCAGAAGTTGAGGTCATTCGTCCGTCGTGCGTGGAGGAAGTTTTACTTGGGAGAGAGTAACTTTGGGCCTTTGAACGATTTGACGAACAAGCCGCGGTCGAAGCTAAGCCCTTGTTGAATCACGTGGTTTCTGGTTGGGGGGGGGGGGGCGGGGAGTAGTTTGAGCGCTCGTTAGTGATGGGCTTGGCGAACTCTGACGAAAGGCTCTTTCTTTTCAAGAGCGGTAGCGAACAAACAAGCAGAGAAGATGTGCTTACTGAGAAGCTTTTGTTCATTCTGGTCGACTGTTCGTTAGGCATCCTGGCGAACGAAACCTCGTTTCTAGCCAAGGTCTTTTGGACTTTTCAGAATGGACATTCATTCTCAGATCTTGAATAAAAGCATGCTAAACTGTGAATAAACCTCACTTGAGGGCCGTGCGCACTGCCTTTTGGACGCAGGCACCGTCGACATTCTCTGGACAAAACTCGCAGATCGCTTACGCGTCCTGTGGCGCAGCGTACGCGTTATCCACCGCGTTAACTTTTTGTCCTCGACCTTCAACGTTGCAAACTTATAACTTGCGGTCATGACGGGGGCACATACGTCCATGCGATTACGGCCTAGTCGAAGCAGTTTAATTTACCTGCTTGGCTGGTTGATAAGATTTAATGTCATTGCAGCACAAGGTACTAAATCCCATACTGGTGAAATACGCATACGCAAGATACAAAGCTAAATGTGATTAACGCATCCAGAGAGTTGCATATGTGATCAAACCGCAAACCTATGCGATCCCAATTGTTGCTGCGATCCTGACTGCACCACCGCCGACCGTGATGCCTACTTTGTCGGGGGATGTCTACCTGAGACTGGTGCAATAGCAGAAGCAGGAGCCGCCGCTGAGCCTTTTTGTTCCCAGTTTCTGGTGGCGGTGAATGATCCTTCGCAGCTGGTGGACAGATCTGATTCGGGAGCTTTATGCATTGCCATAGATAATAGTCGGTACCGGCAATGGTTTGATCATGCGGAGAGGAGATATTAATCAAGGCATCTGGCTGATGCTATTCAGGTCCCGTCGAAGGGTTCTCGTACCCAAATCCGCAGACATACACCAATACAGCTGCATTCCAAGAAATATTTCAGCGTGTTCCATTTACGTATCAGCAGACATCAACCGACGCAGAGAATGCATTGTCAACAACCCCGTACAAGGTAAGGTGGTCGACATGCAGTATTAATCCACGACACGACTAATCTCTCTTTGTAAAAAGTACGGAGATTCCATTCAAGTACGGTACGGTGGATCGCCCATCTTGAACGCACCCATGCCAATGCCATCGGCGTTAGTGAATGATTTTTGTGATGATGCCAATTCAGCTAGTCAGTCTTTCTGGTTCTTCTCTGCATTGGATCCCGATCGCAGTCTGACCAAACATCATAGAATTTCTCGTTGCGCAATCAACGACGTGTGCTCGACCAATGGGAATTACACAGTGTTCAGCTGCAACACCCTTCGATGCAGCTTATTACACTCGCTACACCGTCATCACGGTAGGTGACGTTTATATTACGGACAGTCGTTCTATGTACCCATCACTATTAAATAGGATCCAGCGAACCCGGGAACAACAGTACCAATCACACCCCAGTGCTACGACGCATCAACCAGCGCATCGGTAGCTTGCACGCTCGTTCCGTCATACAGCAGCGGTTTATGCTTGAACGGAGTTACAGAGGTGCAGTCTTGCGGGTGTACACTATCGAAAAATTAGAGCTGACATCAATGTGTAGGTACAATACAACGTCGTATACGAAGTTGCTGGGAGCGCCGTGATTAGAACAGTTGGCGCGAAGATCATGATTGGCACGATTGATGCGAATCAGACGAGCGCACTCCAACGATTCGCCGTCACATTCAGTACGGTACGTCCGACCTTCCACGCAACCTGTCGATATTTCTGCAATTTCTAATTAGCTTCGTATTGGATAGCCCACCTCTGCTACAACACCTCCAGTCGCGCGGTCAGGAAATCCGGGTTACATTGTAGGGAAGCCAGTGCTAACTGGCACGCTATCCGGCACCTCATATCCTTCATTACGATTTCTGTGTTTTGCATCATTTTTTTTTTTTTTTTTTTTTTTTTGCCAAGCCCTTACATGTTATCCTTAACCACTCCAACACAGTAACTGCAGGTCCCCATTTGACTCTTGCAAAAGACATATATTCGGCCTCTTCAAATCTAATAAGTTGCGGAACACCTACGGACGCAACAAGTCGTGTTCCCGTAACGTTTGGCACAGACGTATCCAGTGGATGCACGTTGCATCTTAATCTCCTGGATCTGACAACAGGATGTGCGGCTCTTGGTACTCAAATTCAGAATTTGCAGTTAGAGACATTGCGGACTGTCACGCATGTTGGGAGGATGGGGGACGCCGATGGGTCAGTTTTGGGGGACTGGATCGAAGTCCTTGGGACCCTGCCAACTGTGGCGAGTTTGGTATGCTTTGCTCTGTACGGTTATGGGCAAGGTACTCCTTCTAACAATGTCAAACCTCAAAGGTGGCCCAAACGGTTGGCGGGGTAACTTGCAGCAACCTCCTCACAAGCATTTTCATCGACTTCCTCGTAGCAGATACAGGCACAACCACTTCTCCGCAACCCAGTATCATCGGCGCCCGGTATCGCTATACAACAGGCAGTTTCACCTACCGCTGCATAAACCCATCAGACTGTCTCTCACTGGGAAGTGCCACCCAGCCATTCCGGATTTCATCGGCAGTGTCATTCGTCTATGTGCGACAACAGCCAGAAATGGTTGTCCCAGCTCCACCGCGCTTGGTTAAACCACTTCCTGATGATGTGTTTTATCCATTCCACATACCGAGTTCGGCAGCGTCGACAAAATCTATGGGACTGTCATTTTGGATGTTGTGTTTAAGTGGGATAGCAACGGCGTGGATGGGAGCAGTGTTGGTACGGTAAAATAAGTACAGGTGCGATTGTATATACACATGGCAATTAAACAAAGAATTAGCCTATCATGTCCTCATACGAGTGGAACCGTTCATGCACCCTTCTATATGCATAAATACGTAAATACTTTTTAACATTACATGATTGACGGCCTTCCGAGGACACATCGTGCAAGCTCATGGGGCGTTTCGGTATCGCTTCAAGAGCCAAAAACCAATATTTTGCGTCGTGCTGAACGCCGCCGAGGTTGCCCAATACAAGCTTAGCGCCTGGCGTAGAGCGACTGTTAATGATTCACATGAGATGACGATAAGGACAAATGCCCACATACCATCGGAACTTGTGTCGCGACGGGAATGATAACAATGGACAAGCACCGGAAGAGAAATGTCATCAGAGGGTGATCCTTCCGACCTCCCAAGTTGACGATAGACTTGTTCAACTATTTATAACATCAGCTATCGCCCAACATACGTTATATACGTTTCAAGAGCAGTACCGTACCTCGACATTCATCAAGTGCAGAAATCCAATCGTGAGGGGGACAATCATGGTAGGATCTGGCGCCGCCAAATCAACAAACCAAGCCGTGCCTCCCGTCGTAAATCCTTCTATTGCGGCCATTGGGGTCTCTAGCCAAGGCGCTGGAAATGCAGCCATTCGCCGCAAGGCAAGTGACGCAGTGATCCACAAAGGAATTTGCACCCATGGTAAAATGATGGTTTTTATGGGATGACAGTTGTATGTTCGGTAAAGCTCGCGCACTTTTTGTTTATACTTCGAAAAGACCAAAAAACTATGATCAGAGTGTGAAGAGAAAGAGGACGAAACAGGCACCACATACAGTTATCTGAGCCTTGTTCAAAGCAAGAAGCGATCTTGACCCTCTCTGTGCTTTCATCTGCTGCCGAAATGTTCCTTCCCACGCTTTCAAGATGGGTTGCAGTTCTGCTAGCCTCGCTACTCGGCGTCTTTGTTGAATTGCCAGAGGAAGTGTGCATGTGGCTCGCAGAGCCACAGTACAACTGACTATTGTAAGCCACCATGGGAAACCTGTTACAGAGTGGACTTGGGTCAAAGCTGTTTCAATGAATGCAATTGGGGAGAAGCTGAAGGATGGGTCGGTGCCTATAGGAGTTGCTGCTGCGAAAATGGTGGTTGGCAACCACGGTGCTCCTGCCGGCCGTTGGGGTTTGAGTGCGCGCGTGCATTGGAGGATCTTTGCTGGAAGAAATGCGCAACGCCGTGATGGGCCAAAGGTCCGCGACAACATTGCTTTCCCTGCTGCGATCTCTGATGTTTGGACAAGATATTGCATTAGATCACTTGGCAAACCTGCCAAAGTATTATACTGGACTCGCGTGATTTTTGCTAGCTCCAAGTTCGAGACGAATATGTGGAAAAGAGAAAGTACATTGATAATTGCATTATGGGAAGAAACATATTATAAAATCTGAGCGATACGGCCATCCAGATACCATCATAATGGCGGGACAAGACCGTAAGAAGCAACGATCAAGCAAAAACGGGACGAAGATCGGTGCCCATAGCAGTTGTGATATTAACCTTGAGACAACGAGGCGAATATGAGCAAAAAAGTAACTAGTCCAAGCAATGTTAAAAATAATCTAGTCGCAAATAAATGGTTGCTGTACGCTCCCCCTCCACCGTAATCCTTTCTTTCATGATAAGGAATGTATGGATGTACTTCCCTTCTTGAATCTCCAAATTCAAGCAAGCAAAGCACATTACCCGCGAGGTTGGTGGCAACTTGAGCGAGGCGACAAGAGGATCGTAAAGTCAGAATCCCCTCCACTATGTCCTCTACAGTGGGCATCAGGAATCAATAAAACGGATCGTTCGACAGCGCTTTTACCATCGGCTGGCCAACTGTCGGGCTTCTGAGTTCCATGACGGGTAGAGTTCCCCTGCACTGGTTTAATCACCTCGTTATCAGCTTCTTCTGCTAGAGTTCAACCAACAACGACTTGAGTTGCACTCTGCGATCGTGGTCACATGACTGGAATGCATTGGGTCACGTGAAATGATGACCAAGCAGCCAAACTTTTGATGATCGTTTTGGCATTTTCCTACCAGAGATCTCAAGAAATGGCCAAATCCCGCGAGCGCAAACGGCGAAAAATGTCGGGTACAAAACGACGTACCATCCTTCTCATTCTTGATATCAACGGAACGCTGTTGGAGAGAGTCAAGAAAACGGCAGAGAAAAGAGCCGCAAGGGCGAACCCACTTTGCCCTGAAGCACCAAACTTTCGACTCAACAGAGCAAGGTAGGTCGATGCTTTGCACTTGTCATTTGTCGCATCTCTGAACCTTGTTTTGCACCTGGCAGATGCTACTATCGCCCGTATTTGGACACATTCATCGATCACATTTTCCAACACTTTGAGGTCGCAGCTTGGACCTCGGCAATGCCAAAAAATGCGGATCCTATGTTCAGCCATATTTTTGGTGATTATGCGTCGAAGCTGGCATTTGGATGGAACAGATCGCATTGTAGCGATATTGGAGGTCGAGATCGGGACTGGGAAGCAAAGAAAGATCTTCGCAAAGTGTGGGCTGATCGGACTGTCAATCCACACGGACGATGGACAGAGGTAGGGATACTCTACATGTTTGCATCTTCTTGAAATGATCCATTTGTGACATACTGCTTGCAATTTTTAGCGAAATACCATCTTAATTGACGATACATCGTCAAAGGCATCCTTCACTCCCGCAAACTGCTTGCACCTTCCAACGTTCACAGTGTGCGATCCCAATTTTGATTGCATAAACGATACCTCGCTGCTAAGTTTGATAAAATACCTGGACGCGCTACGCCAGAGCGATGTGACGGATGTACGAGAATACTTTAAAACGCATCCCGCATTCCATGTCGCAGACACTGGAAAGGCAACGCACCCGCATGAACAGTTTGCAATACAGGATACTGAAGATGAAGAATTGATTTCGAGATTTACCAAAGATCGCCCGCGGCTTGCAGATCATAGTTTGTCTTCAAGTGACGAGGAGAGGCCACCGTGGGCGGCGCAGAATGCACATCAGTCAAGAATGGATAGAACAACACATCCTCAGCCACCCTTTCAAAGATTCGAGCCTCAGCAGAGTAGGGGTTATCACTCACAGGCGTATATGCCGCAACATTTTGGTTACCATCGGCATAGATCAGACGACCTTTCAGTGCATGAAGGACAAACACATCGTCAATCCTATAGAGATCGCGAATCCTTTCAGAGATTCGAGTCTCAGCAGACTTGGGGTTATCACTCACAACCCTATGTGCCCCAACATTCTGGTTACCATCAGCATAGATCAGACGACCTTCCAGTGCATGAAGGACAACCACATCGTCAATCCTATAGAGATCGCGAACCTGGACACGATTCATATGGATTTTATCAAGGTAGAACTGGCACATCTTCGAGACACCCTGTCACGACAAGCGATCAAAGAGACTTCCAACGATACGAAAATGGAAGGCACCAGGACGTTTTCCACCCATCGACAGCGCCACCAAGTAACGGAAGTGAAGGTAATTGGCGCCAGCGTGCGGATAATGAAGGCAGCCGCCCGGCAAAGTCCGGTAAGGGAAAAAAAGGAAAAACTCAACCGCCGCGTGCAAACAGTAAAGGACGCGCATATCGAGGTGGGAAATTTAGCAAAGAAAAGAGAAAGAAGGGCGGAGGATGATCCTTTCTTTGCTGCAAAGCCGGACAGTAAACGTTACCGACGCTTTCCACTTTGTATTTTAGGATTTTATTTATATCTACATAATCAGTCCAAACCCTTGCTCATGCTTGAATTTGGATAAACCATGAATGTTCAAGGGAACAATGTCAACGGCGCGTACGTGGCTGCACTGGCGTAAAATTTGGATTGAAGGCCACTGCGTCCTTTTGCATCTGTCGTTTTGCCCAGTTGTTTAAATCTTCAGGCGCCGTGGTTTCATCGGTATCCTTCATGAGCTCTGCACCGGCCGCCTTCCATTTTTGAAACAAAGTTGTCTATCGTAATGAAGATTGAATAATTGCTTCTAATAGTTCGACCCTCACCCAGGTACTCACCACTTTTTTACTTGGGTGTGCACTGTTGGCCATATGCACTTCCTTCCTATTCTGCTGCTCGTCCTCAGGTTGAGGTGGAGGAGGAGGAGGTGGCGGGGGTGGGGGAAGAGGCGGCGGAACGGGAGTCGAAATTTCAGCCATTTCCTTCTTCAGAGGATGAGACCACCTTATATCATCGGTTTCCGCGCACTTGAAACTGTATGCTTCGCTCCGTGCGTCCCACTCCAGAGACCATCCATGCGGCGCGACACGATTCTCCACAGCCGGCACAACTTCCACCTCCCAATGCTTTAAGATCTCTTCAAAGTACCCACTATGCAGCGCCCCTCGAGTCCAATCCAGAAATCGGGACGTGAGTTCTTTTTGGCAGGCAGTCACGTTCTCGAGCTCTACTGGAAGCATGTCAGGACCGAGGGCGAGCAGGTTGGCAATTTTCGATAGAAGGGTATTGGTGCGGCGATGCAGTGGAGATGAACGGCTAGGTTTGATCAATGCGGTTGCAAACTTTGGAGGCAATGATGAGAGAGCGACAAGCGGCCGATCAGGGGATCGAGATTCTTTGGGTTTTACAGAAGTTGCAGGCCCACTCGCGGATTTGGTATGTGAGGAGATGCCTGATGATGATCCAATTGAGGTAGCCTCGGACAGTGTTTGAGTGAAAGGGTCAGACATGGCGTTAATTTCTGATATAAAGTCCGCAAACACTGCATCCATGTCACCAGGCTTTTCTGCAGCTTGACCTGTACGATGAATTGAATCACAGCAGAGCTCAATCAGCCGTGTTCCTCTATTATTGTCTTTTGTGGGCCTCTCCTCATAGCCACGCCAACTATACCTTTCCGTAAAGGAAGAAAGCCAGAGATCAGTCCCACCCACTCTGTTGCGACACAAGGACATGCTCCACATTTGCTTATGGCAAATGTGCGTGCGCTGCCGCGAACGCCATGTTGCAAGTGGGCACTTAGGATTCAGCTCCGACTCTTACAAACGTTTGTTCTCTTTTGCATCAGAGCAACAACCCTTGCAAATACATTCGAGATCCATTTCGCTTCACACCCATGGCACCCTACCTTGATGATTTCCATGCGTTGTATCATCTTCCTCGTCGCTATCATCGTAGGCACTCAAACCAGCCAATTGAGTTACCGCTTCGGTTGCTTTTCATATAAAAAAGAGCATATTGCAGATCGAAACGGACATTTAGACAATCACAACAAACAGCAGGGCTCGGGCAAAAACTTATACTCCGCCGCGTCCTTTCGTGTGTGAGACCCTCTGAAGCATACAACGCAAAGCGACTTCACACGCCGTTCCAATCTCGCAGCCAACTGGTGCTATATTGTGGCATAGTGAAAACTCGGGATTTATGTGTGAATGCAAACCTTTGACGGGAGCAGAATTGGGCTGTGTGCGAGTTGCTAATGCCGAGGATGGAGCGGCCAGAGGACGGTCAAGCTGCAAAACTGGCCTTCGCCGACCTCCAGCACTCAATTCTAGTGAAATGCGTTGGCGTTTTCTCATGCTTGCGAGGAAATGAATTTCTGTAAATTGGTCATGTCGACCGATCGCTCCTTTCGCGGTTTCCATAAGCCACGATGCGTTTCATTGGTCGCGGTATTTTCAACGTGAATGGTTTCCGAAAAGTTCAACCAAAACCAGATTTTGGTAAAAATAATTATCAACATCTAAAACGCAATGCTTCCCATCACACGCAACGTCGCTGCCGCCTTTCGGCCAACAGCCTTCTCCATCCGGCTCATGTCTACCAAGCGCATCTTTGTGGGCAACCTCCCCTGGGCTGCACGGACTGACGAAATTTCTGCCCTCTTTGCTCAGTACGGTGAAGTCAAGGCCACTCGAGTCATGATTGACCGTGCTACAGGGCGAAGCCGTGGCTTTGGGTTTGTGGAAATGGAGGAGGAGGATGCTCTCAAGGCCATCAGCTCGCTCAATGGTAGCAACTTCAAGGGTCGGGATTTGAGGGTACGTGAGAGAAAGTCTGAATGGGACTATACATCCGGATGACTTATATTTCCGTTGCACAGGTTAACGAAGCTACAGAAATGCCTGATCGTCCTCCCCGTGAACCCCGCAACAGGTTTTAATTGGTGCCAGAGACTCAACGTGACGTTTACTTCTCCCTGTTCGCCGATATTCAGGCGCTGGCAAGCGGCGGTCGGTGCTTTAATTTATTAGAGAAACCACTTGATGGGAAATCTTAATTGTTGAGAGCCGTATTCACACTTCACTTGGCCCGCTGTCCCGCCAGCATGGATCGTATTGTATTCTGCTTTTAAATAGCCTTCAATATTGGTACATGTATATAGACATCTTGTCTCTTTATTTGCGAGCAAATCTTTTCATGTCATTTAAACGCATCTTTTCGCGCAACCAAGCAGAGTCTCGGTAATATCTGAGAATGAAAGGTGGATTAGTGCCAATATCTATATCCAGCCGCACCGATGCAACATACTTTGGATCGCAGAGCTGTATTATTGCGCGCAGGTAGTAAAAGTAGTAGACCATCTCGGCTGTGTAAAAGACAGGAATTAGTTTAAGGGCTACCCCCTAAAATGCTTGAACTGACCTATTCGAAAGAAAGTATATGCCGCCATATATCCGTTCGTCCAAAAATCACACCGTCCATCATCGCAGGGGGCCATCAGAAGCTTGTAATCGCCCAATTACGGTAAGGAACAGGTGTACACCACTTTTCCAAAGAGTTAGCTACAGACGTACCAGCCCGGAAACCCGGCAAATTGCAAAGAAGACCAGATATGCAAGACTGGCCCACAATGCACCAGAGAACTCATTCATCATGATACGCAGCATACCCGCGCGAAACGGGTAGCTTGCTGCAAACCGTATAAACAAGAGGAGGACATTGGCGGCAAGAAAGAGCAGTTGGACACTGGAAACAAAATGAAGTTGTTGAGCATATATTTACACTTTGTCAGCAGCACTGTGGCATCTACTGGGACTCTACTAACATGTAGGCAACAATCAAGGTAAAAAACCGATGGCGAGCCGTCTCACCCAAAAGTGTGATGAGCAGATCGAAGAAAAGAAAACAAAGCTGAAGAGATGCGGTGACTTTAAAGGATTTAATGCTAGCCATGGCTCAAAACGAGTACTGGCAGCAATGACTAGACCATCTTTCCTAGGGCTTTGGCAAAGTTCACGAGAGCAAACTAGATCGATGGACGCGACACCAGCATCCTGTAGGTAAGCTTACGCACGTGATTATTCTCCAAAACGACGATTAGGTTGAAGATGCCAAGCGGCCAACAATGCCCAGAAGACAATGATGTGGCATGAAACCCACTGTTGGGATCAATGCTGGACAGAGTTCATATCCCTTGGAAAACAGCAGTGGTTGATTCAGCTAATGCGATCACCCATTAGCAAGTTAACCCGTCGTTGCAAAGCGCAGACGCCGACGACCTGAACGATTTGAGAGTGATCTATTTCTTATTGCCCGTTCCTCTTGAGAATATCATAAAAACACTTCTTTATTCCCCTTATTTCGTCTTGCAGATATCTGACAATCGCCGTTGCCACTGTCGGCCATTGGCTGAGTCAGCAGGTCGCGTGAGCGCGGCAGTGTACGCTTATTCATCCAACGATCATGTCCAGTTGTAACTGGTACTCCACGGCGGACTTTACAAGATGATGCGGACTATGCGTGTTGCGTTGCCCGCAGTCTTACGGCCTTTTGGAGGCCACCAGCAGCTTGTTGCCCGTCGACTGACACTGTCAGCTCAGCAAAGGGTGAGTTGGGAGATCGTATCCGTCCCATGGAGTCGCGAGAAAACTTGGAAGTCTCAACTGACCGTGCACCGGCGTCCCAGATTGTCCCAGATTATGTCAAGATCGTTGAAGTAGGACCAAGGGATGGTCTCCAAAATGAAAAAACAATGATTCCGGCAGAAGTCAAGATTGAGTTTATCGATCGTCTGAGTGCTACTGGACTTCCAGTGATAGAAACGACGTCCTTTGTATCTCCGAAATGGGTTCCACAGATGGCGGACGCCCCAAAAGTGCTGACAGGAATCCAGCGACGCAAAGGTGTAACTTACCCAGTCCTTACACCGAACTTGAAAGGCCTGGAAGCAGCCATTGCAGCAGGAGCCGAAGAGGTGGCCATTTTTGGCGCGGCGTCAGAGTCGTTTAGTCAGAAGAACATTAATTGCTCGATAGACGAGAGTTTGAAGAGATTTGAAGAAGTATGTCAAAAGGCGATCAGGGAGGGACTTCGGGTCCGAGGGTACGTACATCACTAGAATCGTGCTTGTCGTTGTCAAATGAAATGGCTGATATCAGAGTTCAGATACGTCTCCACTGTCCTTGGATGTCCTTACGAGGGTGACATTTCGCCCAAAATGGTAGCTACTGTGGCCAAAAAGCTATATGACATGGGATGCTATGAGATTTCCTTGGGCGACACAATCGGCGTAGGTGCGACATGAAAGTGCCATCAGGGCGGGGAAATGACCACGCACGAATCTCTTGTCCTCATGCGCCGTTCCAGGTACACCCCTTAAGATGGCGAAAATGTTAGAAGCAGTGAAGGATGTAATTCCTGTGGAATGTCTTGCGGTTCATTGTCATGACACTTACGGGCAAGCTGTGGCCAATATTACAATGGCGCTGCAGGTAAGTACCTCTAAAGCAGTAATATTTGTGTAATAGTTATCAACCGCGACTTCTGTAGCATGGCATTCATGTAGTGGACAGCTCTGTGGCTGGACTTGGTATGCATATTAGTTATCGTCGATCGTTGTTGCATCAAGACTAATCTATTCCGATGCAGGCGGATGCCCATACGCAAAAGGTGCGACCGGCAATGTGGCTACAGAAGATGTTCTATACCTTCTCGAGGGCCTCGGTATCAAGACCGGTGTGAGCCTGCCAGAAGTCATCAAAGTTGGGAACTGGATATCGCAAAAGTTGGGCCGAGAGAACGCCTCCCGCGTTGCCAAAGCCATGACACCCAAATTGTAACACAGTAACTAGGCTAGCATCTGAAGACTAGAATTCAAATTAGTTGTCCCTACGGGCACTCCTCAAACGTTAGACGCCCCTCCAGTATTTCTCGTGCTCCGAGGATAGAGAATAAATATTTTTCACATCCTTGCCTCGGCAGGATTGAAATGCACCTCATGCGGTTCCAGTAATTACAGAAGAAAAAATATTAGGTCCAACTTCAACTGTTGTCCATGAAGTCGTCTAGAGTGCGGAGCACTTGTTCCACCCTTCTCATAACATCTCCAGCTGCAGCTCCGTCCGCCACCTGAATGGCTCTCGCGACCGTTATAATGTGCGGTGTCGTCTCAGCGTTCACCCATACCCGTCCATTCATTCCCACCGCCGTCTCGAATTTGAAGGCTTCCGCTAGCCGAAGCAGAATCGGACTTCTTGGATCAAGTAATCTAGCCCGAGTTGATGAGATTGAGTTTTCAAAAGAATCAAAAATTCCCTATACTGACCTTCTTGCCATGCCAAGCGAACAGCGTACCATGAACCCATCTTTGAGCTCACCAAATCCCCCAGCTTTTCCTGTGGCCGGATCTATGCAGTCAAGCTCTGGTTCCATATCCTTGTTCGCTAATGATACTCGTGCATATATTAATGATCCCACCTAGGTAGAGTTCAATCAACGATCGTGCGAAAAGACGGTTTGGGCGACCTCTTTCTGAAAACTTCCACATACCTCCAGATTTGGTCTATTTCGCTTTGTGGCACCCTCAAAGGCTAATACGGGAAGTGACGCCGGGTGGGCAGCCCCAATATCCACTCGATAAAACTCTCCATGTTTGGAGGCAATTATGCCCAATACGGACTCTCCCAAGGCAGGGACATACTACAATGCTGTCAGCTTCCACGCTGGAGTCGTCGAGCGGCATACCAATTACCTACCCTTTTCTGCGTACCCTCAACCCACCATCTATTCTGGCTCCCTTGCTGCAAGATTCCAGCCTTTACTGCCACCAGCTCCCCCTGTTCTTGATGCAATCCTGGTCCCACCCGTACCCGAGCAGGCCCCGTCGAATTCTCAATTTTTATCGGAATGTGATCGCCTGGGATCACAAGAGTTTTTGTTGTCGAGGACGCTGCCTCCTCTCCTGGTGGGAGATCACGGACTTCCAGAGCCTTCTTTCCTTTTTTCGCCATTGTTTCCCTGCTGTTTGCTCAAGTGCAAGGCAATGTTGGGAACTCAAAGGTCTGAGCTTCTTGGAAACTATGGCAACAGTGACTCACACCAGCATTTGGACATGAAATGCATGTCCGAGCGCGCTCTCCGATGGAACTCCATTCCCACCATTGAGCGACATGTTGTCTGCCGCTCCAACGAATATTGCAACCCGAGATGCGCTACTTTCAGAACTGATTGTGCAGGTTACAGGTTTTCAGGTAATCTCGCGATATGCGCAATGGGGTTCGACTTCATTAGAGATTGACGCGATCTTGGTTTTAGGTGGACTCTGAGAGCTTTTTAAAATGTCGCCGGTTGGCCAAGAAACAGATAAAAGTCCACAGATGGCAAACCACCAATGAGCATGAAGTTATTCGTCAATATGGGGGGTATGCAACAGTGGCGATGCCATCACCTCTTGGCTCTCTCAGATACTGACACTGAACATTGCACAGGCTTGTTGAGAAGTTTGCTGTGTACAGCCAAGACACTAAAGCGGACACTCTACGAAAGAGTCTCAATAGTCTACTCAGTTTGCGTCCTAGTTATCACTTTTTGGTAAGCCGTGTTGCGCATTATGTGTCATCAGGTAAACTTTCTAAACTGCCCATGGCTTTGGTAGATTCACGACATGCTTCGTCTTTTCCTCAGTCTTTCTGAAGCTCCCTTGCGCAATATCTACCACCCATGTATCGGATCTATGGATGCTGAAAGCTCCTTAACATGGGAAGATATTACAGCTGAGGAACCATTGACGGGATCACATTGGGAGGACGCAACTGATGAGGTCGACTCGGATGACGGGTATTCAAGCGACGAAAGCACGAAAGTTTGTGATAGTGCAGTTACCTTGGTAGGGTATGGCTGCCGTACAGTAGTCATTGCAGCCATTTAATTCACACCATGGCAATCAGAAAGAACCCGTTGCGGACAGACAACCGCGGCGACAGAAACATCGAAATCCGGATTTGCTGTCGAACCCCAATGAATCGTCACAAAAGGAACTGGAGCGGCGGCAGTATTGGACACGTGAAAAAGGATCTTATTCATTGTTCGCAGAGGGTAGTTGTTTCTTTCTTGCTTTCGTTATGGCGTGCGGGGCCTGGCAATAAGGGGCTAATTTCCCGCCGATAGACATAAGTTTCGATCACCAAGATCCCTGCTCTTTAGGTCTGTGTAAAGCTTTTTGATACCTCTTGATACCTTTTGCTAACGTGTACCCGTAAAGCCCCCAGCCTGGCGTCTCATCAACAGAGGGATCCGCGCTTCTTTTATCGCCCTGCGGCCAGCACAGTCTATACGAAAGAGGTTGACTTCGTACGAGAGTGTCTGTTTCTGCTTTCCGGCTTTGCCACCGCAGTGTTTCGCAGTCGTTCAGATGGTAGCTTTGAGGTAATGATTCTTTAGTTGGTTCTATCCCAGTCGTCCCCAGCTTATGTGTCCATGCTATATTAAAGCCTGTCACGGATGTAACCCTGAAGCATCTGAGTGAAGGTGCTCTCCACGACCTTTTACAATGGTTTGCTGATCGCGGAACTGCGGTGCAACGCGTTCGATCTTTCGCTGAAAGGTGATTTCTTTGCTGGTACGATTCAAGAAAGTGTGACAGCATATCAAGTAACTTTTTGGCTTCTAGTGTATGCCAAAGTGAACAGATAGCCTACCCACTTACCGTGCAGGCATTCGCATCTGGTCTGCTTTCCATCGTACGAGATTTTGACGCAACTATCACGAAAGAGGAAAAACGCTTCCAGGAGTATGCGCGGAAGATGCCAAGTTAGTGCGAACCTTTGCGAGTAACATGCATGGCTATTGCTTAATGTGTCCAAGAATCTGGACAGCAGGAGGTCACGTCTTTGATGGCACTAGGCTCTCGGCTTTCTGGCAAGTTGGACATCTTGGATGATCTCAGCCTGATGCTGGAGGCGCTTGAGATAGAGAAAAATGGTTAAGATCTTCCTCGATTATTTCCATCTCCTTGAACCACGGCTGATCATCAATGTGCTTCTGCTTGCTCATCAGAGCCGTATCGCGACAATGCTACCTGGACGACGCAAATACTTTCCGCACAATGCACCAGTATTAGACATTATGAGCATACCTGTCAGCCCGTGAAAGTCTCGGTGTTCGTGGAACTGTTCCTTCGTACGATGAAACCATATATGGACACCATTCAAAATTGGATGGACACTGGTAAACTTGATGATCCACAAGAAGAATTCTTTGTTGCTAGGTAGGTCGCTAAAATTGGCGTCCCTTTTGTGACCCGCTTCTAAGAGACTGTAGCAGTAATCCCAATGCGACTGGAGATGAATGGCAGTCACGGTACATTCTCCGAGAATCAGTGACTCCCAATTTTCTCACCCACGTGAATGCTGCAATCTATGTGTGTGGGAAAAGCTTGAATGTGATTGAACAGCTCGATGCTTCGCAGGTATGTGTATCAAGCTGCGACGAAAGGCGGAGGACAAGAGTTTTAATGGTGACTACAATTTAGGTGTTCCCCGAACTTTCGCGGAATGGCGAGTCGCTGTACGAGGCGACTGTGGCATCCTTTATCGAAGGCATGGGGATGAATCGCAAAATGAAAAAGAGAAATGAACAACAACCATCTTCTCAGTACCCGTCTAAGAGCACGGGTACTGGGAGCGAAATTGAGCAGATGTTTCCCAAGTGCTTCAGAGCCTTGATTTCCGTTGGCATTGATCAAATGGATGCAGAGGACGCAACTATCGGGGTTCAGTTTGGTAAGCATTACCGTGGCACGTTCATGGATATCTGAGCGGTTTCTAACTCATTTTGCAGAGCAGCAGCATCTTTGGCAATCCATTGACGAGTGTTTCCGCGGCGCCATTCGTCGACATGTTCTTGCTCAAAAGGCCTCTGTCGGACGTCACCTCACGAGTATCCTCTTCCGGAAATGCGAATTGAATGACCATCTGAAATCTCTGCAAGCAGTTTATTTTATGACAGCTGGTGCTGTCATGCATCCTTTCTGTTTGAAACTCTTTGAGAAGGTATTGATGACGCGAAACGGAACACCACGCAGTCATGTTTAATGCTTATGACTTACGGAGGGCAGGTTGAGTCCCGCGAACTATGTTACGAGCCCCATGCACTAAATGCCGCGTTTGCGGAGTGTTTGGCAAGCAATGCTGGAACCGAATTGAACCATCTTGATGCGCGGTGTTTTGATATACGTCTGCTGAATGTGGAAGGCCGTGCGGCCAAATCAAGCAGCAGGGAACTTTTGGACGCCATTAACATACATTATCAGGTATGGACACATAATTCCCATGTCTGGTCAAGGATTCCTCAAGTATATAATTCCCTACGATCAGACTCCGTTCCCCTTAAATATTATCGTGACACCCGCGACTATCGCAATCTACAATCGAATCGCGCGTATCTTGCTGGCGATCAAATATGCACGCCACTGTCTGGACACCGACGATTGGCGTGGTAGAAAGGCTACAGGAACGTCGAACCTACTTTTAGCTAGGCAACGGTCGGCAGTGAAGGCCAGGTTGATGCACTTTGTCGCCAATTTGCATGCATTTTTCCTTAGTGCTGTATGTTTATTTATCTCTCGCGGATTGACCAGCGGTACTAAATCTTTCTATCGCCAGGTTATTCATGCCGAATCTAAAACATTTATGGAGGGAATCAAGTCTGCACAGGGCATGGATGATCTGATCTTGATGCACGATACTTTTGTCTGCGCCGTGCGGGACAGATGTCTCCTGAACGAAAAGGTAGGAAGCCATGTGATTGAGGTGCATTCCCTATCGCGTTCTTAGCAGGATGCTTCGTGATAGGCTTCCAAAATATGGAAACAGATGTCAGCACCTCTCGAGCTTAGCGTTGAGTATGCATCCTTGTGCAAAAAATATGACCCAAGTGCGGACCAAACAAGAAGCAGTGACTACCTGAGAGATGTTGGAGTGCAATCAAATGAGAGAGACAAACAATTTGCAAAAGACCTGAAGCAACTGGCTAGACGAGTGGAAGAATCAGTGAACTTTGTGAAAAAGGCTCTTGAGGGTTTGGCCAGTCATGGAGTGCAACATTGTAAGTCATCCGTGCTCAATGAGCCCGTCGCATCGCAAATACTAATATCATCCTACCACAGTGGAAGCACTGGCGGCTTCTCTGGCTTGAGTCAGTCGACTCTAATTATTTGTTGTAAATAGCTGTAGAATAATGAATGTATATATGGATGTAGCATATTAATTGATGATGTGATACGAAATTGTGAATATTGAAGATACGAAATGCTCAAAACCATAATCTATGTACAGTGACCCTCTATAAGATATCCGAAAACTCCGCAATCGCTGATAAGCCCACATCTGAGCATCGGGTATACGTGGGTCGGTCAGCCTTCCCTTCAATTACGCGGCTTTCTCTGCCTTGCGCACCTTGACTTTCCAACCGATAAATGCTGCCGAGTAAGCTACCGCTCCAGCGGTCCTTTCCACCGCCCAATCCCAAGCGCTATCCACTGTGTCCAGGGCCTGAAGCACGACGCCAGGAAGCGGTAGCGTTTGAGGAAGCGCAACCTCAGTATTTTTCTTTCCTTTGTTGTTCGCAGCCGGAAGGTATGATGCAGGCGACCGAGTTTGCGGTTTCGATTGCGATTTCGATTGTGGGACTTTTGTAACAGGCTTTTCGGCACCGGAGGCCTTGACCAACGCTTTTGAGTTTTGCAAAAGCGGTATCTCCAGCTTACCGATGGCGCTCTGGTTATACCGCACAAAGTTCTAAAGGAAGCGGTCAGTGGGCCAGGCTGGGTGGGAGTGAGTTCAAAGTGCAACAAAGCTTACCATGGACTGCAACAATGCAGCAAGTGTCGGTCCCAACACGGCCAACACAAACAGGAATGCCATGTTCATGGCTTCCTTTGAAGTCTCCACAGCAGTTCTCGCAGGTGGTAACATGGTATGCAAGTCTTAATGTGATGTCCAGCAAAGAAATCGGGATGGAAATGGTTTAAAAAAAGGAAATGAGCAGCAGGTGGGTAAACAAACAATCGGAAGGCGGAAGTAATCAACATCCACGTGGAAGGAGGCGTCATACCCGCAGTACGTAACACGTCAGCAACTCGTGGCTTAGCAGCGCGGCTCACATTGGAATGGGATCGAGGGCGTTTATGCAAGCACTTTGGCCCCGTCGGAGCAATCGGAAAGAAGCCTGGGCTTTATTGCTGCTAGCGTCCGTTGTTTTCCCGCTTGGTGTTGACGTCCATTGCCTCATGATTTCTGCGATGAGTGAGCCATTAAGTCCTACGAGCGCAACAAGTACCACCTTCAGCACATCCCCCGATCAACCAGCGATTCCTCTGGATGTAGGAGATGTTGCTGGTATGGCAGCAGATGCTCTTGCATACATAAGCGTGACATGCTGCTTGATGGTATAACGCTACTTTTGAATGTAGGAGTACATGGTCGAATTCGATTTAAGCACGAGACCGGTGGGCAGACGCGCGATGCTGCTTGGTTGGATAAGGAGAGGGCCCAGCTTCAAGCTTATGAGTATCTTTGTCATATTGGAGAAGCGAAAGAGTATGAGCTGTTTCAACGCAGATCCCCATTTGCCTCCCCGCGGGTTAATTCATCTTGGAATTATTTTCTACAAAAGGTGGATCGAGGCTTGCATCAAATTCCAAATTGCATCTATAGGAGAATTGGAAGAAGAGTTACGAAACGGCATTGTGCTGGCACATTTAGCCAAGTCTTTTCAGCCGGAAGCCGTCAAAAAAATCTTTGAGGACCGCACGCGATTGCAATTCCGACACTCAGACAACATCAACTATCTCTTCGAAGCGATGCGGAAAGTGGGCTTACCAGATGTGAGTGTCCTCCCAATGTCTGGTATACCCTTCATCATTAATATCATACTTACAAATCATGTCTTTAGGTGTTCTTTTTTGAGCTTACTGACTTGTACGATAAAAAGAACATTCCGAAAGTCATCTACTGCATTCACGCACTAAGGTATGTTCGAATGTAACCCTTGTTACCGTTCATGAAACGAGTTTATGACAGCAATTTCTGTCAGTCATCTCCTGTCAAAGCGAGGGCTGGCACCCTCCATGAAAAATCTAGTCGGCCAGCTGACTTTCACTGGTATGCTTTGTGCTCAAAACTCTAGTGGATACACATCAAAAGCTAACGAGATTATCTGACGTAGACGAACAATTGGATGCTACGCAACAGTCTCTTGAGGAAGCCGGTGTATCGATGCCTGCATTTAAAAGCGTTGGTGATGCATTGTCGAAGGAGCTCGCAGAGCCTATACCAGAACCTGTCTTGACTGAGGAGCAGAGTAAGGGAAATGAATTGGATGCAAGCCAGGGCAAGCAATAGCGTGAACTGATCTTGTAAACAGAGCGGCAGATATACTTGGCCGAGCACGTCGATAAAGTTGTGCGATTGCAAGCAGAATTCCGAGCTTACATTGCGCGAAAGAACTATCAACAGTTGCTTACCGATTACCGTGCGCATCAAGCTAAACAGGCGGAAAAAAAGGAGAAGGAATATTTGGCCAATATCATTCGCGCTCAAGCACTCGTTCGAATGCACCTGCAGCGAAAGAAATATCTTGAAAAGCGACGCACATATGCGGAGAATGAAAATTCCATTGCAAGACTTCAAGCGGTATGGAGAGGACGCAAGATGCGAGAGGCATATAAGAACAAGCTTGCAGAAATACACGGAAAAGAGCGCGTCTGGACAAAGGTACGTTTTAAATCATGGCATGTGTGCATTGCGTGAGTTCTGACAATCTCTCAATAGATTCAAGCAAAGTACAAAGGTCGAAAGCAACGGCGGCGCTATTTGGAGCGTACAAACTATTTGAAAGCTCAAGGGGATTCGGTGGCCAAAATTCAATCAATGTGGAGAGCAAAGAGATTCGCAAAAGCTTACCATGCCTTGGGTAAGATAATCCCCCACGTTCTAGTTTCTACTGACGATCAAGCTCATGCGTTCATTCTTGATAGCGCGGTTGGACGACCCAAACGTCAATGTTTTGCGAAACTTCCTGGATCTGCTCGACGACACCGACAATGACTTTGAAGAGGATACTGGTTCGTACCGCTCATGTTTTTGCGTTCTTGATTGCCTTCTCTTCTTACACATGTCAAAAAAGAGGTTGATCGACTACGCCAACTCGTCGTCAAGCGCATCCGGGAGAACATCACTTTGGAAGGAGAGGTTGCGGATCTTGATACGAAAATCTCCCTCCTCGTACGAAATCGCATTTCTCTCGAGGAAGTTATTCACTTCACCTCCAAGAAGATGCGGCAAGCCCTTAATGTTACCAAGTCTCAGGAGAAAGATCTGCAAGGGGCCATTAATCTTCGAGGGAAGGATAAAGAGAGCCGATCCAAGCGCGAACACTATGAAGAACTATTCTATTTACTGCAAACCCAGCCACAGTATCTGGCTAGACTTGTTTTTACCATGAACAAGATGAGCGGTAACACTGCAACAAAGTTCTTGACGAAGGTGGTACTGTCGCTGTACGGTTATGCTCAAGACAGACGGGTGGAATCGCTTCTGTTGAGTTTGTTCCGGGAAGCAATCAAACTTGAGGTGGAGGACATCACCAGCTTGGATGAATTCTGGCGTGCAGATCCCTTCTTTATTAAGCTTGTTGTTGATTACACACGGTATGTGGGCCTTATTCCCGAATAGCCTTACAATACTGCAAGCTTACACGCATCGAAAGGCGTGGAGGAAACGCAGATTATCTCCGAAATTTGGCACAACCTTTTGTCAAATCCATCCTTAACAATCAAGACCTTAACTTGGAGACAGAACCACTTGCGGTTAGTTGCAAACCAATGAATTATTGAAACAAGAAATTACGAACTTATTCTATGGGATCAGATTTACAGAACCTTGATTGCAGCGGAGGAGATCCAAACAGGAAAGAAAAGCCAGCGCCCCTACGACGTGACATCAAAGCAGGCTGCGGAGGATCCCGAAGTGCAGAGAATCCAAGTTCAACGTAAGGAATGATTAGCTAGTGTACCCGTCTCATTATCGAATTAACAGAAAATGATTCTCATTTGCAGACATTGCGAAACTAAAGCAGATTACTGGGGAATTCGTATCGGCTCTATCCCGGTCGACCAAGGACATGCCTTTCGGTCTGCGATATATTGCCAGGCAACTTAAGGAAGCATTACAGGTATTTGGAGATCTCAATGGAAGAGCACAGAATAGGGAACTGAGCTATCTCCGCTTTCAGAAAAGGTTCCCCGGAAACGATGATGAAATCGTACGACTCGTTGGCGGCAATTTCATCTACTACCGTTACATTAGTCCCGCTATCATGTGAGGACCCTTGACTGTCGGCATGTGTAATTTCCTCCAGCGCTTCTAATCAGAAATATGTTTGCAGTCAGCCCGAGCAGTTCGAAGTTATTGACATGTCGGTTGCATCGGCCCTTTCACCTACGCAACGAAAGAATCTGGCTGAGGTATATCTTCTTCATCTGCAGACGGTGGCTATTCTTATCTTCGTATAACCCTAGCATTGCATTATAGATTGCAAAAACCCTCCATCAGATGTCGGTCGGAAAAGGTTTTCCCAATGATGATCCCAACCTGGCGGAGCTGAATCCCTACATTTCTGAAAAGTTTAAGACCTTCATGACCATTTTTAAAGAAGGTAATAGCCAGAACCCATTCGCGACTGTGGTGCATGGAAATAATGTGACTATTGATATTAGCGACGACGGTCGATGCTGAACTGGAGGATGAATACGCTGAAGCAATGAGCGAGTACGCTAGTATGGCACAGAAACAGCGACCGACAGTTAAACTATCCTCTGGAGAAATTTTCCAACTTCACAAAACATTGGTTGAAAATCTGGATGATGTGGTACGTTATCGTAGTCCTGCATGTAATCGCCTATCATTCTCACTGATTGTGTGCATCTAGGCGGATGATGCAAAGGATAATCTACGTTTAGTGCTTGCAGATTTGTCTCCAGTTCCAACGGTTGTTGATGATTCTGGTCCTGAGATTGAACTCCGCCTTCGAAATAGGTTCCCCACCCTTGAAGGTAAAGTAAAAGGATGCCCCGACTGCATTTGTGGACTTTAACTGAATATGGATTGCTGTTTGCCGGTCCACCAGACGAACGCGATGCCCGAGTGAGACTCTTATGGAACGAAGCAAAACGCTACATTATGGCTGTCATTCGAGTACAAACAGGGAAGAATCTCCTTGACATTCTCGAAGCTCCCGTAACCGAGAAGGAAGAGTCTATATTCCAAGAATACTTGGCTTTAGAAGCACAGCAGCTGGACGCCAAAAAAGAATTCCAGTCAAGACAATTGAATCAAAGCAGAGATACTCTGAATGCTTCCGGAAGCATGACGGGGAGCAGTCAAGGTCTTGCGGGAAGTGTTAATAATTTGGCGGGCGCTCGAAACAGTGTCGGCAGCCGTGGTTTATATGCGAGTCAATCGAGCTTACTGAAAGGTGAAGGGGGAAGGTACGGATCACTCCAGTCTAGTTCAAGTCCTGGGCCATGATCTGATTGCGCACTTTGACAAACAGCACGACCTTCTTCAGCCTCAAACGTCGAGCTTTGGAGAACATGGCAAAACTTGAAGCAGAAGGCCAAGTCACAAAATCCAATCAATATCAAGACATGCTCAACTCGATCGCTAAAGACATGCTTACAAAGTCTCGACGAAGATCACGACGCCGGAAAGAATTGCTGTCTTTGCGAAATACACTCAAAAATCTGGAAGAGAAGGCGGTTTACCTGGAAGATCAAAAGAAATCGTATCACGACTACATCAGTGCATGCATGTCACAACTTGGAAACAAGAAACAGTAAGTGCCTTCTGCTTGCCATACGGCATAATACAGTACTCATATATGTATTCATAAAAACAGCAAAGGCAAACGTCCTTTACCATTCACCCGCCAATATGCACACCAGCGGGCTCTGGCAAAATCAGGAAAAGTACCAAAGTTTGGCTCCTTCAAATATACTGCAGCGGAACTACACCGTAAAGGCGTGTTGATATCTCTCGACGACGTCTCTCCAAGCAAATACGGACAAATAACACTCACCATCTCCTCTGACGAGGCCGGTATTTTCAACATTGAGGCCGCGTTTTTCGGTGTCAAAATGCAAGATAAGATGGAGCTACGACTGGAGGATTTGTTGGCCGCTCAATACAATAACGAAACGGTCATAACGTTAATGGAAGGGGCCAAGATCAATCTCAATCTCCTGATTTTCCTGTTGAACAAAAAGTGAGTTCTGGGTTTTATTTTCTTTCCACTATGCATCTCGTTCAGGACTGACTGGTTGCTTTGTTGAAATTTGCAGGTTCTATGTATAAAATAATTCTATATGTCCATTATGATTCCGCATACCGACATAGTCATAGTACATTCCCTAAAATAAGAAGCGCATCATCGTACAGTGATCTTACTCTGGCCTTCTTTTTCAATGTGCAAATGCTGGTTGCATCCTTGGATCAGCCTTGAGCCTAGCGTCTAACTCAATGTAACGCTCGGGTGCGGTTTCTTTATGCTGGAAACGAAACCTCAGTTAAAAGAAAGGTCTATATCAAAGACAAGAAAGATCATACACAACAGATACCTTTGCCAGCCTCTTCTCCAGAATATGTATCTTGAACAGTGCATCATTGCAAAACTTCACATATTCCTCAGTCTCTTCCACAGTCATCGAATCCGCGTTGCGACTGTAAGCCAGTTGACGACGTTGGTACTCTGCGGTGACTTCATCCAATCGACCTTGAATGATGTTGGCCTTCTCTATGAGACGTTCCTTGAATGCTTTCAAACAGGCGTCTTTAACTAAGAGGGCTTCCTCGCGTGTGAGGTGGTTGGGGTTGGGCTGCAGATATGGTGCGGATGAGTGTGAGCCTGCAGGGATTACGTGCTGATGGCACTCACGTAATTAACAAGGAAAGGAGAAAGGTAGTCAATATCTGTCGCCTTCGCTTCCTCTTCTTCCTTATACGTCTCTTTCTTTTCTTCGCTTGGTAGTTTCTACAGATATCACCGTTCATCAATAAAGGGGGAGCAGAGCGGAGAAAAGTGAAAACAAACCGTTTGATTTCGAATGGTATCATAGATGGATATCACCAATGACACATCCTTCTCTTCTGCCTGCCTACTCAGCAATATCTCTTTCACTTCTCGATCAGATGCTTTCACAGCGGCTAAACAAGCTTGCTCAGCTCTGAGAAGCTCTAGCAGCTCAGCAAGAAGATATTGCTTTTTGGGCGGCTTCACATAGGGATTCACCTGATTTGTGCATGAAAGGATGTGAACATGAAGAGGTCCATCAATTAACATGGCGACCTCCATAGCTACCTCAAAGCTTACAGTCATTTCAAGAAAGTTGTTTTTCTGCTCCGCGGTTGGCTTGTGAAATTCTCGAGTGGAGGGGATGATCTTTCCCTCTTCGAAATGGTATATGACCCCTATCTGGATAATGATTGAGTCTCTCAATGCGTCTAGGGAATGTGAAGATCGGTATGGGTACCTTGTCATCTTTGAGAAAATATGTCCTCTTCGCCGCATCTTTGTGGGATGGCACATCTGTGTAAACAAATGGATTTGTAAAGTTAATACTCCGATACGTTGAAAACGGGGTGGGAGATTCGCCGTACCTGGATTCCGATCAAACTTCTCAGCCATTTTGATTATGGATCCGCGTTCAATCTGTTCTTCGTCCTGCAATAATCAGTCCATGTAGCAGTTAATGCTGGGAAGTTCACTTGTGAAGACCTAGAATCACGAACCGGCTCGCCATCGAATGTTACACTTCGATACACAAGACGGTCTTCTCGTTCAGTAAAGTGTTCGAGAATCTATCGTAAAGTGTTGGCCATCAATATGGTTTGGATGCAGAGCAAGCAACTCAAAGAATCAACCTTGCTGCTTTCGTCAACGCGCTTGACCAAACCATCCGACCGTGCGCTTGGATAAAAATGCATCTCCTTTGTGCGATCATCAATTATGATATGTTCCTTGAGACCGTGTGGGCGCCCAGGATCAAAGAATTCATGAATTTTGCCGTCATATGGTACTCGGATCCGTTGCCGGAGTTTGTCTCTGTAGAATGCCAGCGTACCCAGTGAGATTAGCCCCGAAATGAAGAAACACCTCATCGTTTCGCACCGTCGGTTACGGAACTCTTCATGGATCTCTCCATTGAAACCTCTGCTCTCATCCGCAAAGAAAGTTGTTCGAGATACCATTCCGTCAGTTCTAAAGTACTCTGCAAAGACTTCCTAATGTTGCGCATAACACAAGCGGATTAGCCTAGTATCTCGTAGCTGCAGGTGGAATTCCGGCAAAGGTAGCTCACATGTCTAGCGTTCTTGTACAAAACGGTCTTGGCACCCAACGGACACCGAGACTCAAAGTCTTCCTTTGAAACAGATAGTTTTTCCACCCAGGACGGCGGCAAATCCAAAATTTCCACATCTCCATTCTCATTTTCTTCGTCGTCTGATACATTGTCAGCTGCTTTATCATCGTCGTCATTTTGGGGGTCAACTCCCCCTGGTTGCGTGTTGTCTAAAAGGACAAACTCCCACTTTGCATTGTCACCCAGATCGAATGAAATGCCCTGTAATGCCCAATAAGTTTGGGTAAGAATGGTTATGCAAGGCAGTGACGACAATCACTAACCTTGAGACCATCGTAACAAACTTGCATGTTGACCCAGTAGTTGACCGAACTGAAAACACTCTCCACACCGAGATAATTTTCGTTTTCCGTAGAGTAGATTCTTCCCGTTGACGGCTCTACAAGTGGCCAAGGTTAGTTTTCATAGCTGGATCGGACTGTATAGCCGTACGGTGGTACCTATGAAGAAGCTCTCTGCAACCTCTCGCTTGCCAGGCAGGACCAGTACCCAGGCATGGACACGCAAGCCCTTAAGCTCATCATCATCTTCCTCCATCATCTTGCAGAGGCCACATGAAGATGAGCCATCGGTTTTGCGTGGCTTAAAGAGTAAACAAGTCTTACCGCACGCGCCTCGGCTTCCCTCTTTCGCCTCGCTTCAGCTTCTTGCTCTTCTTTGGTCCGCCTTTTCTCTTCTTGTTTGACGAGAAACTGGCTCCTTAACTGTCTAGGTGGCTTAACTTTATATTTGCCCTGGGATGTGCCTTTGTCCCGATCTCCGCTTCCGGTATCTGCATCAGCAGCCTTTCCCACAGCATCTGATTGCCCAAAGGGAGGTAAAATCCCAACCGTGCTACTCTCGACCATACTCTCGTCCATCAACGTGATCCTTCTAGTTGAGTACCCGGAAACAACGTAGGCATCATATCCGACTCCACGAAGCAATGAAGCTAGAAGGATAGAGTAGTCGAACGAGTTACCTTGCTGGAGACGTAGTGTGTAGCTAGGTCCGGGTAACGTTTGTGGCTAAGAGAACAGTTAATTGCCGAGATGCCATGTTTTCCAAAGTGAATGATCTTACCAATTCGTGCGGGGGATCTAGCGGTTTGTATGAGAGAAACTCAGCAACGAAGCGGGCGCAACCACGGTAGTCATAGAGCTCTCTATAAGGAAGCTTGGTCGGTCGCAGGGTGGTGCACACAAATTTCTAGAGAACCATATGTTGGTTTCAATGTTTCGTTGAAGATGGCAATCGTACTCCATTTATAATGATGCTTACCTTTATACCAAAGTGGTTTGGTGGGCAAAGCAGCAACTCCTTCCTTCCCGGAAATAGCTGTGTATACTGCCGATTGAAATTCGCTACAAATTCCAAAACTAGCTGTTCCTTCTTCGAGGTCGTGTAGTACGATGTCGGAACTTTGTCTTTGTCCAGCAACTCCTTTTCAAGCAATTGCCATCTCTGCCGCTGTTGTTCTTGGAACTGCCGTTCATGTTGATCGTATAATTCCGTGGGTTTGGTCTCTTGATCAAGTGATTCGGAAGATATTTGATGGAGCTTATTTTGAAGGCTATCCAGACTTCCTTCATCTTGCACGTTAGGTATGGTTTCTTTTGTGGCGAGAGCCCCTTCGGCATTTTCGTCTATGGAGGTCCGGGATAGACGGGAGGAAGGTGGCCGCCCAGGTTCGCCAACTTGACTCGCGGCACGGGACCGATAAGAGTTTGGTGTCGCAGGGGCCGATGGAGAAGCCATCCTAGACTGTCGATCTTCTCCTGCCAGCATGGCTTCCGTTCCACAGCTGGAAAACGGGTCGTAGGAAATTGGCCTGCGAGGATATCTGATCTGAGCTCAAAAGGCCAAGCCACGTCAGGACTACGTAAGCTGGGATTCAACCCGATAGGAGACTAAGTGCTATTTTGAAACTTTCTTCAACTGAACATTATCCTTATGCGCAAGTATGTTTTGCACATAGTTATCCTTTCCGTGCTATCAAAATCTTACCCAGCTGCGTCTATGCGTTATCCACTTACTAGCCGATCAATTCTTTTAACCTTGTTTGAAGCACCATGAACCGTCTAGGATGCGGATAAGTACTCTTGCTGCTTCTTGCTTCAGGCGAACTTTACCAACTTGACGGTTTCGTACCAAGCTTTATATGTAACCAAAAACGCAGAAATAAGAAATTGAGAATGTGACCAGCTGGAGGAGGGCAGAACTTGATTCTGTTGACTGTTAAGTCTATACATTCGTTTGTGCATTGGAACGTGAAAGTTATAAGTTCCCGTGAGCGCCTTTGAGCTTTTTCGACACCGGTCGCCGTGCAAGGCATCTCCTAGTTTTACATCTGTTGACGAAACGTTTACCAAGGCTGGCGGTTTCTGGAAAGATTATCATGTCTCTTGGCACACTGTATGTAACGGGATGGACATGATGCTAGAGGATTACAGGAAAGGACAGTGCCAGTGACAATTTTGTGACTATGCAAGTGGCACAACCGCGAATCCGAATTGGCTAGTAAGTGAGGAACCAACCTGTCGGGGACTGCAAGGACACCAGAGACTACTTGGGATTTTGGTTCCCAATATTCCAAAGTTAGATCTCGAATCTCGAGCTTAATACCATTTTGTTCGGAAAGCTTTTTTCGAGATAGCGCAAGAGATTCAACAGAGTTATATCCAGTTAACGTTCGCCTGCCTCAGCAGATAATGCGAGGTTTTCTAAAAGCTCTATCAACTCTACATCGTCAAAGCTCGTGTCCAATGAATCATATTCATCATCAGGATGGATATGTTCACCTTCACAGTGGTCTGTTATTCCACGCCCCAGTGGAGTATCATTCGTCCGAGCAGCATAATCCGGCTGCTCCCGCTTGAGACCATTATCATCATCAGACAAATCGTCGAGCACCAAATCCTTAAACAGTTCCTCAACGCCGGTGTCATATTCATCATCACGATCAGCATCCTCACATTCAGAGTGGTTTGTTTTTTCATTCCCGAGGTTATTATCATGAGTCTGAGCAGCGGGCGCAGCAGGATCTGATTTGATAACATAGTCCTCATCTGACCAGTCGTCGAGTGCCAAATCCTGGAAGAGGTCCTCAATGTTATCTCCCAATCCTCCATCCAGCGGAGATTCGTCATTTCGAGTATGATGGGATATATGGGTAACGGAAGGACTCTTGGCCACTGCTGGCGTTCCAGCCTCGGCGGACGCGTCCAAAAATTCAGTCAAAGAAATTTCCTCGAATAGAAACTGAGCACCTTCATCCATCCAAAATCCACCTTGGGCAGGACTATTGCACTGAGCAAGAGGGATAAGTTCCCACGATTCAGTTTCTTCAAGGTCGACAGCGGGTGAAGGCACCACATGTTCATCCTTCTTGACCTTGTAAAAGTCCCTACTGTTCAGGATTGATACTACTGTCGACTTTAGCCCGAGCATTGGCTTGACATTGCTAATGATTGTATCTGGCCGTAACTCTACTTTCTCCACAGTGGAAGAACCTTTTAACTCTTTGACTAAGCTTTCCACACTGTCTGCTCTCTGTAGCACTTGCTCTACCATTTCGGAGGTTTGGCAACTTTGGACTGTATATCGGGATGGTATGGACGCCCATAACCGTGAGCCACAGAGCACATGGTGTAGAGCAGAGAGAACAAGCTGCGGTGGCACTGCGGTTGGTGCTTGGAGATATGTCTCAAAGGATGAAGCAGAAAGGCCGAAAATCGGATCGAGGCCAGCTCCAAAAATGGTCACTGTTCACATTCTTAATGTTCTATTCTGGTAATTCAGTGTGTATGAAAGTACTCACGTTTTCTTACGGCCCCATTCGGGCAAGAAGCTAGAAGCTGTAGTCTATATCTCCTCGGCGCATCACGAGCGGCGTACACTGCGTGACAGCGCGGGCAGACAACAGAACCTGGCTGGTATTCAGAGTCAAGTTTTACAAGACAATGCTTACACGAAGGGAATGTAAATGAATTCGCTTGGAGAATGCGAAGTGGTGTGAGCGTGGTGATAAAAGGCATAAACTGGTCATTTCCTAATGGCTTTCGCCTTGCCAACTTTTTGCAGCATCGTACTCCACGCGTCTGGACATTCGGACTGCTTACGTAATGCGCATGTCCGATATTGGCGAGCAGATCAGGGAGATCTGTGTCGACATCTCCCATAACACAAAATGTGCATGCATGTTTCTGCCAATGACGTTAACATTCAACAAGCATGCAGCTCACATGCGTTACGATTCTCAGCATCGTCCATCCAATATACACACACACAAGAAAGGGTGTCCTCAAGATCTTGCCAACATCTCATTCCCTCCATTGCTCAGTCCCCCAAACACGTTTGAACTTTGCATTTGTCATCATCATCATCATCATCATCTGTTCATGGCCATTTGTCATTTTGCCCTTTGTCATGATCATGAGATCCCCGTCCAGCCTTTAAGCCCCCAAGGCCTTCTCCAACACGCCCTGCTCGGAATAACAAACTGCCAAAACTCCATCTCCACGCGTCACGAGACTTTCCATTTTTAGATGCGCGTGACCTGCCAGACATGTGAAGGTGGAGTCACGTAATTTAAGGTTACTAAATATAGGCATATGAAACTTGGAAACCGCCGGAAACCTTCGGCTTTTTTAACCAGTTGGTGGGAGTATAAAGGGCAGGCCCATCCACGCCAATCCCCTCCGACTTGATCATTTCCCTCATCTGATCAACTATCTCTTTAATCACACATACAATCATGTCTGCCTCTCGCCGTATTGACAACATTGCTGGCCACCTTACGGTCACTGGAGCTGGTATGGCATTCCCACATCATTCACAATTTGTGTTGTCAACGAAAACTGATCTGATTTGTGATATGCAGCCAAAGCTCCCAAGAGCCCCGACGATGTTGTCATTGTCTCTGCTCTCCGTACGCCTCTTACCAAGGGTGGAAAGGGTGGTTTCAAGGAAACTCACCCAGAGTACATTCTGGCCGCTAGTTTGAAGAGCATTATTGAAAAGACGGGTATCGACCCCAAGATTGTCCAGGATATTCAGGTCGGAAATGTCCTCATGCCCGGCGCTGGTGTCACCACCTCCCGTATGGCTGCCTTGTACGCTGGCTTCCCCGAGACGGCCGCTCTCTCTGCTGTCAACCGTCAGTGCTCCAGTGGTTTGACAACATGCGCCAACATTGCCGCTGCCATCAAGGCTGGTTACATTGACGTTGGTATCGGTGCCGGTGTTGAGTCCATGACCATGTACTACGGTCCTGGCGCTATGCCCACCGACCTTGACTCTTCCATTCTCGAATACGGCCCAGCTGCTGATGTTTTGATTCCCATGGGTCAGACATCTGAGAACGTTGCTGCAGAGTTCAAGATTTCCCGTGATGTTCAGGATAAGTTTGCCCTCCGCTCCCACAACTTGGCCGCCAAGGCTCAAAAGGAAGGTCTCTTTGACGAGGAAATTGTTCCCGTCAAGCTTGCCGATGGTTCCATTGTCAGCAAGGATGACGGTATCCGTGCGACCACTGCCGAGTCTCTTGCCAAGCTTCGCCCCGCTTTCGGCAAGAACGGCTCTACTACAGCCGGTAACGCGTCCCAGATCACTGATGGTGCCGCATCTGTCCTTATGATGCGCCGTAGCGTCGCCGAGAAACTCGGTCTCAAGCCCCTTGCCCGCTGGGTTGGTTTCTCTGTTGTCGGTGTCCCACCAAGAATTATGGGTATTGGCCCAGAAAAGGCCATTCCCGAGGTGCTGCGCCAGGTCGGTCTCAAGATCGAGGATGTTGACATTTACGAGATCAACGAGGCCTTTGCCTCCCAAGCTGTCTACTGTGTGGACCGATTGGGTATTCCAATTGAGAAGGTGAATCCCAAGGGTGGTGCCATTGCTTTTGGACACCCAATGGGTGCCACTGGTGCCCGTCAAGTTGCCACTCTCCTTCCCGAGCTTCGTCGTCAGAAGAAGCGCTTTGGTGTGATTTCAATGTGTGTTGGTATCGGTATGGGAGCTGCAGCTGTCATTGAGAACGAAGTCTTGTAAAAAATTTAGGAAACCACTTTTCATATTATATTTCTCGAGTAGATTTTAAACTTTTATCATGGCCCATTGTGGAATATCAAATATAAACAGTTTTGTAAGCATGAGTCATACTACCATTTATGGTAAATTGCAAAGTCGCCTTCTGGAAGGTTTTTGAAAGGTTTGGTGGGAAGCACGTTTGGACTCAGTTGGTTGATTTGCAGTCCATTACCATTGACTGTTTTTTGAGATTTCTTCTAGACCGACGGAGCACTTGCGACCAGCGTATTCCGTTTATATTGTGCCTTTTCGGCGTTCATACGTCTTCTTTGCGTCATTTGCAATACAAAAAAACACACACACACATATCCCATTGCTTGCAACCAATGTCAAACAAGGTGGATCGCGACTCCTTCCGTGTATTTCGCACACGAGACGGAAGGTACCTAGCGGAAAGTCCTCATATTTTGAAAAATGCCAAAGCGGGAGAGGAGATTACGGACATGCTGGTTGTGATGCAAGATGGCGTTAGTGTGCAAGGTGAGCCTGAGCCGACGCATAGAATGGTCATTTTTTTGTACTAACAAGAAACGTTCCCAACCGGATGATAGACAAGAAACGGGCATTGCCAGTGGCATCCGATGGAATCACATCCTCTTTGGAAGTTTGTGGTGTCATTGGCGTTATTGAATTGGTCTATGGTGAGTGTCATATTTGCAACGGCACTTGCCCACGTTAGGCGCAGCAGCACTGTCAAGTGATTAATTATCATGTTGTTGCTACCAGCACAATACCTCGTTGTCGCTACTGCACGAACCTTGGCTGCTACATTGCAATCTCACAAGATTTGGAGGATCACTGCGGCCAGTCTTTTGCCTATTGGGACTGGAAATGACAATCAGTTGATTAGGCAAAAGAAGGTTGATGAGACGACTCTGGCAAAGGTTTGTTGTTGTGTAGCATGGATTTAAAGAGATGACATCCTGCTGACATCTTGTCACTTTTGATCTGCCAGTACACTCTGGACCAAGAGCTCCTCCAATCCATCAACCAGATCGCAAACTCTGGACATTTGTACTACTCTACGACTTACGACATTACGCACTCTGTCCAACATAACTATCTGAAAAGTTCTGGAAAGGCACAAAAGACCGTCATCGATGATCGATACTTTTTCACAAAGCATCTCGCAGGACCTCTTTTGAAGGCTGGACAGGCTGCCGAACCTTGGGTTTTGAACGTCATCTGTGGATTTGCTGGCACAATCGACATGAATGTTAAGCTTCCCGTGGAACTTGAGCACAACGAGGAGGTCGTTCGACCGTACAAGTTGACCCTCATTTCCCGATTAAATCGCCGCCGTGTCGGTACCCGCTACGTTCGTCGAGGTCTCGACTTTGATGGAAACACAGCGAACAATGTGGAGATGGAGCAAATTGTCTATCACGAAGACTTTCACAGCTACAAAGGTCTTTCCACGTACATTCAGGTTCGCGGTTCCGTTCCCTCCATTTGGGGACAGGAGCTTGACTTGAGATACCGCCCGGAATTGCTTATTGCCGACATTAACAAGCCCAAAGTATGGACATCCATCAAGAAGCACTATGACGATCTCAGACACCAGTACATTGGCGAAAAGGCGGTGAAGGAAGGAGGCGCTGACATTGGCAAGGTCGTTTGTGTCAACTTGTTGGATGTGACTGGATTCGAGGGACGGTTGACCAAAGTGTATGAGGAAACCGTTAGGCGGTTTGCCGATGAAAAGGTTTCGTATGAAGAGTTCCCGATCAACAAGTGGTGCAAGAACAGAAATTTCCGAAATATGGAGATTTTGATGGATCGTGTTCGGGACAGACTTGTCAACAGCGGGTGGTTTATTGCGGAAGGCGAGGTGGGCGACCTGCACGTCACCAAACTTCAAACCGGTCTGGCGCGTGTGTCGTGCCTGGACAGTTTGGACCGTACCAACCTCACCTGCAGTATCTTTGCTCGCTACATGCTTCCATACCAAGTCCAGTCCATCACCGCAGAACTACCTGCTGTCGAGTCTGGTATCAATGGCGTGATTGCCAGTGATATGCGCGACCCTGTCGCCTTGATGCGCAAGTCCTTGGAACCGTTTGCAAAGCCTTTTACAAACCTCTGGGCCGATTCGGGTGATGCCATTTCCCTTCTTTATGCCGGTACCGGTGCATTGAAGGCTGATGTGACGCGAACGGGAAAGAAGACGTTGACAGGTAGCTTGACGGATGGTATCAACTCATTGACACGATACTACCTGAATAATGTAAGTTTGAAGAATACGCTAATGATCCGTATTTACACGGGAGTTGACACGGCTCTTGCATTAGTTTGTTGACGGGCGACGACAAGACGCTTATGATCTGTGGACTGGTAAAGCTGTTCCTGAGCAAATCAATAAACTCGTCGAAACAGAAGGTGTCAAACGCGCTCAGCGCGTTTCCAAGCCATACATTGCAAAGGGCCAAGGTGTCCTGGGTCGCATCATTCCAGGTTTTGTAATCGACCAAGTCGAACCGCTACTCCAGACTGCCACCGAGTACGCCCGTGCAACAGTCAAAGGATCCGACACGGACGTGCATGCCCGTTGGAGGTCGGCCCACATTGATGCTCAAGGGAACCCGCGAAGCTTCTTTGGGCTTATCCTCTCCACCGTGAAATTATATGCACCTGGACAAATCTCTGGTGTGCTAGAGTTTCTGGTGGCGCTGGTGGTCTTCTTTTATTTGATTGTTCTTGCGAGAGTTTTCCATATTCAAGGACAATTGGTTGTCAATCGACCCAAGTTGAGCGTAGAGTACAGGAATATTTATGAATTGTTGGATTGAATCTCTTGTGTTTAGTTTTGGGTGGTGGGGTAGAAAAAAAAAACATCTTGTGCTGCCTCATAGTATAGTTTTATGCCTTGATATGTGTTTTAGTTTGTATGGTTTGTTATCTAGAGGGATGATACCTCATTTGATACTATCCAAATATAACCTACTCGAAAGTTTTTATACTTGACGCTCTGCAATGCATGTCAAGAGAATGGGCGTCCTCTGTTTATGGTACGCGTTCTGCTCTAGATCTTAGCCGGTTTGCCAATTCGCGAATATGCTGGGGCCCTGTTCTGCAGCATCCTCCAATAACCCTTGCGCCCGCCTCCGCCCATTTGACTGCTAGGTCTGCATACCATCCAGGATCACCTCTCTCCCCCCGTTTAATCCACCGTTTCTTCTCTCCGTCCCATTCTTCGCCACTATTGGCGTAACAAATGATCGTCAACCCTTTTGCAATATGAGCAACAATTTTAACAAGTGTTTCACAAGCAACTGGATCTGTGCAGTTGATGCCAACCGCCACAATGGACGGGACATCCAATAGAGCCGCCACACAATCCGTGAGGTTCTCTCCGTGGCAGACTTCACCCTTCATATCCCCTCTACAGCTAAAAGTGACCCACGCAGGCGTTTGAGAGAGAAGTGGATCAGTCTTGCATGCGTGCGCTATGGCTTGGGCTTCCATGAGACAAGGGACCGTCTCGAAAGCGAGTATGTCAATACCCGGTTGATTGACAAGTATTCTAGCCTTTTGGCTATGGAAACTTGATATCACGTCTACCGTTACATGTGGAGGATATGACCCTGTATACTCGCTTCCATCTGCCAAATACGCGCCATAACTGCCGAGCGAAGCGGCAATGATGAGTGGTTTGATACGTGGATGAGGAAGGCTGGCGAGATACTCTTTTCGAGCATCCACTGCAAGTTGAATGGATCGTTGCATGAGATAAATTGATTCGGTTGGTGTTAGACCAAGTTTACGAAGGCCCTCCTCGGATGCTTGATAGCTGCTTGTGGTTGCGACATCTGATTGTCGATCAAAAGTGCCATGTTGCTCCCGTCAGAGCGTTGCAAAAATACAAATACACACCAGCACCGGCTTCAAAATAGCGCATGTGAACTTCTTTGATAGCATCCGGGTCTTCTTGGAGAATCCTTTTCTTTGCAGAAACAGATTGGGTGAATCTTGTCTACCGATGGAGCAAATGTGGCTTTCAGGTTTCCAACCTCGCACTCCATAGAGGTCCACTGAGATCTTTGCCAAAGACTGTCTCGAGCTCAGTTGCCAGTCCACCATCTAGCACGACAACTTGATCCCCAAAGACGTCAAAAGGGTTAACGACAGCCATCTTGCCAAAAAAACAAAATGACAAGATGAAAGAAATCGTTTCGAAAGAAACAAAACCGATTGCTTATGTAATGCATGAGTCACCAATGACAAACATCTTGTATCACATGATGGATGGCGATCTTTTAAAAACGAGATTTGACTTGCAAAAGGCTTTCTTGACATTGTCGTTGCGTTTTCGTTTCCCGAATTTTGGTTTCGTCCAGCGGTTTTACATGTTAGTCTCGTCCTGCTGGGTCACACACCACGAGTCGGAAAAGGTGGAGCTGGATTACTTGTCGGACCAGGTGAGTTGAGCACGGTTGAGTTGACTTGAAGCGGACGGGGATGCTGAACGACATGTCTTTGGTTTGCAGCTTTGGAAAACTTGCAATTTGTAGAAAACTATTGCTGTCATCTATTACACACTTTAATTTTCAAAACATGCCCGTCTACACTCGTACCATTTTTGGCCGCGTGGCCACACCCAGCGTAATGCCAGTTATCCGCCACCGTTGCATGTCGAGTGCCGCTACGGCAAACGTCGCCAAAGACCCATCTCCTGCCGTCAGTTTCAAGGGCGTGAAGAACCTCTTGACGCTGCGAGATTTCTCTACTCCCCAAATTCTTCAACTCATTCGTCGCTCCCTTGAACTGAAACAACAGCTCACCGCCGAACGAAAAGGGGCGAATATCGAGCTCGCACAGCCCCTTGCTGGAAAGACGCTTGGTATGATCTTTACAAAACGAAGCACCCGGACGCGTGTGTCTGCTGAGACCGGTTGGGCGTATTTTGGTGGGCACCCCATGTTTTTGGGTAAAGAGGACATTCAGATTGGTGGTGGAGAGCCTCTGAAGGATACTGCCGTCGTTGTCAGTAGTATGGTTGATGCGTTGTTGGCGCGTGTGGGTGCTCATGAGGAGATTGAGGTGAGGCGTCCTTTCATGAAACACTTCAAGCTCGCGCTGTGTGCTGATGGCCGGTATCACTTCAGATTATTGCAGAGAACTCGACGGTGCCGGTTATTAATGCCCTTACGGCAAAGTACCATCCTTTGCAAGGGCTTGCCGATGTCATGACCTTGTACGAGACAAGCTTCAAAGATCCTTTGACCACTGTCGATCGTTTTGGACTTCCACTTCCGTTGCTACCGCCTATGAAAATTGCCTGGGTTGGTGATGCCAACAACATTATCAATTCGTTGCTCGTGACGCTCCCGCGTTTGGGTCCTGTCCACCTATCTGTCGCCACCCCCAAGGGCTACAATTGTGATCCTGATGTTGTGAACTTTGCCATTGGCGAAGCTACCGGGGGCGACCAGAACGGAACTGTTGAATTTGTGAAAGATCCCCGTGCGGCAGTGAAGGATTCAGACATTATCATCACGGATACCTGGGTGTCCATGGGACAAGAGTCGGAGAAAGCCAAGAGGCTTCAAGACTTTGCTGGTTATCAGGTACTGCTTTCACTTCTCGACAATCCCTATTATACAAGGGATTCTTACTTTGATTGCAATTAGATCACGGAGAAAATGGCCAAAGAAGGAGGTGCGAAGCCAGACTGGAAGTTTATGCATTGCCTGCCACGTAAACAGGAAGAGGTGGACGACGAGGTGTTTTACAACCCTAAGCGCTCGATTGTCTTTCAAGAGGCCGAGAACCGAAAGTATACCGTGATGGCTGTGTACGAGATGCTCATGTTATGGGCCAAGCAATAGCGCGTAGAATGCGACAATAAGGTTATCAGGCTGGATAATAAAACTTTAATATTGACAACCCTTCCGTTCCAGCTTTTCTGCTTAATACGACATCCGATCTAAGGTTATATGTAGTAGACATGTATTCCATTATCTCTTGTGGTTTGTTTTCTCTTATTGTAACGAGGTAAAAGATTCCATTCTTTGACAGCATCCTCTGGATGGATTGCAAAGGTATTAGTTTGAAAATAGAAAGTATTGGACAACTGAAGGGACTTGCACTCACCGGAATTAAGCGCAAAACCCGGTCGACAACCTCTCTTCCGTCCTTCCCTCCCGCCCACGCTGCCTCGATACCAGTACTCCCTACCTCTTCACTCTCCGTCACCACATACGGCGGGTTAAACAATAAAATATCAATTCCATTTTCCATTCTTGGAAATAGAGGAAATGCCAAATCTGTTCTTATGGCATCTACTGAGGTGCGATTGCTGAGAGCTGTGGCGGCAGTCGCCTTGCAAGCCTGTGGATTTATGTCGGTTGTGAGGGAAAGCAGGGGAATGCCGTGCGAGGTGAGGAGGGTTTGAAGGAAAGTTGTTATAATGCCCGTTCCGCATCTGTAAGAGCAGTGACGAATAAGACGCATGGCATATACTCTAATGGCAATCCACCATTACAGACCCAATCTCGAGGGAGACCACCGGAGATCGCGATATGATAAAGTTGACATCGGCTTCCAAGGCATCAAGAAAAAGAAATGTGTCCTCTGCCGGTTCGTAAACGTGTTGATAGTCGGCTGGCTTTAGGTGGGAGAGGGTGGGTGTAGGATGCATGTTCAGCATAAATGAGAGCAAGCGAGATCGTTGCAAGTCGAAGGATGAGGAGAGACTTGCTCACGTGAACGATCGACTTGAGCTGAATACGTAAGCCATCACGTGCCTTGTCGTTCTGCTTGTTGGCTGCGTCCAGCTGCTTTTGCCGATGGCCATTGCTCTCCTTCATGATGAGCACAATTTGCTTAAAAACAAGGTACAATTGGTAAAAGACGCAAATGTGCGACTCTGCTGACCTGCGTTCCAAACCTGGTAATGCAAAAGAAAGTAGGATTGTTTGAGAGATTCATTGTGAGATGCAATAACAATGTATGCGCACGATATCCTGAAATGATGTCTGAGGATCGGAAGGACGGTATTTGTAGGGGGTCGGTCGGCGCTGGATTAGAGCGGATTATGACTCCTAATGCTTGTGCGGGGGAGGTGCTCAAAGAAATGTCTTTCTGCGGCCGGGGCTGACGACAGATGGTTTACTCTTTTGTATAAATAAACAAAATAGTCATTGCAATTTCTATCACGACCTTTCTGAAGTCATGCACTTGCCAAGCACACGTAGTTTAAGAAAACAGATTTTGGTCATAACAAGATGCGGAAAGGGCGCGCGTAACTGCCCAACAGCACTTCGCACAGGACCGATCCCAAAACCCTGTAGATCCACTCCAACATGACCACCGCATCTGGCGCAACCACACCCTCCACTCCCGCCACAAACACCACAGACTACATGAACCAATTCCGGTCACAAGCCGAGAAGGAACGCTTGCCAGAACATGCACCAGACGGCGTGCAAAGAGTACGTTTGAACTGCAATTCTTTCAGTACCTGTGCTATTCTCAAGCGTTTTTAAAGGTGGAACAAGGGACAAGAGACATTGCGTTGCGAAACTGTTCACGGTTCTACGAAGTTGAATCGGATTACTATGACTGGACTTTGGAACGACGAGCGTATGTGAATGCCAATCTGTAAAGATGAGAAGGCATACAGAAATATAAGTTCTTTAATACTCCTGTATTGTCACAGCGCCCGCCTCAATGCGCCAAGCATCGCACATCTCTGTAAAACCATCCTATTCGAAAACACAAAGTGGAAACCGACAGGAGATACATTGGGTGAATACTTTTGTGACGATCGGACTGCATACGCACGCCCAATTGACAATCTCCTGTGACCTGCAAAAAAGACCCGGTGAACTCGCAATTTTACTGCGTTGTAGTCCAGTATGTGGACAAGATGAATGCCCAAAAGCTCATGAATTTTGTGAGGGATCTGGGAAACAAGGAAATACCACGAAAGCATTATAATATGAGGGTGGCATCTGAAGAGGTGAGTTATGAATCACACATGCATTATCGACTAGTGATCATTGATGTCCAAATTGTTGACAAATAGAAAAATATGGCGCTGACTGGATACGAAACGGGAGGGGTAACACCGTTTGGTAAGGTTACGTTTAATACGTACTTTCAAGAAGACCGCTGATGCATACGTACATCTAGGCATGAAGGCCAATGTTCCGATCATCATCACAAAAAACATGACGATGCTGGAGGTAGGCTGCCGGAGCACTGCAGAGTGTAATGATTATTCAGCGGTATATATATCAATAACCACTTTGTTGCCAAAGCCGCCAATCCTGTACCTTGGTGCTGGCCATCGAGATTGGAAAATCGCCCTCCCCATAGATGATTTCATTACGGCTACCAAATGTTATGTCGCTGATCTAGAGGCGTCTCCAACAGCATAGAAGTGGAATGTACATTGTATTATTATTATATTATCATACTGGTAGAAGAACAGCAAGTTAGCATAGTCTTGGAGGTTGAGCAGATGTGAGGATTTATAACTAGCATTTTAGAATGGATTGATCGAAGTAATAAGTTCCGCGCTCAAACTTTCAGGAATTGCGCTACCACGTAGACGTTCATCAATGAGAAACATTCCTAGATTTCAAAACAACGATTAACAGAGTGCTGAGGCACCGATGAACAGACTATACTACTCCTCTCACCAATGCAAAATTCCCTTCTGCATAGCATGCCATCGTCGTCCAAGTCAGACAAGTTCCTAATCCGAGCGATTAGATAAAAAGATATAGAACAAGCTTATTCGGCAGAAGACTCACCATATCAATCCAAGAGAACGGTTGTCTAGGCCACTTCTCAACCAAAGTGATCTTGCCTGTTCTCCATCAATCAACCCGTCTCCATCCGTGTCTGTCTGGTCAAAGAGCTCGCCGTACCTAGCTAATGCATCTGGCGATATGCCACCGCCGGTACCATTTGCGCCTGGAACGTCAAACTCCTTAGCACTTGATATTTGCTCAAGATGAAAAAACCCGTCGAACCTTGTCGTGCAGTTGGCTCAATTACAGCTTTGACACCGGTAGTAGGTCGTGATGGGATGGTTGAAGGAAAGTTTGGCCGCGGCGGCGCGGGTCGTGATGGAATTGCGGCAGGGGCGTTGATCGGTGCCGCACTGGCATCGATGGCTTTCGGAAGACCTAGTGCAGTACCAGCACCGGGACGCGCAGGTAAGGGTGGACCTTCACTGCCTCGAGACGGGGCTGGGCGCGTCGGTAACGTCGGTCCGGATACTGGTTGTCGCAGACTAGTTGAATTAGTATTCCACGCCGTTGACTGTGCCCGCAAATCTGATGGTTTGACCAGCCGGACCGGTTCAACACCATTGTCTTGCTGCGATTCTCTCATCTCGGAAGGCTTTAACGCCCGTGTTGGCGGTGTCGGAGTGATGTTGCGACTCTGATTAGGCGTGCTCCCTCTGGATGGTAGCTGAGGAGGTGTGTATTGTTGATTCGATTGTTGCAATGACGAGCGCATCCCGACACTTGGACTGCGACTTGCGTCTGACTCTGTAGCCGCATTGTTACGGGAAGGGACAGATGGTGGTTGCGAAGACTGATTTGAAACCAACAGCGGTGGCCGCTTCCCAACCATTGGGAAACCGCTCACGTCCTCTCCTTTCTCATCCTCCGTGGTCAAGTTGGCGAATTTGCTCCTTAGCTGTGAAACGCTTCCACCACCATCATTGCTCCCTAAACTTGATCCACTCATAGACCGCGTCATGACTTCAGCCAAAGAGCCTGCCGGCGAAGGTCCTGAGCCACCTTCCTCTGACATGCTTGACTTGCGCGCATTGATACTATCACGGCCCGCCTTTGCCATCGCATCCGATTTTTCCATCAGCGCCTGTCTAGTGGTATAAGTATTCTTCAGTTTTTTTGCGCGTGCTGTGGCTCCTGACTGTTCATCGGCGTGGCTCATGTTGTCTTCTGTTTTGATTGCGCCGGCAGCAAAATCTGGGGGCTTGGCTGTCGGTCGTAGTTGCACTTTGAATCCCTCTGATCCGGCATCAGATAAGCTCGCGAGAGAGCTGGCCGACGTATCCCTCCGTAATCCACCTACGCTAGGTCGACCGCCCAAAGAGGATATTGAGCCAGTAGAGCTGCTGTGGGGTAGGGACCTTATCTATATTGTAGTTTCTGATTAGTTTGACATCACTTTGCAGCTAACTCTCGGCTCCATCACTTACAGGTGCAGGAGAGGTATTTCTAGCAGGAAATGGCGGTCGGTTTGGTACCGGGGTCTCCTTTTGGAAAATGTTGATGAGTAACTTACTACGCGCAATACAAATCTGCAGAAGACCAACCTCGGTCTGCTCTTCCAATTGCACATAATTCCCCGGGAAGATGCCAATCCTTCCATTCAAGCGACCTCTATACCACCCATCGTCCTCGGCCGGTTCAACTATGGGAAACAGTTAGCAAAACAATCTCCGTTGGATCCGCGCCGCCAGTAGAAGTACCGTCGACTATAAGGTCTCCAAGATTGAATGTGAGCTCGTCCACAGAGTCTCCCACACAGTCGTAGAGCGCCTTTGCGCGCATCTTGGTCAGCGGCGGAATGAACACGGAATTCGCCTCAAGCGTAATAAGGATGGTGTCATTCACACGGTGGAGAATCTCGTGACGGTCGTTTCGCGACCCTTCGACAAATCTAAAGTTCCCCCCAAACAAAAGTAAAGACCAACTGTCAATGTTATTTTGGCCCAAATAGCTTGGACGGCGTTGCTCCTGTGTGAGATGCTTATACTACGTGTATGTTTGATATGCATGGGCTTGTTTGAAAGGTTTGGAAACGGTCGTGGGGCGGTAGGTTGAGCTTTGGCACTTCTTTGCAAATACAGCACAAAGAGTGGGAAACGCAAGTGCATTTTATGTCGGCGGTAGACTTGTCGATACTCTGTATCCATAATAACCGCCTGGCGTGATATCTGTATCGAAGAATGCACACTAGCTCATATCTCAAGAGGCAGGTACACATTGCCAAAAACCGTCCTGAGGAAAGGGAACTTGAGAGCGGTAGCTTTCAGAGTTTGAAAACCTTCGACGGCGTTCTGACAGGCCACCTCCATCCTCGTCGAAATCCCTGTCGACAGGACTCCTTGATTATTATCATATCATCCCGTCCGGCCGACGTCCCGTTAAAGGCTGGCAAGGACCGCCTGAAACCCTTGAACAGAACGACGCTGATGAGACGTTGCCCTCAACTCACATATCCTCACCTCGTCTCCAACCAAGGCAAAAGTACCTACAACATTCAAGTAACGGGAAAACAAGGCATCATTGGCGAAATGTCAGTACGACTCCTCCACAAGATTCACACGGTTCGCGCACAATGTTCTCCTTTGAAACCTATAACATCCATATTCTGTTCTACTTGCTACCATTACCAGTCAGGAACCGCCTTGGCACACTATCTCGAAAATGCGGTTGTTGGTGCTTATAGGGTACAGGCTTTTCTCCTCCAAGGCCGATGCAGTCCCTGCTGGACCATTCTTTTGATCAGAATACGCTGGGGGACGACTTCCTGAGCGCACTCGTGCACGGATCGTCATCCTCTGGAACAATCGCAGCTGTAATGGTGGGCTTGGGGTTGGCCTCATTCGAGCCGAGTTTGATGACCAGTGAAATGAAAGAAATGGTGCAAACGGAAGCTCTCACCATCCGCCATTCCCTTCTATTTCAAGTCCTTCAAAAGGATGGTAACACCCACCCAGAGTCGCCATGTGTGACATGATGATACTCAAATCTTGACTGTTACCATTGAACTCTTTGGTCAAGATTCTGCAACGGTGCTCACTACGCAGCATTACCGCTTTGGTCATGATAAAGTTTCAAAGAGTCGTAGCTTGCCGCCCTTTACCTTGAAAATACCTCGTTTGCAAATGTATGTTGTAATCCTCTGTATTATTTTTCTGGATTGTGTTGTCTAGCTATCGGAAATAAAATGGATTGAAACTGCTAATATAGCATGACAGCTCTGTGAAAAGAAAGCATCTTCAAGCAGGTTTCTTCTCTACCCTAGATGAATCCGGGTGCCATGCCTTGCTAAGTTCATCGACATTCTTATTTGAAAAGGAGCTATTATATGGTAATTTGGCACATCACCAATAGCTGGAGTTTAAACCACTGTTTAAGGATGTATTAGAACATTTTAAACATGTTCTCTTCCATGGAAGTAAGCAGGTAGCTCGCGATCCGTGGATTAAAACACATCTATTTCAGCACAGTCTTTAGAAACATTATCTCGCAAAATCATGCGAGCGTTAACAAATCATAGTACAGCACCAGACTGCGAGCGTGTGCGATAGAAGCAGGCGCGAAAGCAAATAAAGAAACCGTTACGGTGAAACACCAAACCTCTTTAGCATAAAACAGTACCGCAATTCTGTTGGGATCTGACCAACGTAAATGGATAGCATTGCAGATAACGGTGACCGTACACGGTGTGACCGCCGTTTAAATAAAAATAAACATCACTCTTCATGGAGAGAACTATACCAAATTGATAGCTAATAAATTAAAAGAACGCAACACCTCCCCACCCCCCGCCTATAAGCAATCTACTCGTCCTTCTTCTTTTTATTCTTCTTCTTTTTCTTTTTGGCAGGTTCTTCTTTTCCCACATCTCCGTCAGGTTCGCTCGTGTTTGCGTTGCTGCTCCCTGACGCTGTCCCTGGAGTGCTGGCTCCGTTTGTAGGCAGGGAGATATTAGAAAGGAAATTGTCGGCTTCGGATTCATGTTTTCGTTTCTTGATTTCTTCTGTTGATCGTGACATAAAGGATGATTTTTAGAAGATAGAACAAGTAGAAAGACAACCAGCACGAACTAATCGGCACGCACCGCTGACTTCAGGGTTAGCTATTAGAGAATGATTGACAAAGCGTTTTGCGGCTTGAGAGTCGAGGCGCATCGTAGCTATATGATGAGAGTATATTACGTTGTGTCGCCGAGAAGGATGTCAATTAATCAACATCATGCATACGTTTGTTCAGTCCCGCAGCATCCTTTATCTTGTTTATGTACCCCTTTATTCGAAGCATTTCTCGCTTGACTGGTGCGTCAGGTTGCACGCCTTGTGTCTTCAAATATACTGCAGAGGAAAATGGTCATTCAGGATATTGTTACGTGAAGCGCACAAGATTTCAGCAAGCAATCTGCCCATTCAGAAACAGAGTGTCCAGCAATACCCACCAAATATAAGACTGTTCATTGCAAAAGCCATCAGAACCTCCAATTTGGCTCTCTCCAGCGGTGCCAGGTTTCCCAACTGTTGCTCGAATGGCAACGAGAACAGCGGTTCCATGAGATTTGTGACCCTTGACACTGCTGATTCTAGCGTATCTGTAAGCGCAGAAAGATCGGGTACGACTTCTTCGTCCATTGGGGGTTGTGTTTTTGAAAGGGGAAATGTTCAGAAAACTGAAGGAATCTCGCAAAGGTCGCATCGTCCATGCAGATCAGTTTGGGACGTGTCCATGGCAACAACGATACGTGGGGGTCAACCTGCAGGATGGATTCATTCAATACAGCTTTGAAAATTGCATCTTGGACAGAATGAGTCAAGACCTATCTGCTCTGCTGAACAAGCCGCGAATTCATTTCGGCAGTTTGGAGGAGGATGACCGGGTGGTGCGTGGTGGAGGCTCGAGTATTGGCCTGCAGGTAAGAGATGAGCCTTACGAAACATGTTGGCTAGCTGCTGGTCACGGCTTTGCTGGGCGCCCTCCTTGTTTTTCCTGTCTAAAGAAACGTTGCCTGACTTTGCATGCCTTCCTTTTCTTTGCCTTCATTCTCTCCTTGCCATAGGGTGGGGTAACCTTGGATGATCTAGGTTAGTAGGCGATCTACAGTTTTTGGCAAGCTGCTGGGAACTAATGAAGCTGAGGTAAATCTATAGGTGACGAAGATGTAGAGCATTCGGAAACAACATCTCGTGCACAAGCAGAGCACCAGGCTATTCTCGAGCAATTCGAGCGTAAACGCATTGCGAGAAACTTGGCGGTTCCAACCGATGATGCACGAGTCAGAGCACGACTACGAGAGGAGGGCGAGCCAATAACCTTGTTTGGAGAAGGGGTACGAAATTGTTGACGATTGGCGTTTGAGTGTACTGAGATCAACGGGGTATTGATTTTCTTGGGATGGCTAGCCAGCAGATCGGCGCGATCGGTTACGAGAAATTCTGGCGCGAAGGATCCATGAGCAACCGGGGATGGCAATGGAAGTGGAGGAAGAGGAAAGTTCAGAGGAGGAGGAAGAGGAAGAGGAGGAAGAGTTTTACACACCTGGACCGTCTGAGCTACTAGGGGCAAGACAAGACATTGCGAGATATTCCCTGTCACGGTAGGCGAGATCAAGCAGATATTTCTTTATCATGTACAAAAGTCTCCTAATGACATGTCTTTAGAGCAAAGCACAGACTAGCAGCGCATCGAGCAGAACTCGACCTCCCGTACGGACAACGAAAAAAGATGAGGCATGAATGGTACACAAATCTAAAAACCTTTGAAACCCGAAGTCTACAATATGGGGACGATCGCCCTCTTTCCTACTGCACATTTTCTCCCAACTCCCGCGTCATAGCCACCGCCTCTTGGGGAGGTTTCGTCAAACTATGGAGTGTGCCACAGCTGACAGCCCTACATACCCTCAAAGGGCATCGAGAGCGTGTTAGCGGAGTCGCTTTCCATCCTAACTCAACAATATCCCAAACACCCGAATCACTCAACCTAGTCAGCGGCGCTGCGGACGGGAGCGTCCACCTGTGGAACTTCAACAGCGAAGTACCAATAGGAAGTTTAGTCGGGCATGAATTGAGGGTCGCACGAGTGGCGTTCCACCCATCTGGGCGATATATTGGAACCTCTAGTTTCGATAGCACCTGGCGATTGTGGGATGCCGAAACGACGCAGGAGCTCCTACTCCAGGAAGGACACTCTCGCGAAGTGTTTGCACTTGGATTCCAAGAGGACGGTGCATTGGCGGCAACCGGTGGTTTGGACTCTATCGGACGAGTGTGGGACTTGCGAACCGGGAGATCAATCATGGTTCTTCAGGGTCACGTAAAATCTATACTATGTTTGGACTGGTCGCCAAACGGATATCATGTTGCAACGGGAAGCGAGGATAATACAATTCGCATATGGGATATGCGAGCCGCGAAGAGCATCTACACTGTTCCAGCACATACAAATCTGGTAAGCCATCTGAAATACTGGCACGCTGGGAAGAATTTCGAAGCCAGAATGGATCCCGATTGGACGTTCCGATCGGAACCCCTCAAGCAGGAAGAAAATGGGGATGTCAAAATGGAGGACGCCGAGAATGGGTACCAGCTCAACGGAAGCGAGAATATGAAGATGGATGTGGATGAAGACGTCAAAGTGAAAGAGGAAAGTGACGGTGACTTGAGCCTAGGAGGGGATCGTGGGAGAATGGTGCGACGACAAGTCTTGGATGGGTCCTTTTTAGTATCAAGCTCGTATGATGGGACCTGCAAGGTGTGGACGGATGGTGATTTCAAGCCTGTGAAAGCATTGACCGGACTCGAAGGGAAGGTGACCGGCTGTGATGTGTCCGGGGGTAAGTTTCTGAGTCGATCATTTTGAACGCAGCAGGCTAGTACTGATTCCTGTTGCTATACAGATGGGCAATACATTGCTACGGCGTCTTACGATCGAACCTTCAAGCTCTATGCTACAGAGAATGTGGTTGAGGCATAGTCTTTAACGGAGTTCAGCTAGGATTGGCGCCGGTCCAATGTTTCAGCGGAGTAATTGCAATGACGACAGCAAATATTCCATTCCTACCTGTGAACATCGTCTCTATATCGCATACCCTCTGTCGCTCTCCGGTAATTCAACACTCGCTTCCAATGGAGGAGAAGACGTCGCCGTTTTGCGAAAGTTTTTTGATGGTCCTTTTTGTATTTATGTGATTACTTTCGTCGTATTGAACAAATAAGATTAAAACTCATCACTTTGTGATGCCATTAGCAATCACTTGCATCATTAAAACTCACATTAAATCTGCCATGAATACAAAATAAAAACTATAAAACAAAAAAATACTTTGGCTAACATGCACAAGATGACACGGATGATCTTGGTGTCGCCATAACCGACACTTTAGCTTTACGAGACCCTACACTATCCCAATCCTCTTCATCTCCAGCTAGTATGTCAAAAGCATACTTTGGTGTTCGCACATTCTCTGCAATATAAGCAAAAATCTCGTCTATTCGAGTTCCAATTTTGGCTGACACTTCAAAAAGAGGGAGACCGTCGGTGGATAGTTTGGGTTGAAGAGGTGGAGAAGAGACTTTGGAGGCTGAGACGGGTTGGAGAAGAAGTGTATTTGCAGATTTTGAAAGTGCCTCAACGCTATCGCTTTCCTGTTCACTTTCTGACGAGCCTTCGTCTACAGAGGCAGCTTGACTCGACTCCCATTCACCCTCATCAGACGAAACAGATGTCTTTCCAAAGTCTTCTTCAGAGAATTCGGATGCGGTTTCGTAGAGAGAGTAACGAGATGTGATAGAGTCCCTCCAATGTGGGTCTTTCAATCGGGTCGATGAACCGGCCCAGGGGAGTTTCGGAGCAGATGGTCCATCAGGATGCGGTAATGTCGGAGAAGTGGGAGAAGCTGACATTGGTGAGGACGGAGCGTCACTACTGGGTGTACGTGATACTCCAAACATCCTTCCCCTCGGACCTGGTATTACACTCTCTCCCGCACTTGTTGCCGATCCACTGAGCAGCGTACTCCGTCGTCTCGTCAATCCATATCTCTCATACGTCAGCCCTCCCTGTGGCGTATCTCTCCATCGATCTACAGCAGCGTCCTTGCATATTCTCTTGAGTCGGATTGCAAGTTCCTGTCCTTGACGTTTGGTAATGGCGCGATCCCGCTGATTATCAATTTTGTTTCCGACAAGGACAAATGGAAAGTTTTCTGGGTCCCGAATATCAGCCTGTTGGATGAATTCTGTGAGCCATTTGAGGAGGTTGGTGCTGGTTTCTGGTTTCGTGACGTCGTAGACTAGGCTAAAGTAGAGGCAGAGCATTCAACCAAATTTGCCATCTCTCTTGCAATCCCCAATAAATACCCAACATTACTTACACACAGGCATCTGCCCCTCTGTAAAAAGCTATTCCAAGGCTTTGAAAACGCTCCTGTCCTTAATGCCATATAGAGGTAAACAGTTTTAGATCCCGACCATGCAAGGACAATTTCAAAAGACTCTTGCACTCATCAGCTCACCTGCGGTATCCCATATCTGCATTGCAACCTTTCTTCCATCTTCTGTTTCAACTTCCTTTGTAATAAAGTCTGCACCTATCGTTGCTTTGTATGCTAATGTGAAGCGTTTATGTATGAATTGATAACGCAGCGAAGTCTTGCCCACACCCCCGTCGCCCAAAAGGACGACCTTGAGGATGTCCTTTGGCATTCGCTGGGGTGTGCTGTCAGTTTTGGATGCAACTTTGAGAAACTACAAGAAATGGGTGTAGATCTGCTGACGGGAGAAGCGGCGTCCATGTGTTCATCAAAGGACCGCTTGCATGACTGTGCTCTGAGTAGGTGGCCCTGTGATTGTGCCATCTACGATCAGAATGCAAGTCAACGACCAGCAGACGATGACGATCTCTACATGCGATGCATTTGTGGTAGCGATGCATGAGTGATGAGTGTGGACAATGGCCATAAGGTTTTGGAGAACAAGAGGAAAACGATGCAAGTCGAAAACGCCGAAACAACATTGTTATGCTCAAGCGCGAGGAGCATACCAAGTGCAATCCCTCGACCGTCTGCAACATGCAACTCACTCACACTCACACACATGTCCTAATGTCCATTCCCATCTCCATTTCCATTTCATATTCCTCCTCCAACACTTTTTCAATGCCCAACGTCAAACCACCCGGAAGGCCGATAGCAATTATCATCAGGAGAAGGTTCAGATCAAAAGCCGGATTGTGACTAATCTCAGTGGCACGGTGACTCAATTATGTCATTTGTATGACTACACGGAGACCAAAGGAGGGGGGCAGATCGGCGCTTGAAGAAAAAGAACACCCCCTCCATCTACTCTTCATCGTTGCTTTGAAAACACGCAATGTCGACTCTTGCAGAACTTCCTTTGGATGTCCAGTTTGCCCCCATCAGGGAGGCCGATGTCTCGCGCGAGATGACCACTCGCTACATGCAAGACATGTTGGACTATGCCGATGTTGATGTCGTCATTGTCGGTGCTGGACCCGCGGGTAAGTCTGTTGTCTGGAATGAACATCCCATCCGCGCTTTTCGCTGGAAAGGTTTATAAGAAGACTTTGGAGCGCGAGATGCTCGAGCCAAGATGCTGGAGCAAAATGTGTCTACAATATATTGGAGGCTTGCGGCTTATCGCGCCAACTTTACATACAACTAGGTCTCAGTGCTGCCTACGAGTTCACCAAGCACCCCGAGATCAAGGTTGCTCTTATTGAGGCTTCCGTCGCTCCTGGTGGTGGTGCCTGGGTTGGTGGACAGCTTTTCACCCCTATGGTTGTCCGCAAGCCCGCCCACCTGGTCCTCGATGAGTTGAACGTCCACTACGATGAGAAGGAAAACTACGTTGTCTTGAAGGTAAACCAGTCATTATAGATCATGCATGTGAATTCGCTAACAACCGCATACTCTAGCACGCTGGTCTCTTCACTTCGACCATCTTGTCCAAGGTCATTGCCAGCAACAATGTGAAATTGTTCAATGCCACGTCCGTTGAGGACTTGATCATCCGCAACGACACCGTTGCTGGCGTCGTGACAAATTGGGCTTTGGTCACCAAGGTGGGTGTCTTGGCAAATCCCTTGTCGAACATTCGATATTTTGGTGCTGATCACATGATATCGTAGGCCCACGGTACCCAATCTTGCATGGACCCCCAGGTCATGGAATCCAAGATTGTCATCTCGTCTTGCGGCCACGACGGTCCTTTCGGTGCTACTGGTGTCCGGCGATTGGAGGAGCTTGGTACGTTTAGCGAGGAGCGGTGAATGGAGATGAATGCGCTTCTAACTAAAGGACATGCTTCTTTCATAGGTATGATTTCCAAGCTTCCCGGTATGCGTGCCTTGGATATGAACGCCGCGGAAGATGCCGTTGTTGCCAAGACGCAGGAGATTGTCCCTGGTATGATTGTTACTGGTATGGAGGTTGCCGAAGCGTGTGGTACTGCTCGTATGGGACCTACCTTTGGTGAGTGCATGACATATTCAAAGTGTCAATTGCAAGAATCTGACACTCTCCAATACGATAGGTGCTATGCTTCTCTCTGGTCGTAAGGCCGCTCTGTTGGCCCTTCAGAAGCTTCAGAAGGCCAAGGCTGTTGGTAAATAGGTGTTTTTGTAGGAACGGAATTTGTGTCAATTGAACTTTGATAAGGGAGCATGGGGTACATTTTGGTCTTGTATATGCATGTGGCCTAGGATAACAGAGCTTCTGTATATTTTCAAAGGTCTCGCCAGAACGTATGTCATATTTCCACAAGACAAATTATCCATTTGGTTCCAAACATCCCATACCCTCAGATAAATAGGAAAAGAAATAATAACCAGCAGAAAACGCCTGTCTCTACTACGCATGTATGTTCTACTTGTCCTTGACCAGGTAACCAACGTGGCACTTTTCGAGCAGGGAATCTATATTCACCCATGGGTGCACCTTCATGAAAAGTTCGGTAGCGTCCTTCCCCGCGCCTCGCATAAGCTGCCCGGCACCACCCGGATGAAACTTTACATACTGCGTCACGTTATAGACTTTGCCTTGTATAGCCATCCATAGGTCGTCCCGCTTCTTATGTTGCGCTACGTCTTCAAGGGTATATCGCGCAAGCTGCGAGACTCCTCGGAGGTTTTGGCCCGACATTGTAAGCCGAGCCCAATCTAACGGCGAAAAACCTGGTCCCAAAGGTACTTTTCGTCTACCTGGTAGCGAACCTCCAGCTCGTTGCGGCCCACCCAGCATTGGAAACGCATTGAGAGAGTTTTCTACCTTGGTCTTATTTGGTGGCAGGGGAACTTTAAAGGTTACGGATGGGGGACGTGCGGCATGTGCAGAAGCTGGTGATAGGGTTGAAGAGGAAGAAGAGACGGACAGTGAAGAGGTGATAGACTCTGATGACGTTGAGGCGAGTTTCAGGTTTTTCATGTCCTCGTTCAGAGGTCGATCGTCGCTGTCAGAGTCGGAATCAGAAACGTCTAGTTTTAATTCTGGGATTCTGGGCGGTATGGACATGGTGGTATTATCTATACTAAATCCTCTGTAAGGAAATCCTACTGAACAAATCGATGTTTGCAAATGGAAACTCCATGCAGTGAAGGGTCTCAAAGCTGTGTGGCGTGGCTGATTACAAATGATTATAAATCATGGCAGTCAGCGTTAGCGTCGAGATCGAAATCGGGACTGGAGGATAACGCAAAACGGCCAGCGCAAGCTTATTGGGCCTGAACAGCAGCTCGTGCTGCCCGCTCCCTCCTTCGTGTCTCCTTTGCGCTCGAAGCGGAGGCAGTAAGACTCACAACTTCTTTTGCTTTTCGCTCGTTATGCCGCCTGAGTTTTTCTAGTTCTTCACTGTGATGATAAAAGTCGTCAGCGTTGAGCGGTTCCGGTGGGTGAAGCTATATAAACTTACTCTTTCTGTGCACGCAAAGCGTCAATGGCCTGCTCCGGATATTTGGAGAAATCCACTATTTCCTTTTGCACATCTAGTAATATCCAGACGGATTATAATTCTGCGTCGTGAATTATCAATCTGCTGTAAACCACGTACCGGTTGTAACCGGCGGAAAGTACTTGTCAAAGTCGGCTTTCCATTGTCGATACGAAGCGGCCGATTGTTTGCCCACAGTGTCCCGCCCCATCTCTGACGGCGGTGGTCCAATATGTGACAGCGAGTCTTGGCCTTGTAAATGTCCAGTGTCAGTTTTTTTCAAGAAGGCGAGGAATTTGAGATACCAACCTGCTAGGATAACGATAGGTTTGTTGTGATCAACTGACATGGTTTTAGGAGAGCTCCCTTTAAAGGCATGATGGCTGAGAAGTTGCCGACACTGTAGTACATAAACAAGTCAATAACTGCGGCTTTCAGTATGATAGTAGGTAAAGAACCTTTGCTACAGTGTTTTCATCCTTTTGCGAAACAAACATGAGTGACGCTCCGTTGGTGTGTGCGATGTACCGCAACGTCTTGGCAAGCATTTTCCTCTTTTCGCTATTATATGGGCAAAATTGATTAACACCATTATGATGTTTGTGTTCAAAACATTTTGGATGGTTTGTACCTACGATTCCATATCCCGAAATACATCGTATTTTGTCCCAATGACAACGATTGGTGCAGCGCAAGGATCCAAGAATTCCCTTTGATTCATCGTAAGAGTCCAATATCAGACCAGAATTCCAAAAGGAAGTCGTACAAGTAAAACGGACATGTCGACTTACTTTTCCACATTCTCAGCGCCAAATTTCTTCCACGCGTACGCCCTCATAGCCCTTGGTCGCTTCGATCCCCGCTGTTCCAAGCTATCCAGGAGGGAGTTGACAGTCGACTTGATCTTTCCTATGAGATGTTCCAGGGTTTTGAGAGCTTCTGCTGGCTTGGCCAAAGTGGGTTAACTGGTAATAATTGTGAAAAGCATGATGCCAGGAGACTTACCTCGGAAAGATCAATGACGATCACAAATGTCACGGTATGTACGTTAGCTTCGTTGACCGGAATCTTGATAAGATCCGATAGAAAAATGCCACCCGCTGTTGCAGACAGCTTGCAAGATGAGCCTCTACCCAGCTCCGTCAATACTGGTGTAACTGACCGAGCTCCCAGATGTGGGCCACGTCCTTAACGGCATTGACACCCCGTGTTCGTCGTCCAAATGTGTATTCTAAACCAACAGTGGGTGCTGGAGGCTCCTCTGAATATCAAGGGCACAAGCAGGGTGTTCAAGTAGGTCACACGAAGTGGAACCAAGCGTTGATGTCAAACCTCTATCCAAGAATCGCAAGATCAATGAAGACTTTCCGGCATTTTTGTTTCCAACAAAGAATAATGTGCTTTCAATGGATGTATCAGGACCTTATTCATGCACCCACAGAGTTTGGTTATTTAAACATGGGTTGCGGTGTTAACAGTCATCAAAAGACTCACTCTCGGCAGCCTTTTTTTCCCTTTCCTTGGCCTCCTTCACCAAAGTCCATATATCCTTGACAGAAGCAGCTTGTGCCGACGACTTTCCAGCGGCCGTCGACTCTCGCGATGTTGTCATCCTGACCCACCAACTTCAACGCCGACAGTGTGCTTAACGTTCGAGTTGAGCAACGACGACGACGAGAGACGAGAGTCGGCAAGTCTCGTGACCCGGCTTACGAGACGCGTCCATTACGTGTTGGCCTGCAGGGTGGTCTTGGATCCCTTCAGGTTCAGCGCATCGCCAACCCTTTTCCTTTGTTACCAGTTCTGAGTCTATGGTGGAGGTTTGGGGTCAGCAATTGTTATCCTGAACGTCATTTGTAATGAAACGGATCTCATGGCTTTACGTTTGATGTAACGCTCCGATAGGATATCTCACTGCCAAGGCCGAGCTTCCCTTGTTTCTGTTCGTCTGGGTTTAAAGAGTTCCTTACCGTCAAATCTCGCTCAAACAAGAAACAGTCTGTCCGACATGGATCGGCATAGGGGATCCTTAGGCTATCGCGCATTCTCTTCCTTTGCCGCCATCCTCCTAGTTTATGCCACACCGGTCAATGCGCTGTGCAGGTGCACTTGCAATGGCATCTACGTAGGAATGTTCAGCGACGGAATTTGCAAGTAAGTTTATGGCCGAGACATGTCCTCCCAAACTTTTGTATTTCGGCCACCCTAATGGATTCCATATTTTCGCCAGCGGGGTGAGCTGCCAAGAAGCCTTCGGGGCCTGTCCGGCAGGCTGGAATGCATTTAATCCCCTTGCAGCAATCGTAGGCGGTCTCGTCGCTGGCCTCATAACCCTGATATGCATAGGGGCATTTTGCTACTGTATACGACAACGACGTCTACAGGCGCATCGAATTCTTTGGCAGAACCCGCCGGAGCAGCAGTACAGTGTGTATCCCCTGCAAGGACAAGCAGCCTATCCCCCACCAGCTGGTCCGCCGCCCCCAGCACAGCAGGTTTATGGGGCTGCGTACGACGCTGCTCCAACTTACTATCAGGCGCCGCCGCTTCCTTACAATCCGTTTCCAGATACATATAATGATGGCGGCGCGCAGCCGCCACCGCCAGCGTACGTGGAGGCAATAGGGCATCCAAAAGGGATATGACATCGAGACCGCGATGCGAGGAACAATATGCAGCGTAAATAGGAGGACAGCTGATTTCTGAATATGGATTCATGTTTTGGTTTTGATCACGGCATGTCTGTTTTCTATACGAATGTAAATACTAATTACATGGTTAATTGCTGTTCTGTGCTTCTGTTCATAATGTCTCGGTTGTAACTCCTCCTGGTTTCCTATCTCGTCTACCTAGACCTTCTAGTTGGAAAATATACGCAGACAGTGAGAGTGTTCCCCGAAAGATTCACTGGCTCAGCGACAAAAATCCCTTGTTATTCAAGTATTCGTAGATTTTCTGTAGATCGTAGAGATATCCTCGAATTAAACATGCGCAATTAAACCACGCAAGATTGGAATATAGCGATACGAACCTTGACACTGTCCTCAACGGATTCCTTGTCAGAGCGGAGGTGAATCTCTGGCTTCTCCGGCGCCTCGTAGGGCGCATCAATACCAGTAAATTCTAAAGCAAAACGCATAATCAGTAAATTCCAATTTGGTTACACACTCCATCTTGAACACACCCTTGATTTGCCCAGCTCGAGCCTTTTTGTATAAGCCTTTCGGATCTCTCTGTTCTGCCACCTCAATCGGCACATCCACAAAAACTTCAATGAAAGGCAGCCCAGCTTTCTCATGCAACTCCCTGGCCTGGTCTCTGTCAGCCCGGTAGGGAGAGATGAAAGACGTGATGGCCACCACAGCCGCATCAGCAAACAGCTTTGCAACCTCTGAAATTCGCCTAATGTTTTCTGTCCGGTCTTCGGGGGAGAATCCCAGGTTCTTGTTTAAACCGAATCGAACATTGTCGCCATCGAGACGATAGGCTGTTGTGCCCTTGTGGAGCAGGTGCTGTTCCAAAGCTGAGGCAATGGTTGACTTTCCGGACGCTGAGAGACCAGTAAACCAGATTGTCAAGCCCTATCAAAAGAGTGTACCAGATCAGCCAGCTGACGGATGCTATTGTGCATTATGCGCAAATATACCTTGTGTCCGAGCAAGCTTTCTCTTTCTTCCCTGCTGACAGCTCCTTCGTGCCATGTAATGTTGGTCGCCTTTGTGGTTGCCTCAGCAATGAGAGGCCTGTCTGCACCAGGAGCAGCAGCACCCTCTGGAGCCTCTGGGTTCACTTTGGTCATTGTGTTGTCGTTAATTACTTGTGGTAAATGGCGTGGATGGAAGTGGTCGAACGAGGCAAACGAAACGACTCCAAGAAATGACGCGATCGCCCTCCTATCACCATCAAGTAAGCAAAATCTATGATTGATTACCATGGAAACAGCTGATGGCACAGTGATTATTTCGTTCGTTTGGGACTTTTAACACATTCCGTCCCGTCGCCGTCTTTTGGCTAGAAGCTCATCCTTTGCAGTGCGGTAAGGGAGCTCGTCGAGCTGCTGTCCATCTGTAAATAAATGCGTCCTGTAGGTCGTATCGGGCCGTCGCCGCAGCTGCAAAAAGGTCTCGGACATCTGGTATCACGTGTATAATTTTACCTTTTCTGGTAGTATTACTCTCCTCCCAATTGGGGATCTGCTTGGCAAAGCAACGGGTTTCGATCGCCGACATCGTTTCGCTGGAGTTTCGTCAACACACGGAAGGAGCTCTCCATTACTCGAGGGTGAAGAAAGATTTAAAAGCGCTTGTCTTTTTTCAGTATCTTGCCACAGCACGAGCAGCAGTAACAGGAACAACAGCGACAAGAGCATGAATGGTTGTCTCTCGCCGCCTTCAGATGGCCTTCCTCGTCTATCACACATTGTTGGCGATGATTCTTCTACCTCCAACTTCTTCTTTGCAACACGTTCAGCCTTCTCCATGGACACCTCTCCCAGAGTCAAATGGGAGCCTGCTCAAATGTTTTTGGCACCTTCCAAAGCCTATGATGGTTAGCAAACCTTCCCCCATCCGCGGCAACAATCCGTGATATATATTGTAACGGAAACAATGCGTGACATATCTCCCTTCACCCTCTCCAGTTGCCCAACCTATCGTTGCATTATCACCGCCACTATACTACCGATTTCAGTCTCGCGGACACACATCAATCCTTTTCCTCCGAACGAAACCGTTTGCGTTCTCATACTCGAGTAGCTGGCGAAACCACACATCAGCATCAGCCTCTTCCTTGTATATCATCATGCGAGTATCAGATCCTTCGGGCATCTCTTCATAGTAACGTCCACAAATTTTCCCGTCAAAAGGTCGTTTAATTGTCATCTGGCCTTGATTCGGGTCAAAGTAAGACCATACCCACTCGGTTGACTCGATGTAGCTTGTCACAGCAACAGTGTGTCCTATCCTATCCTCAGACTCCGACGGAAGGAAGATCAGGGAGCCGAATGGTTCGCATTTATTGGTTATAAACCTTATTCCAAGTCTTATAAGGACGTAATTCCAATTTTTCTGCAAAATGTATGCCTTACCGGTTGTCTTCCCTTATCCAAGTATACGCACCCACGGGATCAGTCTCGTCCTTTCGCACACGCAGGGCCAGTGGTGCGGCAATTTCTTTGACCAGAGGGGAAACTGAGTGGTATGAGATCAGAGCGGGAAATTTACGATTTATTTTGCTGCTCTTTGATTAATCTGTGTATCATTGATAGTAAACACATATGCTATTGTCACACCTACCTGAGTCGCTCGATAGTCTCCAAATCTCCAGCCTTCTCATAGAATTCACCTTGTTTTCCCTGCAACGTCTTTGATATCCATTCCAAGGAATACCCAAGACATAGACCGGGTCTCGCAGCCACGCCCTTGCTTTTGTAATAATCTTCTAGCAAAACGCTTTGATCAAACTCTGTAAAGGTTCCATTCGAAGATCTAGCGACACTGTCACTCAAGGGATTGCTCATGCTCATGGTATCAGGTATCAGTAGCGCTTGACTGCGACGACGTTTGCGAGATGTCGAGTGGAACAGATGGGGAAAACTGTCATAAACAGGATGACATGATCTAGACTGCGCCACAACGCAGTGGAGGGCTGGGTCGGTCATAGGAACATTCAAAGGTTTTAAGCTCAAGGGAAGACCATGAACGTTGTCTCGGTTCGACGCATATGGATGGTGGAGAAACCTTGCTGTCCGCCCATACCGGAACGTTGTCCTGAATGCCCGCACACGACATCGACTACTGGTTCCTCATGACATGGTTTCCAGCATTCAAAAACCAAGACCTGCCAAACTCCTTGCACACAGTTTCTAGTGCAAATGCAGCTGCGTACGGATCTCCACCGTCCTTGGAGGAATACTCAAAAAGAAGAACAAAACCGTTCGCCAAAAACCAAGGCCCCATAGCAGAAAGGCTCATCATCCACAGTCACCCTTCGCGACATTGCTTACGTACTCGACACGTAAACGCCTCGCTGGGTTTGGAACGAGACCTGACGTTTTCGCCATTGCCTTGCCCTCGGCATCCCTGGATTTCTACCCGCTCTCGCAATCCTGCGCAGGACTTTGTATTTCTGCTTTCTTTTGAGGCCTTCCGCTCTCCATGATTGCCTCTCTGAATACACACAGATTACCATTGTCTCGCAGTCGCGTTATCGGCTTTACCAAGCTATAACCAACGACTGCTCACACCCAACACTGCCACAACACTCGAACACATTGTCTCGCAGCTGCTCTTCCCCACTGGACCACCTTGACTGACCTGGCGCAAAATATCGACCCGGCGCCATATTGGTGACTCATTTATAATGCCTCAGGAACGACCGAGATTTGCAAACTCAGATCTTGCTTCTACGAGTGGACTCGATCTTGGAACAACCTCTGCTGCATTCTCGGCTCGTAACAGTGATAACAACATGCAGCGATCCGCTAGTCCCGCCCCGCCCTTTGCTCCCTCAATTCCGACCAATAGCGATGTTCGACGAGGGTTTGTAGATATTGAACAGATATATCAGCCATATCAGAAACAACAGCATGGTGCAGCCGATTTTGTCTACTCGGAGCAAAAGGGAAGTAGGCTGGGCCCCATTGGGGTTTCGACACCACCGGGGGCGTTGGAACTCTCTCCTACGGATGCTGCCTCAAAATTCACTCCGGCCGTACAGAAACCCCAGGAACCGGTATTTAAGGAAGGATCGATTTTCTACCGCAGCTCCCCTGCCTCAAAGCCGCAACCGCCTCCGAGTACCGAACGCAAGATGCAGAATCAAAAGTCAAAAAACTCGATATTTGATGTCACGCACACTATTTTAAAACCTGCCGTGAATATGACCGAACAAGAACTCAACGCACTTCGAAAAGGGGAATTATCAGGAGCTGAGGCGAGCGAAGATATAATCAACCAACGGCAGGATGTAAGCGGGTCCATAACAGTGCCTCTGGCCCTATCCTCTCCGCCAATACCAAGTATATCCACCCCACCAATCAACCGAGACCCAGATGTCGAAGCTGCATTCCTTACCAATGCCAACACCAGCACACGTCGCGGCTTTGTAGAGTTGGATGATAGCAAGTTTACCATTGCCTCCACCCCAGGTCAGCAGAATAACCTGCGCGACCACCTGCTGGTGGATGCAGGTGCAGGTCCCGAAACCGGCCGCAAATCTCCTCAGTTGCTAGCTGCAGAAGAACGAGCCAGACAACGCCATCAAGAAAATGTGAGCGTGATCACTTCACCCGCAACATGGGACAATGTCAATTTGACCTTTCTCCCTACCAAGCGAAATTTCCTTGGTGAGGGCCGTTATGCCCAAGTTTTCCTTGGGTACTACACTCTCACAGAACCCGGAAGTCCTCGCCGCTCCGCCTTCCCACCTACATCCCCACATCCGCAGACACCATCTTCGCTCCCAAAGCTGAGCCCTGAAAACCCAATCCCAACACCATCACCAGAATTTTTTCCCTGTGCTGTTAAACGCATGCATCAAACTCCGGAAGCCCAGGCGATAGGTCTATGCGAAGTCTACATCCTCCGCAAATTGAGTCCTCTTCATCCCAATATTGTCAAATTTATTGGTGTAAAAGATGAAGCGGATGTTGATAATCCGACTGTGCGTAGCGAACTTGCGTTATCAGCGTCTACCGATGGAACCGTAAAAGTCGATCCTGCTCCACGGCTACTACTCCTACTCGAATTTTTACCAAAAGGAAATATGTGGTATTGGGTCCTGAGGAATAAAAAGAGCGTAGGGAGGAGGCTATGGTTAAAGTGGGCTCGGCAGCTCGCGAGTGCTGTAGAGTGTATGCACGCACAAGGGATCGTGCATCATGATATTAAACCGCATAATATCTTGGTGAGATAGTCGTTGTAGTGATGGCCGACATGATGACCTCAACCTCATGTGTTTTTCGTTTCGAAACAGCTCTCTGAATTTCTGGATGTGCGTCTGGCTGATTTCGGTAACGCCTGCTTTATTCCCGAACCCACGGTCGACGAAATGGAGGAAACCGAAACAGGATCGATATCATCGTCTAGTGGTCATACACAAACAAGCACCCCAACACCACCCTCACCAAATCAAACTCCAAAATCCCGACCACAGATCCCCCACTTGACTATCCCATCCCCGTCTCCAGTCACAATAGCGTCGCGTGCATCAACTCCTTCACCAACACTTCAAGACGGGCTTGGTCGCGGTACCGAAGCCTATAGCGCTCCCGAGCTTCTCACGCCCGGCACACCCTATTCCACTCCGATTGATATCTATTCTTTAGGCGTGACGCTCTACACACTCATTACAGGCACAGCACCGTTTCATCTTGCACGCACCACATTGCAACTGATTATGGGAGCTCGTAAAGGGTTCTTTGAGAGCGGCCTGCAGGTTCATGGGACAGAGCTAAGAGGGGGCGTAGAGAAGGTGAGATTCTTGAGTGGGGAAGTGGTTGATGACGGGATATTGTTAATTTTGGAAGGGTGTTTGGAGAGGAATCCAGAGCGTAGATATACGGCGTCAAAACTCAGAGAAGAATTGGAGAAGGTGGAGGAAGGTGGTATATAGGCGGAATGGATATGGTAGGAGAATGTTGGGCGTATCCTTATATTTGGGAGATGTTTATCATGTTTCACTGCGTAATTACATATCTTAACCTTGTGCAAAGAATCAGTTATTCTTTCTGAGATAAATGTTTACAAAATAATGTTCACTCCCTAAACCCTATATACACAAAAAAAGAAACATACACTGCATCCTCTCCCAACGTGGCTTCATGTCCAAACTTAACCGCCAAACATACGAACAACCTCTTGCCTCGACATGGCCTCGGAGACAACTCGCTCAACCTCCCATTTCACAAACGTCCTAAACATCATCCACCACATTACAGCAAACAGAATCAAGACGGAAACCACAACAGCTAATCCAACCGTCGTGCTCAAACTTCTCCACACGACACCCCAAGCCCTCCTAAACTCTCGTCCACCAAATTTGGGCTGCTTTTTGGCAGGACGAACAAAAGGTTTCATAAATGTTCCTTCGGTCGGCGTCGAGAATTTAAGTCCAGGGGGGGAAGATAAGGGTGAGAGCGTAAACAGGCCACGTTGAGGAGCTTGGGCGTATCCACGACGTTTACGCAAAAGTTGTTCAAATCGTTCTGCCTCAGCAAGTTCTCTTTCGAGAGGGTGGGCGAGGTTGTTATTGTCAGGTCCGTAGCCGTCATCCAAGTCTACTTCTTCACCATCGTTTTCGTATTCTTCCTCTGATTCTTCGGGTGTATGGCCATTTGCGCCAACTTTGTCATCATGAGATTCCGGATGAGCCAGAATATACTCCTTCAAGGCAGTTTCCAGTTCAGCGTGGTAACTTTTCAGTCCTTCAGGAACCGCACTATTGATGGGCGCCTTTAACCAGGAACTCTTCAGCCATTCCACTTCGCAGGAGACTCGAAGCCGTGTCTGACGATGTTTAACGCTGGTGAGACACAGGCGCGCGCGTGATTGGAATGCGTTACCAGAGGGAACATCGGGTGTTTGGGAAATTTGATTTAGGCAAATGTGTCTATGTTGTTGATATGTAAGTACGAGGGGAGGAAAGAACTGCTGCTGGTATATATCCTTACCGTTCTTTGTCTTTCTGTAGTACCGTCTCGTGGAGTTTGCAGCGAGTCTGTTTGGGGCCTGTATGTCATCCATTCAAAATGTCAATCTTGATGTTGTAACATAATGTAAAAGTCTGATATTCACTTACCGAGTGAATTACTCAAGGGGACGATATACTCCACCTTCCTATGCCATTTGGGATGCACTGCATCATATTGTACAGTGTCCGATTTCGGTGCGTCTTCCGTTGGGTCTGCAAGGTCCACATCAGCAGCCACCCAGTCACACATCTTAAACTCTATTATTCATGGAAGATCAGTGAGCAGTTACCCGTGCATGCCCAACAAAATAGCTGTCACGTACCTCGACATTTTCGTCGGCCTTCCAAGAAGCTCCTCAAAAATCCCTCTCTGGTCGATCCATATTCATATAATAAATCCCACAACCGCTTGACTGAGCATTCAAATACAGCATCCAAAACCATGATAGATTTCTTATGATCTGCCTCGCATGGACATGTCGCAGGGGTAGTCAATGAAGGTGCCAGGTGTACGGATTTCGGTCGCTTGCGGTTTCGTTTACGATGTTTAGATCCCGCTTCTTCATGCAAAGATTTGCGATGCGGAATATGGATGTGGGGCTGCGTGTGAATATGGATCTTTTGATGTACGATATGCTGATTCTTAGCTGGTAGTGGAGGTGGAATGGTTTGACCCAGGTTTTCATCCGAACTTTTCGGGAGGGACGACATCTCCTTTGATTTCGGTGATATCGATTCGGATTGCTGTCCCAGCTGGACGTCAGCCAATTCCGCCAAACCGCGCGGTTGAGACTCTCGTTGCAAGTTGGCCGATTGGCGCACTGCAGCTGGCGTCAGTGGCGAAGACAAGACCGTTTCTATCGGTGAGACGAAATCCTCCGGGAATTTTGGTTCGTCTTCGGTCTTGGACACAACTGTGCTAGCAGTTAGATTTTTCACTTGCTCTCTCAAAATCGTCTCTGGCAAGCTAAGTGAGCGCTCTTTCCCTCCGCTGGAGTTTTTGCGCATTGTCTCGGGAGATAGCTGGCCCAGTTTTCCACGATCTTTGTTGTCATGCCCACTTTCCTTGTCGTCGTTCGGTTCCGTGTCCTTTGAAATACCTTCAGGTCCATTGGTCGCGTCGAGCGTCAATGAAGATTTGCTAAGTTCCTGACTATCCGCCCTTTCTCGCAGCCAGTCGAGAGACATGCTTCTGCGTAGGTTCATTGACTCTAGTATCTCCATATCGCGTCCCCGATGATTGCCTCTGTCATTTGTCTTTCGATCAAAATCCCGAAGACCGGCGCACAGTTCGCAGGATTGTTCTGGTGGACATGAACACGGTCCTTCAGAAACTTTTGTAATGGGAAGCAATTGAATAGTCTTGTTTGCCACACTGTCCCACAAGGACATGATGAGGCTGTACGTGCTCTCACGATGAAGGAAACTAGCAAAAAAGAACTACAAGACCGTTAGATGTAATGCAAGCAAGGTGAGCCGATGTAAGCAAAAAGACAAACTTTATTATTTGTGATCGTAGTAATCTCTATCGAGTTCGGAATGATGGCGGCGACATTCTTTTTTTCAATGGAAATTATCTCCGAGAATGGAATTTCAACCTGCACATAAGACAAAGTCACAGTTAGACCATTTCCTATTTTCCGCACAACCTGCAGCTGCGCACCGAATGCACCCAACCAAGGAGGTTGGCGTAAAAGTTTACATGTCCCTGCGACAGATACAGTCGTCCTTGTATCAATACTTCTTTGTGCCACGCACAAGAATAGTCTGAGATATTTATCTAGGGTCAGAAGTTGTCATTTGAGGGAAACCATGCAATGCTTGACGTACCCTCCACTAGCAGTTCATCTCTAGGCAATGTAGGAAACAATTCGTGAAAGTCTGCATTTCTCTTTCTGTTTGCCATTGGGGTCCCATCGTCATCTTCCTGCGCTAACAAGGCCGCGGCAGCCTCTGCCACAGAATCCCTGCCTTCATTTGGAATACTCGCACGCGGCTGGGAGAAGGAGGTACGACGAGATGAATTGGATCGTTGGGGTACTGGGCTAGGCGGCAGTGAGCTTTCGGAAGATGACTGCCTCAATACGTTTCCTAGGCGTTGAGCAACTGAAGGTTGCGCGCTATTGGGTGATGGCGATCTGCCCGCGGGTGGTGTTGTTGGTGCCTCACTCACTATGACAGGTGGATCGGTGGGTGGAATAGAAGGGAGCGCTACATTTCGTGAACCAGTCGAAAAAAACCTGGCCGCGACGCCGACTCTAACGGCTGTTGCCGCTTTTCGCGGAAAGCTGGGCGATGGTAAAGATCCAAGAGAAAGTACTCTACGTATTTCACCAGATGCTGACCGCGCAGGCTCGGGTGGTCGTATCTCGTCTGGACGCCGAGGTAAAGAAGGTGGACTTTGCGGTGTGCCTGTTGCACCGTTTTCTGACATGTTGGGTTGCAGACCAAAGGGTTCACCACCGTGCCACTCTTCAATCGTTTGAGCCATGAAAAGAATCCAAGCTAATGTCCTAAACCACAAACAAGGTTGAATTCATATAGTTTGACTATTCTGCGCAACTAGCGGACAGGGAAAGGAGACCAAGCTCGCACATACGGGTGCGAGATGGTCGCAACACGACCGACATGCACTAACCTTTGTCAAGATGAACTTTTCAGAAAAGCATGTCAAGACAGTCCAAATGCAGAACGCTCTCACAGCACAAGGGATTGCGTCAATGCCTAACAACACTGTTTAGCAGCAGCACCAGCAGCAAACAGCGCAAGTGCAATGGAGCACTACGAGATGGGACAAAAGGGAAAGCTGAGGAGTGTCAACGATGAACGCGACAGTTCATTAAACCCAAAATGGAAACTCTTTGCAACGTCATCCGGATTGAATCCGGTTCCAATGGAGTGCTTGGATAACCAGGGTGGACCTTTTTAAACACTCATCTTTTACAAAAGTTGGTGGTCGATATGCGTCCGAGTGCCACTTTGTTTAGGTATTGCAAATCCTGCCTTCAGCTTCTGACGTTTAAAACGAGTGTGTTTCTGATCACGATATAACACGGTGTTTGTTTCATTCGTACCCGCTGTACTACTGGTAGGCGTTCAGATCAGCTTTCATGTCGACGACTTGCGACGCTTTGAAAGTTCGATGACCGATGGGTCGCGTGACCAGCATTGCCATCCCAACAAAAACAACCAATCAGATCAAGAATAAATTTCCGATGATTCCCCTCAGAACTATAAAAGGAGCAACTCTCGCATTTCCCCCTTCTTCCTTGTCCTCTGCGACGTTGACACAAATCAAATGACCCTTTCGCCTTTTACTAAAGAGTCCTGTGTGTGAGCGTCATCACGCAGAGTTGTCCAATTTTTTGCCACCCTTCGTCTCTCAAGAGATGCACAATTTCAAGATAAAGGAAGAAAAACGGATGCAGGAAAATGACGGTGATGAGAAACATGCAAAACATTGAGCCTGCGGGATTATAGCGGGTGCAATATGATGTTGTTTTATTTAAGTCTCTGAGTCATTTTGCTGGGTGTTTGCTGGTTACGGCGGCCACGGCGACGACCACGGCGGGGGTCACGGCGGCTGTTGTGATGGTGGGCGTTGTAACAGCCTCAACGACGATGACGGCGGAGTGGGCCTTGTTTTGAATTAAAAAACAGCGCAGCAAATGCACTCTTCACGGCTGCAGACGTCAACGCTACAAAACGATTTTACGTATCTCTTCGCATGGCATTTTTAAGATCTAACACATGATAATTCACCTGAATGCAAAACCCATGTCAACAACAACAACAACCTTTGCATCCACACAAGTTGCACTTGCCACCAACCTTTTTCAATCTGTCCAATAAAGACCCACTTTTTTCCTTTACAGCCCCTCCAGACTCTCCATCTTCCTCCCCTTCCTCATACAATGTTGGCAGCACATTGGCATTGCTCCGACTCTGGGCCATCGCTACCCTTCGGGATGGATGCTTGCGTACATCACGCACTGGTGTGCCACGGGTTTTAGGTGTCGGAGACGGTTCAGGAGTGGGCGTGGGAGGTCGTGAAGGTGCTGGAGCTGATGCCAAGGAAGGAGATTGGTCAGATAGAGATGATTCAAGAGTGGGTGTGGGAGGTCGTGAAGATGGTGGTGGTGCTGATGATGCCAAAGACGGCGACTGAGACGTCTCTGATAGAGTCGGTTCCAGCACCACTTTGTCACCATCATCCCGCATGGCTCTCATCAGACATTTGACCATCTCCATGTATTCTCTTCTCTTTCCATCCATGACCCTTTTATCGACTGCTGCCGGAGTGCTTGCGGCAGTCTTTTCTAGTGCCGCCAACTCGGACTTGGATCGCTGAAGAGATTGAAGGATTTTCTCAACGGCGGGTGTTGCTGTTAATGGTGTGGGATTGGGGGCATTGACTCCTATTACGGTTGACTGCGAGGACTTTGTAGACGACGATGACGACGACGATCTCGTCGAGTCTGGTATGGGAACGGGATGTTTGGATGGAGCGCTAGCAGGTTGCGGGGGAGATGGCTTAACGGCGTTTGGTATCGATGGCTGTGTGGTACTGACTGCGTTTGGGATCCTTGTTTCCTCATTATCTATGACCCGCGAAGCACCTCCCCTCTTTAAATTAACAATCTCCCTTACAAACTTTTGGTTTTCAACCTTCATATCCGTCAGCACGTCCTGAATTAGTCCAAAGTACGCCTTAAAACGCCCGATAGCCAATGTAAGGACGGTAAGGGCCCGCTCCGCCCGGCGCTGAATATCGGTCGCTTCGTCAAAGTCACCGGATTCAGAGGGAGCTGGAGAGCATTGAATTCGGAGTGCCTCATCGGATAACGCAGAGTCCATGGAGTAGGGTGGTAGTCTCGACGTAATCGATGGGTTCAACTCGCTGATCAGTCGCTGCATTCTGCCCAATAACCCCATTGTCGCATCTGTTTCGTGCTCATCAGGTTTGATGTCGTGAATTCCGACTCGTTCCCCCGACACACATCGTTTTCCAAGGAGAATGACAACAAGTTTTCGGATCAGTTTGACGTCTTCCATTCTTTGACTCAATATGATGCGTTCTCTGGCTCGTACAGCACGGATCTCACCCGCCATGTCCGTGCGTTCCATATTTACTCTCTGGACGTTTGCCTCAGCCTCGGTGATTCGGTGGTTGGCTGCAAGCAGATCATCCTCGCGCTCATCCAATCGCCTCTGCAGTGAGCCATATGACGTCTGCAAGGATGCCAACGAGTTTTTCAGGCTGTGAATTCGTTGTTTAGCGGCATACAGTAAACGACTTAATAAAGCACTATCCAGGTCTACATCCACTTCCTGAGCATCAAATATGGTTGATAACCGCAAAGTGGATCGTCGACGGCTTTGTTTCTGCGATGATGGTACGGGTGCAGAGCTCTCCAATTGGAATTGGTTTAACAGAGCTTCCAAAGTGACGAATCCTGTGCCCGGTCCCGACGGCAATCGGTTTCCGGCATCATCAATCGGACGAATTGTTGTTGCCAGCGTGTTGAGGTCACGTTCCGAAGTACCGGCTGCGGCCGCAGCTGCCTTTCCACCGTTTTCCCAGAGCAAATCGCGCTCCTTGCCAGTACGCTTCAGCTGATCGTCTATCTCGCTCCGCTCGCGACGCAACCGACATAACTCTGCCACGAGTAGTTGCTCATCTTTATGCAACTCTCCCAAACATGTCTGAATGGTTCGTTGTGTTACATTAGTCTCCAATATCGCTGCATCGCGTTTGTGATGGACTTGCTGCAAGGATGATTCTGCTTCTTGGATATCGGCTGCTACCGCTTCGGCATTGGCACGCAGAATGTCCAAATGCAGATCAATTTCCGCCAGTCGCACATGGATAGGCCGTGGATCAAGCTCTGATGTTGTCTTGCTATCTAGAGTATCCAATCCCGTCGATTCTAATCTTTCCCCGGGCAAGGGAGTTGCGATTACTAAAGGAACCGTTTTGAGACTTTCCAGCTCCAGAATCCGCTGCTGCTGTTGTCCAACCGTTTCAGCCAAGTCTGCCGACATTCGCATCGCTCGTTCATAAGCGAGGTGCATAGCGTTCTGCGACTCTCTGGCCTCTGCTTCCTTCTTTTGCGCATCAGCACACTGTTTTTTCCACATTTTCATATCCAAAACCGCCTGTTCGGACTTTTCTTTTTCCACATTTAAAGCATGCTCAAGTTGCACTAGATGTTCTTGGTATACCGAATCCTTGCGGTCTTGCTCAGCTTGCATGTCGCGAATGATGCCTTCCAGCTTTAAATTTCGATCCTCGTAGGCGGTGAGGACATCAAAGAAGGCTTGCTGCGCGGTGGCTCTGCTTTGCATAGAAGCAGGTTCTTCGCCTTCCCGGCATTCATTAGTCTGTGCACCGGTTAATGGCGCCACGAGCTGGTTGAGTTGTGGTATCGTCAGTTTTTCGTCTCGGTCATCTTCTACTGCATTGAGATGTAGACTTGACATGGACGACGATTGTGATATTCCCGATTGATCACGGTTAAGCGGTTGATCTACCAGTGCATTTAAACCTTCGTTGCTACTGTAAGCAGAATCGGATGATTTAAGCATTGGAGTCGTGATCTTGTCCTCGTCATCCACTGGAGCAGGCGTAGTTGTTGAGGGAGGGACAGCAAAATGGACATGTTTCTGAGGTAGGTCGTCAGGCCTTTGCGATTTATCTGATGACGTTGTGGTAGAAGCATTTGTACCAGACGATAAGTGCGAGTTTTGTGCTACAGAAGCCTGTGCTAACAGCTCCCGCATCGAACCCCGGCGGCATAGATCCACCGGTCGTCGTCCTCTCTTGTTTGTCACAGTTGGATCCGCATGACCGTCTTGAAGGAGAATCTTGACTAGTTCTTCATCACCGGTTTTACACGCAAAATGAAGCGGTCTATTTCCATCTGAATCGGGAACATCTACATTGGCACCGGAAGAAACAAGAAATCGGACCATGGCTCGGACGGATTCTACAAGCGTCTGTAGCTTATCTGCCCCAGTCTCATTTGTAGCCGAGGGGCCGGGGTGGGGATATGGATCCCGCACTACGTAGTGTAAAGGAGTCTTTCCACTTCGCTGGTTGGCGGTGTTCACTTCACCCCCAATAGCAACGAGGATACGCACGATCGTTTCGCTTTCCGGATGTTTGAATGGACGTGAACGCACGGCATATTGGAGCGGTGTTAACCCCGTAGTTGGGTCTACCTGATTGATCTGATCCTCAGAGCAAGTTTGGAGCACCAGTTGCAAGGCATGCAAGTCTTGCTGCTTGATGGCAGCGACGAGATTATAGTGATTGGGCGGAAATTGTGGTGATGCGCCTGGCGTCATTTGATATGGGGTGTTGGAGCCGCTGGTGGAGCCGTCCGCGGGCTTCCGTAAGGCATGATAGGACAACAGCGATGAAGGCAAGTTTGGGTATTTTGCATTGAGATCTGCCAAAAGTGGTTTGGGAAGTACGCTCTTTTATTTTGACTTGTTGTTAATGATTGCCCTTGTCGCCAAGGTGATGTAGGTACACTCACAGTAGCATCCATGCGCCGAGAACGAGCATCTTCAAGGCATCTTGTTATCTCTGGATACGCGCGAGAATACCGTATCGCTGTCCATCCATTTGCATCTTCTAATTCTGTGTTTGCATCGAATGCTAAAAGATGTCTTACGACGTCCATGTGGCCATCACGAGCTAGGAAATTGAAGCAATAAGCACGCCGATGCTTCCTCTCGCTATCGCCACCAGTCAAAGAATAACGCTTTACCAGCATACATCAGCGCTGTCGCTCCTGTACATGTACGATATCTCAGAATAGATCCTTCATACGGAAAACAAGATGAAATCGTACCATTCTTATCTCTGGCATTAACAGCGGCACCTTCCTCCAATAGAACTCTCACTTGCTCAGACTTTCCGAGGTACGCAGCAAGACACAGTAACGTTATTCCACGCAAAAGTGGTCCCTCTTGAGGCTGATTAACAACTTGATCAAAAATCTCCTTTGAGTTACTCTCAGATGCCAAATGCCGTAGAATCAACTGAGCTATGGTAATGTGTTCTGTGCGGCATTGCGTGACGGATTTGAAGTTTTGGGCAGTTATCTCAAGAGTGTCGATCGACCCATATATGGCGCATGCCAAAGCTGACCTATATATCATTGGCAAAAAGGTGGTCGATTAGAGGCCATTCGGATGGAATAGCGCGTGGGGGTCTTCACTATAATGCGCAGCAAATTGTAAACGACGAGTTACTCTAAACCTGTAACTCACCTGCTTCGCCCATCTTTGCCCTGAGGTTGTGCACCAGCTTCCAGTAGTATTTTGACAATTTCCACATTGCCAGCGATCACGGCCAGATTGAGCGGTAGTGCATCATAGACGTGTTTCCCGTCCGGCAGATCGCGTGCAAGGAATGGAGACATGTCGCTGACATCGGTTGGTGGAATCCATGTTCCTTTGAGGGCATCCCATCGAACAACGCCGTTGGGCATCCACCCTGCCACCAGGCAAGCTCGCGCAGTGTCCACATCATTTTGAAAGGCTGCAATTGCTAAATTCATTTCCAAGCCTTCCTAAATGCAATACATGGACCAGCTAGGTCGAAGAAGCGACCGCCAGTTGGCGGTGTTTGTCTTGTCTTCTCCCTGCGCCCACCTTAAAGTGACGAGCGAGATATCACTGGAGGTGTCAAAGTGTTCCACTGTAAAAAGATAAAGAATATTGGATGGAGACATCACGTAATATCTAGTTTGTTTAAAAGGTTTCAGGGATGATTGTTGACGGCAGCTTGGAACTTTCTCCGCTCCCACCACCTTTTTGGTTTCGGGGGGGGGGGGGGGGGGGGGGGGGGGTATGGAGGTAGGGGGTTTGAACGTAAAAAGGCTGGGGGTGTGCAAAGTGAGCTCACTCGAGCGGGATTGACGCGTAAGCTTCAATTGAAGGGGGGGCGGATTTCCCTCCATTTCGTTTGATGCCCAGATTGGGTCTGGTCAACGTCTTTGGATATTGGCACAAAAGGACGATGAGCTCCTTTTCAGATGGTAAAGGAGCATTAAGATGAACATCCCTGCAGGGTTTGGGCATGGCTGCACCCGCGAAAGTGGTAACATTTGCTGTCAATCCAGCCATCCGAGTGAGCATCATCGAGGTTAGTTATACGCAGCAGCCTTATGCGCAGCGAGGACCATTTGTAATCATGTGGAATCGGCAGGCGGAAAACATGACATGTATGCATTGAAGAACATCATAATTCAGTTCAGTTTTGCGCTCATCTCGACACTGATGAAGCCAAATATTGAATGGTAAACATGTACCCAGACGATCTGACAACACAATGAGTCGTAGTCCACAATGAGCAGTAGTCCATAGCCAATCTTACGCCGTCAAAGCATCTACGTTGGGCCAGGCGGAGAAGGTTCTCGGGGACAAAAAGGGGAAAGTCCAATAGTCCAATACACGCGCGTCTGAACGAGTCGGACAAAGACACGATATTGGCCAGCGTCTGTGCGCAGCAGCAGCAAGTCATTCGCCCCCCATCCATCCGCCCAACTTTCAAGAATCCATCCATCCATCCTTCCGTCTTTCCATCCATCCATCGCTTACCATGAACGGAATGAACGCCGTATACGCTACTGATGAATACGGGAGACCCGTCATCATCCTGCGTGAGCAGGGCAAGAAATCGCGCATTCGAGGGATTGAAGCCCAAAAGGTGTGATGTGGATCCAGATCAAGTCCATTGTAGCTCGCGTTTAGACGTGACATTGGGAAGCATTTGAGTTGGTTGATAAGATTGGGGGGAGAGGAACTCGTTGGTCAAAGATGGGGTTGGCAGCAAGCCATGGGTGGTTTGGACTAGATGATCTAGAACGCGAAAGCGGGATTGTAGGGCTCTGCGCCCCATTTTGGTTTGCCTTCGTAGACGCTTTACTGCACGTTTCATTTGTGGGAGCGACGGGGGTTTGGCCAATATCCGGGAGCGCATGACGGAACTCGATTGAGATGACTCTATTTGGAGCTGCGACAGCCTGAAAGCAATGTAATAACTCATCTACTTTCTTTATTCGCAGTCGCACATTCTTGCCGCTCGCACAGTCGCAAATATTATCAAGACGTCGTTGGGTCCCCGTGGTGAGTGTAAGGGATTTGGCAGTAATGTTGCAAGCGATTTGCTGAATTTGCGCATGCCGTAGGACTTGATAAGATTCTCATCTCTCCCGACGGTGACATTACAATCACAAATGACGGTGCAACCATCTTGAGTCAAATGGAGGTGGAGCATCAAATCGCTAAACTACTAGTGCAATTATCAAAGAGTCAGGACGACGAGATTGGAGATGGAACGACTGGTGTTGTTGGTGTGTGGCGAATGTGATTGAAGGGCAAACCATAACCACGGTACTGATTGAACTTCCTTCAGTGCTTGCCGGTGCTTTGCTGGAACAGGCGGAGGAGCTTCTTAACAAGGGCATTCATCCTATTCGAATTTCGGATGGTTTTGAGAGGGCTTGTCAAGTTGCTGTTGGGGAATTGGAAAAGATCGCCGACGAAATCCCTGTTGGAAAGGAGAACACGGACATCTTGCTGCGAACGGCGAAAACATGTCTGGGCTCGAAAATGTGGGTACTGAATGCCTTCAGAGGGCCTGATTTGAAATGTTAACGCTTTCGCCAACTCCATCAGCGTTTCAAAATGTCACGACCAATTTGCGCAGATGGCAGTGGATGCTGTTCTTTCGGTAGCGGATTTGGACAGAAAGGATGTGGATTTTGAATTGATTAAGGTGGATGGAAAGGTTGGAGGATCCCTGCAGGACTCGAAACTTGTTTACGGAGTTGTTGTCGACAAAGACATCTCGCATCCTCAAATGCCAAAAGAGATTCGAGACGCCCGACTAGCAATCTTGACCTGCCCCTTTGAGCCCCCAAAGCCAAAAACCAAGCACAAGCTTGACATCACATCTGTGGAAGAATACCAAAAATTGCAGCAGTACGAAAAGGACAAGTTTGCAGAGATGATTAAACAAGTGAAGGACTGTGGCGCGAATCTCGTTATCTGCCAATGGGGATTCGATGATGAGGCCAACCACCTGCTTTTGCAAAATCAGCTGCCCGCTGTTCGATGGGTTGGAGGACCGGAAATCGAGGTACCCACTTGTGCCTTCGCGTATTCTCAACTATAAACTCTAACTGAAAGCGACTATCCACAGCTTATTGCCATTGCTACCAATGGACGCATCGTTCCCCGCTTCGAAGAGCTGTCTCCAGAAAAGTTGGGTAAGGCGGGTATCGTACGGGAACTGTCCTTTGGTACAACCAAGGATCGCATGCTCGTGATTGAAGAATGCGCAAACACGCGTGCCGTGACTGTGTTTGTGCGTGGAGGAAACAAAATGGTAGATTCTGGTTCGTTATCGTGACATGTTCAGCAGGCCCTCATATATTTTCCCGCTCAAGATTATTGACGAGGCAAAGCGAAGTTTGCATGATGCAATTTGCGTCGTACGGAACCTGGTGCGAGACAATCGCATTGTGTACGGAGGTGGTGCTGCGGAGATTGCCTGCTCATTGGCGGTGTCTACAGCAGCGGATGAGGTAAGAATGCAGCATAACATCTTTGTTATTGGTGTGGCAACTGTATAAAGTTGATTTTTTTGTCAGGTATCCAGCATTGAGCAGTACGCAATGCGCGGATTTGCTTCTGCTTTGGATGCTATCCCACTCGCTTTGGCGGAAAACTCTGGTCTGTCCCCCATCGAGACTCTGGCGGAAGTGAAATCTAGGCATGCTACAGAGGCCAACTCCCGCTTGGGCATCGACTGCAACTTGAAGGGCTCGAACGGTGAGTATTGAATTGATTTGAGAGTTATGTGCATTCAATGCTTGCTGAGCCAGTTACAATATTTCAGATATGCGCGAGCAGCACGTTTTTGACCCGCTTATTTCCAAGCGCTCTCAGTTCTACTTGGCGACTCAGCTGGTGAAGATGATTCTCAAGATTGATGATGTATGTATAGCTTGTCTTGTTGCAAGTCTTTGCTACCGATATTAATACCCTGGTTCTTTCAGGTCATCATGCCCGGTGAAGCCAGCCAAGAATAGAATTATATTATGTAGCGATATCGACCTCTCATCTACACCTTTGTAGTTGAGAGTTGCCTTTTTTGTTGTACAAAAGAAAGCTTGTTCTTGTTGTGATGCCCGCGCAATGTGAATACCGTTGAAATAATAGGGTTTAAAATGGAATGTTATCCACCGAGTTCTCGTTTGTCTTTATTTTATTATTCGGGATGTCTCAGCGACCAAGTGGGAAAAACGCTGGCTGGGTGAGCAAAATGTTGGGGTGTCCGGATTTGAACCGCGCGTTTGTCCAGATTGGACAAAAGGACTAGGTCGAGATCAGGTTTTTGCATTCGCCAACTCTGAACTCCTTGTTACCCAATGACTCTAGCATTCCAAGAAGGCGATCAGATTCTGTGTTTTCACGGACCTCTTTTGTATGAGGCCAAGGTATGCTGTCCTACTTATGCGTTGGCACACTGCATTGGTCCAACTTACTTTATTTTACAGGTGCTAAAGGCCGAAAACTGGGTGGGCAAAGAGGGACAGGAGGATGGCCAGTATTATTTTGTGCACTACAAGGGATGGAAGCAAACGTGGGTCTTATCAGCCATCGCTTGCGGCCAGACTTGATAGCTCATTGCTTTGTAAAAACAGATGGGATGAATGGGTCCCAGAGTCACGCGTGCTAAAGTATTCAGAAGATAACCTCAAAAAACAAGCCGACCTTAAAGAATCCCTAAAATCCAAAAAAGCAAAGGAAAGCAAAAGACAGCAGGAAAAGGAGGGGGACAAGAACCGGAAGCGGCCACGGGAATCGACTGCGGAGCGGGAAGAAGAGTTTCTGAGGCGGCCAGAGATCAAAATATCGATACCAGAGTCGTTAAAGAGTCAGCTTATTGAGGACTGGGAGAATGTGACAAAGAGTCAAAAGGTGAACATTCACGCTAGGACCCCGGAAACGGTGCTTTGAGTAGATGCTAATGTGCCGGCATCTATTGGGCGCGTAGTTGGTGAGACTTCCGCGTGAAGTCAATGTGGTGGATGTCCTGCAGCGATACCGAGAATCTTTAAAGGAAGGGAAGGGCAAGAAAGGAGCGAAAGAAGGGTATGTCGGAACATGGCCTGGCAATCGTTAGACTGGTTATAGTAACCAGGGAATCTGATGGCAGGGATGATGATATCGTTCAAGAAGTGCTCGATGGAATAGTTTTATACTTTGAGCGCGCCCTTGGCAATCTTCTTTTATATCGCTTTGAGCGACAGCAATATGTGGAAATGAAGAAGAAGTTTCCGGACAAGTCAATGGCCGAGTTATATGGAGCTGAGCATCTTTTGCGCCTATTTGGTGAGTTAAACGGGAGGAAAGTGTCTGCTTTTTTCGATTTATAGAGGTTTATTGTCCATGTTTGCAGTGAATTTCCCCACCCTACTCGCTCATACGAACATGGAACCCGAGGCGGTGGACATGCTGAAAGACCAATTCACACAGATTCTAGAGTATGTCGCTGCGATATTTTGATCCCATGCCTGGCCTTTGACCATTTTGTTTTGCCTCCAGGTGGATGCAAGCGCACCAACAACAGCTATTCCTGGCAGAGTACGATAACGTCAGTCCGACGTATATTGCGCAAATGAAAGCAAGCAGCTAAACCGTGAAAGATTGTATTTCATTTTCATTTTTATAATATGTTCTTAAACCGCGGACACACATACGCCAACTTGTGATTCTGTCTACTTGCGACAAAAGCCCACTATGAAAATGTCGACTAACCATATATACCCATTAAACGCCCCACTGCTATTACCCACAAGTTTTTTTCCCACATCTTCAAGGTGCCATGAGGTCTTTCATCTATTACTAAAACCATGAGGAATAACCCACCCAATGACATCTCTCACAAGCCCTTGCTGAACATCTTTTGCGCAAGGTGGGAGAGAATTTCCGCCTTTCGGTCCTTGCCGAGCTTGGCAAAAGCCTCGTACACGGACACACCTTTCATGTCACGAACTTTTCCCAATTTCTTCCCTGTGTAAGCACCAAAGATTGCACCGGGAATATTGAAGACGATGAAACTATTTCACAGCCGGTAAGTAAGGGACTTACGAGCCAAAACGAAAAGTAGCAATAGTAGACGCACCCCATCATAAAACCAGCTATTCCACCAACAGGCTCCCAGAACCAAATGGGATTGGGAACTTCGGGGACAAGGAGTTCGTCAAAGACGTTTCCGAAAATGGACGAAGCGTCCACATTCTCGTCCATGCCGAACCGCTTGTGTTCACGGCGAGCCCTGTCATAAGCACTGCGACGATCCTTGTCGCTGAGGACAAAGTATGCCTGCGCGATTTGCTGAAACTTTGATGTGGCTTCAGGAGCAGGGTTACGGTCGGGATGCCATTTGAGCTGCAAAAAGCGTGCGGTCAGCCACTCCTCCTTCTAGATGCGCTCCATCACCACCTTAAACTCACCGATTCCTTAATGTACGCCTGACGGATGGCCTCTTCGTTGGCGTCTGGCTTAATGTTTAAAGCCTCATAGTAGTCAAAGTCGGTTGTTTCGGCCATTGTTTCGTAGTCGTTTTTTTGTTAAACTTGCAGATGAGAAATGCTTGCTTCTACTTGAACCGTTCTTCCCCAAAAGCCCCGCTTGCGATGATCAAAACTCAATTTGACCGTTTTAGGAAATTTGGAAATGACGCGGCCTTTCGCCTCCTTCTGGGATTTGATTCGTAGCAAGTCGTTTAAAAACAATCTGATCGCCTTTGTTTTTTTGAATCATCTTCTTTTTGGTGCATATCGCGGGCTACTGACCTTTTTGTGTGGTTTGACCTTTTGATTCCACTACCTGCAAAAGGGTCCACTCCCCACTTTTTGAAAATGGCCAAAGGTACGCGGGAACTTGCGCGGTTTATCTCGCTGTGGTGCTTGCTAAATGCTTTTGGTGATTCTTGTATGGAAATGCGTGCGTACCGTCACATATTCTAATACGATACACACACGCTCTCTCTCTCCATCTTGCTCTACCTCGCTGCTCAAATTGACTTGACGCGCATCCATCACGACCGATTACCACATCTAGTACCTCGTAATTTTCGGCTCCTCGAGGAGTTGGAAAAGGGTGAAAAGGGTATTGGTGACGGAACGATCAGTTATGGTCTCGCTGATGGAGAGGATACTATGATGTCAAACTGGAATGGGACAATCATTGGGCCTGGGCATGTGCGTTCTCTAGGGAGCCAAACACTTGCCGAAAAAAAGGATGCAAGCTAATTCCTTTCTGCGATGGTCATAATCTAGACGGTACACGAGAACCGCATCTACAGTCTTAGGATCTTCTGCGGTCCCGAATACCCTGACCGTCCCCCCACCGTTTCGTTTGTTTCCCGTATCAATCTGCCGTGGGTCAACCAGCAAAATGGCAAGGTGAGTTGGCACACGAAAATTCTATGCGACATTATTGAGGGGTTTCATTATTGATCAACGAAAATATCATATTGGTAGGTCGAGCGATTGGGGTGTTTAGATAGCTGGAAGAGGCATTATACAATAGAAACTGTGCTCGCCGAGTTGCGACGGTAAGGGTCTTGTCAGGTTATCTCTTTATCATTTGCAAGCGATTCATTTACGCTTCGGGTCTTTTAGCGAGATGGCGAATCCTGCGCACAAGAAGCTGTCGCAGCCTCCCGAAGGATCTACTTTTTAAGATGACTCTAAACTTTTGCATGGGATCAGTTACGATACTTTGAACGATCTGATATGGACGCTGCAGAACGTGGATGGAACGTGTGTGTGGAGAATGACCAAATAGCCCAAAGACTGCCAACGACTCGACGGAAGGCAGACGTTGCGTTAGACTCGAAGAGTGCTGCGCTTCACGTGATATGTTACTATGGCAATAGAAATGCTGATGTCAGCCATCACTGTAAAAGTCGCCAAAGCTTTGGTTTTGCAGCTTCCGTTTTTGCTCCAGTGCCATTTGCACCCAATGTCTGGCTTGCCATTTCCACCCTCCGCTACCGCCCAAATCTGCATTTTTACGTTGACATTGCGGTTTACAATAGCTTCATACAGCCTGCGTTATGAATAGGTTTGCTCGGCCACGGGGCATCTATATATTTCCTAATCTCACTCTTGACCTTGCATCCGCGACTGTGCGAGGCTCGCGACCGACAGTTCTTATCCTTTCATTCGCCAACTGCAAGAGTTTTACCAGTGCAATGAGCAGATATCATCGTCGCCACCCTTCGTCAAAGCGGCCGGACGGACCCCTTTCAAACCGGGACTCACCACGCCATTCCCAACCTACCTCCTCGGTCACTCGACCTCCGACGCGGCATGCGTCGTCCCCTGCGTTTGCCTCCCTACCTCAGTTTCCAACTAGTAGTGGCTCTTCAGCTGAACCCGCGGATATGACTGGTGATCTTCGCATTGTGCAGAAATACTTTAGTTCCTTGCGAACAGCAGCAGACTTTCAGTTTGAGGAACACCGTACACCTCAATCCGTCCGCGGTGGTGGAGTACAGCAATATTTTATTGCCCACCTTGAAGTCCCCACTCCGACAGGATCGCCGTTCGTCGTGACGGCAGAAGGAACGAACAAAAAGACCGCCCGTCAAAACCTATTGCGTTTGGTAAGGGATCAGATAGAGCGGGAGGGTTGGCTGGCTGCTGCCGAAGGAGCGAAAAGACCTAGGCGAGATGGATCACATCAGCATAGTGCGAGATCACGCGCACCACCAGGACCCCGACAGCGGCAACCGCCACCAGACACTTGGGAACGCATGCCCGTCAAACCTATTCCAACTCAACCCATTGCGCCGCTAAGTTTTCTGCGGGATAGCCGAGCACCAGTGAAATCCGCCTGGGATGACGACGAAGACCAGGTCAGTTGGGCAAGTCGTCCTGCCATTACACCACCACGCGGTACAACGCAGCCTTCCGCGTCATGGGGACGTTCTACATGGGACGATGACAGCCCAAGCTACCGGCCCAATACTTCATATCAGCAACAGCGATTGCACCGCCCGGAGCCCGTCTCTAGTCCGCACGATGGGCCATTATCGCATTTCTATGGATTGCGTGAGGATGAATGGACTCATTTGCATGGCGAGACATGGGGCCATTTGGAAGCACCGAACGTGAGAGGAAGTCGAGCGGGATCGTCAAGTTGGCGATCAGGATCTTCCACCCACGACTATCGGCAAGCGCCGAGCAGTGACTATTTTAGCCGCTCATCCATGCAGCAGCAACCACAATATCAGCAGCATCATGTACATCGAGCGGAACCGGAATACCTTCGTCCGCCATCTCCCAAAGCAAAGTTACCGGATGACGTGGATGACGCCGAAAAAAAGCTGATCGCATTTTATTGCAATGGCAACAAGCTGACTGTCCCCAAGCCTGTATTGCGGCATATTCCTCAAAAAAGGCACGAGCAGGGTCGTTGGGAAGTTCGCCTTCGTCTAGCAGCTCATGTATTTGAAGGTCGAGATGTACAACCAATAACAGCAGTTGGTCATGGGAAAAGTAAAAAGATAGCCACTGTCAAAGCATGGAACCATCTTTGCGCCCACTTGCTTGCCATTGTGTCGCAGGAATACATCGATGCTTTCAGATTGCTGTCGATTCCGTTGAAGAAGCGCTTGCAGACCCTTCTTGCTCAGCCCATTCGAGTGGAACTCACCGAGTCGACGCTTACCCGATTAGATAACATGTTATCTCAGTTGAAAGACGTAAATGCATTTCAGTTTGAGGAGCACCTTGTCGATAGCGGTGCTGTCGAAGCGTCGCTTGGCTTCGGGAACCAACCTGGACTTTCTGTACAGCCGCCATACAGGGATTTCCGAGGATCAACCCGAAGGTTTCGCCCTATGGACATTCCTATTCCCCGTGAACTCAAAAACAACGAGCTCCCGATCTTCACTCAGTATCGCGAGATCATTTGCGCAATTGAGAATAATCCAGTGACGATCCTATCTGCTGAAACCGGTGCGGGTAAGACGACGCAGCTACCTCAGTTTATCCTCGCCCACTTCAAGCAACAGCGCGCTATGGCCAGTATGGAAGAATCGCCTACACCTGCGAATATTGTCGTGACTCAACCGAGGCGGATTGCTGCAATATCAGTTGCGCAACGGGTGGCGTACGAACGTGGGGAGGTCCTCGGGCGGGAGAGCGCTATAGGTTATCAGGTGCGGTTCGACAACAAGAGACCAACCGCCGACCCTAGAGACGGGCATATCGGTAAGTGTGAGGGCGTGAAGGTTGCATGCTATTTTCTACACTAAATGCCGCATTATCATGTAGTTTTCTGCACATCGGGGATTTTACTCAAGCGTCTTCAGGAAGACCCGCAGCTGAAGAATGTCACACATATTATTTTGGATGAAGTCCATGAACGTGACTTGAATACTGATCTGCTTTTGATCATTGTCCGTCAACTCCTCCAAAAGAGGCCAGATATCCGCGTCATTCTAATGTCAGCCACAGCAGAGACACAACTCTTTCAGGACTATTTCATTGGCTTCGGAACCGAAGGCCCTCAAAATGCACCGCCAATTATTAGCGTCCCTGGCCGGATGTTCCCGGTCGAGCAGTACTTTCTGGAAGACGTTGAAGTATTGCTGCGTGACTCCCGTGCACTGCCCGTACCATTTCGGCCAAGCAAAGAGTCACTGCACTGGGTTTCAAATGAGACCGGGCCGCTGATTCCTCCTCGAGGGGAAGATCCGATGCCGTATGACTATTTCGAAGCACTGATAGCGCATATCTGCACCACGCGGGACGATGGTGCGATTCTGTGCTTCCTGCCTGGATGGCAAGAGATTGATGTCCTTATGCAACGGCTGAAGGACGAGGACAACTTTCGTGTTGGATTTGCTGATGAGTCAAGGTTCAAGATCTTCCCTCTTCATTCGTCCATCCCAACCAGTGCACAGCAGTTGATTTTTGAAACGCCACCTGAAGGTGTGAGGAAGATCATTTTATCTACCAATATCGCCGAAACAAGTGTTACGGTGGGTAGACTGCTGTTTGGATTGAGGCCCTTTCACTCTTAGTAACGAGGTTTCTTCATCAGATCAATGATGTTGTGTATGTTATTGATTCTGGAAAAATTCGTATCAATTCATACGATGCAGATCGACGAATTTCATCTTTAAGTTCAGTCTGGGCTAGTCTGTCCAATTTACGCCAGGTGAGCTTTGCAGGCAACGCCTATTCGAAAGTGACACTCACTCATGCGAGCAATCCTTAGCGTTCGGGTCGTGCGGGTCGATGTCGACCTGGAATGTACTTTTCGGTGTTATCACACCGACGGAAAGCGAAGCTCTCCTATTCTATGCCACCTGAGCTTCTTCGAGTAGACTTGCAATCAACTGTGCTGAAAGTGAAGGCTCTCAGACTAGCAAGACACTGTGCAGACGTGTTCTCACACGCACCCCAACCACCGTCCCCTGTCAACGTTTCAAGAGCATTGCAGGAGCTCCGAACGCTAGGTGCAATTAATGAAGAGGAAAATTTGACCACGCTTGGGCACGTTCTGTCCAAAATGCCAGTAGATCCATGGATTGGAAAGATGGTGATTGAAGCTGCTATGCTGGGATGTCTTGATCCGATCTTGACCATCGCTGGTGGTATGGAAATTGGACGAGGTATCTTTTCCATCCACCCCGAAGAGAAAGAGAAAGGTCGAGCCCATATTTTATCAAAATTTGCTGTCGGAACGGAGAGTGACCATTTGACCATGTTGAATGCGTTCCGTATGTGGAAGGAAGTCGCAGATACCTATGGTGGATCTCACCGGTCCTTCATACCCCAAGCGAAGGATTTCGCGCGTGCCAATTTTCTGCACTACAATAGTATGGCTAATATCGAGAGGGCACGACAACAATTGCTCCGGAACCTCGAAGATGCGGGCCTAGTGGACAAGCGGAGCCGGTTTCGCACCGACTTTGATCGTAACTCTACGGATGACGAGATGGGCGGTGGTGATTATAACACGTTTGCAAGTAACACGTCAATGGTTCGCGCGATCCTTTGCGGTGCCCTCTATCCGAATGTGGCGGAGGTTGCAGGCAAAGATGAGTACTATTCCCGTACCGACTCAAAACTCAGATTAACGGGGAGCAGCGTGAACAGTTGGAAAGGCGTTGTAAATTCGGCTGGCCAGGCTGCCAGAGGGCAAGGCGGTGTGAACAGCGGACGAGGAACACCTGCCGGATCGGCCGCAACCTCGGATGTGTTCGATTATGACAATATTCCAGATGACGATGATGATTCTACCTTGGATGATATTTCCAACTCTGCTACAGTTCCCCCTCTTCCGCCACGATTGCTTTCCTTCCAAGAGAAGCAACGCGTTGACATGGGACTGTACCTACGAAATACCACTCGGGCCGATCCTATTGCCCTCATCTTGTTCGCTGACCCTGGTAGTGTGAAACCTGCAACCGCGGGTGCAGCGGGCTTCCTTATTGATGCCTGGATTCGCGTTAACGTATCCTCTGTACATGAGATGCGAGTATTAATTGAGTTGAAAGAATGGCTACATAAGTATTTGAAGTGGGCGATATGGGCTCGGCAACAGAGTCGACACCGGTATGGTCGACGTGAGGAGCAAGTGATCAGAGCCAATTGGAACACTCTTGGTAAAATGCTTGTTCGAGAACTCGCGAGTGTCGTAGAATTTGGATCGAGCGAGCCTCGGGTTTAGGACAAATTGACTGGCACGATAATCCTTTCACTTTTTGTAAATTTACTTTTTAGATGCATTATAATTTTATCATTGGCTTCTGATCGGATATAGGTTTTTGTTTTCAAATAACATACGCTACTGCTTCGACTGCGCAGAACCTTGACGTCTCCTCTTTTTCTTTTTTCTTGTTAACTGTTTTCATACCATTTTGCGCTAGATCAATGCCTTTTCAAAATCCCTAAAGAGTGGGTACTTCGATCGGGAACTGCGTCGTTTGCTGTGCCGTCTTTTGTTTGTACCAGCGATAAACGTGAAGAAAGTTAGCATTCGCAACGATTGGTGGAATCTGTCTAGCTTTATGTTACGAGGGAAACAGCATTCGTAAAGGCAACAATCGATCTTATGCATCCGCCACGAACAGTTTAACATGAAAGGTTGGCTATATATGCCAGCAGCACATGGAGCAAATGGTTCATCTTTCTTTGTCAGCGCTTCCACCGAACCGCACCAGCGATAAAAAACAAAACTTAACCAAGGGCTACTAATCAGTGAATATTAAGATAGATACCAGAATAGAAAGCATATGCCAGAAAACAATGTACACGTCAGTTTCTGATCATGCCGCTAGGGGAGTGTGGTAGGTCAGTTCTTTGTTGATTCAACCAGTTGTGCGCAGTTATCAACCCTATGCCAAACTTGCCACCGTTAACACAGGCATCGTTAGTGCCGTTGTACACTTCTTCCCAGCCCCTTGTCCACCTGTCTTTTCATCTCATTTTGGTCACTCGTTACTATTCTTGTCATGGGTTAGTGCTCATTCCACACGCCATGGACGCTTCTACATTTCAGAAAGTGAAAGAGAATCGACCATTTGAAGGCCTGCAGCGCATATGGCAATGGCGATTGCACCGTAAGACTAGTTTTGTGATCCAAGCAGTACGTCCCTCGAACGTCTTCTTCTTTAGCCATGGTAGGTACAGTATGACAAAACTTGTCCAATCTATTGTATTCGGGAGCTGGACAGTAGTCTCTTTGCTTGACAGCTCAGAGTTTAATCCTCATCATGAAGGATGGTTCGCTTGAGTGACCGTAGGAAGAAGGAAGGATTCTTTAATGTTTTCCCAATCAAAACTGTTGTGTGCTATTCGGATTCGAGTCTGATCCACTTGATAAATGGGTAGACTTGCAGATGTTTCTATGAAAGTTAAGTCTGATGTGTTGAAGATAACTCTCAAACTAGTAGATGAGCTTGCAGAAAAGGTTAGTTACTGCGACGGTTGCTACCTCTCCGTTGAAGTTGGTGTGCTGCAGATGCAAAGGCCCTTGCGATTGAGAATTCACGAGAAAACACTGAAGTAGCTACTCATCGAGAGACTTCACGTCGCGCTCAGTTGTGGGATTGATTGGTAAGTTCTGTCTGGGCTGCACTAGTGCTTTGGCTGCTTGTGTGAGGAATGACTCTGAATAAGCTCCGCTTGAGCTAAACATGCGCTTCGTCGCGGGATATCGCGAATGCTAAGATATAGCGTTAATTCTTTCTTCTGCCTCTCGTACGCAAGCGCTTTCGTGTTCCCGCAACAGACTAAGGGATGGCGTGAAGTCCTTCAGGGTGGTCTGAGGATTCGTTCCATCTCGAGTTGATAATTAGAATCGCTGGGGTAGGGTAGTATAGAGTTCGAAGAACTTGTCGCCCTTCCAGTGTATCGACAAAACAAGTGGATGGTTTATCGGTCGATCTCTGGTTTTGATATGCACACCAGTACTGCGCTATCGAGACGCCTCAGTTTAACTCGAGTTGATGTCATTGAAAGACAAGTCGGATGGCGCAAGGTAGATTGTGTACTGAGGGATTTGAGAGACCGATAACTTTGTTGTATCCTCCGGGGTTAACTTTGGCTGTCTGCAACCGTTTTTGTTCAGACGAGGATAAAGACTTCCAATATCGTTCTATCAAAGAATAACAATGATTCGCAATAACCAAGGCCAAGAGTGCTCATCGGAGGAGATTACCTAAGCATGAGCCAAGCCATCGCACGACGAGACCGTTTTGCCTCGATCTTCATTTGCATTACATTCCTTTCTCTTCATATTTACACGCTTTTCACCATAGCGCATAACCTCTCGCTGCTCTTTTGACTGTCTCTGTACTTAGATACATGGAATGACGTCGCTGATTCTTCCCGTGGCATGTTGGTTGTCAACCCCGTTCTCTTCGAGTTGCACTGTGACGGCGTTGACAACGTGTGATGATGGGAGCACGATTGTGCTGGGAATGGACGGAGGTGTTGGCTGGATTTTTGCAGTAGATGAAGGCAAGGCTCTGGAGGTGCGTGTTTTCAATGTACCACAATACATGTTACAAAAACGCTACACCGGAAATGACCCCACGTCCCCAGTTGAGACCAAAGACACTTCTTTCCGGTCATAAATCCCCCATTACTGCCATAGCCCTCGGAAAGATTGAGGTCGAAGGTGTAGCCAGAAAGGAAAATATCATTCTGACAGCTTCGGAGGATGGTGAAGTTATCATGTGGGATATCGCAGATGGACGCTGTTTGCAGGCGAATCAAGAAGCATTTCCGGGATCTGTGACTGGGATTAAGGTAGGTGGGTACATTTTACGTATGTGTGTTTGTAAGAGATAGAATCAGTGCCTAATGGTCGGAAAATGGTAGATGACGTCTTCGGGAAAGTACGTGATATGTTCGGGCTTCGCAAACGTCGTATCAATCCTTGATGCATCGTCGCTGAGTGTGAGTAAACATCCAAGACAATCTATTCCTGTTATAGATATTGATTTCAGAGATTGTTTGTGGTGACCACAAGACCTTGAGAACCATTTGTACTTACGGTAACTGGGTGGCGTCCATGTGCCTATATCCTACAGGTGAGCTGGTGGAACATTGGCCTGTATGAGGTGCATTGTACTTACGGTCTTGTATGTTCTGATCATTCCAGAAACAAAATACGTTGATAAAATCTTTGCCATAACCCTAAACGGAGATCTGACGGTCTCGACATTCAATGAGCAAGCCATGTTATTTACTCACGAGATCAGACACCGCATCGATGCTAGTACGGGGCTGCCCGAAGCTAAGGTCGAAATCAATCGATACGATAAGAGCCTGCTTATGACTGTGCAGAAGCGGTGCTGTATGGTAGGACGAGGCAGCTTTGGAATTGTTATGATCACACAGAGTCTTAACGGTACGGCTGTCCCGACTGGTAGATATTTGCCGCAAAGTCCGGGAAAGTTTCGCTCACTAGTCAGATACCCTGCGAAGACGGCAAGGGATCATGGAAGGGCGGCAAGTTTCTTTCGGCGGCGACCCTGTTACTCTGGAGTTCAAGTACTGTGTATTTATATTATCTGGGACCTGATGGCGATGTCATTCGAACCAGCGATTTGGCATCTGTTCCGTCTGATGCTGTGGTATTATTTGCGCGAGGAAATCTTGCGTATTATGTACGAAACATGAATACTGGACACTCTCAGGGTAACAGGTGCGTGACCCAACGACCATAACCAGTATTCTGTTACGTGTGGCTGAATCCCTGCTGCTTCAGTGCGGTCACTCTTATCGCCGCTTTTCAGGATACAAAGGATCACATTGATGGCACCTCGATTATTGCCCATGTTCCAGGAAAACAAAATGGACTGCATCACGTCTTGTCCTTTAGACAGGGTGGCGCAATATCTCAATGGACGTTTTTTGCCAGTTTACTCGGAGCTCAGTTGCGGGGAGTGCAATTGGAGATTCTATCCGGGAGTCAAGGACCCGGCGCTGCCTATTTGCCTGATGCTGGTGAGCGAGAGTGGGATTTGGTCGGCATCATTGAAGGCAAAGCTAACCCTTATCACTACCAGATTTCACACTTCAGTCACTATGGCCGTTATCTGAAGATCCAGCACCAAAAGTAGTTTCAGTTGCGTCGGTCTCTAATAAATACATTGCAAAGGGTTATGGTAGGTCTTTAGGTCTTCTGCGGCCGAACACAAGACTTGACTTAAGGCAACTTTGGGATAGAGAATGGTGAAATACGCATCATTCCCGTCCGTTGCGTCTTTAGTGATTCTGCTGGTGACCGTGAAGAAGGGGCATATCTGACGTTGAAAGGGCACATTGGACCAGTGACCTCTATATACGCACCACACCCGCGCGAAAGCGGTGGCCGCAATGTTCTTCTGAGTGGCGGCATGGATTGCACGGTTAAAGTGTGGAACATGGAGTACGTATATCGTTGCTAGCATGCTGGACGGTGCGTGTAGACAACAGCCCTAATGCTTTGATCTAGTGATGGAAAGCTCCTTGCATCGTTCTTGAATCACGCTGAATATGTGCAGGGATTTGTACCCATTCCAAGCGATGCAGGACAGCGATTGAAGTCTTCCATTTTCTCCATATCGAAAGATCGTTCCATAGCCTCAATTGACTTAGAAGATTTGCGATGGTGCGGTCTCGATTGCTACATCCATATGAACCTTAAAACTAATACACCTCTTCGCAGTTGCTACAGATTGACAGGGCATTCCCATGAAATCGACTCGGTGCATTGGCGCACGCTGGACGAGATTCTGGTAGTTGCGTGCGTTGACGGAACTGCGTACATTTGGCAGGTCAGTGAAGTTATTCAACGATATTGAACCTCCCACTGGGTTTAACTCCTGCAAATAGCTTAAAACCGGTCACTTGGACCGAATAATTAGTGGCTCTGATGTCGATGATATTTTGGCTAGCTGCGACGGCCAAGTGAGGTAAATTGATTTTCATTTCAAAAGGATGATATTAATGGTACATCGCCTAATCTTAATCCCTCATCCGTGAAGCTGTAAGAGTTTCGGGCTCGGCTACCAGCATGTAAATATCAAAAAGAGCATTTCCGCATTTCCCATATACACCTCCGAAGATGGTCAGTACCCATCTGTGCACTTAAGTCATGGACGTCGAAGCCGTGGAGATTCGCAGCTGATGTGTCATCATTTATCTTCATCTTCATCAGATGCGCCCCCCTTGCTTGCTTTTCAAATCAATACCAAGAGACTCATCAGTGAAATACACGGTAATCAGGTGTTGACACCTCCTGCGACACCACCGACAAACAGCGCGCTGTCTCGAATCCACTCGCAAACTCAGCATCCGCGCCGTTCGTCATCGTTATACTCTGAGCATGGCAGCATGGACCAGAGCAACATACCATCTCGGCCAGCCTCTCCCAAACCTTCGGCTCAACACTTCTCCCAAAACATTTCTCACAACTTCATGGACATCTTTAAAAGTCGCCCAGGCTCACCATCCTTGCTGTCATCGATTGGCAAGAGTGGTTCGGAGAGAGAAGTCTCCCCCGCGCCCTCTCCCAAGCGAGAGGAGGCCGAAACACCCAGGGACGAAAATACAAAAGAGCCACCTGATATGGAGGCTGTCTATGCATTGTGCGCGGCTCTTATGTCTTGGGGCTTGGATAATGACTTGGACTCTCTGTGTCAAGAGAGGGCCGACTTTGTACGTCCTGGGAAGCATGTTGCCTTTGGGATGCGCGGGTACGTCGTAATAAGAGTGTCACAATACAGCTCGATTTTCACTGTTTTGGAAATTGATGTTCTTGTGCTCTCGCCAGGGCAAATGGCTACCTTTCGATATTTGCACCAGAAAAGAATCCCGCTGCGGACTGGATGATCTCGTCCACTGTCACAGCAGCACGGCTGCTGAACCTACTAGCACTAACGCGACCTGCCCTGAGTGCTCGCGGTAATTTGGGTCCTCCAATCACAGAGCATGCTTCCACGAATTAAATCGCGCATTGTAGGGCTTGAAGATCAATTGTCGACTATCGTCACGCACTACGGCACTACGCTGCCGTCAATTGTTGGACGACAGTTCGCTTTCCCATCATTTTCTTTCTTGGCAAAATATTGGCAGGATCCCATTGGTATATACGTGGTCCATGCTTTGGTGGCAAATACATGTCTTAACTATGTATCATTTAGCGGAGGTGCAGCAAGTGGCGAGAACATTATTCAACTCGACCTTAGCAAAGATGGGCACTGAAGAAAAGGCTGCCGTCATCGAATATTGGAGAGCGCATCGTCAGTTTCTCTGCAATCTATTCTTGGGGCGACTTTGAGATTACTAACTGCGCGGCATGGTAGTTCCTGCCATATCGAAAAAGAATACGAAAATGAACACCCGAGCGGTAATCATACTGGGAATTGTTGGGTCATTGCAGCCGGATGCCCTGAATATGAGGTATGGCGGTAATATTTGATGACAGCAATTAGTGAAGTCCGCTGAAACCTTGATGAAACCTAAGGGCTTGTAAGGATGTGGCAGAATCCCTTGATTTGCTGATCAGGGAGGAATTGAGGAGCGTGTATCGTGTCGCCGCCGTGGAACTTCTGGGCTCTGGCTTCGCGATATGGGAGCCACACATTAACGGCACTTCACTACTCCGCACCCTCATAAATTTCTCTGGTTTGACAACATCGACGCAGTCAGCGAGCGGTGGTGCAGGAAGCCCTACCGCATCACCTAATCCCGCGTTGATTATGGTAGCACGTCAAGCTCTCGTGCAGATAGCTACCATCAACTCAGCATTGTTTATTAGCACACTAACGTTTGATCTCATGCACTCGAAAAGCGCCACTGAGCGGGCAGGAAGCTTGAAGTTGTTGGGCATGTTCATTGCAAAGGTGCATGCATTCGACCAAGGGAAACATCCCAGGTGAATAACTATAATGTTTTTTTACTATACAGAAACCGATCATCCTCTATCCCCACCTCGCTCGAATTGTCGAAGCTATTGTGAAATGTCTCGACCCTAACCAGCCGCAGATACGAGATAGCCTACAGCAAATCGTAACCGTTAACTTTGCCGAGCTCGTCAAAACTTATCCGAACGTGGCGTTCCATCATGCTAGTCAGCGTTTGGCTGTAGGGACAATGGAAGGCATTGCAATTGTGTATGATGTTAGAATTGCCGCCAGGGTACAGATAATGGAGGTGCGTTTGCGCTGCTCAATAACCGTTCACTGAGGATTACGCATCTTCCCAACGCTGTTGACGTTGCAGGGTCATACGAAGCCTGTCGCTGCTGTGTCTTTCTCGCCAGATGGTAAACTGATTGCCACGTTTTCTCTTGAAGAGAACACTGTACGGTTCTGGCAACCTACAGGCGGATTTCTTGGCACGTTAGTAGGTGCTTTAACAACCGGCGGTGCAACCAGCGGAGCAGCCGGTGTGGCAGCCCTTGCTAGTGTCGGCGGTGTGGGGCACATGAAGAGTTTCCGCACATTCACCCTTGGACCACCACCTGACAGTACGTGCCACTAGTAACTTGTGACCTTTTGCTCGCAAAGAGACTGATGTTTCTTTTCTTTGTCAGCAAACACGATTACTCCCTTGGATGTGGTGCAGGGCGTGAAATTTGAATGGAATGGAGAACGAAGGGTCACGTTGAATAGCATAAATGGAGTCCAGTTGGCTTTTACCGTCTAATATCTATCTTCTTGTAATGCAAAGATCGTATGTACATAAATATGGAATCCCGGGCAAGCAGCGTAATAGGGCAACCAAACGCTGAGTGCAACCCGGGCAATATGCAGCTCATGTTACCCACGCTCTTCCCGCTGTTCGGGTCAAACAAATCTGATCGCGGAAGGACCTACTACTCGAAGGACAAAAAGGCTCTGAGCCGGAAAGACTATCCCGCCCATCAAGAGCGCCATCAGAATTGTCGTCAGCACTATCACGTCTTTGGCTCCCCGATAGGTCAGACTGTGATAATGTTAACTCTGAGCTGCATTTGTCCCAAAATCCAACTGCTGGAAAACCGTTCTGAGTCAGCCTTTTGACCGGCCTACGTTGTCCAGGCTTGATATTCCGCCGTAACGGTTCCTGGGTTGTCGAAATTGAGGTTGTAGAAGGCGCAGCTGCTCCGAGAGCTATGGTGAAACGATCCAAGCTGGCAGAACGAGGAGGATGTTGGGAAGATGTCTTTTCATTAAACCACTTGGGAATATCGGATGGCGGGGGCGGTGAGAGGGATGAATAAGGAAGATCTGATCTGGCTTCGACAGCATGGTGCGTGCATCGCCGGGCGGCGGTTCTAGGCGGATGGTTTGAATCGGCGGTATCTATCATCGCTTGCCTTTGTGGGTGCGTTATTAGAGGGAGGACTGTTGTGGTGGTTGGTGTCTGCGACGGCGATTGTTGTTCGTTGTTTGATGTTGATGGGGCTGGGGATGCGCTAAGACTACTGCTGGACCGCCAGCGCCTTCCTCCTGCAAGTTTCTCATCCCGTACAGCAAGGAGAGATGGCGAAGACTTGGTTGAACTGGCGGAGGCTGATGAGCAGTATTTCTTTCCTGTTATGACCGTCGGTTCAAGCAATGATGAGGACGGTATCGACGACTTTGGTCTTGCATTTGAAGAGATCTCTGGTGGAGTAGACACTGTAGAGCCGGGAGGGTTTGGAGGCAAGCCCAAATGTCGGTTGTTTGTTCTAGCGGATGACAAGAGTTTCTTGCGGAGGAGGGCCATACTTTGGGATGCAGGTGGAAATATAGAAGGTTCGAACGGCGGGCGATGGCGGGGTGAACCGGTGTCCTCTCTGGTTATGCAGGTAGCTGGACGCCGTCGATTTGAAAGCTGCGGTACCATTGAAGAAGCTGCATTTATCGGGACATGTTCTAGATTTGCAGATATGTGCTGTCTTTGGCAGTTTGGAATGCTGCTCTTCGCACGTCTTCCAATATTTGCACTATTCGCTTCCAAAGAAAGGCTGTCATTTCCTGTACCAAGATCTGTCGGTTCCTCTTTGGTGGTCGATTCGGCAAGGCGCTCTCCCTCGAGACTTGAGCCCTGTTGTTCGAGCACATTCGCATCTGATGTGTCTTCATCTTCCACAATTCCGTCAGCATCATCATCTTCACCAGAACATCTAAGCTTTGCCGCCTTAGCACTTCTCACAGTTTTCTGCGCGTCAGACCCTCGTGAGGATTTCTTTCTAAAGCGCAGCCGTCTAATGCGTCGCACTATATCAGTGCTAGTGTCATCTGCATCTCGGCTCTGGGCATCGTTCTCACAAGTCAGATAATTGTACGTCGACCCGCCCAGTGTCATTGCAACGCGCTCCTCATCTGTCCCTTCACCCCAGCCACTGATATCATCAAAAAAGGTATCTGTTGGACCTCCACCAGATCGCATGCTGATCATGCTGCTACGTATGGCCTCAGAAAACGCAGCTGGTTCATCGTCCTGCTCTGCGCCAGGGCCACTTCTTCGACGCGATCCTGGATCAGCGGTAGAGAAGCTCTCCGCAGCAGCAGCTGCTACCACAAAGCTTGCGCGCCCTAGTTTTCCGCTTTTATCCCATTTTCTTCCGTAAGTTAAATTCTCAGTACCAGATAGTGGAGCCGCAGTGGCCGGTCGTTTGCATAGATCGGAGCCCCGTGTATGTAGAGTAACCTCAGGCGCCACAGGTGTCATAAATTTCCCTCTGAGGATCATTTCTTCCGGTCTAGTATCTATGCCTTCCCCACCTCCATTCTGCTGCACTGTAGCCTCAGCATTTTGCTCTGCTGAACCTGTCGGCGGTGCTCGAACAAAAGCTGACCGTGTGCGTCGAATAGCGGCCAACTTGAGGCGCCCACCAGAATCGGTGCTGGAGGACGATGTGTGTCGAGAAAGTGACATGGCATTAACGTCATTTCCCTCCTTTCTCTATGAAATACGCCCAGTCTAATCACTGCAATATAATTGTAAGGTGTCTTCGCCGGCCATATCGAGTCGGGCGGAGTGGAGATTCAACTTGGCTTTCGGCAGCGACGCGCCCGTGGCACAGCTGGCATCATGACTAATCAGGCTTTGTGCCTTGAGACCCTTGGGGGTTCGTCTTTCCGCCAGCTGGGGACGTCCCCGATACTAGCAGTTCCTTAACAGCAGAGAAATGGACGAGTTAGGTGCGGTTTACTGAAGTTGTGTGATTCTCGTCTTGTGGGCTGACGATGGCCGTTTCTAAACAGACGAACTTTTGACCGACTTGCAGCGCGGAGTTTCCGCTTTCACTGGATCCAAAGCTTCTACCCTCAAGCCACCAGACGGATCCACTCAATTATCTCCGAACAGCACTACCTCTCCTCTTGTCAACTCTCCATCTTCAACAGGCTCTGTGTATGAATTGTCAAAGAATGGCACCGGGCGGGCTACGGACGAAAATCTTATTATGGCATCGTCGCCTTGCTTCTCATGCAAACGACCTATATTGGGACCGTCTGTTGCTGCGCTGGGCGATGGAATATTTCACCCGGATTGTTTTCGTTGCAAAGCTGAAAGTTGTCGACGCAGGTTAGTGGGGTTGCCATATTTCGAGATGTTTCCAGACATCTTCTGCGAAGGCTGCTACCATGAGAGATTTAGTCCAAAATGCGCTTACTGCCAAGAACCAATAAAAGAGGTGAGTGATATTGCCAGGCTTTTCATCATCTACGATAGCTGACCAAAAGGTATCGACTCTAAATACAGAGATGTATATCCGCGCTGGGAAAGTCATTTCATCCAGAGCATTTCTTTTGTAGCCAATGTGGGAAAAACTTTGGCACCAGTGAACCCTTCATGGAGGCGGACGGCATGGCCTATTGTCCAGAAGACTATCGGGCTCTATTTGCCTGTGGCTGTGCCGTCTGTCGACAAGCACTGCTTGGAGACTACATAACGGCGGCTGGCAAGAAATACCATAGAGAATGCTTTGGCTGTGCGGTAAGCAGGTCTGATTCTGCAAGCGAGATTGGTTACTTAATCGAAAAATTGCTCCAGGTGTGCAAGAAATCGCTTGCGAATGACGGATATTTCGAACATGAAGGAGAAGCGTATTGTGAGCGGGACTACTACATGTTGATAGCTCGTCCGTGCGCAACATGTGGAGGACCACTCGTTGGTCGAGGTATAAAAGCTTGTGGAAAAAACTATCATGTAGACTGCTTCAAGTGCGTATATTGCAAAGAGGCTTTGGATGTCACATTGGCTACCCCAAGGTGGGGAGGTCAAGGAGGGGCAGAGCGAAAAGATGCCGGGTTCCGAGTACAAGAAAACAATCCATATTGTATTAAATGCTATGTTAAATTATTTGCATGACGAATGTGTGCATCAGGCTGCCGCCTCGGTAGACGCATTTGATTTCTTTTTCCGCCTTTTCTTAGCGTTCTTCGTCGTTGCTATTACTTCACTGTGGACATCCTCAACCGGCGCCAGTCTCTTTCCACCAATATGCACCTTATGATTTTCATTTATCAATTCGGTCTGACGTTCAAACAGCGCCACAAAAAATCCAATGCACGAATCTTCCTTTGGTTCCGTACGGATGACCTTCTCGGCTGAGCACAGATTTTATAGTCAGCCATACAGACATGGTTCGGCATTCAACGAGAGATGCACTACTCACCTCCACTAAACAAGGGCAGCCCCCTTCTTGTCCATTGCGGAAAGACGCCATCAGCCAGAGAAAAGTCTTCCTGCGCGGTCAAAACATGCTGCACAACGTCCTCATTCTCTTGTCGATGTTTAGAGCAGGTAGAATACACAACCTTCTTGACATGTGGAAATTTCATTGCATGCAGAATGGCTTTCTTTTGGAAATCGGCCAAGGCTGCAATCCGGGTTTCGGAGGCGGCCTGGTCTGCCTCATCCTCCACAGACTCTTTATCCTGATCTGATCAGAGAATAACGTTGGAGACATCATCAGAAAGCGCCATTCTTGACAGAATTGCGTTGCATACGACACCTACCGAGTAAATGATCCATACGCCCAACAATACCAGACCCTGAACACGAAGGATCGAGCAGAATGTACTCAACCTGCAAGTGCAAACTAGTTTTGGCTTGATGATCAGTCACGCAGGGGCGAATCGTGGTACTTACGTTGCGGTATCGCTCGTCATTAACATCTATATCTAAGAAGCTTCCATGAATGGGTTCGATATCTGATAATGGTGCACAATTATCAGATCCGCATCCGAGCTATGTACTGTCTGCTGTGCGACAGTAAATGAGTACTCACTGGTACACCGCGCGCGGCCTGTCATCTTTTTTAGAGTGCCTAAGCGCCGTTTGTCCATGTCGAAAGCGAATATTTTCCCAGTGTTCCCCATTATCGCAGATAAGTGCGAAGTCTTATTACCTGAACCGTATGTTGTCAAAAAGGGGCCGACTTTGGAAGATAGTAAACCAGATCCCAGCATACCTGGTGCCGCACACGCATCGATGACAGTGCTGTCCTTGGGAGGGTTCAAAATGTAGGCAGGAAAACAACTTGCTTTATCCTGGACAGGGGATGAAAGTTAATGACAGGACCGATGCATATCAGCGGCTGTAATCCGTACCTGGATGATAATGCTTCCATCTAGGAGTAACGGATTGTCGTGCAAATCTACGTTTGAAGGTAGCATAACGAGCTCTGGAATATGCTTATCTTGACGGAAGACCTTCCCGCTGAAAGGCAAGTGAGTACCTGACCATAATGGAACACTCGATCGCGACGGCGTGCATACATACGACAATTGCGATGGTTCCGTCTCCGAGTCGACGCGGTATCCCAATTTGGTGAACATCTCAATGACTTTTTCCACAGAGGCGACTAATGTATTTACTCTTATCCAGCGCGGTAATACGACTGACACTCATAAGGTTAGCGTCTCTCCAGATAACGGGAATATATGGGAAACAGCTACCTGCGTCTCGGATGCGTGCTGTTCAGGAAATAAACGGATAGTGTTAAGGAATTTCATCATTCACTGCAATACCACCAACGAGATCCCAATTGCAAGTAGTACCGGGTATTAAATCCTTATTATCCTTGACTTTCCGTTTAATCTTGATCTTTGCAAGTTCCGCTTGCAGGCGAGTTTTATGGCTGAGAACTATTTGCTTATAGCTTCCCGAGGTTTGCAGGCCCCGACCAAAGAGAAAATCGTAAACTAGAACCGTGGCTACGCTGGGCCGCAACTGGGGTCGATGGGGAATCCAATGTCATCAATAAAGAACTAGCACACAATCAACGCTTTGTCAAGAAAATCCAACCAACCCGCGGCTTTCCTGCCTCTAGTAGGCCGGCTTGTTTTATTACTATTTCCAAAACATCTTTATCTACAGCAGTTGAATACACCATATTTAGTCAATAGTCAAATTGCAGAGTAGCGGGTGTGGTCCAAGTTCGTCGGGTGGGTATCATACAGCAGCTGCTTCCTAAAACCTACATTTTAGGGACTCACAAACAAGAGCGTAGGTCCGCTTCTTATCCGCTACATCGTCCGCGAGGCATAAACTCTTAATTGTTCCCTTCTGTTTTTCTAGTTTCTCGAGAATTTCACCAGCTTTGTTATACAGCGCCATAATTATTGGCGACGAAACTCCTACGACGCTATCTTCCTGACTGCAAGCCTTTGCTTGAGCATGACGTTGAATTCCACAAGCTTTGAGGCAGGCCTCCATAAAGACATCAGGTATTGTCATGGCAACAGCGATACCTATATAAGGCGGTCTCCGTGCTTCACGAGGAATGGGAAGCGGCAATGACGATGACTTTCACCTTGAACGGCGCAGCGCGGCGTCCAAGAAGAGATCGTTCTTACGTTGTCTCCCCTTTGCGTAGCTGCGCTCCCCACTCGTCGGTTGCAGTGCACCGCAAAGAGATGTCGACTTGTAAGAACATCCTTTGGGACGTTGTTTATGCGACAAAATGTGAGCGAAATAAGTTTTCAATCGGAGCCGCGCAACGTTACAGCAAGCAAAGAACTTTCGTTGCTCCCTAATCCTCTAGAGTTGCTAGCTGTCATGATGAACTTTAGGCACATGTGTCATATTACCTTTGCTTGAGAGAATTCTGTTGTCCAAACGGGCAAACGTTAAGGAAGAGAATGAAACTGCAATGGTCCGCTACGATGTCACATATAATTAAACAATAAAAGTTATTATTGATCACAGTTCCATGTAAGGTATCGCCCCTTCTATTTACCGGTCTCCAAAATACCTCCCCGAATATATACAAGTAGCAGATCAATCCGTGCGCATATTGTACAGCATGTCAGAAGACGAAGATTGCTCAATTCCCTAGTGATCTTCCCTCCGGTGGTGGGATGGCACCCTTTTCGAATACAGAGTCCAAGAATATCTGTAGGCGGGTGGTGCCGGCGATGGCTTTTGCGGGAATTTTGGGAACGAATTCGTTCCGTAAGAACGTCAACGCTTCCTCAGTTTGAGGACGATATTGCTTCAAAAGCTCGTGGCCTGCAATCTTGAAACCAAGATTTTCAGCGTTGCATGACCTACCAAGACGTGCCGCGAGGTAAGCCTACCTCCAAAAATCTCAGTATAAGAAAAGGACTGATCCGACGAGGTTCGATACTAAGAATAAGGAAGAGCCAATTTAAACCATTTTGTAGTCCGTAGTCGTTGGGTACTAGGAGAACATGATGATAATGTTAGTCAAGAGAAATCTTCTGGCAATCGGAAGATACTACTCACTGATTGTCGTTTGCACAATGGCAGCATAAATAGCAATAAGTCCGCACATTCGCTCTGTGTACTGTATTTCATCCTCCCATACGTCGTCGTCGATTTCTCTATATCCCAGCCGTTTGCGGAAGTCATCATCCGTATCGCTCTGTTGGGTTACAATTGTTACATTTGAGGCTGATGACTCCCGATTCTCAAACTGCTCTGTACCTCAAATCGTGGAGGGTATAATGGCACGATGTATGGACATCTCTTGATGAACCGGCCTAAAAGTACATCCAAGAATTCCGTATGTTGTCGGTAGATCATGATGCACAGAATGGCGAGGGGAAATGCCGAGTCTGTTTTGACCGCGATCTCGCTTTCCGCTTGTTTCTGCAAAAGAAAAAGTTATCATCGTGGTTCCCTTCTTGCATTTAACAGTACAGAACTCATTACCACTACGCTCTTAGCAAGGAGATCCATGCAAATAGCATACTCCTCCTGAGACGCACTCTTCGCATTCTTCAAGACGGTATCGAGAGCCCGACCCTAAAGGTAGGACGAAAGAATCATCAGCGATTGAACGTCTTCACAAATGCCTTCGCTGAAGTTGGATCATACAATCTCAATGACTTTCTTTTCGCTGCTCATAATTTGGCCGATTTTTTGAGTAATGGTCATTTTTGTTCGAAATATTGACTGCATGAGAGTCGGGTTGGTGCCCATTTGGGGTTTGACCTGCTTCTTGATGATCTGAAGAGAGACTCAAATCGGTCCACGAAAGCCAGGATGCCATATATCGCTTTAACGTACGTGAATGATGGCCAAGCGCGCTTGAGCTGTGTCAAAGAGCTTGTCCGGCCACGATTTGGACTTTACGTGGGTCATGCGAATCAGCTATCGTGATCCTTCGAATATCAATTGAGTTTTTTACTTTTCACGGACCTGTACAGATTTCGCCGCCCGTTGAGCTTGCTGCTCCTCCGCTGCTTGTGCTTTCACCGCCTGTTCCTGGGCAGCTCTCTGTTTTGCTGCTTCCTCCCTGGCTACTCTGTCCTTTGCCTCTTGTTCCCTGGCTGCTTTGTCCCTCGCCTCCTGCTCTCTCGCCGCTTGAGCTTTTGCTTCTGCAGCTTTCCTCCGCTCCTCTTCCTCCTTGGCCTTTTCCGCTCGCTTACGCTCTTCCTCCTGCCGTTGCAACGCTTCCCTTCGTTCTATTTCCTCAATCTTTCGTAGTGCAACCTCAATAGACTACATCGCGCTAAACGTCAGCAAATGGTACGGATGTGAACTTGATTGAGGCAGCTACCCACTTGCTGATCTCTGAGATTTGCCTCATGAAACTCTCTTCTAAGCTCCTGTATCCTCTTTTGGGCCTCCGAGTCCTTTTGGTCCGCAATGCGCTTATAGTATTGGCAAAGTTGTTGCAATTCCTTTTGCGTATCTGATACCCATGGTCCTTCCACTTCTAGCTTCCGCCGATAATACTCATTCATACTTTCTTGTGAAGCTCGCTGAAAAAAGCAAAACGTCAGCTAGGTACAAAGTGCCCGTCGAAGTAGCTGCCGGTACGCACCTCAGACTCTGCTAGAAATTTGAGTTGATTTGCCGCTGAGAGCGGCGAACGTTGCTGTCGCTTATAATCGTAAAGGAAGCGCTCATATGCTCGCGCAACTTCCCGAAGGTCTTCTGCATTTCCGTTTGTTTGTTGGTTGTGTTGACTCGCTCTCTTTGAAGGGGACTTTCCAGGGCTGAAAGAGCTGTGCACAGTAACAAAGTGTTAACTTGGTGTTTGTACCCTAGCATGAGCTCAGGAGAAACCCGACCTCTCCAATTGCTCCAAATCTAGTGACGAGTCTATCCTTTTAGGAGTGGCAACAGCAATCCCTTCAAGCATGGACTGCCTTGTAGTACATCCATTGTCGAATACTTGGCGTGGTGGTTCGGAGGAGGCATCTCTACCATTTACACTATCACTTTGGAGAGACTTTTTTGGACTCCCAGCCTGAATGTAATCCCCAGGTTTCACGGCATAAAAGTCGTCGTCAACCAAACCGAACCTCATCCTTTTGGTCAACCAGGCAAAGATCTCGAAAAAGCTCACCAGTTGGCCTGGCCTTGCTCTTTCTGATGGGATAATCATGCATGGCTGTGCCGCTCATCCAGATGTGTCAAAGCCTGAATTGTTTTTTTCGTGGCGACTGCAAGGGTTTTGGAATTTGCAAGCCTATTCCTCGCCCGACGAACGCAAGACTATTCAACCAAACCGTAACTTTGACGCCGGAAGAGTATCGAAAGCACGACCATTTACAATGTCCCTGGACGAACAACAGGTATGTTGTGCACAATGGATACCACCACCATTCAAGTGGAGATCACTCACGGTCCTAAACAATGTGGAGTGTATAGGTCTCGAAGGCTGTAAGGGCTTTGATGGCCTATGAGAAGAAAAGCCAGGCCATCCAGTCAGAAGAACAGAAAACTAATCTTATCGAAGAAGATGCCAGCAAATCTGTTCTCGTGATAGTCGCTACGAAGAAAATGCCAGACAGACTTCGCCTAAAACCACAGCGAATGTAAGTAACGCTGTAGATTATCACGGATGTCATTTGCATGTTCTGATGGCAAAACTGGGTTTCAGTTTGCTTAAACATCCTCTGTATGCCGAATCGGACGTCTGTTTGATCACGAAAGATCCTCAGCGAACATATAAAGATTTGTTGCAATCGAAAGCAGTTACGGGTATATCCAAGGTAGTGTATCAGCTCGCCTTTTTTCATTTGCACAGAGTCCTGACGAGTATTTGGCTGCAGGTTATGGGCATATCAAAGCTTCGAGCAAAGTTTAAGCCATACGAAGCAAAAAGACAACTTTGCGCTTCATATGATCTTTTCCTCGCTGACGAGCGCGTCATACCGCTGCTTCCCTCTCTTATTGGAAAGACATTCTTTGCAAAGAAAAAGTGAGTATCTACGGCGCCTCAATATTCACGCCGGATTTCCATGAGTTGACTCTGTCGTATTGTAATCCGTAGACACCCAGCGCCTGTCGATCTTACAAAGAACGATCTTGCGGGGGAAATCCAGAGTGCGCTTCATTCCACATATCTCATAACGAACAATGGAGTGTGCAAGTAAGACTTGTGTGATAAAACGTCCGATTATTTGCAGGGTTATGAATAACTTTTGTATTTACAGTGCGGTAAAGATTGGGACAACGAGGTTTGACGAGGAGCAATTGATTGAGAATGTTATGCAAGCGGTATCGGAAATTGCAAAAAAGATTCCAAAAAAGTGGAATAACATCCTCTCTATTCATCTCAAAACTACGGACTCGATCGCATTACCTATATTTAACTCATTGCCCGATGGACCTGTGGGTGACGGGGAGGAGGTGGAGGAAGGAATAAAGAAGGAGGCTGTGACAAGGACTGCAAATGAGGAAGCAGCAAATAGCACGCCAAAGAAGGCGGCAGTGAAAACAAAGATGTCTCCCAAAAGTAAAACAGCTGAGCAAACAGGTACGATAAACGAGGTCAAAAAGGTGACTCCAAAGAAATCTACACCACAATCTGCACCGAACTCTGCAGCAAGAAAGGGAAAAGCAAAAGCCGAAAGCACATGAGCGATCAGTTACTGTCATAGAATCTTGTAACTACACACACTAGTTGTATAATATATATTGAATCCAAATTGGATATTGAAAATAATCTCAACTGAATAAAGTAAGATATTCATCAGGATAGTTACTGTCTCTGTTCCGCCCACATGAATCAACATTGGACAACACAGGAATTTAACATTCATATCTCTAAAAAGCATTTCCATCCATTTTTTGCATCCACATCAACGTTATGATAAAGATCTCATCTGGACGATACCTTTTCTCCAACCTTTGCGACAGCCGATTCGACAATGATCATCTATCCCATATAAACTCTTCCATCAACATCACCATTATCAGAGCTGAATCTATTTATCCATACCCATATCCAATAAAACAAAACTCTAATAATTAGGTGTCATTTCCAGTCGCCTGGTCCTCACGTGGGGTTGATCGGTCGCTTATTCGGCCCGTCTCCGTTGTGGTATTAAAGCCCAGCATTTCCCATCTTTTCCCCCATCATTCTTACTTGCTCATTGCCCGTTTTCCCCTCCTCATCAACTTTTTACAGCAGACTCATATTCCACTGCAATGTCTAGCATTTTCCAACTTTCAGAACGCGTCCAAAAGCTCAAGAAAGTCCTTGAGGACTTTGTCGAGGTAAAGCAAAACGCAACGGTTTACAAAACCCATTAGTTTTCTTATCTAATGCTCTCGGTGCTCTAGTTTGAATGTATTCCTGCTGAAAAGGTTCACCACCATCAGTTGGGCAAAATTGGCAGCGCAGACAGATGGACGGTCGTGCCATCGGTCATTGAAAAGCTCAAGACCAGAGCAAAGTCCCTCGGACTCTGGAACCTTTTCTTGCCCAGCTACTACCCCGAGAGTCCTGGATTGACAAACCTAGAATATGCTACTCTTTGTGAAGTCATGGGCCGGTCTCACATTGCTGCAGAGGCGTGCAACTGCAGTGCTCCTGACACTGGCAACATGGAAGTGTTTGCGAGGTATGGGACACCAGAGCAAAAGAAAAAGTGGCTCGTTCCTCTGATGGAGGGAAAAATCCGCTCCGCCTTTGCCATGACCGAACCAGCAGTGGCTTCCTCTGATGCTACAAACATTCAAACTGAAATCACTCGTGAAGGCAACGAGTACGTTATCAACGGACGCAAGTGGTGGATCTCGGGGGCTGGTGACCCAAGATGCGCCGTATATGTGGTGTTGGGCAAAAACGATCCCAAGAACCCCAACAAACACAAACAGCAGAGTGTCATCATTGTCCCTGCTGATGCAAAAGGCGTCAAGATCGTCCGGCCCATGACCATCTACGGCTATGACGATGCTCCCCACGGCCACATGGAAATGATCTTTGATAATGTCCGCGTCCCGGCGGAGAACATGATCTTGGGTGAGGGCCGTGGGTTTGAAGTCATTCAAGGCCGACTAGGTCCTGGACGGATTCACCACTGCATGCGCGCGATTGGTGCGGCCGAACGCGCTCTAGAATACCATCTCCTCCGTGCCACGGATCAAACTCGCACAACGTTTGGCAAGGTCTTGGCACAGCACGGAAAGACGTCCTTTGACGTTGCCCAGAGTAGAATGGAGATTGACCAGGCGCGTTTGCTTGTGCTACGTGCTGCTGCTACCATCGATGAAAAGGGTCCCAAAGCAGCAATGAACGAGATTGCCATGGCAAAGGTCATCGTGCCAAATATCACGTTGGCGGTGATCGACCGGGCGATCCAGGCCTGGGGTGCAGCTGGTGTGTGCCAAGACCTTCCTCTGGCATACATGTACGGGACAGGGAGAACTTTGAGAATTGCTGATGGTAAGACTAGTATTGCGTGGTAATTGTACAGCTTGTTCTCAAATAACATGCCTTATCCTTCAGGTCCCGACGAAGTGCACACAATTCAAATTGCAAAGGTAGAGTTCCGGAGGGCTGATGCATTGCGCGCACACCACAAGAAGCAAGCAGAGGTGTCTGAGCAATATCTTGCTAAACTCTGAATGCTGTGCTGGACGGTAGCCTAGTCTCTTGCCCCATAGTAAGCGAGCCATTCGCACATACA